CAGGCTGGCCGGCGCCAGGTTTGCCTGCTGCTGGTCGCGGTCGTGTTGCGCGTACGTCCGCGAGATCCAGCACGTCGTTATGTTGTTGTCCGTTATCGTGGCGCGGAAGGGGGACGTTTCCGACATTGGGTAGACGCCCGAGTATTTTATGCAGCTTAGGACTGGGGCTGCGAGGAGCAGGAGGGTGAGAAGGCGCATTGTGTTGTGTTGTGTTGGGGAGATACGATTACGAGTACAAGCAGGTATAATCATCAGACCAAGCCGCTGATTCTTCAGGGATGCTTGCTTCAGCCTATAAACCAGACCCAGCGATCGATACGTGAAGCCCACAACAAAGTATCGAAAAAGTATCAAAATAAGGATCCAGAGTGGTGGGATCTAAGCCTTGACTTATTTTCCAACGGATGTATAGCGGTTGCAAGAGCACCAGAGAAACAAAGATCTGGTTACTGGGACCGTACGTACTTGTGCTCTCACTCGAAGAAGACGAAGCTGTATTTAACTACATCGTTGGTAGTATTGGCAAAGCAATAATAGTCGGCACGCTCTGACTTTTGGGGAAAGGGGCGGACGCGGCAAGTAAGGGTTATCTTGGCAGGAATGCTGCTGAGCATGCTCTAGGGCCATCCATTCATTGTGTTGAGACATTCGTCCCAGTGTCTTAAACACCGCGTGGCATAACTTTCAAGCTGCTGACAAAGGGGAAAGGATGACTTATCTAAGTGGCACAAAGTGAGCTAGATAATGAAACTCAAGACGATAATAATGGTGTATAGTATTGTGATGTAATGACTGTGATGTAATGACTGTGATGCAGTGACTACTGTGATAATGACTGTGATGTTATGAAATAGCTAGATTTCCCATAGGCCGTGTTGTGTATCCAAAGAGCAAAACCCCCCACCAATTAGATGTAGAACATAGAGTCCTTCATGTTTTCTGGAATCTGAACGTCGAACGTTGATAGGTTGGTCGCACTACTGGTAACACTCGCAGTTGCAGAACTGTCATTCGGGTCATACTGATCTGCGAGGTAGCAACGCAAGCGCGTGCAAAGAAGATCAGCATAGTAAGCAGGAGGGCACAAGCTGACAGCCTTGGTCGCACGCCCGAAGAGATGGCACATATTGAAGGTAAGATCCTCCAACGAATCAGCCGGGTTCTGAAGAGGGGCCTTTACTTGACGACCGCGGAAGATCTCGTCAAGAATCACGTAGTAATGACCCGGCCTCGCAGTTCCCTGTAGGCAAGCATGAGGCTGGATGAAGAAATCCCACCCGTTGACTTCAGTGACCCCGCGATCAACCACAGTACCTGGTTCACAATTCGATGAACGATCCGCATTAGCTTCTGTTGTTGGGTAGAAGCGCGTATGGTGACGCTTCCCGCAGACGATGATTGATATCTTGGGAAATCCGGATTTGGTGGCCTGGGCCGGGTACTTCTGACGGCAAGCATTGCGAATCTGTGGGAGCTCCTGATCAAGAAGCAACTGGTACTGGCCTTCCGAAACACCATCTCTGTACATGATGATGTTCTCTGGAAGAGAGCCTTTGTTTTTCTTTGCCCATAAATTCAGACGACCAAGAAACATATCATAAAGACCAGAAACAGTCTCCTTTCGGGATTCTTGAATTCGAAAGTCTGCCGGCCACTGACCTAGAACCCTATCGACACTTGCCACAATCCCAGCAATGCTAGGCGCAGTGTCCTTTGACCCAGGCGAGGGGTGGGTGACATCGAGGCCGACAACCATGGTCTTTCCTTCACTGACGACTCCTAGCTTGGCTGGATCTAGTGTCTGGTTGATACCGCCGGCCTTGAGGTTGAACTTTAGAGAAACGTTTCCAAAGTACTGCTCTTGTCTCTGCTCTTTCATAAACTTGGGCGCAACGACACAGACAGTGTTAATGCCAGCTTTTGTATCAGCGTAATTTTTGATCGAGTTGTATATTGCGACATCATTGTAAGGAATGACACAAAGGATGAAATTTGGCCGGGGATTAACCTTGGCAACATACATCGCTCTAATGATGTTCCCAATTTTTTCATTATTGCCGACGTCGTCTCCATCGGAGAGGCCAATTTCGGGTGGAGTGACTGGAATCATTCCTGTAGCATTAATGCCAGAACGAGTCAGAAACTCCCCGAAGCGAGAGATGGTGGGCATAACATGATTAACGCCAAAGGATGGGCCACGACGGGTCGATGTAAAGACAATCGAGGTCCATTTTCCCAAGTGACTGCCGGTGTGGAATTTTATGTTTGCCATATTCCAGGAACCAAAGCGCGGTAATACGCTGGTCTCCTTCTGACGAGCATCCTTGTATTTGATGGCCGGTGGAACCAAAACGCGCGCTGCGACAGTAATCAAACTGGCGCCAATCGTAAGACCAAAACGCGCCTATCTCAAGTTAGCCATAGACAATTAGAGTGTGGGTGGCATTTCTACTCACGGTCATGGCATTAGCCTGGGGGTTCAGACCAAGAACAGCTTTCCCATCAGTGACAATCGAATCCCCATTTTGGTTTGGCTTCCGACAAGCGAATGTGATCATTTGCTGGGTTTGGTCGGGACTCAATCTGCGTTTTATTGTTTGGCCAGGCAAGAGAACACAAACCTCAGCAGGGAGATAGCTAGGATGTTCACGGTTTCCAACATTAACCACAGGGTTTCTCTCTTCCAGCCTGATTTGCGGGTACTCTGTTTGCGTTAATGTGAATACTGTAAATGGATTTCTGAGCACTTACTTTTCCGGAAGTAGTCGAAGACTGTAATGTATGTGTTGGAAGGGAGAGCGGATCCGGCTCCTTTCTTCCCTTGGGGTTTAGCACCTTTAGCAGCAGGGGGGACTTCGGAAAGCCAGAAACTAACTCCCTTGGGACCTGCACCGAAATCGGCGATCTTGGGTGGATGATCTTCTCCACGACCATCTTGAGGGTGGGCAAGACCGAAGATTGTCTTGACGCGAGGCACTTCTTCGTTGGTCTTCTTAAGCGTCTTTCCTGGTAGATGAGTAACTTTCACTCTGATGAGTTTAAGTTTCTTCTGCAAAGTCAGCTTATTGCCACTTCCGAGTCTCCCATAAAGGACATCGAGACTTAGTGGCTCGATAAAGACGCCATGTGTGACATTGACGTTAAGCAGAATGCCACCAGTGGCAGGCCTGACACTCTGGAAGTATCCACGAAGAGACTCTAAGCCTCCACCGAGCACGGTAATGTTGTGAGCGTTCGCTTGCCCGCGACTGATCGAGAAATGCCTATTTTGACCAATTGATACTATTCCATCGTGTACCTGCGGATAGTGCCCAAACAGTACGTTTAGCACCTGTATGGCTTCTGCTTTCTGGGTGAAAGGAGGAGCATTGGGATTTGTAGACGAGAGATACGCGGTGAGGTCAGAAATGCTGAACGAAAGAGGTGTGATTATCCGGACCGTATAGGTGATGGCACGTGCAAGAGGTTCGTCTTGCCCCTCAGCCAGATACGGTATCTGTATAATATGTCCGTCCTGAATACCAAGGGGAGTTCTGGCAACAATCATTGAACGAAGGTCTGATGCGAGACCACCAGCACTCGCAAATTCGGGCAACTCAAGAAGGAGCTGAAAAACCCGGCCAAGCTTTTTTCCCTTGACCTCGGGTTGCACTTCCACGCTGTACCTTGTGAGGGTCAGGTTTTGTGGCACGCCAACTTTGAAGTAGTTGGCGTAAACGGCAATCTTCTTGCCTTGGGTACCATGACCTGGTCGGGACGGGAATTGACCATCATTCAAGGACATCTTTGCCATTGCCTGCTGAAGACCGCCAGCGGTGGCATTCTTCATGTAGGCATTCTCAATGTTCATTACTTGCCCATCAGGTGGTGCAAGTGGTGCATTGGGGTCCCTTGGAAAGGTTAAGGGTTAGTTGGAATGTACTAGATGAGTTGCGGCTCTTACCTAAAGACAACCGCAGGTGCGGATCCTCCTCCTCCTCCACCTCCGCCACCTCTTCCTCCACGGAAGCCACCCCGATCCCCACCTCCACGATAACCTCCACCGCCGCGATCACTTCCCCCTCTGCCACCACCACGACCACGATAACCTTGACCGGACATTGTGCGAATATAAACTCCAGGAGTCGGTGAAACCTGGCCCTAGTTGTTGATGTTTGTGTTCGCAGTAGAATTGGATGGAGATGTTTGCATATCTGTACTGAGTAGCAAAGTTAGCCAGTGTTGAAGTGGTAAATGTCTTATAAGATGAGGGAGAAATAGTATTGTAAGAAATGCACAATAGAATGATGTGTGAATAGTAGTATTGTTATGATCAACGCTATTTCGTCCGAAGTGAATTCAGACAGGTGAGAATCCGACAGTGTAAAGCAGTTGGAGTACACTAAAGGATGATTTGTCTGAAAGGACTTACTCTGGTCTTTGCTCCTGAATTTCCGATAGAATGGAATGGAACGGCACGGACCGAGACGGTGATACCTTTAGTAGGATGAAGAGCTAGACGAGAGCGAAGAAGCGTGTTTCTTGAGTTAAGGTAGAGCCGTTCTCGTAGCCGGCACTGTAGTTTGGTGGAAGAAGAAGAAGAAGAGAAGAAGAGGCCAAGCGGTGAAGAAAGATAAATCAAGTGAGGGACGCGGACGCGGTGGCGCCAGCAATCGCGGGAAGCAGATCCATTCCACAGTTTGAGGTTGATCCAGGATGCATGCCTGGAGGTGGGGTTTGCTTTGCTTTGCTATGCTTTGTTATGAATGGAGGAGCAAACGAGGAGCAATGATTATATAGTACAGGTTACGTATGCGATGCCGTATGATGTTTGCTTCATGCTTCATGCTTCATGCTTCTTGCTTCTTGCTTTTTCTTGTCAGTACTTCGTAGCTGAGTACGTAGATACGATACTCTGTAATACATTATTGGTGGTGTCCCTGCCTCGCCTGCCTAAACATCCCTGCCCAAACACCCCTGCGGCGCGGTTGCCCTTTCCCTTCAACGCGATGTCAGGTGCTTTCAACCAGTTTGCAGTGACACAAGGCCCGGACTGACGGAATGCGGCATCATAAGACATACGCGCATTTCAACTCTGGCCTCTAACCATCTGCCCAAGAAGGATTTCTTTCACCCCTCTAAAAGGGCATATCTATTCTGAGCGGTGATGACTTCAGCCTTGACCTGCTGGGCTTGCCTGGGTGGATGGGTAGGTCGTGTAACATCGACCACCACCAGCGTCGAGCCAACAAGAGTACGCCGTTTATCAGGGTATCATATATATTAAACTCCTCTCAGGTATGACAGGCTACGCTGCCTACCTACCTAACCGCTACCTACATACCGGCTTTGCATACCTTCATGCACAACTTGGAATGACTCAGGTTGAGCTGTACAAACCAGAAAAAGCAAATCAAATACGCCATCAGCATAAACTCTTACAAGCAATTCCAATACATGGCTTCGTTTTCATCAAACCACGTTGCATTTCTCTCATCTCTCAAGTAAGATTGAAGCTAGAATTAAAAATAAAAGAGTGGTATATTTGATTTGATCAGGATCTACCTGAACCCAACCCCCAGACGCCAGCAAACAGCGCGCTGCACTTCCCAACTCCCACAATCCGCGTACGAAAACCCCCGCTCGATCTTGAGAACGCCTAACCTACAAACGCCACGAAAAACACATATGAGGTTTTATCGTCCTTCTGCCTCTGTTTTGTAGTTTTGCCCTCCCGCTGTGTGAATATGTATGCTTGTTTATATGTATAAAGAACTGAAAATGCATCGCTCCCTTTTGCACCAAAGAAAATCCTCGACTATTATTTGGCGGGCAGGGCTACCTTGTTGTTGCTACGACAAGACGCCCATCAGTCAATTCTGGCCCTATCTAGAGTCCTCACTTGAGTGTTTGGACTACTGAGATTGTTGGCAAGGCGCATGTTGGAGGGCGGCTTGTATTTGCTCTTCGCGTGCTTTCTAAGCTTCTTCCGAGCTACCATGACCGGGACCGAGGATTTCGTAACGAGGTAATTGGAGAAGGAGCCAAGGATGACACTATTGCAATGTTAGCATTTGCCCACGCCCATCGTATTTCGAGTGACTTACCCTTTGAGAGCGTTCCTACCGCGACTCCCCAGAATCACAAGTGTAGGTGTGATGTAATCGATGATTTCCGTAATCAAATGGCCGGGACTCTTGCAATGGATAACTTCAATCACCACCTTCACCTGCAATTGCGTTTTCCTCAGCAGCTTCGAGACTCGATCCGTGATGTCCTGTACAGCCCGATACCGTTCGGCCTCCGCTTTGCCCCTTTCTCTTCCCATCGGACTCGCGCTAGTATTTGTACTGGTGGAATCAAGTCTGAAATTTGATCCCAGGGGACTAGGGTGAGCAACTGGAGGCATCACAGGTGTCGAGCCTGAAGGTTTTGTCGATGCGGCCACGGCTATTGCTTGCTCTTTCATAAGTGTATCATCTCCAATAGTCCCCTCGCCAATCCCAATCTCTTCGTCAACGCAGTAGACTGCGAGTAATGTGTCTCCATCTCTGAGTACTGTCCCGATGGTCCATTCCATTGCGTGAGCCGCCTCATCGCTGAGATCGGTAGCACACAAGTACTTTCTAATTCGTCGTTGATTGTCCTGAGCTTCTCTCTGCATCTTTCCAAAATCACCACGGTAGATCGTACGGACGCAACGACTAGTTACAGGAGTAGAGACAATATGTGTCATATTGATGGCGAGTTTTTGTGCTTGTTTGATGTCAGTTAGATCTGCTTCGACGTCTGAATCTACAGGAGTGTTCAAGCCGGAGGGTTCATCGAAGCTGGTGTTGGGATGAACGCCTGACTTGCTTGACTTCAGCTTGGTCCCTGAGGGTCCTGTGACCGTGATTTGAGGTTCGAAGAGTGACCGAACTTTGTACTTTTCTTGGGCCGCAATCTGCTGGCCTGTAGGTTTCGTAAGCTTGAATTCCTTGCACAGGTTTTGGTTATACGTACGCTCTTCTTCAGCGGCCGCCATCAAACTCAGAGCTGTCCTCGGCCCCTTTGCGCGACCCATCCCCAGGGTCTTGGCCTCAGGGTGATCTTCTGAACTTTCACCATTTTGACGCTTCACGGTCTTCTTCCTTCCCCGAGTGCGCTCTTCGTCTGAGCTATGTTCGTCCTCGTCGCTGCTATCAGCGAGAGCATCATCCCCGGTATAATCCTTCTCCAGCCTACCACCGTTGAGCGGATCAATAGCATCTCCACTGTTCGTCCGTCTGCGACCTTTCCCACTTAATGAAGATAGCCTGCCACCAGATAAAGCTAAATTAGCATCTGACAGCCGTCTGTACGCACTGTTCATATCAAAGGTCCTCCCATCATCTAGCTTCAATTTCGAAAGCTCCGGGCTTAAGTGTGGTGAACTGGAGCGCCCTCCAACTCGGTTATGGGGGGATCTAGATTTTGATGTGCCGATGCCTGTACTAGCAATCGAATGATTGCGGCCACTGTCGCGTGCACCAAATCCACCAGTGATTTCCCCCCCTCTGACAACCTCTGCCATTGCATTGGGAATTGACGCCTTCTTTCCAGCTTGTGTATTTCGCTTCGGTGCGACCGGCCCGCCGGGATTGCTTGGCAGATACCCAGAGAATTGATAGGCCGCACTAGGGCCCGGCTTTGCAGGTCCCAAGACGTTAGTCCGGGGACCAAACTCTGCTGGGTGTGATGCAGCATCAGATGAGCTCCTATGCTGTCGATGCTGGGTGTTCGCGTGGTGGGATTGATGGGTCAACTGTGTGGGTGACGTTGAGGCGCTCACCGTTGTAACAGCTGGTGTTGGTGGTGGACTGCTGATGTCCAGCATGCTTCGGACTGGGACACGGGCAGGTCTGCTTTTGGAGCTTCCCAGTGGTGAATGCTTGGACACTGCTGGATCTTCAGCAATGTCTAGCATGCTCCGTACAGGCGATCGTGGGTTATAGGGCGACGGGGCTCTTCCTGACCCTGCCGAACTGGCAGGTTTTTTAGTGTGCAGGCCTGATTTCCCTTCCAATAGTGCTAGAACATCTTTGCGCTCCTCGTCCAACACAGACTCCAATGACATATTTTTCGCCATTGTTGCAGTTGCTGGCTGTTCTGTGTTCTCCGTACCCTCTTGGCAGACGCTGTTGTGCTCTCTCGGAAGCTAGGTAATGATGATGCCAAGAGAGAGTGTTGGTATGTCGAATATAAGGCAGGGCGAATGCTCTGGAGACGTCCTTGCTATCCGTTAATGAACTTTCCTGGGAGACAGTCTAGTTCAAAATGATGCATTGTGGTTGGAGAGGTAGCAGTCTTCGGAATCGACTCAGATCATTGCACATCCGCGTTGCTTGGTGCTTGTGGACAGTGGTGCTACTAGAAAGAGGTCAACAGGGCTGCAAATCCTGCTTTGACGAAGAGGCTAATATGTGTATGAATCAGAGATAGCGGATTTGCGTTTATGTTTGAACAGTCGAGATTGATTGTACTGGCCACGTTGCGTAAAAGCTTTGCGGTTGGATTTGTTAAGGTTTCGAAGTGGTGAGAGAGAGGCTACAATCCTTTGCTCTTGCGACGTGAAAGCTGCAGTGCACAGTTCGTTCGGTGGCGGGAGACAGGCGCGCCTTATTTGCCTTCGAGGAGGCACGATGTCTGCGGGACAAAGGAGTTGCAAAGTGGTGCTCTGCTACTGTGCTACGAATGATCAATTCGAGGGTTGAGAGATTGAACGTGAGGTTGATTGCGAGCTGGGCTGGTGTTGGAGATATGTACGAGTAGAGTACCGTACCGTAGTGCCTGCCTCGCCGCCCGCCCCACTGGGACGCTCTAGCGACTGTCTTTAGAACTCGCGGATGCACCCGAGTTCAGGGATATCAAGCCCTCGGCATGGCCTCAAGTGGATATTGGGCACGCATACGCATACTACACCATACTACGCGTAGTATTCCATACGAAAGAATACCCAGCGTCTACTGTACAATACGGAGGAGATGTCTGACTGAGCCCCTATCATGCCAAATTCTTCTCCTGGTTTTTCTCTAGCCAACTACTTACCGTCAGCATTTCTCCTTCTGTCAATTTGCTCCCTTTTTTTCTTTGGAGCTGGCTGGTGGAGTCCTGGCCTCATGGGTTTTCTTACTGCTCGGGTTACAACAGTCATGGAAACTCCTTAGTAAGAGCAAGACTGGCCATCACACGACTCAAGTCTAATCAAAACCGCGCTGCTTTCTACTGGCGTTCATCTTGGCGGTCCATCTTGCATGGGGTGGACATTGCCAGAGCTTCCCATCGCTTTACACGCTATTCAAGCTTCATCATCAACATCTTGGCGATATGCTTGCTGAAGGCTGAAGCCACACTTTGCCTCTCCCCGTGTGGCCTTCATCCTATCCCCTTCCATCGAGCCCCTCCTCACAAGCACAAGCTCACAAGCCCCTCTTCACAAGCCCCTCCTCCCCCGCAAAACCCGCAGGAAGCCGCTAGGTTCCTCCTCTCAGGCGTTGATCTCGAGGTCTTCTGGGGAGAGCCAGCCTCTCGAGGAACGCCCTCAGAGCTCTCCTTGAAACTCAGACGTACATTCCAACCCACAAAAGTACCCCTCTCCCTTTGATATTGACCACCACCCACAAAGATAAGCTTAGCAAACAACCATTCAAAGACCTCGAATCATCCAAATTCAAAACACACCTCAGTTCAAACACCGATGATGGATCCCCAAAATCACACCCGCTATTCCGCTATGCATGACGAACTCCACCTCGAGGCGCAGCACACCCGCCAAGACTTCGAAATACGTTCCCCTTATCGCGATGCTGCGAACATCCCAAAGCTTACCTCAGTACTTTCATTCCGAAGCAATGGCTATGCATACCAAGAGCCTTGGCCCAGCTGGACAAGGAACTCCTGCAAAGCTGACAGCAGCAAATACAAGCTGCTTGGGTCCATGACCTCGAATCGTGATCGCAGTACTGTTCCGGACAAAGCAAAGCAAGACCTTTTCCTCGTAGTTTTCTGGGGCTCGGCAAAAGTATGATTCGTAGATCTGTACTTCGTAAATCTAGAAGACGCATGCTTACAACTTACTTGCTCATTTTGTAAGCTCTTTGAGAGATGTGGTACGTTTTCAATGTACCTATAGATGTAGTTGCATTAGTGATGTGTCATTTCCACCAGATAGCTGTACAACATCGGTAATGCGAAGTAGTTTATGACATATCCTTGGACTGTAGTAGGCGTTTGGCTCCACGTGCCTCCAACTAAACGGCTTTGACGGAAAGTATGTGGATAAATGGATAGACAACTGCATAAAGACGCAGTGTGATATGCAGCCTTTTCTTATCTTTACCCAATAACCCTGCATTTGTCGAAGTTCGCGCGGGTATTCTGACTTCAGCACATATGCACGAACAATATACGAGGCTGCAAAGACGTGATACTCCCGAGCTTTTACGTTTTATATCTCAGTACAAACAATATTTTACACTCATCAAAACTGCCCATCGCTATCATCTCCTCCTCCTCTGCATAATGGCTAAATTCGCTCTCGCTGACGTTCCGTTCTTGTGTACCAAATTCCTCCGCTCCCAAACATTACTCTTGCCCTCTACAACACTGATGATTTCCTCGGCAAAGCGTTGAGCAAATTGGTCCTTTCCGCTGCCTCGTGATTTCTTCTTGTTTGCCGAGTCTAGGATCCATTCTACAGCCTGCCGTCTCCTTTGCCGTAAGCCCAAGGGGACGGGGATCTGTAACGCGGCACCACCTCCGGCGGCGCCCTTTTGCGAGCGGATGCGGATCAGGGGGGCGATGGAATCGATGGCGAGAGTGAGGTAGCCGATGGGGTTGAGAGGTAAGTGTGAGGGATGGGGAGAACCGGGAAGGAGAGGACGAATTGGATTAGGCGTAGGGGGAGGAGCTGTGCGGAGGTAGTTTAGAATGAATGCCATGTTCTATTATCAAGGCAAGTTGGTTAGTATATGAGTTCAAAAGGGTCTGCGTAGGAACGTAGTCAGGCAGCGCAGAATGAAAATAAGGAGAAACTGACGAGCCTACCCTTTGGGCAGCGCTCAGCTTGCCATGCTTCATCAAGAGATTCGTAACTTGATTAATGACTGGGTCGTATCGGTAATGAAGGTTGCTAGTAGGTGGCAATGGCAGCTCAGGCAAACCGTATTTATGGCCAATGGTGGTTACGGGATCTGATGCTAGGCCACCGTTTGAGATGTTCTCCATCTGGCCCAATGCAAGCAGGTTCTCGAAGGTCATTGTCTCTGCGGAGGCTTTGGCCCCACCTATCTCCTCCTTAATCACGTCAGGAGCATTGTCCTTGCCCTCTTGGTCGCGCTTGAGGATCTGTAGATGGTAGTCAGTAGAAGATTTCTTGCAGATACGTCATGGTATGATTTGCAGCTGCAGCAGAGCAGCAGAGCTTCCATACGTACTTCTTGCACAGGTGTCCCTTGTCCTACATCTGGCTGTGTTTCCCCCTTCACTTTGCCATAGTCTCCTGCCTCCTCACTCACAGGTGGAAGACCACTTTGATTGGGGCCACCTGGTGGCTGTTCCTCTTTCTCCGTATAGCCTCTCCGCGCGATGACCTGTGCAATTCCGGGTTGGCGTAGGGCAACTGAAGGCCTTGACCGTATCGCAAGGGACCGGCTGGCGCCATGGAAGTTCAATCGTGGAGGCATGGCGATGGTGCTTGTTGGTTGACTCTTCAATGTCGTTCGGAGACGAAGGCAAAATTCCCGAACTAGTGAGTTCAGGGCCTGACAAGGCAAGCGCCGTCACAAAGCCCAATCAGGCGAAGGCCCCTTTTCACAAGCAATTTGAGAACCTTTGGAAAAATCCGCAAAGTCCAATAAAATACCCAAAGGATAAATAATAGTTCTTTTTAATACACTCTTAGATTCTGTATCATTCAGATATGATTTCGTTGTGTTATGGCCTGTGTGGTGATTAAATTAGGGAGCCCCGTTAACTATCAGGGGAATTTCAAGGTAGATCGGTACAAGTACGGAGGTACAGAGACCGGGATGTGGGGTTGGTGGGGATCTCTGTACCACCTTACATCTTGTGCGTGTCCCGGAGTCATCTATCTCTACCACATAACAACATCGTAAACGAAGTCTGCAAAGCCTCCTATATCTCAAACTTTTCCAGTCATTTCCAAATGCTCGAGCTTCCTGACCGCGAAAACTCTAATAGTATCAGTATACTGGTACTATATACGGTAATCTCTGTAGCTGTATAAGAAGACAAAGTAGTAATCAGAATCTAGAACTTTTCTGTCCCATCTGCAAGACGTTGCCCAAAAAAAACCTTTACATTTCGAATGAAATCTGTCATCGTTCCCAGCGCTTTTCGCTGTCCTGTGAAGACCTAGCAATATCCGACGCCGAAGACATACACATTGCGCCAAACCCATGCCAATACCATACATATGGCGAGCCCTCCAACCCTTATATCCTACAGGCCAACATCTGTGTTTCAGAATTCGCCGTGAAAACCAGTTTCCTGGGCTCTTTACCATCCCGCTCGACTCTGCGAAGGGGAGCTTGGAGTCGATCCGTTCAGATGCTTCAAGGCAACCTCCGCAGCATCCTCCTTCGCATTGTGTACATATTGTCCATCATACCAATATCGAGCGGAGATATGTTGTCCTTGGACAGTGACCGTGCTAGACCATGCTGTGCGGCCCCCTGATTCGAATATTAGCCAATTGGCCGTTTCTGGGTGGTTTTGGAGGAAGGATTGCCATACCACGTCTATCAGATACAATCTGGAAGACAGGCGGATGGATTTGTGCTTCACGGCACTTTTCTGATTCTAATTGTCAGCACAGGGGTTGAATATATGGGAAGCTTCTTTACCTTCGAGCTTATCTTGCCAAGTTGTAGCACCAGAACTATAGCTTGAGTAAGACATGTTCTTGAAAAATGGACTTTCGATGAGATAGATATAGAGTTTTGTAAAGCTTGGTATGTTGAGGAGAAACAGTGGTGGGGTAGGTACGGATATGGCGTTATGTTTTGCAGGAAGCAGTTGCTCGATGGAGTTCTTATAGGTAGATCTCTTGCTCAAGAACGGCCTGTAGAAGTTGGTGTGAGGTAGTGAGGTGGCAGTTGAACTATCAAAATAATAGGAAATGAGTAGTAAAAGGTTGCTGCGTTTGCACCACCCCCATTGATCCATGCAACACGGCAACTAGACTCAACACTGTTTCGGAATAATGCATTTGGAAATATGCATTTGAAGAAGTAACGTCGATCACCCGAAAGAAATATAGGGCCGCCAGTGTGTGCTGTCTCCAGCGGTGGCATCACAGCTCATGTACGACGGTACCGAGTGACTTCGGCAAAAAGTGAAAAAGCAAATATCAGGGCTTGAGACAAGTGAAGCTAGTGGAGATGCAAAGCCAACGCTGCAAACTATTACAGCCATTTGCAGCCAGAGTCGTCATAGGAACATGGGGCCTTGGGAAAAAAAGAGCAAGGTGCAGTTGGGCAGATGGATGAGCAAGTAGGGCGTGGAAGAGGGAGACTTGGGGGAGGATATGATAGGAAAAGCGCACGTCTCATATGAAGGACCGAACACGAATTATAATATGCGCTGCAGCACGCCAAGGTCAAGTAGGTAGGTTGCAGAGCTAGCACCTTCCATAGTTTCGAGGTTTGTCCTTTTGGTAATCTCTGGGGATATAGTTTGTTTTTCCAAAAAGAGCAAAATACGTTTACATTACGTACCCCGGTCTCAAACCCCCAACATCGAATCGCAGAGCGCCGCTATTTGGAACCAATAACAAAAAGCCCGCTATCGATCGAATGAGCCCTTGCACACAGTGGTTGGACCAACGATGTCTTGAAGATTCTGGAAACAAGATCTGTTACCAGGACTAGAGTTGGTGTCCGAGACGTCTAAGAAAGCTACACAGCAGGGGGCGGGTGGCTACATTTATACGACGAACTGCGATTAACCGTCGAGGATGAAGCTCCTTGATTCGAGCGAGGTCTGTTGGTAAAGCGGAGGATCCCTTGCACTGGTGACTTTAGATAGGTACCAATGTACCATACGATGATCAGCCCTGCGACCTGCGTACCCATCCAACGGAATTTATATTGCCATCGTGACCAGTCTAGTGCTTTACCGCTATGTCATTCTGCAAGTAAGGAACCCGACAGACCGGAAAAGAAAGGACGATCAAAAGTAAACCCATTTCTTGATTGTTTGGAGTAAAAAGTCTGGCCACTTCTGCATGGCTCCAGAGGAGACAACTGATGAAAACGCCATACAAACGCGCAGTCAGAGATGAACAGATTTTACTGTCTCGGAGACAAGTCGATGCTGTCATATGAGAATACGGAGTATGATTCGGAGCATCATTAGGTAGCGATCTAGCTTCTTGATTCCTGGGTAATGGGCCTCTCGGATGGTCCCCGCCATTTCTCCATCGCCAACCCAAAGTAATATCTAGCATTGAGATCCTGCAGGATCAAAGGTGCCAAAAATACACGGTTTCCAATCAGTGAGGCATGCCCAGTTTTCAACGAGACGGTAATATATAATGCGTGGCGACGTGAGAGAAGGCCAAGTAGTAAATAGCAGCCTTGCTGCGCGTTTTCAGACAGCCTTGATTATGACCAACGCATCGATAGAGTATTGCTGCCCAAGTTGTATTAGAGAACTTTCGATCTGGCGAGAGCGGGACAGAAGTAAGCGTATGGTGTGACAGCAGGAGCGTATGCAAGTGTTTTGGGCCGGTTTTTAGATATGATGATAGTGGTGCCAGGAACGAACTTTCATGTACCGTACGTACTGCCTCACTTGGGCATTGGACCTGAATATCGGCTGGGGGGGGGGGATGTACACGTGATGGGACTGCAGTCTCGTACAAATGAAAACTGCTTGACCTCGGTGACAATTGTGATGATAGGGGAGGATCCGGTAGGCATAGTATTAGTGGGCCTAGGTACGTAGGTACATAGGTACATAGGTACATAGGTACAAGATGAGTAATCGTCTAGAAGCACAGCACAAGCACAAGCACAAGCACAGGCACAAGCACAAGCGCTAGCGAATCGGCAGCTTTTTAGCGACTGCCTCGGCCAGGAAGCGGGTATAGACTGTGGGGAAATGGCGGATTGGAATGTCTACTCTACTCTAGAACCAAGAACAAACATTAACGATGTAAAGTGAAGCCTTGTTTCATACACAATAGACAACCTCAAAGAAGCACAGTCCGAAAGAATAGAATTTTATATCCTCCTTGCTTTCACTTCACAGCTATCCCTTCACTGCGAATAGATCCTCAAGATGCCTTTCAATACGAAGTTAACCCGAGCTTTGGGAATCAAAGGCAAGTTCCACGTCCACGTCTTCACTTACACCCGGAATGCTAACTTAAATTCGCAGTCCCCATTATACAAGGTGGCATGCAATGGGTAGGATACGCTGAGCTTGCATCTGCCGTCAGCAATGCAGGTGGACTGGGCATCCTCACAGCGCTCACCCAGCCTACTCCCGAAGACCTGCGAAAAGAAATCCGAAAATGCAGGACCATGACCCAAAAGCCCTTCGGCGTGAATATCACTCTCCTTCCAGCCATGACCCCCCAGATTACGGAGCATATGCTCAAGTGGCTATCGACGAGGGAATCAAGATCGTAGAGACTGCAGGAAACAGCCCCGGCCCCATCATCAAGCAGCTGAAGGCTGTGGGAATTATTATTTTGCACAAGTGTACCACGATCAAGCACGCACAGAGTGCTGTGAAGCTTGGCGTGGATTTCTTGAGTATAGATGGCTTCGAATGTGCTGGCCATGTTGGCGAAACTGATATCACGAACTTGATTCTACTTAGTCGAGCACGCCAATCCATCGGTATCCCATTTATTGCGTCGGGGGGTTTCGCAGATGGACAGGGTCTTGCTGCGGCCTTGAGTTTGGGAGCTGAGGGTATCAATATGGGAACACGCTTCATGTGCACGATCGAAGCACCTATCCACCAGAACATTAAGCAGTCGATCGTTGACGCTCAGGAGACCGATACTGAGCTTGTGTTGCGAAGATGGAGAAATACCAGTCGGCTGTTCAAGAACAAAGTTGCCAGCGAGGCTGTGAAGATTGAACAGGCAAGCACCACTGGAAAGTTTGAAGAAGTTGCGCCGTATGTAAGCGGTAAGAGAGGCCGAGAGGTATTCATCAACGGTGACCCTGAGTTCGGGGTAAGTATCATTCCACGTCTGCCTTGATGTTGTACTGATATGTCTGTAGGTTTGGACTGCTGGCCAGGTCATCGGCCTCATCCATGATATTCCAAGCTGTGCTGATTTGATAGGTCGCATTGAGCGGGATGCTGAGCAGACTTTGAATTCTGCTTCTAGCCTGATTGTCCCTTCAAGCAAGCTATGATTATTTAATAATGCTTGAATGATTTACTGTCTTATAGCCTGCATGCAAATGCTATAATATCCTATTTTAAGTGAGACTCAGGACGTTCACATGCAATTGGACCTGTCAAATAGGGGTCCGACCAACACCTGGCTCGACACGTTGAAGCAATAATCTTTTCAACACAATACTTAATCCAACCCTCATTTCATATCAAACACTCCAATCAATCCACCCCGTATTTCCAAATCTCCCTTCCGGCGTTTGGAACACCTTCCCCGGCTCATCATAAACTGCCCACTGCCTATCCGTCAACTGCACATCAAACAACGCGCTCGCCCTCCCACTAACATTATACCCCGGCCCATAATTCTTATATTCGGCCTGCAACGTCAGATTCGGTGTATACCGCGCCGGGACCCAATCTATATAGCCCGTTGACAGGATTGAATTGTCAAGGTAGGTTCGTGCAAAGATGGCGCGCATTTGCGCATTCTGTTTCCTCTCGTTAGTCAAGCGTGGAGTTTGGGTACGGGGGAAGCTTGCCCATGGCCGACCAAGAGCACATTTCCCTACGATGTTCAGAGATGAATTCGCGGCATGGACGTTGGAATCTACAATGTAGACACCGTATTTATTTATAAAGGTAGTGTTCGATCCTTTCCACGCCGTGATTCCCCCACCGCAAGAGCGGAGAGCAATGGAGGTCTTCTCTACCCATGCGGTACCGAAACCGTAGAAAAAGTCGGTCTGGCCTGCTACTTCGCCATTTTTGAAATAAGCGTTTCCTAATTTACCTACATAAATCTGTTTCTAGGGTTAGGATGTTGGCTGAGAAGGGCTTGGTTATGGGGGATTACGGTATCTTGATAGCTGTAGAAGCCGGTGTAGTAGAAACCTCCATTGGCGCGGCTTATACTCAGTGCTAGGGATGGAGTGACAGCTACTTCTTGTCAGCTGTTGCTCACAACTATTTGCCCTACTTTGAATCAACAGTGTTTCAACTTACAGTAAGGCGCATAATCATTTATGAAGTTCAGATTATACGTCCTGAAATCCACACAGCCAAACGGCGTATCGCTAGGCACTGCAAACCCCGTAGCCACTTCCAGTGAGAGACGCATTGAGTGTCGGCGCGACTGTCAGTGTGCTGGTGTAGGCATTATCTCCTGTTCCTGCTACAGCTGCCCATATTATGTTCACCGTGTTGTAGGACTGGTCTTTGGGGTGAGATGTCTGACCCAGGAGGTATGTTGGTCCTCGTCGCGTGACGTTTACTTGCTCCGTGTAATTACCGGAGGCAATAAGGATGGTGTATGTATCTATTCAAGAATTAAAACATGGCTCGTTCATTTTATTTTCAGGTGCTCTTACCCGTGTTATTTGGCAAAGAAGCAACAGCTAACTCTCATTATCAATGACGCCTGTCTTCTTGGTAGTAATTGACAACATACCAGATTGCACACTCCTAAACCTCGTTCCGTTGCCCAACCCATCTACGAAGACCGTTCTGCTACCCTCACACCCATCCAATGGATTCCTAGTCCGCGATTGACAAATTTGGCGATCATTTTCATTGCTGATATCCCAAGCCCAAATACTAGAAATACATGCCGTAAACAGAAGTAAAACTAACGTCCGGAATGAAGCCATTTCGCATTGACACTCGACGTAAACGAGAATGAGAAAAATGTAGTGGTCATAACTTCATAAACAATTATAACAAAATTCTCTTGTGCCTAGTAGCGGAAGAATTAACTGCAGGCAAATACCCATGTCCAGTTTCCCCTCCTGCATATCCGGCCCCAGGAACCAACCGGCACAAATATGTTCCAGTGCGATTCAGAGCGCTGCATGAAGGTGATGTGAACTTGCTGTTGAAAAGGTGGAGAAGATGCGGAGGCTGGAGAAAGATTTTGCGGGGGAGGTTTTGCCGCCAATAAGGTGCCGAGGTTTATGAAGTGGCTGACATTCGAATATTGTCAATTTTAGTTATTAAATGAAAGGAGTATTTTGCAATGTTTTTTGTATTGAGATTCCTAGTCTATTCCGCGACCCCATCAGCACAGACCCAAATTTCAAGCCCAGACCACAAACCCCAGTAGTGTAACTACCAGAAAGCATCAAAAACCCGTGCATCTTCTGCCCTGCTTCAGAAAGCATGCAAACGAAATGAGATACTGAAAATCCATATCTGTGCCAATTTCCAATTCATTTCCACATATGTATGTGAGATAATGAACCGAAAAGAGCATCTGCGAAAAGCTACTGAAGCTATGCTGCAAATGCGACACAAAAGTGTAGTCTATGAATACATTGATCGAATAGTCTGTCCATGGGGTTCTATTCGTTAAAAAGAATAAAGAAAAGCCCTGGCAAGTCTGTAGCGCAGGAGCAGACCAAAGCACCCGTCAGTTCGAAAATCGAAGAGTGCTGCCGCCAAAGAGAGCGCAAAAACTTTTCCGGGCCCAGTTGCCACTGTAACCGATTGAGAGACGTTATGTGAAATGTGTACGAAGAAGGATTAGTCGAAGTGAAGGTATATTGGGTATCGTTTGTTCCGAAAAGAGTGGGCAATCAAGCCTTCTCTTCGGATTTCTCGCCTTCCTGCACTTCACCACCCTCGCCCTCTCCATCAGCACCCTTGTTGTTCTTAACGTATTCATCGTAGACGTTGAGAGCCTCATCTACCTTGGCCCGAAGAGCAGACTCATCCTCGATCCTGAGATACGTTAGCAAGCGACATTATTAATGGGGAAAAGGGTACTTACAGATTGACCAATTCAGAATTCTCCATCTCCAAAAGCATACCGGTGATCTTTCCTGCCAATTCTGGCTGCATGACTTGGATCTTGGGGAAGAGAGCCTCACCGAGAAGCTGTTTCTGTTGCGCCTGGGGAACAGTTGCAAGGTGCGATTGGAAGGCCGAAGCACCGGCATCAGCGCCAGGAGGCCCCTGAGGAGGCATGCCACGTCCAGCTTGAGGAGGGAAGCCACCTTGAAACTGTCCAGGACGACCAGCTTGGGCACCACCTCGTCCAGCAATACCTCCCTGTCTACCCCCTTGAGGGAAACCTGGAACCCCTTGCTGACCGACAGCTTGAAGAGGAGCCATGTTGGGTGGCATACCTGGTAAGTTTGCCATTGGTCGAGCACCTGGTCCTCCGCGACCACCCATAAGAGTAGCAGCTTGCTGAGCCTGTTGCATCGCAGCAATAAACTGAGGGTTATTCTGCTGGTATTGTGCTCCGCCAGGGAATTGGCCGGGCATTCCATACATGTTGGGAGGAAGTTGCTGAGGGCCTGGGCCACCGCGACCTTGTGGAGGGAAACCACCGGCAAATTGACCAGGGCGGCCACCTTGAGCACCAGGAAGGGGCATGCCAGGTTGAGGGAAAGGCATACCGCCACGTCCACCAGCCTGTGGGATGAAACCGGGCTGTTGGCCAGGAGGATAAAACATGGGAGCTTGCATGTACTGTTGGGGCATACCTGCAGCGGCGGCGGCTTGCTGCATACGGATCTGGTTGCGAGCTTGAATGCTGGCCTCCAGCTGGCTCTTTCGAACATCCTTGCGCTGAGCAAGAGCAACGTAAAGTGGCTTTCCGTTGACCATACGTTGATTCATGTCAGCGACAGCCTTGGTGGCCTCATCGGGGTTGTTGAAGCAGACGAATCCGAAACCTTTGCTCTTGCCCAATGTACGCTTCTCGGACTTGGATGCATCCTTTTTCTCGGAATCCTCCTTTTCAGCCTCGGCCTCGGCCTCGGGCTCCTCACTCTCATCTTCCTTCTTATTCTCCTTGTTCTTTTCCTCTTCCTTCTTCTCAGCCTCGGCAGTCTCGGCAGCGGAGTCACGCATGACCTTAGCAGAAGTGATCGCGCCAAAAGGTGTGAAAAGCTCACGAAGCTTGTCGTCATCAACTTCGTCGTCGAGGTTCTTCACATAGAGGTTGACACCCTGGTACTTGGATGCTTTCTCAATGCGAGCGGCCTCGTAGGACTTGCGAAGCTCTTCCTCACGCTCGTGCTTCTTCTGTGCACGGCCAACGTAGAGGTCTTGGCCCTTGAAGTCCTTTCCGTTCAAGTCATCAACTGCAACGGAGGCATGCTCGTGGTTGATAAAGTTCACGAAACCGAAGCCGCGGCTCTTGCCGCTCTCCTGATCACGAGCGAGAGATGCAGATGTAACATCACCAAACTTTTCGAACAGCTCACGGAACTCTTCATCAGTAACCTCGGTAGGGATATTCTTGACATAGATGTTTGTGAAGTTTGCCTTCATTTCCTCGAACTTGCTCTGGCGGTCCTTCTTGGGGATGTGGTGACCAACGAAAACCTTCTTCTCATTCAAAAGCATGCCATTAACGTGCTTGATAGCTTGGCTGGCAGCCTCATCAGTCTCGTAGTGAACGAAACCGTAACCCTTGGAGGCTCCAGATTCGTCTTGCGCGACCTTGCAGCTCAGAATGTTACCGAATGCGGCAAAGGTATCATGAAGAGCCTTGTTATCAATAGCAGTGTCCAAGTTCTTGATGAAGACATTGCCTTGGCCAGTCTTTCGGAGAGCGGGATCACGCTGAGACCACATAATACGGCAGGGACGACCTTTGATGAGAGTGTAGTTCAACTCCTCGAGAGCCTTCTCGCCATCGGCAGTGGTGTTGTAGTTGACGTAGGCATATCCGAGGGAGCGGCGAGTCACGGCATCACGGCAGACACGGATGGAGGCAACAGAACCAATTTGAGAGAAGAGCTCGAAGAGCATAGCCTCGGTGACGGAAGGGTCGAGCTCGCCGACATAGAGGGAGGCAGAAGCTTGCGGATGGGGAGCGGCAGAGCTTGGGGTAGGTCCAGCGGTATCAGGGTCCTCTGATCCGACGGTGGAGACATCAGTGTTGATGGCGGTGGCGCCATTTGCGTCGCCGCCATTCAGAGAGGCCTTGTTAAGGTCGGACGCCAGCTGGTCGACAGCAGGGGATGCGGTAGCGGCAGACATCTTGAGTATTGCTATGTTATGTTAATGCAATTCTTTTAGTGTGCAAGTGAATCAGATGTCTCGCGAATGCGTAGACACATATAGAGAAAAGTTGGCGGGAGTGTAGCAGAAGAACCGGTGAATGGAATGAACAAGTCCAATTGAGTGGCCTTACTTACGTCGAGATGTCTTTGTTGGAGATACAATCGCAGACTAAATGTTCCGTACAGAACTGAAAGAGGGCGATGTGCGGGTGAAGGTCGTTGGACGGTCGAGGCACAAAGGCACAAATATGCAGCGGTTCGGGGAGGAAGATGAGGTGGTTAACGTTCGAAGATATCGAGCGCGATGTGAGGTTTTCTGGGATTTTCTGATTTTTTTTTGCCTCGTGATGAGGGGTTTTCTGAAAGGGAAGAGGGACGAAGAACGAAAAAGCACGAATATCGTACTTTACCGCGGGTTCAAATGGTGTTGTGGATTGTGGGTTGGAGAGGAAGGAGGGAGATTATTTAGAGGCAACAAAGGCAACTTCTTCAGGAAATTTTGTGTCCTGGCCCAAACAGGGAAAGTGCGATAGGTCGGTTGGTAGCCTGGTAGGTAAGGCTCCACATACATCTCATGGGCAATTATGGCTGCTGTTCCTCAGGCGGCAAGGCACTTACATATGCCAACCAATCACTGATTTGCTAGTGGAACCCCTGTATGATTTATCCACTTAAAGCGGCATGTAGTTCAGTCAAAGCAGCGAGAGCGGGCCCGGAAGGCTGTACTCGAGCTCGAGTACCAGTGGTGGACCTGGTATGAAGCACAGCACAGTAATCCATCCATACCAGGCTGCACTTGTATTCGCCTTCACCCCCACCAAGAAACCCCGTCCCCGTCTCGTTACGAAGAAAAAGAACCGCATAGAAAGTTTGCAAGGAAATCAGATATTTGAATCACTCGTTATTCCCCGCGGCCAACTCCTACTTCAGATACCGTAATACACCTTTAACAGATTCGTTCGCTTCTGGAAGGCTCCCCGGCATGTCTCATGCTCGTGCAAGATAAGTCACAGGCAGAGAAGACCACCAAGAGGCAAACCTTCGTTCGAGATGTTTCAAACTTTCAGTGGCAGCTCTCGTCGTCCACGCCAAGTCAATCTCTCGGGCCAGAATCTAAATCCATTTACTGCGAGCTCTTGGTCTCCGTCTGCTGCTGGAACCCAACAGACTGTTGCGAATGCTCAGCAGGAAAGGCAGCAACGACAACAGGAGCGAGAACGATTGAATGCTTCAAGAACACTGCAGCGGGCATGGCGAGGACATAAAGTTAGGACGGAGCTGGCAGATACGCGGAGACGATCCTGGGACAAGTCCAATACCGAGCAACTGAGCTCTTCGGGGGCGGATTCAGTACTGGCAGAGCAGTTGCGACTTATTGTAACATTCTTCAACCATCGACGGCGAGATGATCTGGACCGACTAGTAAACCTCAGCCAAAGGATATCTCACGCCGGGTTTGAGACATTTTTGGCTCGCCACGATGTTCAAACTCGACTGGTTCGACTGGGAAACATTGCTCTTGAGGCTCTGCAAGTGTCAGTCTTGCACTCTGCTGGTTGGAGATCAAATGCTAACTATGTACACAGTTTACTCCCTCGATGTCCACCCACACTTCTTCAGCTTCTCATCGCTAGCATCAATAGAAGGCCAGAAGGCTTTTCACATATATCTCGAACTTACTACACCTTCCTCTCGTCACTTTGTTGCCAAACAAAACCCGAAAATATCGATAAAGGTCTAATACTGACTGCCATAAGGATCCCTTTGATCGAGCAAATAGAGTTGGATAAGACCGGTGCGTACCTTTTATCGAAATACTTCCTTTTGGGTGGAGCTGACAGGTTAATAGATGATCGCGTTTTGAATTCATATGCCGCATTTGCACTATGTTTCTTGACGACACCAGACTTAGCAAACGTTTTAGGGGGTTTGGAAGGATTAGCAGCAGTCGTCAATATTAGCCAGGTATCCGCAGCTCTTGTTCGTTCCCTATCTTCGAACCCAGCTGTACGAGTTGAAAATAATGGCAGGCTTTGGCTCCTGGCCCATTTCATCTCTCTAAATCGGCTTCAGCGGAGAGATACGCAAGAGCCGAACTTCCTGAGGGCATTATCGATCCAACTGTCAGATTGCTCTGCCGACATTGTTGGCCGAATCGATGCTACAGACCCAGAGGCATTGCAAGAGTCTGCTAATGGAGATGCCGAGAAAGATGCCATTTCACCTTTACCAGACTTCATAAAAGCCGAATTTCTCTCCTTGGTCAACAAAGCTAGCATTACAGGTCTGTTGGCCAGGTTCAATATCGACTATGCAAAAGCGTCTGCGATCGGAGAAGAAGATGCGAGTTTACTGGCGAGTTATGCCCTAACTCTACTAAGGATATTTCCACGCCGTGGGGATGAGATTAGAATGTGGTTGTATCTTGGCTCCATGAATACGTCAAAGGGAGTGCAAATCCCTGCTTTGAAGTTCTTTTGGCAAGCTCTGATCTCGACCAACATTTTCGCGGTTATTAGAGGCGACTCGAAAGCTGCCTTGGCAACCTTACGACCCCAAACACAACAGCAATCCGCGTCGGTAGCACCAAGTAACATGGCTCAAGACCGGGAATGGCGGACAGTGTTATTATTTCTCGAGCTTTATACATTTGTCCTTAGATTTACCGATGATGAAGAGTTCTTGAGTGCAAGTGAACCACGTTTCGGGCGCACTGCGGAACCAGTGTCTCATATCCGTGCAAGCGCTCTTCCTATTGAAGATGTAAAACAACTCACAATATTTCTCAAAAACTTAGCGTTCACCACTTACTACAACGCTGGAGAGTTAGCTGATGGCGGCCAACAAGATGCAGGTCTGGGCGCATATTTTGGAACACCAGCAGGCTCACGATTCCAAATCCAAGAGCCCGAAGAGAAAAATAAGCATGTTGCACCTCGACCATTTGCAGGCATTGCTGGTATGACGTTTAACTATGTGAGAACTATCGTCACGGGAGTCATGCGTATGCTTTATGAACGAGATTCCAGGCGCCACTTCTTACCTAAAGGTCACTGGCTAATGACATCTCGATTTGATATGGAAGGTTTCATTCCTGCTGTGGTCATGGAAGAAGAGCGGCAGCACGAGGTCAGAGAAGAGGGTGACGACGATGATCACGATCCTGAGGATGAAGAGGATGCTTTCGGGACGCGACGTGACATGGGTCTTGTAGGCATGTCTAGGCCAAGACGGGCTGTTCAGATCGAGCAAATGAGAAAGCAGCAACAAAAGGCCGCTCGACAGAAAGTCCTAGCAGCTGTCGGACCAAGACTCGAAGTGCTACAAAATATGCCCTTCGTTATTCCGTTTGAAACCCGCGTTCAGATATTTCGACAGTTTGTACTTCTCGATCAAACACGCAGACGAGATGGCATCGTGGACCCCGATGCGTGGCGGATGGCAATGAGCAGCCAATCCCACATGGCGGCGAGACGCAGAGTATCTGGAAATGAACTGCTTGGCCGACATCATGCGAAAATTCGTAGAGACCAAGTCTTTGATGATGCATACGAACAATTCTACGACCTAGGCGAAGGGTTGAAGGAACCAATCCAAATCACCTTTGTGGACCAATTCGATACGGTCGAGGCTGGTATTGATGGTGGCGGCGTCACCAAAGAATTCCTCACAAGTGTTACAAATGAGTCGCTGCGTGGGGAGGAAGGCCCGAACTGGTTTATATCTAATGACCAAAACCTCCTCTACCCAAATCCTGCCGCTTTGGAGGAGCGTAAGGGATACATGAGAACGGTGGGGATAAAGGAGTCTTCGCCTGAATGGCGCGAGAATATCAAAGAGTTATTGAGACGATACGAGTTTTTAGGCCGGATTGTAGGGAAGTGTTTATATGAAGGCATCTTGATTGATATCAGCTTTGCAGGTTTCTTTCTCCTCAAATGGGCTGCTTCTGGAGCTGCTGGGACGGAATCGGGATACCGTGCGAACATCAATGACCTTCGAGATCTTGATGAGAGCCTGTATCAGGGTTTGCTGAAGCTGAAGAATTATCCTGGAAATGTTGAGGACTTCTCTCTTGATTTCACCATCACAGACACAATCTCAATGCTCGGTGAGCCTACACAAACAATCACGAGGGAGCTCATGCCAAACGGATCAAATATTGCCGTTACCAACGAGAATCGGCCGCTGTATGTGTCTTACGTAGCACGGCATCGACTCCAGGTCCAACCATACCACCAAACTCAAGCTTTCCTCAAAGGCCTCGGAGAAATCATCAAGCCATCATGGCTGTCGATGTTCAATCAATCTGAGCTGCAAACTCTAGTCGGTGGAGACTCGTCTCAGATAAATGTTGAGGATCTAAGACGAAACACGCAATATGGAGGTGTCTATGTGATCGGTGATGACGGACTCGAACATCCAACTATCCAACTCTTTTGGAAAGTGATGAAGGAGCTCGACGATTCGGATCGCCGAAAGGTCTTGAAATATGTCACCTCGACTCCAAGGGCTCCATTGCTCGGCTTCTCGCAGCTCAATCCCCGATTCAGTATTCGCGACGCTTCAAGTGACGAGGAGCGATTACCTAGCACCAGCACGTGCGTTAACCTACTGAAGCTACCAAGATATTCGACTGCAAAGATACTGCGAGACAAGCTTTTGTACGCTGTTAACTCGGGGGCCGGATTTGATCTTAGTTAGATAGAGGTTGTGGGATATGATGCATATGAAGAAGGCGTTCAAGGTCTTGGAGCCATAACATGTGAGCGCTGTAAAGGCGTCCGGAAAACCAGGCTATATAGTAAGGGCTGTGCGTAGAAGAACACTATTCAAAAGCTCAGAATACTCATAATCTCTGCTTTCTCCGTGAGAGCTATGCATTGGAGTTAAGTGACTCGCCTTCTAAATTTCAGCTCCCGCAGTCATCGATTCTACCTAAGACGTCCGCGTATTGTCGCCTTCTAACATCTTTATTCAGCCCCCCACCTCCCCCTTTTATACCAACTCTTTCTTGTAAAACACAGTCCCCTCCAACAGCGTCTCATAATACCTCTCAGTCTCCACAAACCCCACACTCTCGTACAATTTCCTCGCCCCCACCATCCTCGGCAGCGTATCCAGCTTCATCTCCTCGTACCCCAGCTTCTCCGCCTCCGCAATCACAGCCTCAACCAGCGCACGTCCAATACTCAATCCCCGCGATGCAGGCATTAGAAACAGACGTTTGACTTCACAGGTTCTCCTTGCCCTCTCCTTCTCCCCTTCACTCTTTTCCTGACTTGAATTCAAACCCGAAGCAGAGACCGGGATCGGGTTTGCTGGTGGTGGTGGAGGTTTTGAAGGCAGAGGACGGAGAGCTACACACCCCACAGCTTCACCGGACTCCAACACAGCGAGTAACAGACAGCCGGTTGGAGGGCCGTATAGACCGGGTAGGGAAGCGAGTTCTTGCGCGAAGTTTTGGAAGGTCAGGTCGATGGCTAGCCAGGAGACGTAGGAGGTGAAGAGGTTGCGGATGGAGGATATGTCTGTGGGGGATGTTGCGTGGCGGATTGTGAAGGGTGGTATAGATGACATTTTTGGACGACTAGTTCGGGGATTTGGAAAATAGATGGATGGACCTTTCGGATTGATGGAGGAAGTAATGGGTGGGGGATGACTCAGTCAGTTCTTGCTTGTAATGAGCGGGGCACAACAACGCCCGGGATCTGGAGAGTGGTGTCCTACCTCGACGACCGCTGGAGCACTTGTCTTGTTTTCAAGGCTTGATGCTCTCCTTTTTAATTCTTCGAGGCTAATCACGTGTTAATGACTCACGTGCTCACCCTTATCGGCTTTTCTTCCTTTTCCTATTGCTCATCCAGAACACTCTTTAAGTCAGTCCAGACCGTGACTTTGATAGTAAGCGCCGATAGCCCAATGCATATTTCCCCGCGAGCTGAATTGCAACTTGTCTCTTGTTAGAGCCAATATCCCGGCTCCGTCGTACCTTACTTCTATTTGGCATCCCCTCTTATACGCGAAGAGCTCTCTCTCCAAGATGTCCCGCATCCTCAAACTGCTCTCCTCAGCCCCAATCGCCAACACCGGTTCCGTAGCCCGGGACCACCTAGCCAACGAACGAACCTTTCTCGCCTGGACACGTACCGGCCTCGGATTTGTTGCTCTCGGCGTAGCACTTGCTAAACTCGATGCTTTGGAAGCCTTGGCCCCAGCACTCAAACCCGATCACGGGGATCTGAAAATACAATCTGCTGCGTTGGTTGGAAGCGGTACGGGGTGTTTGAGTTATGGGACCATGAGGTATTTTTCTAGTTTGAGGTTGTTGAAGAAGGGCTTGTTCAGACCGAATATTGCTGGTATTGCACTTGTGGCTGCGACGAGTGGTGCGGTTGCTGGGGGTGGGATTTTGATGGTTGTTAGGACGGAGAAGGAGAGGTGAGCGAGTGGGTGATTTAATGAAGTTCGAGCTAGATCTTCGTGGGTGCAGACTGGATGAGTGATTTTGCGGTAATCAAAAGAATGGGTAATAAGTTGTAAATGTGTTAGACGGAGTAGGGCATTAAAGTTGCTAATGACGAGGGCTGCACTTTATGTCCAGAACAAGACTGTATATGTTATATCTCCATATAAAAGAGTAGATTTGAAGCTTCCATCGTGTATTTTCAACTCATACTCGAGTAGATAGGTCGTTCCTTGAACTTCCTTCCTCTCGTCCGAGCTAGCTATATACGCGCTAGAGGATTTGCCCGCTTGAAATATATCATCGATTCTTGTAACAGCAACTTAACTTAAGAAGCTTTATGCAAATATAGAAATCTTGTCATTCAAAGGGTCAACGGAGGAATCCCGGCTGCCTGGCTAGTTCTACGGTAAGTTCTCGGCCCCGTATCCCCCTTGGTGCATGCTCCGTATGCAAGACGCGGGACAACGTGTGGAGCTACGGAGTAGGTACTAGATAAAACCGATAGAGCGTCCATGTGAAGCTCTCCTCATTAATATATGGGACTCGTGCTCACCATGGGAAAAACCATACCCACTCTCAGGCTGAACAATGGGGTCCATATCCCGGCATTGGGATTCGGGACTTACAGTAATGAGGTTGTGAAAGGAGAGACACACGATGCTGTGATTACGGCTCTTGATGCCGGATATCGACATATTGATTGCGCTTGGTTGTAAGTCTGATCAGTGGGGAATTCATATAAACTTGAGTCTGATAAAAGCTACAGTTATCAGAATGAAGGTGAAGTTGGGTCTGGGCTTCGAGAATGGCTCTCGAGGAATCCAAACGTGAAGAGGGAGGACATCTTCATCACCACCAAAGTCTGGCAACATCTCCTTGAGCCTGAAGACGTCGAATGGAGTTTGAATGACTCTCTGAAGAATCTGGGTTTGGATTACATTGATGCCTTTTTAATCCATTGGCCGTTTGCAGTAGAGAGAACTGAAGGCCATCAAGTAAAACTCAGTCCCGATGGTAAAGTATGTTTTCAAGCTACCCAATTAATGCTGTAACTTAATACTAAAACTACCAGTACATTCTCAAAAAGCCCCTCACAAACAACCTAGAGCCTACCTGGAGAGCAATGGAGAAAGCCTTTAGAGCCGGAAAAGCGAGATCAATAGGCGTCTCAAACTGGACCATACCGCAACTCGAGCACCTCCTCAAGTACGCAGACATGACTCCAGCGATCAACCAAGTAGAAATCCATCCTTTCTTCCCCAACGCAGAACTCATCAACTTCTGCACCTCTCACAGCATTCTCCCCGTGGCTTATTCTCCTCTCGGGAAGATGAGTAGCCTAAGTATAGCCACGAACGCCGGATTCCTTGCGTTGGCGGAGAAGAAAATGGCGACGGTGGCTCAGATATTGATTGCGTGGGGTATCAAGAGAGGATATGCTGTTATACCTAAGAGCGCGAACGCAGGCCGGGTCAAGAGTAACTTTGAGTTGGTCGAACTAAGTGATGAAGAGTTTGAGGCTGTGAACAAGGTGACAGAGGGAAAGCATGAGCGATTTGTGAATCCGGTAGAGATTTTTGGTTTCGAACCTTTCCCAGCAGAAGAATCCAAATAGGTAGTTCTGATAGACTTCCCAGTAACTGTGGGTTTACTTACCTCAAATTGGCATATATCCTCGAGTTTGTAGTTTCTGCAATGCATTATTAGGGCACGGAATATCCATTCTTCACATGTAGTCGTATGAAAGAAAGTGTATCTGGCTAGGTAGTAATCACACATGATATTTCAACTCATCTTATGGGTGACACTCTTGGCTTACGTCTGGGCCATACGGGCTTACTTCCGCACCTCCTTCATCAAAACCTGATATTCTACATGTGGCAATTGACAACGCATAGAGTGTAGATTGTGGCAAACCTCGCAATTCCTTGATTACTTCTTATATTCCGAGATAGTTCAGATGCAGCTTTGGACAGCGCATACCAACAGCCCTGGCGTGTGACCACCATCTGTACGGCACCACATTTCTTTATACCTCACGCCTACGTAGTACTGAAATTCCCAGACCCAGGCTGTAAGGAGACAATGCCGAATCCGTATCGTACTTGAACGGCCCAGATCTCTGTTTTATGCAGTGTCATGTGGCACGGGCCGTAAATTTGGGACGTTGGTCGATCATGCTGTTGTGTACCGAAGAAGGACGACGGCTTGAGGAGTTATGGAGAATGCGTGCTGCATACTAACCCAACGAGATGTACATTGCAGATTGATCCTTCTAGTTAACATCCTCATTGTTGGCTATGCTGAGCTACTGCCGGATAAATCTTTCGGCCATGGCCAACCAGCACCTTGCTACTGTTGTTCTACTCTTGCTAATCGAAGAATTGAAAGTGGGGTGTTGTTACTTGAATGAATCAAAGATGGCGACCTCTGCAGGCTAGAAGAGACAGAATATCAAAACAACATTGTTCGCCCTTCAATTTTGGCCACGCTCAGCATCTGCAACGGACAAAGGAACTTCAGTCATCGCTGCCAAACGGAAAAGATGTCGCGCCTTGTCAGCATTATCGTAATCAACCGTTGCAGTATCTAGACATTATTAGCACTGTGCATTATTATGCATTTAATATGAGATACTCACGAAGTGTCGTTCTTCCATCAAATATTACCACCGAGTGCTTCTCCCAATGTACCCTTGCCTGGAAATCGTGCCCCATTCGTATATGATCCAGAAGATACTTGACAACGACCTGGGACTCTTCATCTTTCAGTCCGATGTACTCTTTTGGCCATTCCATGTTGATGAACAGTGCCTTTTCGCCCGTGACCGGGTGCTACAAATTCCCGGAGTTAGTATTAATTAAACGAGAAGGATATTTTGAAGTCTCAAGACTCCCGACAACTTTCCCAGGGTCCGAATTAGGAAATAGATGCTCGGAGAAGTTACTTACCACGCGGACAACGGGATGAACGGAGTCAATCGGGTCACTTCGAACCTGGCCTCTCGCTTTCCTCGCCATGCCGATCAAATTTTCTGATGTATGGACGGCCTGCATTCCGTTGATCATGTTTTGAAATGCTGGTGAAAGACGGTTGTAGGCTTCCGCCATGTCGGCAACGACAGTATCGCCGCCAACATCGGGGCAGGCTAAGATTCCAAGCATGATATATCCAGGCGGTTGCCGCTCGTAGCTCACATCGTGATGCCATATCGTACTCGTAGTCTTATGCTTGAAAAAGTTTGCAATCTCTTCCTTGTTACCATCTCGGTGGATGATGTGAAACTGTGGAAAGCCTTTAACGGCTCCTGTTACAGGCTGGTGGCTGAGTTTCCCAAAATACTCCATGAATTCAACTTGAAAGGCTGGCCCTTTGTGAAGGAAATCGGACTGCTCTCGGCAAACAACAACCTTTCGTTCCGAAACAAGAAGCGCCAGCTCATCTTTGGCTTCTTGCGAAAGATTATCAAGTTTGACACCCGTTAGAATGGTGCCCATTTTTGGAGTGATCGGGGTCGATTTCACTCCTTCGCTGAAAAGATGTGGTTTGCTCTGGTCCGCTCGGAGGGCTGGATCATGATATTCGAATATTGGAAAATCATCGAACCAGAGACCGCTTTCCCAGACCGGCAGGTAGTCCGGAAACTCAGTTCTCTCTTTGGTCCGAAGCTCATACTCGCCAGAGGGTGGTTTATAAGGCACATTGATGTCGTAGGAGATTTTTGGTTCCTCATAGGATCCAAAGTCCTGGTCGTCGGTTCGACTTGGTGCCATTGCAATGTATAACACAAATTGATCTTCGAGACTTCTGTTCTCTTTTGATTGGGAAATTTCTTTTTCAAATTTACTTCCAAAGTGTGGTACACACAAGTTATATATAGCATGGTCTGAGAGTTAGCCTGTGTGACAGGGGCGGTGAAGCAACTCATCTAAGCCGCTGTCAACTCACCAATTGCCGCAAACATGGGCAAGGCAAGGTGGCTTGAAAGTGAGGCGAGCTAGCATCAAAGCTCTCGAAAAATAATAACGTGGCCCCCAAGTAGATACATTGAGGTACTGATACAAGTTGCAAAATGGCTAGATTATCCGTCAATCGCTACTGAATACGGAGCATTGTTCATGTCTTAGGTATGCAGGGTGCCTGATATGTACGCCGGAGTTAGTTTCATTAGGCAAAGTCATTCAAGTGTATCAGCGAAACAAGAAAAAGTCCAGCCGTTTATTACCTAAACTTTCATCCACAACGCTTGCGTTCATCTGTTAGTACGAACTTTCGAAAGGTGGTTGGCAAGCCGTCGCTTGCAGCTCCACCCTCATGCGTCTGGCTTTAAGGGTGGGGTAATCCTGATGTTGTGCTGGCTAGATCAAAAATGGGGCTGCCCATGGATACGACAGTGTTCGCGGCGTGAAACTTCTACAATTGGTTGTATGCATCTTATACCCAGGTAGTACACCGGACTATAGGCCATCTGGTGGTCTGGTGATGCAGCTTCCATGACTGGCAGCTAGATCTCGAACTAGAGGGTGTTCCCGCCGCACGCCAAGTATACAGTAGTATTTTAATCCTATGCTATATGTCTCTTGCATGTCAAGGTGGAACGGACAGATGATCTTCCTAATGTTGAAAGCTGGTTAGAAAGTAGCATCCTTTTCAGCAGGGAAAGTCTGCACAATAAAGTTTGCATTGCCATTTGAGACAACATGTTCATCTGGGACACGATTTTTAGGAATAGTGATAAAGGGAACCAGTCGATGGAATCTTTTATGCTTCGACTAGGAGGAGTTTAGACTTAAGACTAGCTTTCAGGGCTCGCATTGATGTTTCTCGTCGGGATGCTGTATCAACGTTTGGAACTTTTGAGCGCGATGCCCAACATGCCCAAGAACTTGTTGACTGGGATGATCAATGTAGAAAAGGAACTGGCCATCATATAACACGTCAAGCTTACATCTAGCCTACCCATGCAGATACCATCAACCGCGCCGAGAAGGAAATGAAAAACAATTTCTTGATTGACTGCAAAGTTTCAAAATTTCAGTCTGAAGTGGCTTGCAAATCGAGGGGCATCTTCGGAGTAAAAGCCGAGAGGTTCCCAACGCCCAGAATGTCGGACGATTAAAGCTCCGCTAATACAGTATTGACTTTGGGGTGCGGCAAGCTGTAGGCTTTTGGTACTGTACACATTGCTTAGTCTGGCTGGGTATGGAGAGCAGTGCAGTGTTGTGGCATGCATGCATGGCACTAGCCAGAGGAGCGTTGGGTCTAAGACATGTGGGACAAGCATACATAGGGATAGGTCACATATAACTGTGGAACTGCTTGATAGGGGCGTCAAAATTGGACCGCGGCGACCTAATGTCCTCAAGGGAAGCAAACTTTGACCGCTATGAATGAGACTTTGCAAAAGGATTTCATGTCAAAGCTGCTGCTCAGGAATAACGTGGATGGTATGAGACGCAGTGCAGCATGCAATCGATCAATTAAAGCACTGGTTTGGAGCCAAAGTTGGAAGGGCGTGGGGATGTGCGCCGGATTGCGCAGGGTTGGTGTCGATGTTGATGGAGTTGGGAGAACTCAGACCGCCAAGAGGTTCTCAAGGGCTGTCACGTGAGACCACGGTATCTCCCTCTTGTGGAACACTCCTGCATATCTCCTATTCTTTTTCGAGATCTAGCATTCTTTCCTTTTCCAGTTGACTGCTACCATGGTATTTAAGAGATGGACGAGGTTCTACAGACATGAATCAAGTCTTCTCCAAGCTTATAAGCTTTCCTCGGCTATCACTTATCAAGTATGGAATGGTATAGAGTTAAAGGCAGCGAGGTGCTGTCTAGTTTTTCATAAAGCTATCAATCCAAGAATACCCCATACTACACCGAACAGCCCCAAATTAGTGTACAAAGCCTGCAAGATTATGATTCCCACAAGAGAGAACTGACGATCTTTCCGAGACAAATGGCTCACGAAAGGCCGAAGCAACTGAAGCCATTTATTGCTCGAGGTTTGCACTTGGTATATCCAATATTCGAATGGACTTGGGTTTGTCCATTTGTCCCAGTCTACCGTATCAAGAATTTTTGGCAATTCATCGACTCTCCAACGCCAATAAGGTGTCAGGTTAACGTTCCCTTCTCCTTCAAATGGTTGTTTCGACTTCATCCAATTGCGCCACCTCGTGATGTGCTTCACGGCTCTTGCCGGTTCAATCTCAAACCACTCCTCGTGTTTCCTGTGTTGGCCGTTCTTCTTTCGGGGACAAACGGCGCATTCGATTCTCTTTCTATGCTCGTGGAGTTCAGACTTAATGAGAGACTCGACAATTGAGTAGTGGTCGAAGGCGTTTCCATCAGGGTCTTCTGCTACTACAAGTTGCCCGTTGCACCGTTCCCAATCCTTTTTACGCTTATTGGGCTCCACATAACTACTGCCAATTTTGACGTGTTTTGGAGCGTGTTCAGGCGATTTCAACACATAGACCCATCCTGTTTTATATTTCGGGGTGTATGAACGTTTGAGACAGTCATATATTAAACCATTGATAGCGCGCCTTGTCAAAGGCTCTGTTTCGGGTCCATATTTCTCGAACTTCAGTAGCTGGACATAATCCTCTAGAACTCCCGGCATAAGCAGGTCTGGGGATTCGAGAGGTTCAGCCGACGCTCTCTCGATTTGCGACGCCTGTTGAGTATTGTTTTCGGCATGAAGTGCCGCTTGAATGCTCTGAGACTCGAATGCGCCTGGAATATGTAGGTGATGTTCATCAGGACCGGGTAACTCAATAAAGTTAGGGGGAGAGCGCTCTGCAGACGTTACTGGCCTCGAGATAACACGCCGTGGAGCCGGGCGCGCAGACAAGGTAGGAGACAAGTGATGGGTGGTGAGAGGATTTGACTCTGAATTTTGTAGTTTTGATGCCGACGATCTAGACCTCGTTTGCCGCCGGTTCTTTGCCAGTGGGGAGTCTGCATCTTGGACCTTGCTCTTTGATGGTGCACGTGTTTTTTGGAGTCGTATCTTTCCTGGAAGGAGCTCTTGTTCAATTGAATGGTTGGAGGTCGAAGCTGAGAATGGATCTACTTCTGAACGAGAGATTTCTGGTTCTTCTTCGATTGGAGTACCTGGCGTGCCAGGTGCACTTTGGACATCCTCATCGAATACGACATTGGAGGATGAGCCCACAGTATATATGGATGAATTTGTTGAGTTATTTGAACAAGGTAATAGGGCTGGACGTTGGGGAGTCTGGAAATTAGCCGGATCTCGAGTCAAATCAACAATATTCTCTTGTCGTGGGCTGGGGGCTTGACGGGCTCTTTTCTGATTTGATGTCGACATGTTCTGTATATGGACGCGACTAAACGATGAAGAAATAAAAACGGGGTTTGATTGATGGGTTTGGAATACAGCAAAGGACTTCGTAGACCGTACCAGCAAGCCACTTTAGTATAGCTTTCGTCGACGTCCATCCATGGTGCCTGGCTGCTTCGAAGGCTTCGCCTGCCTCGAGTGTAACGCTGAGACTGTGTGATTACCCAATCAGTTTGCGGAATGTTCGCTGTCATGTTGGTTGCAATTTATTTTGCAGCAACCAACATCGCCAGGTTCGGTTTCAAGCACGGCCATCACCGGGGTCAGCCTCGCCGTAAATAGCAGATCTCGCATGCTTGGAAACAAACAACGCATGTTGGTAATATTTATTGGATAGCGACATGAACAAAATAAAGACGCCAAGGGGATCGAGTCAAAGTACTAGTGGTTTGCAATAGTGCGAAGTCCTTTTAGCTTCAGGCCTTAGGGAGAGATGTGAGGTCTGATGCTTCGTCCCGTTAAGTCTTGTAGAACGGACTTGTAGGATGCTTAGATGGAGTGAAATTACCCCTGAGCCTCTGTAGGACTGTAGGACAGAGGCACCCCGCTTTTGGAGTCGTCGCTTAATGGATAAAAGAGAGCCCTGCAAGCACATGAGCAAGTCAAGCATTGTGCCATTGATGATTCTTGCACGCTTCAATGTCGGACTGAGCGCGAACCAAATAATCCCATAAAAAACCAAAATGGAAGTCCGCAAGGTCCGGTAGTACTTGACCGGGCCGTATTCGCTAGCACAACCCCCCAGAAGAAACTGCTACTAATGCAGCTCTTGAGGCATGGGCGACTGAGCTGGGTAAATGGAATAACAGTAGACTGTGTCAGTCCAGGGTATGCAATATTTCAAAGCATACTAGTCCCTCTGTTTCGGATACTGTATCCTGGGACATGGGAAACGACATTAACTCTTGAGAAATTGTAGGCCATAGCCACGGATATGTGGACTGAATGCGAGCTAGAAGTGATTACAGACTTTCAACCTGCCATCAACGCTACCCTAGCGGCAGCTAGAGCTGGGCAGTATCAGATACCGTTCCCATTGTAGCGTAAGGAGTCTTGCTGGCACCCTTGATGACCTCTATATATTGACGCAATGCCATATTCTTGTGTTCAGAAATTAGATGGTGACTGGTAGTGTCGTGAGTGCTAGTGGCGGGATGTCTTTCGTGTAAGAATGTTGTATGCATGCCTTTATGAAGAGATTTTGAGTTTTGGATACAATAAATGTTCGGGAAGTTTGATGACATTTAAGAAAGCTTGGAGGCATTGCTGTAGCATTACTCGAGTACTGTATTTTGACAATGCCAAGAGATTTTAGCATCGCCATCAGATAAGATAAGCTACCCTCGATTACAGAGCAGGACCTTGAGACTCGAGCTCCAAATAGCTACATCCATCAGTTTGCCCAACCTTCATACTACGTCAATGAACTTCTCTAGAATCACCAGACCCCTTCTACTAAAGCCTTTGAAACCACTTACAACCAGCGTAAGCATATCATTGAAACCCAAGGACCACAACTCTAACATTACAAGCTTGCATTTGTCCCATTTGCCCGCGCCATGCATATTCAGTCTATTCCTATGTGTAAGTCCAACTTGTTGACATCCCCCTCATTTATTCACTGCTAACTGAAGAACTCAGGGGTGGGAAGTAGTAATAATTACGCCTACCTGGTTGTCGATGACAAGTCCAAGGATGCTGTAATAATCGACCCCGCAAACCCCGACGAGTACGTCCGAAAGGCTTTGACAAGAATTCGAAACTGATCATATATGGCAGAGTTGCGCCGGTTCTGCAGGAACATATAAAGGCTGGAAAGATCAATCTGACTGCTATTGTCAACACACACCAGTATGTCTCCCGGAGTTTATATTGGACATTATGCTGATCTTGAGTAGTCATTGGGATCATGCCGGAGGAAATAAGAAACTCGTATGCGAAACTATTACTTTTGCTTTTCAACTCAATGCCTGAGACTAACGGTTTCTTCCGACAGTTGGCGTTCAGCGAATTTAAAGGCAAACCCATAATCGGCGGAAAAGACTGCGAAGGCGTTACACAAACCCCCAAGAACGGTGAAGGCTTCAAGATCGGCGATATTGCAGTCAAGGCTCTATATACGCCTTGCCATACACAAGATAGCATATGTTGGTTTATGGAAGACAGTACAGGCAAAGTAGTCTTTACAGGGGATACTCTGTTCCATGGAGGTGGGCTTCTACGAAACTAGTTTCAAGGGCATTGCTAATTATGTGCGATATATAGGATGCGGACGTTTTTTTGAGGGTTCGGCAGAGGAGATGAATACTGCGTTGAACAAGACTCTGGCTTCGATCCCGGATGACACGAAAGTCTACGTATGTTCTTCCCTTACAAGCCGAAATCTCTCTTATGGCTAGTACTGTACTAAAATTCGAGTAGCCTGGACACGAATACACAAAAGCAAATGTCAAGTTCGCCATTTCAGTCTCGCAGAGTGAGCCAGTCAAGAAGCTAGAAGCTTTCGCGGATAACAACAAGGAAACACAAGGCAAATTTACAATTGGCGATGAAAAGGTAATTCACTAGTCGGTCTAAACCGAGAAGAGCCTTTACTGACATTGTCTCACAGCAACACAACGTATTTATGAGAATGGATGTAAGTAGTATCTCAAGTCATACGCATTTACTGCCAGCTAATTCTTTGAAGGATCCGGTTATACAAAAAGCAACTGGAAAGACTGACCCGATCGAAGTTATGGCCAAACTCCGGGAGATGAAGAACAGCTTCAAGTGAGTAAGTAGAATAAGAAAAGAAGCATTGTGCGTAGGAACGTTCACAAATGCTAATATCATTTACAGACCCCCACCAGAACAGAAGCTATGAGCAACGAGTTTTTTTAGAAAGTGTACATCAAATACAAAAGCGGCATGACCCATTCATTTGTTCATTCCCTCAAGGATCTCGTCCTCGTGATATTTTATTGCCATGACGTCAACCATTAATCTGCTCTTCCCCCAAGTAGACATACTCAAATTATATCATACGTTCCCTCTAACATTTTCACATCTTAGGTTCAAATCCGAAGACATCTATAGCGCACCAAACTGCTCACCCAAACAGCTACCATGGCCTCCCAAAATACCAATGGCACCGAAGGTCCACCTGTAACAACTAAAGACACCGTCCTTGAAACCGGCGCCTCAGCTACCCAGTCTTTTGAACCAATCAAAGCAATCTGTGCTCACCTTAATGCTTTTCATGTCTATGCATCTAATCCAACACGGAGCGTAGAGGCGAATCATTACTGTACACATTTGAGTGCTGATGTATGTCTTCCTCTCGATTCCTCTTAAGAGATCAATCAATCAATGATAAGAGAGAAAAAGAGAAGGATCAAACGAAACTAAGGAGAATAGGTTCGACAATGTCTGATATACGACGCCCCCACTAACCCCGCGCGCTTGATCGGCGTGGAGTATATGATCACACCGAGGCTCTATGAGACGCTTGACCAGGAGGAGAGGAAGCTATGGCATTCTCATGACTTTGAAGTATGTACCTTTGCAGCTTTCCCTTGACCAAAAGTTTTACTTGCAAGGCACAACTAAAGACGCGTAGGTCCGCAGCGGTATGCTCATTATGCCCAACCCCAACCTCCCAAACGCAGTCTGGGAGATCCCCGAGACGGAAGAAATGAAGGAGGTAATTGGTTTGTATGGAAAGACGTATCATTTTTGGCAGGTTGATAGGGGTGATACGCTCCCGTTGGGGAAGCCGGAGTTAATGATGAGTTTTACGAAGGATGAGCAGGTGAGTCTGAAAAGGATCTGAGTAGGAGAAGGGATTGTGATGCTGATGAGGACAGGTGCCGTGGGATAAGGTTAAGGATAGGGATGAGAGGTATGGCGTTGATACTTCGCAGAAGAGGGAGAAGAGGAAGGTTATTGAGGGTGTGAAAATCCATGGGGATGCCGATTCTTGTTGGGAAGGGAAGTGAAGTGAACTCTGCAAACTTTGGGATATATCGGCTCATAAGACACGCATACAAAGACGCACTGATCCAGACTGAATGTATGACAAGGGCAAGGGTATATTGATTCATGTATATGTGTATTTCTAAAGCGACGCTTCACTCAATAAAATGTCTCCAAAAAGCACCGAATATCAAACTCGTAACGAGAATAACGGCTAGGTACCCCAAGGAAGGTCTCGAAGAATCAAAATCTCGACCGGATATCACTCTTGCTTCATTGTCCACACTCGCTCGCTCTGGGTTGAGACTATGGCGGGCTCTAGCATTTATATTTTGAAGCTGCTTTTCTCGAATGCTCAAGCTGAATAGCTTGAGGACTCTACTGAATTGAAAGTATACAAACCATTGTAATTCCAATCACCACTAATTAAGAAGTAATCGAATAATCATTGAGTGGGAAAACCACAACTCTTGGGTTTTGGTTGTGGAGGAAGCAGAAATTTCGCGATTTGAGAAGATTAAATAGAGCTTCTTCCTAGCGCCATTTAGCGGCCCCACTTTCTTCTGCGAGGCCGAGACTAGCCTACAGCCTTGTGAGGGTCATGATATGCGACAACTTCAACAGCGTCCTGAATCCTCCAGGTCCTGCGCAATAGGATGGCAAGTCATTGACACCCCGTCGCTATGAAAGCCTCATCTAACATACCCTTTTTTTTCTTGTAGCCACCCAAACGCCGCGCTCCAGCGGCAGCATCAGTATCAGCGCCAGAACCCAAAGCCCGGCAGTCCAAACTCGCAAAAGAGCACAACATAACCGCGGCCGAGGAGAACGAAATCAGGGAAGCCTTCGCGTTATTCTCGCAGAAGAAGAAGGGCGAGAAGGAGGGTGTGATACCTATTAGTGATGTGCGACGCGCTATGATGTGAGGCTTTCATTCTCCCAAATCTATCCAGATTTTCAGTCTATCTTCATCTCTAACAAAGCTAATTCGCATTTCTTTCAAACAGCGCTTTAGGAATCCCGCCAACTCCAGAAGAATTGGAAGAATTCATCTCCATCCTCGATGACGAGCAAGAAGGTTTTGCGGAATACCCCTCCTTTGTTGCGATCTGCGCGCTTAAGCTGCATCACCGGGACAAGAACTCGGATACTCATGCGCAGGAGGTAGAGGAGGCGTTTGCGTTGTTTTCGAGGGATGGGGAGGAGAAGATTACGCTTGCGACGTTGAAGGAGGTGGCCAAGATGTTGAGGGAGGATGTAGAGGAAGATCTACTGAGGGATATGATTCTTGAGGCTAATGGCGGGAAGGGTGTTGGGAGGGGTGTGGAGAAGGGGGGATTTGAAGGAATTATGAGAAGGGCAGGGGTTTGGAGGTGAGATTCTGGTACGAATATGGCGTTAGGGTTTCTTCTTTGAGCGAGGCGAAAGGGGGCTGACAGGGAGGGATTGTCATGAATGCTATGATAATGAATAATGCTAGATAGAAATTGCTATGGACGTAATTCTGCACAATGCTCAAAAAAGGGGCGCCTAGATAATGCATAAAATCATGAGCACCATTTCGTCTCTTAAATGCGAAAAATGACTTCCATTCCATCCATAGTCATAGACCGGCCATTTGTGCCGCTCTTCATCCCATTCATACCTTTCATATTGGCTCTTGCCCAATTTACCAACACCGGTATGCACCATCCTCGCAAATGCAATAGAAATTCAAATCTGCCGAACTAACGAGCTGAACTCATTCCTTTTAAAACATATAACTCCCAATAGTTTCTTGTTTCGATCCAATCCTCGACAATGCCTAAGATCACGTCCACTTTTGAAACATTATACTTGCGAAGCTTCAATAGTGGGGACTGGGATGGTGGTTGTGTCTGACGGTGGTGCTTTAAAGCCAGCATGGTCTGCATGCTTCTTGTAAAAATAGTTGTCAGGCTTCGGCTTGAGCTCCGCTGGAAGTTCTTCCAGTACTGTCGCCAGTAAATCATCGATAGATTTCTGTTTGGAAGCATCACGGTGCCATATGGAGATGAGATGGGAATTGAATCGAACCGAGAGTCCAACCCCGCATAGTTGATCCCCTAGAAACGAGTTAGTATATCTCTTTTAGTATTGCTGGTAGTTGTCCCCGTTATTTACTATGTTCACAATATCAAGAACCCTCTACATATTACTTCACAAGTCTGGAAGTGGGTAAATCTTACCAAGTTCGAGACAACCCTGCAATTTCTCTCCAACAGCCATCAACTGAACTCTCGTCCAGAAGTCAGGCCCATTTGCTTTTGGCACTCGAAATGTCCAGCTTCCACCATTTATGTTTCTTCGATCTTCCCACACTGGCTGGAAGCCTTGTTTAAAAAGATAAATCGACTCTCGCATCTTGATTTGATCGACGGGGGTATTGTTATTGTAACGCCAAAAGTCCTGGACAGACTCGATCTGGGTGCCGATTTGCTCGAGAGTGGCAGCAGAATAGGTGCCATCTGCAGACTTCTGTTGATCCTTCTGCTGCCTTTGCAAGTGTTAGTCCTTCAGAAGCTATGCATACAACTGCCTTTGAGACAAGTTCAACCACACAAGACCAAACTTACCTGTCAAAGTAAACATTCCAATAATGCTGAGTTGGCAATGGTCGCATTGCTTTCAGCATGTTCTTCTTCGCATCATCCCGCTGCTCAGCGGGAGATCCGGTGTCACTGGGGCCGGAAGCTGAGGACAAGCCTCTTGTCAGAAGGGACGGTCTCAAAGCCATGTTCAGCCTAGTCAAAGAAATGATAGCTTCGTCTTCTATAAGAGTCGTACTAGCTTCGAGGGAGTGCAGTCGAGGATAAATATAGAAGAGAAAATGAGGGACGAAATAGACGAAAGTATGGTATCTCCACGAAAACAGCGACGAACGAGCAAGCAGGAAGGAACAAAGAAAAGCAGTTCGAGGTCAGACAATACGGCCCCAGTGGTTGCAACATGGTAGCGGCTCTTTGAGACAAGGTGGATCCATATGAGATGAAACAAACGCTCGGCTCGGTTGATCAGCGGCGCGGGGAGAGGCTTGGCTTGCACTTTTGCACCACTTCCGATAAGCGCTTATCATAAGCGAGAGAATTACGATATGGAAATCCTCAGCTTCATGAATTTCTGTTGCATTGTGAAACCCAGGATAGTTGATTAACTAGTTCTACACTCGCCAAAGTCTTAAACCAGTCTACACCTCCTTTCAATTCCTAATTGTGTCATGAAAACCAACCAACGAACGACATTCTCACCAATTCGTTCTCTACCTATTGCCCTCACCATTTTCTAGATTATTTGGCGGTATTCAGACCCTCGCAGCGTTCCTGCCTTCACTACCAGGATCGTCCAATTGCGCCAGTGGAGATATATCAAGAGACCGCGAATTGAATCAAAGGTAAGTCATGAACTCCCACGTTCTCTTCTTCATGCAGGTCTAATGACAACACTCCCAGAGTCCAAGAGCGTAAATTCAAACCCCACCATGAATGATGCTACTGAAGCTACAAAGCGTCCCTGGGATATATTCTTCGCCGAGACCGACATCAAAGAGGATGATGTTATGTTCGTTTTGGCTGCAAATATGATTAAACTCTACTGTATGTATATGTAAATCCTTCTGTAACTCAATCTTGAAACATCACTAACTCTTCTAGCTGATGGCGCTTTCGAATTTTCAGCTCGACTTCGCGATATCATCTCCAATGGTGGTCAGAATCGACTGAATCATAAATGCGCAAGACTGATGGCAGACCAACTGCACTTCGATAGACGTCATATAGAGGGTATAATGGACGAGGACAATGATGCTCAAGCGGGTCTTCAGGAAGAGCAATCCGACATCGAACCACCAAAACTCCCAACATCTAGGCCTTCTAGCCTCAAGCGGAAGGCGTCTGAATCCAAAAACGACCCCGAACCGTCAAAGAAGAAAACTAAAGACCGGTTATTCCATGAAAAGAAGGATATCAAGCCAACTAAGATATTGCTCTGTAGCGACTCCTCTGACCACCATTCCGAGGCAGCTGTGTCCAAACGGGTTGAGCTTAGCTGCGACTGGTCTGTCATGTCTGGATTCGACCCTGATCAAAACACTGAGCCACTTCCGCCTCAGCTTGAACCTACGGTGGAGGAAACCGCCGTGTGGGCCAATGCCGTCATCTCAGCGGCTAGGTCAAATGAATTGCATGGCTTCAGTGTCGTTCCATCAGTTTCCGTCTCAGCCAACTCTGAGGATATCATCAATGTCAAGCCGAATAATCAGAAACCTAGCTTCCGGTTCGAACCCTCCTCCATCGCCTCCAGGCTTCCCGGCTTTCTGGCTCAGATGAAGGCAGCCAACGACGAGCTCGCAACTGGTAATCCTGAGCAGCACATCATGGAACTCTCTGATTCCGACACTGCATCCGAGCATATCGAGATGAACCTGGGTCTAGGCGTTCTTGAGCAACTTCGTCGCGATCCCGAGCCATTTGTCAAGTTCGGGGATAAAAAATAGAATCCTGGCCCCATGCTCTCATTGCGAACACATTTTCATGACTTTAATAGACTTGGAGTTTTTGGGCCCACGATGGGATGGGAAATCATGAGTCACGTATAGATGGAACGACGATAGGTGTGTCATTTCTCTTCAACAATGATACCCCAGCATGGACGGGATGGCGTTCTTTGGACTTACGTATTCCGAATACAAAAATCATAAGAATTCAAACACCTTCTTTTACTACTATTCCCTTGGAATTGCCTGGAGAGAAGAAATACTATGTATCACAGTCTACGTTTTCGATAATTGAAAGAGGGAGTCACTTGCTACTCGACCCTAGAGAGCTTTTAGACGCCAGTACGCTTACGCAGGAGTTCGTAGACGCCTCTTTGCTTATTGCAATTGGTCACCACTAAATGGGGACACATGCAGATCTATCATGTTTCTTGGTTCTTTAATCATTATGGTTCGCCAAGTCACTTCAAAAACCAACTGCCGAGTAGCCATTTTGGACAGGCATCCCCGACATTTTAGGGTTAATGAAAGGTGAGTGCCTTTGACATTCAACCTGGTTCCAAAATAGAATCATTCAAAGAACATAAGGCTGGATGATAACGAAATCCGACTTGACACTTTCTTTGTTTAACCGCTTCAATAAACGACAAGTCAAGTTGCGAAAGGTAGTAAGGCTATTAATAGCGACTGGAATCAAACATCAAAGACTTTGCCCTTTGAGCGATCTGGATTAATAATATTCCCAGGACATGTGGGGAAATTGTGGGATCCGCATTCAGAGTCAAGACAATATATCCCCACGGAAAGCTCACGCCAGATTACATTTTTGGGGCAAATCCACGGTGCATCCCCTTCCCCCACCCCCAAGGGACACTATGTTGATGAACGAGGATCAATGCTCCAGAAAGGAAATGGAAGTCATCGACTCGTGCGAAGTGCGGGGACACCGAGCGATTGACCACTCGTGGATCCCTTTGTCAACAGACGTTCTTTATCTCAGGCATCTATATGAGGAGAGATTGCAGCCTACAGAACAACATATAACAGCTCAATAACTTTCACTTCCTTTTCCCTTTTGATCATCTTCCAACACTATATATACCCACCAGACGTCTGTGACGAACTGCCCTCCCTATAAAAACCAAAAACACCAAAAAAAAAAAGAAAAGCTTCAATTCACAACACACAATACTACATACAACTCAGACAACTAAATACACCAAATCAAACAAACAAAAACAAAAATGCAATTCACCACCCTTCTCACGCTCACCAGCGCTATCCTAGCAGCAGGCGTCTCAGGCCTCGCAGCCGCACCCCCGCACATCGGCACCGTCGAGCTTGGAGGAACAACATGGAACGGCGAAGCACCAGTCGACCGTTCACTCAACACCCGTGGCTGGCCATGGGGTTGGAAGTCCACCTGCGCAACTTGCGAACCTGGCCGAAAACAGTGCTGGGGCGATGCTGGATGCTATTCTTGCATGGGCGGACCATATCGATGCCAGACTCCTAATGATCAGGGGATTTGTACGTGTGGTCAGGGCAGGGGAGACTGATTGGGTTTCATGTAGATATGTACTGCTTAGGTTCGTAATTAGTGTAGAAATTTTCAATTCCAAGAGTATCATATAAATAACGCTTTTCCTCGTGAGCTTGGAAACCTAGTAAACAGATTGACGAAGAGTGGTATATCATCTTCTGCCATGATTGCAACTTGACTGTGAAAATCCTGTTGCATAACTTTATGTCCTGTGGGCAGATTTGCCTGCACCTCCATGATCTCCGTACAGTAGCATTTTCAGTGCCAACGAACGAACATATGAACGACAGCAACATTTGACATGACGACAAACGGGTACCAAGGTGAAGTATTCCGGTGGAAGTGGCTTAAAGAACTTCCCAATAGCATCGGTAGAGCTTAATTGTCGTATAAGATTGGTTCTGTCCGGTTAGCGAATTTCTCCCTAAAGCAGATCATACTCGTTGCAACGCAAAAGACATGTACGGGATTAGCCCCATCTCTACACTTCGTACTGTATCGGCGAACAGCATGCGTTCTGGCGGAGATTGGCTTTTATAGACTGTCGCTGAGTATTGAACAGCCCGAACTCTCAGGACTTTGGGTTTTTTGTCACCCCGAGCTAAGTCACTTAATTACAACGCAGAGGAGGGGTCTTGTTTAGCGAAGAGATCCTCACGCACCTTCGAAGCAAGTACGAGGTTAGCAACGGGCACCGAAGCCGATTCTCGCATCCAACAGAGAGGAGACGCAGATCCAAGTCGAAATAAGATCAAATTCTACACATCAGAGACCAAGCTATTGACATGAATCTAGTACGATTCATGACCAGAAGAAAAAGGATAACTAGAATCGGAGGTGGCAGCAGGAGCGTCGGGAACGTGGAAAGGACATTGAGGGTGAGAGATAAGGAGTGGAGTGAAGACTTAGACTAGGTCTAGGTTAGTATTGAGCTTGGATAAATACTTCCGATTCTAGACTAGAATTCGAATGCAAATCCTTGGCTTTCAAAAATCGAAACCAAACAGAACTTGCTATCCAATTCGACGCAATACCACGACACACTCTGGGGCTGGTAGCTGTAGTGCGTGAAAATGGTCTTGAAACCCCCCCGTAATGCCAAATGAAAAATGATCTTAGCCACTTCCAGTATCAATCCAATCCCAATCATTTGAACAAGCTCACAGGACTTTGATTCTATCTTGAGGGCGGCTGCATCCCCACTTGGGCAGTCATGATCTACTTCAAACTGTATTGCGTTCCTTTTCGTATCATAAATCTCCACACGAAACAAATTTCGCACTTAAGAAAAGTGACTGCACCTTCAAAGATGCAGAACCTAAAATAAACATTGTGTTATTGCTATCATAATCTGGAATCTCAACGCTCATACTCCAAACACCATCGCTGAGTCCATGAAATTCAACATAACCCAATCCAGAGCCCAAGTTTCATAGTTCTTCGTAAAATCCATCTTCTCTGCTTCAGTTGACTCGCTCTCCCAAAGGTTGCATGAACCGAGCTTTATCATCCCCGATTTTCTTCTTGAACATACCTAAGTCAGACAGCAACTCCTTCATAAACCCTTGAACCTCATCCGCTCTCTCTTCATGGGCAGTGACATCGATACCTTCGTCATCATCGCCGTATTCATCATCAGGAACTTCTGTCAAATCATCCGTCTCGTCATGGATCTGGTTCTCTTTATTCACATCCTGTGCAGCATCTGGAAACATGCTCCCGTTCCTACTCCCTCCCTGCACACTGCTTCTTGCACTTTTCACCTCGATTGGGTTCTTCAGACTATCGAGCGCAAGTTTCAAATGCAGCCTCAACGCATCGTTTTCCGTCTGTAGATTTCGGATCTTGCCCTCGGCAACCATACTCCTCTCTTCCATCATCCGCTGCATAGTGACAACTCTATTCTGGTACTCTTCCAGTTTCTCTTCCTGCTCTTTGCCTTCCTTCTCTCGGCGTCTGGTATCCGTGACGCTGAGTTGCAGTACCCGAATCTCTTCGGCCATGGCAGCAATTTGAGCATCACGCTCAGCGGCTGAGACGTGATCTTGGTTGACAATGGCTCGGGTTCGGATCCTCTTCGCTTGGTCTGCGTACCGGAGGGTAGACAGCGTTTCGTCGTAGTCTGAAGGGGCGATACAAGCAATCATGGCCGTTTTACTATTTCCTCCCAACGAATCCTTGAGCAGCCAGGTGAGGATCGAGTCTCGGTATGGCACAACATCCTTGTTTCGCTTGCCGGGACGCTGTTGTTTTGGGTCTGCGAGGGCGGCGATTACTCGTCCGAGTGTAGTGAGGGATTTGTTGATATTGCTTCCTTCACGGAGACGTGCACCGGTGGCCTCCGTAGCCTTTGCTCGTTCACTTCCAGCAAGATCCACAAGCCGAATCCGGGCCATACGCTCTGTGGTCTCATCGGTATCCATGTCGTGATGAATTTGCTTGAGCATAATGGTGAAGACTGAGTGACTTCTGCTACTTGTGTCGTTCATCTTCGTGCTCGCTGTTGTACGGCTTGCATCTCCTATCTTCATATGTCGCATAATCTCGGAGATGTTCTTGACCGGAGCATCAGTCAGATCCTTGATATAAGGTCCTTCCGTGGGCGATTCTCGTATTTTGAGGTAGTACGGAGGCTGGTTTGGGTTGACGGGTACTAGTAGGTCACGGACGTGCTCATTGTAAACTTCGAAATAGGAGACTCGGACGTTGTATGATATGTTGGGTGTCTCGTTATGTGCTGCCTCAATTCGCTGAAAGAGGTCCTCGCAGGTCCTCGGAATCAATCCGGGTTCATCGGGCGTACCCATCATAGTATAACTCTTACCAGAGCCAGTCTGGCCATACGCAAAAATGCATGTGTGATATCCCTCGAAGTTGTGATCCAAGAATTCCTCTCCCAAACAGTTGTAGACATCCTCCTGGTGGGCATAATGCTCGTCCTTCTTATCGTGACTCCAGAATGAATTGTCAAAAGTAAAGGCCTTCTCCTCGATAACTTTACGCGTCTTCGACCGCGAATTTGCAGGATCTGAATCGTTGGGAACAAGAAGGGTCGTCGCTTGATTGTTGGGATTCATCTCAATGAGGCATTCTGCACCCCGCGCGGTTTCTGAATAGAAATAAAATTGTTAGCAGCTATCCAGCAATTTATACAATTTCCTTACCTCTAGGAAGGAAGCCTCTAACTCTCACCACGACTCTAACATTGCCTCCCGGCGCATCCATTCTGCCCATTGGCGTAACACTACCCTCCCTCGATCGCAATGATGGTGTAGAAGCAGATGATCTCAAGCGCATTTCCGATGCCACACCTGGCATTAATCGCGGATCCAGAGCCATGCCAGTAAGTATGTCGTTGATAGCAAGGATAGAGTCGCGAAATCGTTGTTGTAGAACTAGATGATGCATTCATTCGAACCTTGCCAAAGCAAAGTAAATAAGCTGGTGTTGGCCCGTGAACCCGGTGCAGGGATATTGAGCTAATTCCTCGAGACAACAATTCGGTCTCTCCAAGCATCTTTTTCAGATCCCACGTCGCAAGCAAGCTATGTGAGAACTACATTTTCGATTCATTCGAGTGATATCGCGTAGGGGAAAATGCAGATTCTATGTTTTAAGAAGTTACAGCACTTGTGATTCAGGCGAAATTCCTCACCATCGCCCTTGCCTAGGTCTCCTAGCCCTTTCTCTACGTAGTAAAAGCTTAAGGCAATTTATTGACTACTACTTTTCGGTTTCCTATAGCTACAAGTGTACATACAGTGCTGGTCTCACATCTTTAGTGGACGTTTGTAGACTCTCGGTGCCTTGGAAAGAAGCTTTTACCTGAATTACCCGCTCAGCAGAGTCCTAGCCTCCGACTCCCAAGACGAATGAATGGACCAGGTGGCTCAATGGCCACTTGCTCGCAAGATGTCGCTTGGGCGATTATGTTCAGAGCCATTTTCCTTGGAGAATCTATTGATGAGCATTCTCAAAGAGGGTCAGAATGGTGTCTAAGGGACAACACAGTGTTGAAGTTCACGCTTCATCTTCAGATTGCATGTAAAACTGACCACTTCAGCCCGTAGTCAGCTCTTCGACAACTCCTTATCACTTGAGATATCTTTACACGTTTGGTCGACGCTCTTAGATTTCTTACTTAGGCTGAAGGGATCATATACTAGTAAGACAAGGGGTGAGTGAGCAAATTATTTCCTTTCCTTATGCAGTATTTCATAACGCCAGAGTGAGAAAAAACAAAGTATCAGACCAGAGTATTCTCTTCCATAGCAAGTGTAGCAAGTGTAGCAGAATGACAGACAGCTCAGCGCAGGCAATTGTGGAGCGATTGGTTATGTTTGCCAAAACATACATCCAAACAACTGCTATCCAAAGCCGACAAACTAGACAATATAGTCAATGCAGAGTGTAACCTTTGGCAGGGTCGGAACCAGATTGAAGACGGAGCCAAGGAGTGCCCAGATATCCATCAGTCGTTGACGCTCAGCCTTTGGCTTTACATTCTTGAGAACTCGCTTTATCGCGTCCATGTCTGTACTTCCCTTGTAAAGGGGTTGAGCCACAACATGGTATTCGACAATCTTCTTGCCAGCCTCAACCCGACAGAACGGGCGGCTATAACGCACAAAGTCCATTTCAAGCTTGAACGTGGTACGTTGCCCAGGGTGGCGAACGCACTCAACGAGGCGAAAATCGGTCAAGTTGATCAAAGGTGTGATTGAAGTAATCGACCAACCAAAGTCATTCATGAAGAAGCAGAGAGGAATGGCGGCCTTTCTAATCAATCCCATTTCGGCAGGGTTGACCAGAAAATCGCCCAGAGTTCCGCATGGAAGCATGTTGAAAAATGGCACTTTGGAGCCAAGATTGACTCGGTCAACGGCCGGGTTGATGTAATATGCAAGACCAGAGCCCTTCAACTGCAGAAGTGGCTGGTAGGTTCCAACTTTCATTACTGCATCGTAGGCTCCCTTGCAGCTTGCCAAAACGCCGGTGATGCTAGTGCCAACAATCTCAATTCCCCATTCAGAGCGATGATGGGTTGCGGCGGTATCCTTGTGACTCTTTGATCTACGCGATCCAAGGTTGGGAACTTCAATAGCATAGATATTGCGACCCTCCTGGTTGGCTGCTTGGATGAAGATCTTGTTTTTAATCTCTTGGGGCAATTTCTTGAAGATGGTGAAGGCTGTGAGGGGTCCAGTGGTGGCTGTATTGATTGTTCCAGCACGACTGGTTCCTTGCAAGAGGTGGGTTACAGTAGCAGGAGTGACCACCTTGCTTTGATCTTGGGCTTGGAAAGTAGGCTTGGTACCAGTCTTGAAAGCATTGGAGATGTCAGAGCTTTCAGCAAGAAGGATGACAGGTACAAGGGTGGTGGCGGTAGGAATTTCAGCACACATGACAGCTCGAGTCTCCGTGAGAGAGTTACCAACAGCAGCCAAACGACGACCAGCGCCGGTGGTGTCAATGATGGCAAACTCTTCCAGCTTGGCTGGGGTGTGGTTCATTAAGAGAGACATTGTGAAGGTACCGGTACAAGATTGGTTAACCCCTTTCGATCTGTGAAGATGTTAGTGATAGTTATGGCGAGTTCCTCGATTCAAATGCAGACAAATGGAGACAACATTGAAAGATTAGAGATATAAGACTTACTTCTTGTTACTTTTCTTAAAGAAAGGGGGTCTTGCAAGCCCGTCGGGTTTGGATGGTTCTTGAAGCGATTGACAGGGACAGATGCTGATCAATGTGGTTCGATTGGAGTCGGTGTGCTGTTAGAGTAAAAAGGTCACTTCATAGATCTCGTAATGGGCGCAGGAAGAAAACTTACGTCTTAAATATCAAATGGCAGGTATCTATAAAGATTCTCGTCGGAAAGGACTGTGGTCTAGGAGTTGTGTTAGGAGAGAATCTAGCTATTGAAAATACTTGAAAAGCTTTGAAATTGAGCACCAGCAATTAACAGAATACTTACAGAGCGGAGGTGAATCAAGAGGTTTGAGTGTGTGTACTTTTGATTTGTCAGTAGGGTTGCGTGAACATATTGCGACAATGGTTGAGGAAATAGCCAAAGACGCTAGCGAAGCTATTGTGTTGACACTTGAAGAGAACTGTTCGAAGAAGACGAGTATGATGGCTTACCAGTTGAAATCTCAGAGGTTTGAATTGCAGCGCTAGATAGTCAAGGTCAGAATTTGAAGTTGAAGGCGAAGGTGAACTCCGTCCACGCGTAAATAGGGGGAGGGGGAGGTACAAAGCAAGCGATGGATGAGAAGGGGGAGATTAACTTACAGCAGGAGAGCACGTAATGTGCAGACGACAATAAAGGAGTGTATTCACATGCTCTGTGTGGCGATGGTTTGTAGGAAGTTGAAGAGTTTTGAGAAGGATTCTTTTTGTGCGAAAGGCTGTGTGGACCTTAATATTGAAGCAGGCACTAGCGTGGGGGTCACATCTCACGATCAATGAGACACGGATTATTCTGCTACTAATTTCCGCGTTTGCTTCTTGCGAGTCTGCTATTGAGACGATATTGCCTTAAGCTGAAGTTCCCTTGCCTTGTGCGCCTCAATTGGAGGTAAATTCTCCCTGACGGATCATGGTAGAGAGCAGAGAGTGAAGGATAGAAGGCAAAGTTAGCACTTGTTGTCAGTCATATGAACTCTGAAAATAGACTGTACTCAAGTTTCTGACAAAGCTTACTCTACTACTGTTTGTGTGTCATCAAATTTGAAGTCAAAAGCTCGCGGAGGGGGGTTTCTGAGCAGCTCCCACCTATAGACGCGCATAGTATATAAGACCTACAATAGTACGCGTGATTTTAAATTATCATTGTCTGGAAAATTCACTTGTTCGCAATCTATGCATGTAGACTTCACCCTTAGTTATTGCATAGATATTAGATATACCCCGTTTCTTATTAGGTGTTGACACTTTCAAAGTCTGACCCCCACGCACATAGTAACAGAAGAGTGTCTGTGACAGGCATCAAGCATCAAGAAGATAGATTCACTTTTCCAGAAAGATAAGGTCCTCGGCTTACAAATTCTGCTTTTGATTCTAAACTTCCCATTGTACATTTCGTATTGTCTTACATTGGAGCATCACTAATCGCAGTTGTGAGAAGGAGGAATAGTAGAACATCACTATTCCTCCTTCTCACAACTGCGATTAGTGATGCTCCAATGTATGTAATAAGAGGTTCCACTAGTGTTCGCCGATTTAATATTTCACATCCTAAAGTAGAAGTGAACGCGTAAAAGAAACGCTTTGAAATGCCCCAGATGACATTTTATAGGAGTGTTGCAAGATGGCCATGATGAGTAAGTTCATAAAAACTAGCTTCTGTCCTTTGTTCATGCTGGAAGTGCCCTGAGTGCATGTTGTCTTCAATCTTCACCAGACTCAAAGTGATACCGTCCGGTTGAGAAGAAACTCGCGAGCTCGCTTAGAAACAACTCTTAACAGATTCACTCCAGAATATGTGCCCAAGTTGACCGGATTCTCCATTGCCAAAAGTAGCTCCAGACAACAGCACTTTGACTCTCTGAACTCGTAGATATGAGCTTTGCAATGGTGCTGGTATAACTACTACCTGCCTAGGTAGATTAGCCAGACGTCGTTTGTTGCCTTAAGCGAACCCCTTTTGTGCAAAACCGCACACGTGACCGCATCTCAATTAAAGGCTGCGAGTAGCATTTTGACACCAGTGAAATAAAAAACAAGGTATGGACCTCATTGGTTATCCTTGGATGTACAGTCTATTCAAATTTGGTTCCCAGCCACGGTTAATCTCGTGGGATTGAATGCCGTCGCCGGGCACCGATGTTTGGATGGTTCTCTAGAGTTTTCCACAGTCTATTCTAGAACATGTATATCTTCTCGTCAAGGCAATATGTATGTGCAGCTTAACCCTATTTGAGACCTTTACCCAACAGCTCCTCGCCTATATCCTGAATCAACTGCTCGTCCGGGAAGACCTTGGTCTTGCTCAGTATCGTGCCTTGCGCATCCATGCTCTTCAGTAGATCCACTAGCTCGCCATGTTTAGGCGCACAGTATATCAGATAGCCAAATGCGAGTAGGAAACCCTTCAGTGCTTCTGGAGATGCCTCTTCTAACTGGATAGCTTCGAGCAGCGAGGCTGCAAGCTCGATCTGATCTCCTTCTTGCAGCGCTTCTCGGTGCTCATCTGCTCGTATCTTGCAATTTGCCGATGCGATATTAAAGGAAAGACTTGCGGCTGCGACGCGGACATTGTGGTGTTTATCGTCTAGTAGACTTGAAGTGATGAGCTGCACGATTGGGGTCCTTAAAGCCGAACACTCGAGAATATGAGGCGGGTACAGTGGTGTGGAGAAGAGATTGCATGACATTTGAAGCGCGACAAGCCGTAGTGAGTATGGACAATCTTTAAGAGTGTTAATGGAGGATAGAAGGAGTTCGATAGTCGTATGATTATGCTCTTCAGCAAACCAACCGCTGAATCGCGGATCGACAAGAGCTACGCGGAGCAAATCGACGATTGTGAACATGACTTCGATAGGTAGTTTGGATGGAGCTGAGCGTAAAAAGTTGCTGAATGCAGCCAGATCGGGGAGCGTCGCTTCTGCTGCACCTTCTGACGCACGAGCCGCAACAAAATTCAAGACACCAGATACAGCTCTATCCTCTGCTGCAGGCCCCATCTTTGTCTTGAGCTTGCCGAGAGGAGGCACTTTGCCGAATAAGACGGGTCTGGTATTCAAAGCGTGCAGTGCGGGAAGAGATAGAGATTCATGAGGGTGTGGTGGCCACGTCATTTGTACAAGCAACTCGATGTTCCGTATAAGGGTTGACGAAGCTGATGATGACCACCTGTTTTCCTCGGCGCCGTGCAAAAATGTTATGAAACTGGGCGTTGAACGAATTTGATACTTGGTCGCAATATCAAATGACCTAGCAATGTCTACCCTGATAAGAACCGCTTTATGAGCATACTCTGCTGCCAGCTGGTCATATAGAGGATAAAGCTTCTTGCAAGGTGCGCATTCAGCAGATGTGAAAAACACCACTACGCAGGACTTCCTGGCCTCCAACAGCACCTTATCCAATTCAGCCAGGGTGGTAGGTCTCCTCACTGACTCAACCAGTTTTTCGTGTGTTTTGGGTGTAGTTATGGCCTCTCCTATTCCCAAAAAGCCGTTTCTCTTCTCGTGATTCCGCTTCACCATTTGGTCGATTTGTGGTTTTAGGGCTCGACCGAAATCAGTATCGAGAACTTTCTGGGGGATATTCGTAATGTAGTCTGGGATTCCTTTGCCGAGAAGGAAGGTAGCAAAATCATTAGTGAAGTTGTTGCAGTTGTGGGACCAGAGATCATAGGCCTTTTATCCAATTAATAAAACACCGTTGGAAGAGGATTGGAGCACAAATACCTCAAAAGTGTAAACCTCCTTCAACGATTCCAAGTATTCCATTATGACCTCCATTGGCAGTTCTGTCTTCCCTAGGTCGATGATATTCTTGGGCTTTCCCAAAGCCGTATTTGCTGGTTTGGTGGTCTTGATGCCGCCATCATAGGTGTACCTGCGAGTCCTCAGAGTAAGCAATGGATCTTGAGAGGTTTGAAGTCACAAATGTCCCAAAAGCGCTGAAAGCGGGGTTTTAGAACCTGGTTGACCCCGCGAATTTGTTCAAAGAGGGTAATAGCATGGCTGGAGAAGCAACTTACTCTATGCCGCCCATCACAATCGATGTGTGGTATATGGCATCAATGTAGGTTCCCAGGAGAATGAACGATAGCTGGCTTGCCAGACCCTGGGAAAGATCGTAGACAAAGAGCTGAATGTCCATGTTTCCGTTGGATTGATTGTCAGTCAGTCTGGGAGAATGAGATGAATTGGTAGACAGTCTTGGAAGGAGTACGTAGTGGTGGAGTCGAGAGGATTCAGGGGAGCGAAAGACACATTCTAAGGAAATAAAAGAGGATAGGAGCGACTTGGTCTTGTATTGCTATTTTCATGGCATTCTATGGGAGGAGGCAACATTGAGTACGAATACGCAGTGGAGGCAACAATGGCCGCGATTGAGACTTGGTTGCAGTGCGGTGCTTGTCTTATCTAATCAGCTCGGCCGCATACTCCGCATTGTCCAGCCACAGATGCTATCCGTCGACTCTGGTGCTACAGCCACACCACAGCCCTGCGTCTAAATTTGGGCCGTGCATGTCTGTCCAGATTTACGAATTTCCATTTCATTCATCCCCCCTTTCTTTTCTCCATCCCTCGCGTCTGCTCCCCACCGACTATTTCGCAGCACCACTTCACCCTTCACCCCCCTACTTCCTTATAATTGATCAGCCTGTCGCTAGTCCTGCAAACACCTTCCTGTCTCTCCTTTCTATGAGACGTACTTCGGTCTCGCTGCCGACCAGAAACGTAGCACACGACCCTCACGAGAAACCTGCCAGATACAATACAAAAGGCGCAAGCAATAGCGCCGTCGCCATCCTGGAGAAAGCAAAGGCCGCCTACATGACGCAAAGTCAGCGTTCAAGATACCTCAAGACGGGGGGTATCTTGCTCTTCATCGTCTTCCTCTTCTATTATTTATCACCGAGCGGAATCGATGTACATAATGGAGGTACGTTGAAGTTATCTTACCCATCTCGAATCTTCTAACAGGTCTTTAGCTACAGAAAAACCAGGCGTGAGTGTGGGGAGTTCGGGCTCGGGCCAGACAGCCTCAGATCCGTCACTAGGCACAACCAAGTGCAAGGTCTCGAGCGACAAATCGAAGCCCATTGTCCAGTACGCCCTGATGATCGATGCAGGGAGTACGGGCTCTAGAATCCACGTTTACAGATTCAACAACTGCGGTTCTACACCAGAGCTCGAGGATGAGAAATTCGTCATGACAGAGAAGAAGGCAGGAGGATCAGGGCTAAGCTCCTTCAAGGATGACGCCGAGGGAGCTGCAGCAAGTCTTGACGTTTTGATGGATGCTGCGATGGACACTGTTCCTGAAAAGCTCAAGGCTTGTTCGCCAGTCGCCGTGAAAGCAACTGCTGGACTTCGTCTCCTTGGTGTTGAGAGAAGCCAGAAGATCCTCGACGCTGTTCGAACTAGACTCGAGACAAAGTACCCCTTCCCCGTTGTCTCCAAGGAGAACGGTGGTGTAATCATAATGGAAGGTAAGGATGAAGGCGTTTTCGCATGGATCACCACGAACTTCTTGCTCGGCAACATTGGTGGACCAGAAAAGACCAAGACCGCAGCTGTATTTGACCTCGGTGGTGGTTCAACGCAGGTCGTTTTCGAGCCTACTTTCGCCCTTCCTGCAAAGATGGAGGAGGGTGATCACAGATACGAGCTGAAGTTCGGCGGAAGAGAGTTCGAGCTGTACCAACACTCCCATCTTGGTTACGGTCTCATGTCAGCTCGTGAATCCATCCATCGCGCGCTCGTCGAAGACATGCACGCCAGCAACCCTTCTGATTCTTCGTGGATATCTAAGAGTGTCGTCAATCCTTGCATCGCTCCTGGAATGGTTCGCACTGTCGAAGTCAAGCTTGATGAAGGCCACCTTCTCGGGCCAAAGGTATCGGTCAACATGACCGGACCTTCATCCGCAAGCCCTGCACAATGCCGAAAACTCGCGGAGAAGATCTTGTTCAAAGAAGCTGAGTGCAAGGTCGCTCCTTGCTCCTTTAATGGTATCCATCAGCCGTCTCTAGAGAAGACCTTTTCTCGAGAAGATATCTACGCTTTCTCCTATTTCTTCGACCGCACTGAGCCGCTAGGAATGCCTGAATCTTTCACACTGAAGGAACTACACCATCTCACTGATCAAGTCTGCGGCGGCGTATCTAGTTGGGATGTATTCGAGACTGTCCCGGGTGCCATGGAGGAGTTGAAGGACCGACCTGAGCACTGCTTAGATCTTAACTTCATGATGGCTCTTCTTCACACTGGCTACGAGATGCCCATCGACAGAGAAGTTAAGATTGCGAAGAAGATCAAGGGTAACGAGCTTGGCTGGTGTCTTGGTGCTAGGTGAGTTCTAAAATTACAACAATCATGTTTGAATCATACTAATCAAATTCCCAGTTTACCGCTCCTCAGCCAAGAGTCCGGGTGGCAATGCCGCATTAAAGAGGTCTCATAGATGAGATACGATAACATGCATTGCAGGCGTTAAGGGGTCGGATGTTTTAATAGACGTCAAAGTCGCCAACATATCATGTATTGTAGAACGTATATAATCTGTATCAAAACATGTATTGATATGTATTTCTATCTCGCCCCTTCAATTTCCCCGTCACGCTTCTCTTCAGTCTGTTCTGTTCACTCGAAGCCTCCCCATCCTCACCTTGGCGATTTCCTTGTCTCTTTACCCCCACTCACCATAGGTCTCCGGTTCACGACAATACCTCTCCACCTCAAAGACATGCTTCCCTATACCCAGCGGCCCATCCCTATTCCCCATGTCCCCTATATCCCACGTCTCGGGCAAGTTCAAAATATGCGTCTGGAAATAATGCAGATCTCGACCTTCCTCATTATTAAAAAGTCGTTGTTGTGGGCAGGCGGGACATCTGAGAGGAGGACCTGGCAGAGAGGGAATACGCTGGTCTATTTGGGGTCGAGGGTGGTGTTTGTTCTCGGGTTGGGGAAGGCGGTGCTGGAAATAGTGGATGTTGCGCGATCGTTCGGTGGTGAAGGGTGGGTGTTGTGGGCAGAGTGGACATTGGAGCGGGTGGTCATCTGGACCTGCGAGGTAGGGGATACGTGTGGTATTGTTTGCCATCGTTGTAATGGTAGGCTAGAATGCTTGGGAAGTTTTCCATGTTGCCTTTGAGGTGATGTGAGTAAAATGTCGTTATGGTGCTTGTTATTCATCACCAGTGATTGTACATAATCACTCCTTTCTAATGACTAAGAGAATAAATGGGCATTGGCCTCTGTTCATGACTTATGAATGAATGACACATGAATCATTCCCTGCAGTTTCGTTTCTCCACCTCCATCTCCAATTCCTACCTTTGAAGAAGTCCCCACCTCCTACACAGTGAAAATACTTAATTAAGATCTACCAAAAACCAAAATGTCGACACCACCACTATCTCCATGTCAACTACAACCTGAACGCCTACGTAGCTATTTTCCTTTCATATCCCTATCACGTAACAAACAGGTAGTCACACATAAGCAGGACACTTGTCCTATGACATACTCAGACTCTCGCATATCCAGAATCTCCATAACCTCAAACTTCTCTGGTCCTTCCGGCAGATATAGTCATATTATTGATCCTGTTGAATGAAGGCACTGTGGATCTCTTGAGCCGATTTTCAGGGACCGTGCAGGGGATTTGGATTTTAGTGGGGCAATGGCAGGATGGAGGAGGTTGATGAAAAAATGGTTAAGCGGGAGGAAATGAGAAAAGATATAGCAGTTGAGGGTGAAGTAGAACAATTAGATTCAGGAGATCAGTGACCGCAGCATGGTGGGTACTTTTGTAGTCAGGTATCAAATTGATATTAAAGGGGCGTCTCTGCGCCCGCACTGCCTAGAACATCCTCAATCACATCTTCTGCTCCTATTCCATCCAGCTCTGCTGCTACAGCATCGACGTCGCTTCCCCACTGCATACTGCGTTCCTTTTCCGGCTGCACAATATGAATCCTGTGCGGATATATCTTCCTGGCTGCTAGGGCAACCAGAGAAGGCGTAGCGTAGGAGAGATCGTGTAGTGGTGCAAGACACTTGGAAAGCTTGTCGAAATTCCGAGTCGCTGTCGCTGATATCCCTCCTGCCACTGCACGATGAAGCCGTAGGAAGGCGATAATGTCCTGCTGGTATTCACTCAACTCCACAGTGACAGTTGTGTATTCGCTCAGCTGGGACAGGTGCTCAATGTCCATTGCCGATATCCTTGGTAGCAAATAAGGCTCTGGGACAATTGGACTCTTCTTCACCACGGAGGAAATAGAGCTCCCATCATCGTATTTCTCTTCCAAGTTCGGGAACCCGTCCTCGGGATCGTGGAAATGCGAGATGAACATCTGGTCATTGAGATGTTTTGTTAATCTCGGACCCTCTCCACCGGCCAACAATGCAATGAATAGAAACCTCTTAGGTGCACTTTGAACAGAGGTTCTGGTATATATCCGCTTCGTCCGCATAAGCTCCAGGGCTTGTATTTGAACCTGCTTCGGCGCCTCGTCGAGATTCTTCGCTATGATCACATTTGCAATCGATTTGTTGTCTGCGAAGTTCTCGGACACAGGGGAGCGGGCGGCAATGGACTGAAACGTAGGAGCGTTGAGGAAGTATGAGTCTGCTCGGGTTCGTACAGGAGAGGTTGATCGAGCAGGACTTCCTTCAGCAGACAAGATAGAATATGCGAAGTCGTCGAGGGATGTATGCTCGGAGCAATCGATCACTGCATGGGAGAGGCCAAAGACCTTCGCGGCCACCTAGATTTTGTTAGGAAGAAACGAATACAAAACAACATGAATGCATACCAGCTCTAACTCCAGAACCAAGTCATCGATAGAATCCGGTTCTGTATCAATGATACAATGCTCCTGTGCCACGAGGCATATCAGAGTCGCAAGTTCCAAGTCACTCAAGTCATGGATCTTGTCGATGAGAGGTTCGTCTGCCATGAGGCTACTTGCGAAACTCAATCATACATACTCAGATCAGTGTTGACTGCTGCACAACAACTGCGGGGCTGAGAGATGAAAGATACTCTTAGGTGCTAGTAATTTGAGTAGTTGTTGTTGTTGTTCTCGTTGTAGTTATCGATGTTGTAAAGTCAAGGAGGACTAGCGTAGAAGCTCTGACCAAACCTTAAGGTTAGACCGACAGCATCGAATTGCATTTGCCTACCATCAACAGGCGTCTGTCACTCCAATACATCAACATTCAAGGAACCGGAATGCGGCATTTCTTATAACCAAAATATGGCGAACCCGACGGCGGAATGGGAGAAGGTTGGCGATAAATTCTACCGCAAAATCCAACTTTACACGGCCGTGTTCGACCAGGATCTGGAGCTTGAGAATTACATCGTCACGGGATGTTCATATGGAGGTGCTATTGGTACGTTATTGTCTGGCCGATTTTTTCAATCAAAAAGAGATAATTTGGGATGTCGCCCAACGAGCAAGGGTTGGGCTTTAGAAAGAAAGGGGAGAGGCAGCTCGTCATGGCCCATTCCAAACGGGCATCTCTCAAACCCCTGCTTTTCGTTTTTGGTTCCTCGAGCTATTTCCAGAGCTTATTATATGGAACATAAAGCAAGTGCTTCATGGTCTGATCAGTAGCGCTTGACTAGAGTCGTTGGAACTTCATATCCATCACGTGATTGCTACATCTTGATGTTCTCCATTTTCTGCTGTTTGATGTATAGAGAATTGCCGTACTGATCATAGTCCTCCTTCTATAGCATTATACAGAGACGAGTCCAAGCTTCATTCGTTTCGAGGCACACAAGCCTCCAAATCCAGCATCGACCTTTACAGTTGCGCCGGGAAACTGATCCGGCGCATCAACTGGGATAAAGGTTCCATCAAGGGACTTGGTTGGTCAGAAGATGAGAAGCTCATAGTAGTAACTGCCGATGGTACGGTTAGATGTTACTATGACTTGCAAGGAGACTTCACACAGTTTTCACTTGGAAACGGTGCAGATGAATATGGCGTCGAATCTTGCCGGTATGTAAGCTTGGAAGGCTTTCTCGATGGTTGCTAACCTGAAAGCTAGATTTTATGGACATGGATTTGTAGCGCTTCTTTCAAACAACCATTTGATATCCGTGTCAAGATACGAGGAACCACGTCCTAAGCTTTTAGTCACGCCTCCTGAAGGCAATGTCCATTCGTGGACGCTCATTCCTCCAGCACATACGCTATCACGATCAGTAGAAGTGTTGTTGAGTATTGGTCAAACAATGTATGTGGTTGATGCTACTGAATCAGAAGATCGAATGCTAGACATTGGACCTTTCGCCCACATTAGTGTTTCTCCCAACGGAAACTTCATTGCCTTATATACAGAAAGTGGAAGGGCATATGTCATTAAAAGTGACTTCCAAAATAGACTGAGTGAGCATGACTCGAGATCAAAAATACCACCAAAAGATGTACAATGGTGTGGGAATGATGCAGTGGTCATTGCGTGGGAAGATGAAGTCCACATCATTGGACCGAATGATGCCGCTGCGAAATATTTATACGATGGTCGAGTTCATCTAATTGCGGATCATGATGGTGTTCGCCTTATAACGAACGATGTTTGCGAATTCTTGCAAAAAGTCCCAGAGGTGACTGACGAGGTCTTTCGATTTGGCACGGAGTCTCCAGCATCGATTTTGCTCGATGCGGTGGAGCAGCTCGAACAGCAGTCCCCAAAAGCCGACGACAACATTCAGTTAATACGGCCAAATCTAATAGAAGCAGTCGGCACATGTGTAAGTCCATTCCTCAATTGCCTACCCTCACTTCTCACAAGATAATAGGTCAAAGCTGCTGGTCACGAGTTTAGCATCCACTGGCAGAAGCAGCTACTGAAAGCAGCTTCTTTTGGCAAGTCAGTCCTTGATATCTATAACAGCGATGACTTCGTCGATATGTGCGAAACACTGCGAGTTCTCAACGCAGTACGATTCTATGAAATTGGGATACCACTATCCTACGAACAGTTCCTCCGCCTCACCCCTGAGAATCTCGTAAAACGACTTATAAATCGCCGCGAGTATCTTTTAGCACTTCGTATCTCAACATACCTCCGCCTCCCAACAGACCGCATCTACGTCCACTGGGCATCTCAAAAAGTACGCGTAGGCTCTGAGGACGAAGACACAATATGTCGTCTAATAGTAGATAAACTTGCAGGCAAGCGTGGCATCTCATTCGAAGAGATCGCCCGAGCAGCGTACGACGAAGGACGAGGTCGTCTCGCCACCGAGCTCCTGAATCACGAGCCACGAGCAGGGAAGCAGGTACCTCTTCTTCTAAACATGGAAGAAGACGAAATCGCCCTGGACAAAGCAATCCAGAGTGGAGATTCCGACCTCATCCTCTTCGTCCTCCTCCAACTAAAAAAAAAAACTGCCTCTCGCATCCTTCTTTCGTGTCATAAACAGCCGTCCAATCGCAACAGCGCTCGTCGAATCATCAGCTCAAACCGACGACGGCGAGTTACTAAAAGATCTCTACTACCAAGATGACCGTCGCGTCGACGGCACGAACGTCTTTGTTCGAGAAGCACTGAAGCAACCAGACTCCCGCGCAGCGATCGACAAGCTCGCGCTCGCCGCAAAGTTACTCTCGGATTCCAAAGAGACCGCCTTCGAGCTAAAAGCCCTGCAAGAAGCCAGCGCCCTCCTCAAAATGCAAGAAGCGTTCGACAGGGACCTAACGGAAACCTTCACAGGCCTCAGCGTCAACGAGACGATGTTCAAGCTCATCAAACTCGGGTACCAGAGCCGAGCAAAGAAAATCCAAAGCGAATTTAAAGTCCCCGAGAAAATAGCTTGGTGGATCCGGTACGCCCCTTTCCCTTTCCCCTTTCTTACTATCACTAACGAAAACCCCGTAGCCTCCGCGCCCTGGTATCCAAACGCGACTGGGCGGAACTCGAGTCCCTCTCGTCGACGCGCAAATCGCCCATTGGTTGGGAGCCCTTCTTCAACCTCATCCTAGCAGCAGGCAACCCGAAGCTCGCGTCGGTATTTATACCGAAAGCAGCCGGGGGACTGCAGAGTGTTGTGGTGATTGAGATGTGGGAGAAGTGCGGGATGAGGGTTAAGGCTGCGGAGGAGGCGGTTAAAGCGAGGGATGTGGCGGCTGTGGATCGGTTGAGGGAGGCTGCTGGGCAGGGCACTGTGGAGGGGAGGGAAATTGAGAGGTTAGGGGCAGGGTTGAAACGTTGAGAGAGGGAGGAGGAGATTTGAAAGGCTGTGTAGTAATGGAATTATTTTTCAACTTTGACATGAAACTGATTCCAAAATTGGTCTGCTCAAAGAGTGAAGACAAGCAATAGCTTTTAAGTCTTCATATATTACGCTTTATCTAGCCACTCATCCCAACCAACTTTCTCTTGTCTCCTACCCAAGCATAAGCAGATTCCCAAGGCATATTATATGTCCCCGTCATGCAATGAACCAAAGCCGTAATCCTATCCCATATGCGAGTAATGCCGTCCCATAACGCCGGTCCCGGAGCGCGTCTTCTTATCAAACTATTATGATCGCGGCCGTTACTTTACAATGAATGACCCATGCTAGGACAAACATCCAGTGCTAATAAGTACCTATGTTCACGCCACGCTAAAATGCAATATGTCAAGGCAGATGACACAATAAAATATGGCCTTGTCCCCTTATTAAAGTCTTCATTATGATGTCGGCTGCGGCTGGGGCGTTGATCGAGGCGATGGCATATCTGCTGCAGCGCCCAAATTCATCGCTGCAGCAAGTCTAGCGCCTGAAGATCGGCCTGCGCTCCCATCAAAGACAAACGGCCCAGCATCATTTCTTGGTGTCATTGGTCCCTCGGCTCCAACTAATACGTCGGACAAAGAGGAAGGTATGCCGTTAGGGCTCGGGGTCCGAGATCGACTCCGTCCTCTTCGGGGGTCGGGTTGCTCAAGATGTGTTCCCCGTGGCCGACCAATGTTAACTGGAGGTACGGTAGAATTCGATATTTGATCTGATTGTGAACCTGCGGAGCTTATAGGAGATGGTGGTTGTTCCACGCTTAAAAATTCCAGATCCTCCACTATGTGATTCGCTGCTTGACTAGAATCATCACTGGCTTCGTCTACGCCGTCGCTATGTTCGATATGATCTAGCTCCAAATCCTCTCCTTCTGCGTGTAGGAATGTGTTCAATGCCTCTGTCGTTTCCGTTTCGTGTTCAAGTTCTCCCTCAGGTTCGGGGGATTGTATAGGTCGATCCGCCGCGACTGGTGAGTCATCTACTGCTTGTACTTCCTCCCATCCAGCATTTTCGGCATCCGCATAGGGGTCCTCGAGTTCCGCTTCGAGATCTGCCACACTTCGGCAATTCGGACAAACGAAGTGAGGCCAGTGGGGTCCATTTATTATTACTCGTATACATTTGTAGTGCCATGTATGGGAGCATGGCGCGACGAAGAGGGACTGACAGGGCTGAAGAATCATTAGTACGGCTGTGATTTGGGAGATGAATGCAGACTTACGGCGATCGGCCCCAGGCAGATCGAGCAGTCCTGTGATGGTCCGCTTAGAGAAGACTTCCCTTGATTGCTATTCAACTCTCGGAGTCGCTTGTGGGATTGGACACTAGAAGATGGTTAATACTGCTTCCGCGCCGACAAGAATATCAAGGAGCTTACTTGAAACTACTTGGGCCATTCTGCCAGCCTTTATTCAATTCCACCCGTATTTTAACACATCTGAATATCTCCTCCTCTCCGCCTTTGAAGTCAATGCCTAGTTGTACGATATCACCATCATTGATAGGGAATGGTTTCGATTCCGTGCCAGGTGAGCTCAGTCGGATATGGTTGAGAAAGGTGCCAGAAGAGCTCCTAACATCTTTAATGAACCATCTTCCTTCAACGCACCAGAACTCGCAGTGGCGCCTGCTTACAACTTTCGACTTGAATCCAACTGGCGCTGCTGAAGGAACATTCGCTGGTGCTGTAGGCTGACTATCGCGCTCTGAATATCTCCCGACCTTTATGATTTCGCCACCGGTTGGTAATATGCGTGCCGTAGGAATGAAAGCCAGCGATGGCCTTGTCGCTCTTGGATCTTGGTGTGCGGTGAAGCGTATGGAGGGAAGCTGATGGGGCATGCCATGCGTAGAAGGCCTTCCGTTGTCAGCTGCATTCTGGCCATGATGTATATCCCCGCCTCCGTCGACTTGAGGCATGTCTCCTGCGATTTCAGCTGTCGCCGACCGCGTTCGAGCCATGGAGGCGGTAAGATCTGAAGCGACGGCTGACGAGTTGTTGGTAGACAAAACTGCCGAGGCTGGAGCTGTAGCTGTAGATGCTGACTGCGGTTCACTCTGCCCTCCCACAGCTGGAAACCACCCGCTTGTGAAGGAAGGGAATTCTGGGTCGCTGGTTCTCTCAAGTGGCGAGTCTATCGGGGATTGTTGCGCAGTTGAGGATGTTTGTCGAATGTTTTGGGTTGCAGCTGCAGAGGGTGAAGGATAACTGGTAGCTCGCGAGAGAGCTGAGGGGTGTTGGTTCGGACTATTTCTCGAGCTTCCGGGACTGTGACTGTGGCTTTGACTGTCTCGGGATAATATATGCGTCTGGGTATAACTTCGCAGGTAACTCAATCCGCGTAGTCGACTCGGTCGTGCTGGCGAACTTGGGGATGTTAAAGGTGGAGAGGCTGCAGCAGTAGGATTCCATGGGGGGCTCGGTACTGAGTACATGATGAAGTACTTGTTGGACCCCAGACACGAGTTAATTGCGGTATTTCTCGTGTTCCTCGTGTTTCTGCCTCGCAAACAAAGACCTACGGTCCTCTAATCTTCACTCACTTTTCAGAGGTCAGCGGGTCGAAGAGAGATAGATGGATGAAGGCTTGGCTGAGGTCAGTCAGTCAATCAGTCAGTAAGTCAGTTGAGCCGTCTCAGACTGACTCGGTCGATGGCACTTCTCGCCGAGCGTCGCAGTGGAGGTGCAACCCGAGGAGGAGGAGGTAAAGCAAGAAGGTTAACAAATTGAAAAGAGTTCAGCTATCCTACAAGTATCCATCCTATGAAGAAATAAAATGAATGGATGAAGCCTCCTTTTTCAGGTCATGTCCTAGCAACGGCAAACCCCGGTCATATATCCAGACCCGGTCTGTCGGTGCTCAGATTACTATCTACAAGACTACAAGTACAAATACTGTAGGTACAGTACGGTACAGTACAGTACTGTAGAGTAGAATAGCCCCTTGTATCGCAAGGCCAGCATCTAGATTTCCGGTGGCACAACGCGATGAGGGGAAGGGGACGGGGACTTGGGGGTGTGAAGGGAAAGGGGAGGGGCTAGACTCTTGACTGTTGACACTCTGAGTACTTTTGGCCTCTAGCGGATGACCCACGGCAGCATTCGATTCAGCCGCATGAAGTGTTCATCTACGCATAGTATGTTTGGCTATTGATGCTTAATAAGGAAGTTGTTGTTCTGTTCTGCAGAAACCACTACCACTCCCAAAGTTATACGGTACAAAGTAGTTGCGTTGCATAAGGACAAGCCAAGCACAGGGCAAGCAAGGGCAAGGAAGGAAGGTACTGGTGCTTATGTAAGAATAAAACAGTCACGTGTTATGCTTTGTTAATGGATTGGAAATGGTTTCCTTCGGAGTTAAGGTAGCGGCAGCGGCTACGACATCCCAGCGAATCGCGGCGTTTTCCAGAGACATTTTTGCAGATTGCTGAGTTGGAGCTCATGAACCCTTCAAACCAACCTCTAGATCCATCATGTTGAAGTGCTCCTCCTCGAGAGTGTTGACCCATGCTGTCGCAAAAAGACCCTCTGTCCACGGCGTATTACCATCATTTGGCTCTAGAAGTCTAGCCACCGTTGTTACCGGGATACAAAAAGTATATTACCAAACCCTCCTACTCCTATTGAATGCGCATCTCTAATAGTATATGGCCATAGGATCCTGCAGAGCTCGATCAGATATCTACCCTCCCAAATGGCCTCCGAGTTGCTACCGAAGCCTTGCCAGGGCATTTCTCCGGGATTGGCGTATATATAGACGCCGGATCAAGATATGAAAACGAATACTTGAGGGGCGTGAGCCATATTATGGACAGACTGGCGTTCAAATCGACAAGCAAGAGGACAAGCGATGAGATGTTGGAGACTCTCGAGTCGTTAGGTGGCAATATACAATGTGCTTCTTCTAGAGAGTCCCTGATGTACCAATCAGCAACCTTCAACTCAGAGGTTCCTACAACCGTTGCATTGCTGGCAGAAACAATACGCGATGCTCAGATAACGGAAGAAGAGGTTGCGCAGCAACTCGACACAGCCGCGTATGAGATTGGAGAGATTTGGTCCAAGCCAGAATTGATTCTGCCAGAGCTGGTACATATGGCTGCATATAAGGATAACACACTTGGAAACCCATTATTATGCCCCAAAGAGAGGCTCTCGCAGATTAGCAAGAGCACTATCGAGTCCTACAGAGCCGCATTTTACAGACCAGAAAGGATGGTTGTCGCGTTTGCCGGAGTTCAGCATTCCGAGGCCCTAAGACTGGCTGAACAGTATTTCGGGGACATGCCAAAGACAGAAGCTCCCCTTCTATCACAGACGGGATCAGAAACCTCACTAGGCTCATCAGCGAGTTCGGGTGGTCAAAACCCAGTATCGCCATCCTCGATACCTCGACAATCCTCTAGTCTACTTTCCAAGATACCTTTCCTCAAGAATATGTCTACTTCAGCACCCCACAACGCATCAGTACAGTCATACACTGATTTCCCGCCATCTTCCTCCGATATGTTACAACCATCACACTACACCGGCGGCTTCCTCACTCTCCCAGCTCTCCCACCACCAATAAACGCCTCCCAACTACCTCTCTCACACATCCATCTAGCCTTCGAAGCCCTCCCCATCTCCTCAAACGACATATACGCCCTTGCCACATTACAAACACTCCTCGGGGGTGGCGGTTCTTTCTCCGCCGGTGGACCAGGGAAAGGGATGTATTCCCGTCTCTACACCAACGTTTTGAACCAACACGGCTGGGTAGAATCCTGTGTCGCCTTCAATCACTCCTACACCGATTCTGGACTTTTCGGCATCTCATCCAGTTGCTCACCTAGCAAGGTCACCAATATGCTTGATGTCATGTGTCGCGAACTACAAGCGCTAACTCTGGATCACGGATACGCTTCTCTGCAACCCGAAGAAGTCAGCAGAGCGAAGAACCAGTTACGGTCAAGTCTGTTGATGAATCTTGAAAGCAGAATGGTTGAGCTCGAGGATCTAGGCAGGCAGGTCCAGGTCCATGGCCGCAAAGTGGGCGTGAGGGAGATGTGCCGCAAGATTGAAGAATTGACTGTACACGATCTCCGCCGCGTAGCAAAAATTGTCGTTGGTGGCATGACGAGCAATCCTGGCAATGGAAGCGGGGCGCCGACGGTGGTGCTGCAGGAGGGTGACGAGGAGGGAGTCAGGAGGAAGTCGCTCCAATGGGCGGAGATCCAGGATCGGATTGCAAGATGGAAATTGGGACGACGGTAAATGTGATCAGTTTTACGTGGGGAGCTTGGATATGTATGATCAATGTATAATACCCCGCGACGCGGGATCTGTATAGCACTTGCGTTTGTTGGGACATAGTATATACATTCTCTATTATCACAGCTGATATAGAGGGAAGTAGCCCAATATTTAAGCAGGCACTCTCAACAATTTCATCTCTTCCAAAACATACTCAAAATCTCTTCCACACAGCGCCTCGTTTTGTTTATTTCTTGCTTCCGGTCTCTAATCAATATCCACCCCGCCTATTCCATATCTTAACCATAACATCCCTATACTATCTAGTGCACGTATTCAAAGGAACGTTCTATTTTTCTACGATCTCGTTAGTTCTTTCTCAATGATAAACTTTTTTGATCTCATGTTGGCAGTTCAAATTAGGACATTCATGTGAATGACAATTTGAGTGCTTATCTTGAACACTTTGTGAAGTTGGGAATGTAGGGGCAGAGAAGGTTCTTTCCTTGTGTGCCTCTTGATCAAGTGAGGCTAGTCGCTTTCTTAGCAGCCAAGGCATGACGACCTATTGAGAAGAGGAGCACTTCAAACAGCATTTATGTCACGCAACTTCTGTGGGACTTGAATCATCGCTCGAATTTCTGGTTCTCTGTACATATCATCACGCTTTTGCACCCACGCTTCCTACGTCAAGCCCTAGGACCTGCCATTCTTAATCTGAGATAGGTACTTTTCGGATGTTCTTCATCCGTGTTATTACCCTCTAAATGCCTGTCCTTCCCAAGACTGGCTTTGGAGGGCGAGGGCTCCTGAACCATTTCCCGCCAGCAAAACTCCGCTGTTATTTTTGTGTCAGTTTCTCATACAAATAAAAGCGGCCGATATGTAAATAAAATTGGAATCTTACAACGCTATCTTAAGGCCCAATTCCTGAGAGCCGCAGAATCTGATGAACCGGTAAAGCTCTGCAGTGTTCCAGAATTCGACGCGAAGTGTTCTGGGGTACTGAAACAGAAAGAGGCTAGCCTTCGAGCTGTCGTAGTTAATGCGGCAATGTAGCATACTCAACATCCATTTCGGATGGCTCTCAGCTTCACATTCAGCTCCATTGTAGGGGTAGAAGAGTCGTTTTTGGCCATTGAAACGAAGATATTTCTCCTAGCCCGAGAAAATACTATACAAGGCATCCGATGAATCATTAAGGGTGCTCTGAATGGCTTTGACTCTGAATGAATCTTCTACCAGCGGTGAAACGCTTGCAGGAACTGGAACCTCTGCCTCATGTTTGACTTTCTGTCGTTTGCTAGCTTGTTGGCCTTCACCCATGCCTGTATTCTCAACTGCTGATGACGACGCATTGCTGCCGGAACTTTGGCGTTTCTCGTTCTGAGCGGGTAGAGCCATTGCCTCAAATGCCGCAAAAACATCGTTCTTGAGCTGGCTATCCTCAGCGTCTCTCTTGCGCTTCAGATCCATCTTATTTCGTTCTCGAGCATTCACCGCATCTTTAACTCGATTCTCGACATCAGTGGCGCGATTAGTGTAGTTAGCTGTAAACTCCATTTCGATGCTGGCTCCTTTCTTGGTGTTGCAGCGTTTCAATTCAGAAGCCTCGGCTACTTGTCGTTTCTGAAGGACCGCCAGTTCCTGGGCATGTCGTGCTTGGAGTGTTGTAAATGAGGATAGTGATTCTGCTTTATGCTGCGCCAGACGATTCGTTCTCTCTGCTCCCCAAGTCCTCGTCGCGTTCTTTTTCGCGAACTCCAACTCGTCATCCTCTTTCTTTTCAGCCTCAGTGCGTTGCAGATCTTCCGCCGTTCGAGTAGCTGCGATGGTCTGTCTCTTCTTTAGAAGACCGTCGAGTTCAGGGTTTCCGCTAGGATCTAAACTTGGCGCCATTTTGTTAACGTCCTGCGTAGAGTGACGGATTGGAATAGCTTTAGGCGAGGTAGCGACGATGGATTCCCTTGCAAAGTGACGAGATGTAGGTTTTTTGTTTGAGGCAGAAGGTCGCTGTCCAACCCAGGGAGGTTGTCAATTGAATGAGCGGGGTGAAATTCAAAAGTGAATTGGATGAGTAGATCGATCGTCGTAGATAGACCTGTGTCTCGAGTATAATCGTCTCTCAGGGGTGTTTTTGAAGGTGGAAACTCGTATTAAGTCTAAGAGCAGAATCTACAGTGCGGTTGAGGAATTCTGTCCGAGAACGATTTAGGGTAACAGCGAATTGTGGTTGACTTGGCCTTCAAAGGCGATGTGCCGACGAAGGAGTTGAAAAGGGGAGGATGTTGTAGCTCGGGAGGATTTTGGTGAGTTGGGTGAAGCAGAACAGGGAGGAACGAATCGAGAAATAATTCCAGTGAATTGGTTCCCTCCAACAAGTATGCAAAAACGCTAGGCATAGAGGTAAAAAAAAAAAACAAGCAGACTTTGGATCAAGCTCAGGGTATCTCTTCAACCACACACTTAGTAAACAAATGAGGTTGTAGAATGATATACAGCGAATGTGGTTCTTATGGAAAGGATGAGCTTGACAGTGACGCAAAGTCCTAAGAGGAGGCTTATATTGAGTGGCATGCAAGTTCATTCTTTACCATCATATCAATCAGCTTATAACGCACTGTTATGTCCTACTTTGGGTACCCAATCGATATATATCGAAACTATAAACTCGGTCGGTGACTTTCAAGAGCCTCCCGTCGACATTTTCTTTTGGATTTTGTACGCCAACTACTTCTGTTCCGTTCCCCATTCCTCCCTGAACACCCACCCAAATATCAGCCAAGAGTATATGTTTAGCCTATATACTACCAATCCTTTTGCAGGTTACCTTCCTATTATCCGTTGGGTTAGCGATGAAAGTCTTAAGCAATATGTAGAGGTAGGAAAAAAAAAGCATACCACTTCATCACAACGTGTCCAATGCCCCTCGTAATACCCCGCAAAAAGAAGGAAGAACGCATCGAACTCTCCGGTATCTTTGAACTCGAGTTTTAACGAAACAGCGCCGGTGCTACGGCATGGATACACTATCATTCGTGCGATTGCGCGGTCGTATCTGACCTTTGAACCAGCCGCATTTAGCACCCATTCCGGTCGCTGAGTGGCCATGCAAACTTCGCCCACAAACGGTTCAAAGGTTCGGTTGTTGCCATTGGCCCTAAGAGTTCTAATCGGCGCGCCTGGAGATGCGTGCCAAACAACCCTGAAAGCTTCTCTGCTAATGTTGCCGCTGATGTACCTCAGCTCGAAGCTTGTCTTAATTGCCAATCCTGCATTCCCACTGGCAGAGTACTCTGGTATCCTGCAAAGTATCTTTTCCGGGGCGGGCTCGGGACGCAGTGCGAGTGATGGAGAGTGCGACAGTAGGGATGGAACATTCTTCCTGGTACTCGTGGAAGGCATTTTAGGAATTCGTTCAGGTTGTGATTGAATGGTCGGTTTACTTCTTTTGGATCTTCGCAGATCGCCCTGTTCTGTCTCATACAAAGCTGGTCTAGCCGCCGTGGAAGAAAGTGAGGATTTATTAAGAAATGTGCGCTTGTTGTTGGGTGTTGGTTGGCTGGCTTTAGGGATGGATGGAGTACCTTCGGCGGCGCGACCAGCCTCTTCATCAAGCATCTTTAGAAGCTCGTCTTTGAGAATGCCATCCTCCCTCAATCTTTTCTCTCGGACTTCCTCTTCCTCACGTTGTCTCGCACCCGACTGCTCCCTAGCTTCAGCACCTTGTCGGCGAAGCACCTCACCCAACAAAGTATCAGCGACTTGTCGTGTCTCTGAGAGCTTCGTTTGGTTCACCCGCTCTTGAAATGCAACTTCCTGGGCCTGTCGGTACTGAAAATCGGCCAGCTCAATCCTCTGACGAGCCTTGATTGAATCGATATGTGCTAGCTGATCAGACAACTCTTTTCTTTGAGCAGAAGCTTGCGTCGCTTTCAGAGTAGCAATCTTCAGGGCATGTGATTGTTCCAATTCATTACCGCTTTGCGTCAGCCTCTCAAGTCTCGCATAGTCTTCTCGCTCTCTCTTCAATCCAGTGTCCCTTCGTTGTTGAATCAATTGATCCAATGAGCCTGAGTCCTTGGTAGGGGAACTAGAATCAGATGGCATGCTGTCAATATGCCGAATGTCATTGGCGGCGGCAAGGATGATGGATCTGAAAGTTGAAGATCGATTGCGAAATAGGTGTAGAAGGGGAAGTGGCTTTTTGGGGCTAAAATCTATCTTTCTTAATAAGTATAACATTCACCGGAAGATAAGAGTCAAAAGCTGTAGGTAGCTCCTACCTTTGGAACTAAAGCTACTAAAAAAGATCAATTCACTTGAAACAACCAAATACCCCATCTAAATACAACTACAGTGCACTGTTGGTATCTAGAAGTCCGAAATATCGATATGTTACCTACTGCTCGAACTTCAAAGTCCCCTTCTACTTTGTTGGCCAAAGACGCGAAAGTGAAGAGCTCACTTCTACAATCTCGCTTAAAAAGGGGTTCGTTGCACCTAAACACAAGGTACACGAGCAAAGGGGAGCATAAACATAGCAACAATCAAATATCTGCAAGCCAGCAGGTAGACACAGGCAAATTCTCATACAGTACCAATTATTAACCCAACACTCACTCCCAAACTTCCAAGATATGAAGTTCCCCAAGTCAACAATTGATATAACAATATTCCAATTACGAGATCCAACAAAATATGTGATTCTCTCAAGGCAACGGAATACCTAGTCACACGAGAAAGTAAATACAACCAATAATCAATTAATAAATACTTGCATTGATTCTGACAGCAACGAAAAAAGGCCGCAAAGTGCGACGTGCAACAAATTTTTGGAATAGGCAGCCGGTCACATGAGGGAGCCGCATGCATATTTTTGCTTTTTGATAGGCGTTGGCGTTGGGATGAGAAGGAAACAATTACGCATCGAGCAAAGGAAGGGACGTAAGGAAGGGACGGTGCTTTTACTCTCATCCTATGTCTCATGAGCAGAGCAGAAAACTTCGGTAAATGCTGAAGGCAAACTGGCTCAGAGACAATTTTCCCTTGTGTCATCTGCACATCATGCGAAATTTTTATTGTTACACTCACTATTCGGGGGCCAAGCCAGACATAAAAATGTTGGGGATCCGTCGTCTTTACAGCTTTGAAGACATTAGCTGAGATGTGTGGCACTGACGCTGTGACACTGGAAGTCGGAAGACCTAGGCCACCATCCAGGTCCTCAGTCACATTTAACAAAGATTAGATCACAATCAAACGCTGGAATACTCAGAGCCTTCAAAAACACAGCTGTGGTTCTTTGCTGGATAGATACCTACCTAGGTACACACTCATAAACAATACAGGTCCGCAATGTTGTGGAATCGTCGTGACTTTCTTCCAATGAGTCTTCTCCTCCAACGCCAAGGAATTAACAAGCACAATCATGAGTGATTCCCTGAATGACCCATGCCCTTTACTCCATGCTAGAAGACCAATGCAAATGCAACCCCAACGAGAAAGAAGCCCCTGATCTCGCTATGCCTGGCAAATACGTACGCTGAGGGAAAACATCAATAGTTCCAATAAATGGACACTGTCAAAGGAACACGCCAATCCATTTATCTTTGGATTTCACATCAGATTCGCACTCTTCCACCGCACATAGGAGCAACTTCGAGGGCTTGCTCTTATTGTTGCTGGGTTTTGTGATCTCGTCGAAAGAGACACCCGAGACCTTGTTGCGAGGGTCTCGGCTTTGGAAGCATCTGTTGCAATAGACCTAGAAAATTGTCAGCAAGGATTTGGTAACCCTTTGAAAGTTGACTTACGTGACCACACTCCTTCACCACCCAGAATGGATGCTCCTCCCTCTCCTTTTTGGTTGGTGCCTTGCCATTCTTCTTTGTAACGGGCTCCTCGTGTTCCTTATTATGTACCAGTTCGTCCATACAGCTGGGACAGATGATGTCCATATCCTCCGTGGGAGATCTAGTAAAGTCTTTCCTAGCAGGTTTGGGAGGAACGTGTTCCGCTTTCCGCTCTGCAAATGCAGGATGTCGATAGTCCATACGAGGCATAGCTTGCGGCATGGCCCCCATTGCATTCATCATATGTATTTGGCCTAAAAAGTCGTCTGCTGGATGAAAGTGGAATGCTTCGTGGTGGTGAGCCGGTCTCGCTCCTGGCTGTCGTGCAGGCATAGCATATCCCAATGCAGCGCCCACAACATTAGCCCCTGCACTTGCTGCCGCATTTATTCTTCCAAAGACCCTGTGAATTGCTGGTTGTGCAGATGCTTCTCGGGCCACTTCTCGAGGTACGAATAGAGAAGGTGAATCGGGGCGTGGTAGATGATAATGAGGAGGCGCTCGAGCAGACCGAGCAGCTTGGGGGCGGGGCAGTTCTCGCCCCCCTGTGATTATGATGTCGGGTTCACCATTGTCTTCGGTAAGGTCGATAAACTCCATTAAACTTGACGCATCGCTTCTTCCGAGCTGTGGCGGCCTTTGTGAACGGCTTCGCTCGCGGTGATGAGAGTGTGGCCGGAACAGCAAGGGTTCCTCGGACTCGTCTGTTAGATCGATTATAGTTTGGGAGGCCCGATGCTCGAGGCGTGGCCGTTGTGCTTGAGACACATCCGCCATATCTTGAGATGCTGTGCGTGAAGGTTGTAGGGACTGGTTGTGAGGGTGTGATGTTCGCCGTCTCTCAAGAAACGAAGGCGAGATGTTGCGTGTGAGGTTATCGTTAGGAGCCGCAGAGGCTAATCGGGCGGCGAAGGACGGGGTATCTCGAAATAAAATCGGTGATGGCGAAAGAGTTGACTGCTGGGACATCTCCAGAAAAGATCTCTGTGCCAGTGAATCGTATTAATCTTGCCCGTTCTGGTATTCATTCTCTACTAGCTACGGCCGGTGCTTCTTACCTTGTGGCGCTGGGGTTCTTGCCATCCGTCCATCACCACATTCGCGTGCTGTACTCCGCAGTGCCTCGCCTCTCTGATTCTCGTTTGAGGTTGATGTAGGATCTAGGATGGCGACGGACGGGCGTGAGGAGCTGGGTGTGAATTGGTCGTGCTGGCACAATGTGTTGTTTTTTGTTGTGGGAGGTGGAGGTGGAGGTGATTAGAATTTAGCGGCCCAGGATGCGGCGTTGCCGCAACACAAGTTGAGCCCGACGAACGTGTCTGCGGACCTTTGTCTTTGCTTGATAAATCCGGGAAATCAATGACTAATTGTCTGATTATTTGTAAAGAAGAGGAAAAGACAAAGTAAAGGAGAAAAGGAGAAAACATTGTCAGAGCAGAGCGTGAAATCTAAACCATTGAATCCCTGAAAACTCATGATCAAGAATAGGTAGAGCAGGCGCCTAATAAATGCCTAAGCGCCAGCCTGCTCCTTTGCCTACGCCTTTACCCTTTTCCGTTCTTCGTAAGAGGCAAACTTCATATTTGTGTTTCCTACCTTGTCTGGTAACCAAATTCGGTAACATGGATTTTATATGTCATGAACTAAATATTTGAAGTATGACTGTTATGTACATACCTAAGTAGGTATTGGTCGCTCTACTGTATAACCTTGCCAGGAGCAGAAGCATCAAACACGCAGCCTACCCTTCATGGAATTTAGACACCTGCACCCTGAATGTCCGGTGTATCTCCTTCATGACAGACAACTTTAGCATGTTCGGCGACTCTGAACTCTCAAAGGAAAATTTCCTTTCGTAGCAGAAAATGTAAACTCTTTGTTGGGAGGGGGGTTGCACATCGAACACCCCCCCTCTTTAGGTTCTTCTTCGCCCGAGACCATGAAGCCAGATAATTCAAGTAAATAATGACGGAAACTTTTATGATTCTGGATATCTTACAAACTACAGTAGACCCTTTTATCTTATCCCAGCACAGTGACAACTCCATCCTTTCCATTGACCGTAACTAGCGTCTTTGCCTCAGGGCCCCATGCCACAGCAGTGGCAGGTACAGCAAGACTTATCACATTGTCCCATTTCTTACTGGCTTTCGTATATTGCGAGATCGTGAAACCACCTGGGCCGGATGCGGCGAGGAATTGCGCTGTGTCAGGGTTAGTCTGATGCCCCAAATCCCCTGGGATGTTTCAGAAAGAGTTCAAAAGCAGGGCTTACCACTATAATCCCATCTCAGGCTGTCAACCTGTCCACCAATCTCCAATACCTTAGCTTCAGCGGCCTTGCCTTCTTTTCGCAAGTCGAAGATGACGACGTTGGGGGATCCCCTAGCGACGGCAGCGAACCAGATGCCGTTCTCGGAAAATGCGAGGTCTTGCACGGAGCCGCCGAGGTCGAAATTCGCAGCGTTCTCGCCAGTATTGACGTGGAAGAGCTTAATCTGGCCGTCAGCACCTCCGGCAGCGAACAAGTGGCCGTCAGGGTGAAATGCTGCGGTAGTGAGTTCTATTTCGTTGTTAGTATTGGAGGACGCTCTAGACAACATTATAAACGTACCTGAATCAGTGTAGATTTGGGTAACAGCCTTTCCGGCCTGTAGATCGTATAGCACGAAACTCTTGTCAACACCAACAGATGCGAGAATATCACCACTGGGATGTAAGGCCAATCCGTTGGCCTTGCCGGCGTGTGATGTGAAAGTTATCTCGCCGTCTCCAAATACCTTCACAGTCCCCGAAGAAGTGGAAACAACGGGCTGGCTTCCATACCAAACAGCATCTGTAATAGCGGCACCGGCCTCGAGAGTTTGTTGAACTTTGTTGTCGGCAATCGAGTAGACGCTAGCAATACCATCAGAACCACCACTGAGGACCAGCTCTCCAGCCTCATCAACTGCAATAGCGGAAGCACCTGGGTATAGAGGCTTAGAAGCAGTTGTAATGTTGAATTTTTCTACCGCCTCTGTGTCGGCCCAACCTTGTGGGACCGGGCGCTTCCGACGACTCTTCGAAAGTCTACAAAGGGTCAGTATTATATTCCCAGTGTTTTAGGGGGGAGCCGCCCGTACTTCTCTTGAGTTGCGTCAACCTTGGCCGCCAGCTCTTCTGGGAGACCTTGACTATCGATCTGCATAGCATCCCCATTGCTCGCCCCGGCACCTACTGTGACCTTTGACAGCGCATCTCTCGCCTCGTCGCGCTCCCTCGTTAGCTTCGCAATGACTCGAATAGCTGCATCCTGCTGGTATAACGCTGTAGTCAATTCCTGTCGCGTCTGATTGAGTTGTTGTCTTAACTTGAATGACTCGAGTGCTAACGCGTCCCATTCGTTTTGGAAAGTGGTGAGGAGAGAGGGAATCGAGGTGAGGGTTGGGGGTCGAGGAGTAACTATTCTGGCGGATTTGAGGTCGATGAGATCTGTAACTTCAAGCTCCTCTCCGTTCACTGGATCCTTATGATTCTCTGATATATATTGTTCGATCAAGCGCTTCTCGTAGACATTGCCTAGGTCTTGTCAATTCGCGTCCTGTTCTAAGAGGGATCTGGATATCTTACCTGACTTTGACGATGCCACAGGATGCTGTGGAGCCTCTCCAGAAACTGTCAAAAGTTAGTCGCGTAGGAACCAAGAAATGAGATCGTGCAGAAGGGCTTACTTGAGCATAACATCTTGAATCACGTCTGGGTTGCGAGTTCTGAGCTCCGGCGCAACAACAGGATCAATATGCAACTTTTTGAGGTCTTCCAAGTTTGTATCCACTTTATAGGTTAGTCCAAAAAGGGACTAGCGTGACTGGTCTCCAGATGGGACTTCGACCTCCTTCTTGTACAAGCAACTTCCAAACTTCCTACAACTTCCTACAACTTTAAAAACTTGTAAAAAATAGTCCATTGAGCCTTCAAACCATGTCAAGCTTTCAAATTCCCCCAATTACTGGAGTCCCAGCTCTATCAACCGTCGAACGAGCAGCTGTTCTTGACGCACTTTTTGAGCCATGTACGGCCCTACATACCTTGTCTCTTGATCTTCTTCACACCGAAACGTTCGAATCTTACAATGATCTCATTGCAAGTGTTGGCGTCCAGTTGACGGATCTGTCTGAGAGCTCATCAACAAGTGATACGGAATGGCTCGACAAGATTCTTGGCGCTCACCCAAGGCTTGGTGAGAAGAAAGTCGAGAGCGCTCAGTCTCAAGCAGAGCAGGCTCAATTAAATACTGGTGGCGTAGAAGAAGCAACGAAATTGCGGAATCTGAATGAGGAGTACGAGAGGAAGTTTCCTGGTCTCAAATATGTGTATGGAAGTCCTGCAAAGCTGGGAAGATTTTGAGCTGATTGCATTTCAGTGTTTTCGTCAATGGAAGATCTCGTCCTGTCATTATGGACAATATGAAAGAGAGGATAGCAAGGGGAGATGTTAGGCTTGAACGCGCAGAGGCTATCAAGGTGAGAGATCTCAGATATAAAGAATGATCTCATTGCTAATTCACACTGCAAGGCAATGTGTGATATTGCAGCTGATCGCGCTATCAAACTTCAACAACCATAGTTATGCACCTAATATTTTTTCCAACCCATCATCCATATTCACTACCCAATCCTTGACCCTTGAATGATACAATAATTTTCGAACGCCAACCAGACCATTGTTTCTCATGAATTAGCTTTTTACCTGCACAAAATAACCTTCCTGCAGTTTCTCTTCTCTTAGCATTCCTACAATAGTTTCTTCTGGTGGCTGAGGCGGAGAATCTGGCAAGGCCTGGGTTTCGATACCATCTATCGCGTCAAGATAGTCATAATCGTCTCCATCACTCGTGATAGGATTCATGATGTTGAAGTCGGAATAGATACTCGACACTCGGTCGGTTCCATCTTCATGGCAGTCTTCGTCGGTATTCACATCGTCCTCCATGTCAAAAGCATCGTAGTTTGAGAGGCCAAGAGGAGACGGTGGTAAGGGCGGCTCATGCGTCCTAGGTTTATGGAGCACAATCTCTCGCATCGACAGCCTGGCCCGTCCTCTCTCATGCTCAAGGCGTATGAAGTCCTTCGCCTCGTCTATCCGCATCCGAACTCGATTCATGATAGCTGCTTTCCTCAATTCGCTCCTACCCAGAGCTTTGTTTTGTGTACCTAACACCACAACCTTGGAGCCACTACGGTTGACAATGTTGGTAGCGGGCTGGGAATATGGCCGGCTAAGACGAGAAGTGATGAGATGCAGCCGGAGCCGTCTCTTTTTCCGGCCTTCATTTCCATTTCCATCTCCATCAACATCAGACAGCGCTCGTCGACGCTTGAACGGACGATTACAAGGGATCGAGACTGCTTTTGGGCGGTCGAAGCAGAATTTGATTGAAGGGCGAGCCGAGAAGGTAAAACGAAAATAGTCCTTGCTGTCGTAGTCGTCGTTACAAGAGATGCGTACCATAATCACCTATGCCGTGTGATGGTTTGTAATATTGTGTTTTATACGCTCCCTGGCTAGATTGGAGTCTTCATGTCCTCCACGAAGAAGAGCACTTGGAGACACTCGCTCATTTGGGAGACGGTGCGCGGTGATAATGGCAGCTCTGGCTGTGTGATGTTGAGAGCAGGATGAGAAGAAGAGAAGGAATGTAGTACAGGTCAGAGAGAAGTGATCGTCGGTGTGTAGAGGTGGTTGTCTAGAAGTCAGCGTTCTGCTCATCTCACCCGCAAGTTTCCTACTAAGGTTGAGTAGCCATTTGCGGGGAAGCAGGTCCATGCATGGGGACCCTGCCAAATACGACTTCAGGCAGGCGACGATCCAATCCACTGCACTGGATCCCCAAGACCCTGACGGTCACGAGCGCAACTAAAGAGCTGCCTTGATTGGCCTAGGTCGACACTCGCTTCTGTCAATCCTCGTACTTTGGGGCCCCGGTGGCGTCGCAAACCTGGTCAGGAGCGTCTTGCTTTTTCGTGCATAAAAATGTTACGTTTCCATTGAGGCTGACTGACTTCCTAGCGGAATTTCTTCGAGGCACAAGACGCAACTGATCTGTCTTCCTGATGTGCATAAGAACTGTAAGACTTACTTGGATTTTCAGCTTGCGATTCGGGGATAGATCTTTCGATAGGACCATCGCGTTGAATCCTTGCAGATCCATTTTACATAAGGCAACCATTCCGTTGCAGGAATAGGTTTTCTTCTTTTTTCCTCTCTTTCTACACGAGCTCGGAGACCCCCGATTTCGAAATTGGTGGCATTACCCCCATGAAAGTCCAAGGGCAATTATCAAAAACTATTTCACCATTATTGCGTTGCGGGATTTAGGAAGCGGGTGAGCCACTGGGGGTATCAGTGAGATTTGTGGAGAATGGCTGAAGGAGGTCCTACCGAAGGAGTGGTGCTTGGGTCTCCAAAAGCAAAAGCAATAGTTGGAGTTATGTGGCGTCTGAATAATGGCCCCCATGGCTTACAAGGTCATCAACTGGTTGGGACACAATCCGTACGCGCCTTCGTCCGTCATGTGAACAGAACTTGCTGCTCTTTCCCCCCTGGGTGCGGAGGAGAGCGAGTCCATTTTCTTTAGGTCTATTTCTCGCATTCCCTCGTCTTCTGCTGTGTATATAGATTTGAAGTTCCTTTAAGAAAGGGAAGCATCGCTGCTAAACCATGGTCTCTGAAGCCCTAAATCGCAGTTTACTTCTGCTTTGCGAAAGGAGATTAATAGAGGTACCGGTACTTTGATATAAGAGGTTTACGATCTCTCATGAAGGCTGGGGTCGTCCGGGATATTTCTGAGCTTTCGATGCTCATACAAATTACAAGGATGGCTGAATCGATGCAGTACCATGCTTCTGTTATTACGGTAATCTGGTTTAAGTATTCTTTGAACGTACCTTGAAGCATCTCAATAATCACCTAAGCAGGTCAGAAAATCTCCACTGAAAACTTTTTCCTCGACCCAACATCTACCTTTGGCATGCAGTCTTTGAGATTGAAACAAGTGTCGAAGTGTTCTTGAATTCGCTTTTGTGATTTTGATCTAGACACTAATAGTCTTAAACACACTAAACGCCTCGCCTGTGCCTACCAATGCCCCGGGAATCTGCGGATGCCAATGCAACTCTTTGACCTTCTCCATATAATGCACAAACAGCAACTGCGGCGGCACCTCTGCTACGCCCCCGGTATCCTTACTCTCCTCATCATCCAACTCGACGGCCAAATCCCACAGCGTAAGCGTATCGTCTCCAGCTGCTACTGCTACAATACTGTCGTCTGTAGGATGCCATTCCACGGACGTGATTTGCTCTCTATGGAAGTTGAAACTTGCTACTGGTGTAGGTTTTGATGGAGAAGAGGACGAGGTGTTGGGCTTCCATTGCCGTAAGTCCCATACAGCCCACTGTCCATCGTCGGCGCCGGAAGCAAGGAGATGTGTTGTTTGGTGCGACCAGGACATAACATTTACATCCGTGTCACTGACCTGGACGCTGAGCGCCGCGGTTCTGCTCTTACTCCGCACGTCCCAGACTTTGATAGTACCGTCGCTAGACGCTGAAGCAAAGACGTTCTTCTCCGACGGACTCCATTGCAGCTCTTCTACCGAGCCCGTGTGGCCTGTAAATGGTCGAGAGTCTGTGGCCCAGCCTTCGCCCGCGGTTCGGGTGGTTACGTATATGCTGCCGTTGTTATCGCCGGTTACGAGCTTGCCGGTTGAGACCAGGGGGGACCAGTCGACGGCGTATCCTTCTGCTTTGTGCATGCGGAGGGTGGAAAGGGGTTTGTTTTGTTGCGGGGTGATGACTGTGCCAGGGGTATCGAAGGAGGCGAGGTGAGGGGTAACGTCGTGGATGAGAACTTGACCAGCTTCTGTCATTGAAGCCGTTAGGGTTGTGGGCGGCCGTGACGAGTCTGAGGCTGGGGATTGGTGTGCTCGAATCCGGTTCGTAGCAGACGTGAAAGGTATAGATGTCGATTCGAGAATCGGGTCTGCGTCCTCGTCCTCATCGTCTGATGAATCCTCATCATCTTGCTCCCGCTCCATCCTGCTTAATCCGCTGAACTTCATGACCATCAATGCATTCTCCTTTTCCCTCTTGTGCTCCGCTTGTGTTCCTGCAACCGCATACATCGTAGCGGGGTAATTCTTCCTGTTATCTCCCAAGCTATCTTTGACAATGTCAAACGACAGACACGGCCAAGGCGTACTCAGCGCATGTAGCATCTCGTATGCCGAAAGATCTGGGGCAAGTGTCTCTCCAGGCCCAAGTTTATTCCTACCAACAATAAACGTCTGTTGGTCTACATCCATAGCCTCTGTAGAACAGTTAGTAAATATACCTCATTTGACACAAAAATACCAACACACCAGCTTTTTCCTCAGCCTCCCTCTCAGCATCTGGCCGTCCATCCACCCCCGCCTCCAAAATCTCGTCCTCACTCTCATATTCGTCCTCGAATTCATCCTCAAACTCCCCCACCTCGTCATCCAAATCGCGTTTCTCGGGACGTTCTCCACCCTTCAGAGACGCGCCACCATTTTCAAAATCTTCTGCCGCGCGTTTAGACATATTTGCCCTTTGTCTCGGAGTCCGTACTTGTGTAGATAGTTGGTGGGGTAATTGCTGTGAATTTGCGCACTTGAAATAATTTTTTCTTATCGCCCGTCGCAAACCACAATCGCGGGAGAAAAGTGGAACGATGTTTTTCCGTTCCGAACAACCTTATTTTCGAGCTTCAAATACAACGACGGTTTGAGATGAGAGGGAAGACTTGTATGCAGCGCCAAGATGTTATATGAGCTAATTGCAGTCGTGAGTTGCCTTTCTCTTCCAATCGACTCGTATATGTGTGCTAATAAGAGAACCAGGTCCGACCGGGCAACCTCGCCGAGGTAAAAGAGTATGCCATGCCGTCTCTCCTTTCCATCACCAACATCTTCTTGCCATCAATAACGACAGATCTCTAACAAGTCCACAGAATCGCACGCACAGCCGGTTCCCTCATTCTCCGCAGTGGTGGCACGATTAGGGGCCTTAACAACTGGGGTGTCTTCAACCTCCCCAAGAAGACCCGCAAGCATCAAGCACAATATACAAACGGACACTACTTCGTCATGCGCTTCGATGCCTCTTCCAAGATTCAGGATGATGTACGGATGACGTTGGGATTGGATCCGCGGATGATCAAGTTTAGTAGTGTCAAGTTGGGGGATGGGACGTTGGAGAGCTTGAGTCGGATTTCGGGCAATGTGGAATGGAAGAACAGGGAGGAGTTCTGATAGAAACAAATGAATGAAGGGTGTGATGGAGACAGGTGTGGGGAGGTAGAAAGTAGGTTGAGGGGTCTGTATTATATGGGCAGAGCATTGCATGGCGAAATGGATATAATGGGAATGAGTGTCATGTAAGATACTACAATATCCCACTTCAAATCAGTAATTTGGCCACCAAAACAAATAGGGATTCAAAGTGTAGGTTGTTCCAATGTTTTCACTCGAAAGTACTGTTTGTGCGTGTCCAGGAGCTTTTCCTCTGCATGTCGAAGCATCCTATTACCTTCGACGTGGAACAATATAATACCGCGGATCAAATGAACCACGAGACAATAGATGCTGCCAAACAAAGCTTTGTTTCTGCAGTAGTCAATATTAGGCTCATGCCCATCCATGCCCTATGGAATCTAAAAGTCCGCAATATCGCCAAACTACGCCAATTGCAATGCTCGCTCGAGCGGCCCAAGGAAAACCCATTCATGCTCAGTAGGAAAATTTTTCTTTAGTCAGTCTCCATTGGAACATCTCCTCTCTTTTCCTTCGCAAAAACCACAAACTCGTCGATAACACCGGGCCAGGCCGACTCTTCACTCCAGAAGCTCAACGTCTCATCCTGCATGGTCTTTTGGGCGAATTCGAAGGTCTGGTTCCACATGTCTTTATTGACACTCTTAGTCCAATTAGTGGTCAAGAATTCCGACCACAGCTTCAGCCAATCAGTTGACGCAGTAACCCATAGCTTTCCTGGAGGACTGAAAATGATTTGCCAGTATGTGAGAGCATTTTCGAGAGAGATGGCTTTCTGACCCTTTTCTCTGGCACAGACAAACACATGTCGATACACTCGCTTAAAGAGATCGATATCCGTACTCAATTTGTTGACTTGCTTGATCACGTACGCCTTTTGCTTCGGGATTGTATCCGCACTACATGCCCAGTTAGAACTATTCGGGAGGAACACTGTGGACCTACCCAACAGCCTTCCATCCATCTATAAATCCTTGTTTGGATATCTCTCCGACAGTAGGTGCCTGAACAATCTCCATAGGTACCTGCAAATTTTTTAAGTCAGCATTACTTACTAGATATAGGAGGCTGTAGGAATAAAGTTTCAGAACTTTCGAGACATATGAAGAGGTTACATACCAACATGCTAGCATCTTCCAAACTAACGCCAAGAGCCTTGAAGTAGGCCATCGTTCCGTCTACACTGACAGTGTCTCGTTCGTCGGTTTTTGCATCTCCATTTATATCACAATTAGCCACAGAAGATCAATGATTATGGGGGAATGATTTCCCTACCTCGATAGCTTTCAAAAAGCTTGTCTAGACTGTCTCTTGTGGCCATTGCACCAGGTGCCGCTGACCCATTTGCGGCAAAAAAGCTACGAAAGTCAGTACTGAAAGAAAACTGAAACGTCCAGAGCTCTGTCATTGGCGTAGTGAGCTGAGTAAAATCAATTGGGTACACCATATGAAGCGGGCGTTTTGGGCATTGCGATGGTTGTAGGGAGTCGTCCGCCAGGAAACCGTGGCCACGCAATAGTCTATCGACGTCCTCAAAGAACCAGCGTAGTTCAGCCTTTGGATGTTTGAAGCGTGGTACGATAGGGGGGTGGCAGAATCTGGACGCGGCGTGCTTAGGAGCGCATCCGTCAGAGCGACCATACGGAGTGCGCTTTTACGATCGAAATCCTCATCTCTAGAAGAGAAGCCCGTCAGGAAAAAAGCAGCCCGCTGCGTGTTGTAGGAGAACATATGGGCCTCGAACCCTGTAAAGAGCTTGCCGTTCCTTGAGTGATAGCGTCGCCAACGATTGAAAGAAGTCACATTACGAATAGTCTTCAGGTGGACTTTCTTGACGGTGACGTCCGTAAGGTTGTACTCGTAGATAAGGTGAAACGTTTCCGCGTCCATAATGGGATGTGGTAGAAGGTAAATGTGTTTGGTGGTTATTCGATTCGATAGAGTATGCCGTATTCGTTGCAGTGCGAAACATTGATGAAATATGTTCTTACCTGTCAGAAGCATTCTCGATCTTCCAACCCGAAGCCTTGAGCAACTGTGGGAAAGAGTCATTAGCATGGTTGTTCTTTCCACTTTCAAATAAATTTTTGGCTAGGTAGGCAGAGGCAGATAAAATGAGACTCACCCGTTGCGCCGTCTTCTCTGGCACACCCGTCAGGCCCATGAACTGGGAAACTTGATTCCGCTGGAGGGGGGTTAAGGGAGGCATGAGGCCGGCTTCCTGTCTTATGCGCACGAACGAATATTAGGATTTTAGATGTCTGGGGAAGAGGGGGTGAACTTGGAGTCGAGATCAACGAGGGTGGAGCGCGCTAAATGAGGGGCGCGGCTGTCCGATAAGAAACTAATACTTATCAGAAGCGAGCAGTGAGTGAGTGAGTGAGTGAGTGAATAAAATAGGTAGGGAGCTAGGCTCGCTCATGGTCCAGACCAGACTCATGTTCGCGTGAGATATTTGATTTCAAAGTATGTGTACATTCTTTCAATAACTGTGGTATAGGAGTCATATTATCACTACTGAATTCAATCTTTCAGACTCGAAAGTGGTTTCTAGAAACTAAATGTCCTACTTCGTCCACACGTGAAATCATCGAATCCATTAACTATGTGGGCGTGGACATAGGTACAGTACAGTCGCTAACGCTATTGAACGTCCAAAAGAATCTCCCCCGAAACGAATGCTGCTATTTACTAAATTCGTACACCACGCCTCAAGTACTTATGCATCGTTACTCATCACCTAATGGCATACTCTCAAGCTCTTCCTGGAGTTGCTTCCAGTTGTCAGCTTGCAACTCGGAATACTTCACTCGCTCCTGCGACCAGTCTTGGCTCAAACGGCTGACGTGATACTGCGAGCTTTGAAAGAATATAAGCTCATCTCTAATGCACTCCTTGATGAAAACTCCACGAGCATGCTGAGCAACAATGGATTCCTTGTCCTAAGTGACTGTTAGCACTGAAGTTCCCGCATGCCTCCTTAGATACTGACCTTGATGATAGAATCCGTAACCTTTTCAACCTCTCCCGGCTTGATCAACTCGCTAGGCTTGGCTCGAATGCCTACGAGCTTGGTCTCGTTGCTTTGAATTCTTCGTTCCAAATATGGAATGTTGTCCTTGTCGTACCTGTCACGGCGATCAAACATGTCTCTCATACTGACTAAAGCATCTCGTTGCCTAGAAGAAATGAGCATTAGTTCGTCATTTCAAAGTTAAGAGATATATCAGTTGCAGACCTTTTTAAGTCCTCCAATACACCCTGATCCCAAGCTCTTGCCTCATCTTCCAGTAGACTCTGGCTGTTGGAAACATGCTTGGCCATTGCATGGATTCCCTCATTCAATAGCGGAACATCGTTGGTGTCGGTGGAATAAGTGTCTTTTGAAACGTCTGTTAATGATTGCAGAGAAAGAGAGAGTCGCAACTGGTCTGCGGCAAGGCCCTCATTACGTTTAGCAAGTCGGTCCAGGAGGTTACATAGGTTGATATAGATCTCAGCTGATCGGCGGACTCCCGTGCGAGTGGTCTCAAAGAGTTCGTTGAGGCTCGTCGGTAAAGAATCTTCGAGTCCAGGGGGTAGAGGTTTGCCTACAAACTCTTCCTGGACCGAGATAGTAGCTTGCTTGCGCCATACAGCCAGCTCCTGATGCTAATTAGCCATCTTAGCCATACTGCCTTGAATTAAGAAAACCTTTGACGACTTACGGTTGGAACAGTCAAAAACATGATTACTAGCTGCTCTTGACCTAGGACAGGATGGCGAACAAGGGCATTCGCGAATCGAGCGAGTCCCCTCCTGCGCTTTTCGATAAACGTACTGTCGGCAGCTAGGTGACTTCCGTTGACTATTGACTTATTAAAATATGGACATAACTCAAAAATCAACGCTTCTCGAAGATTCTCCTGATTCTTGTGGGATAAAGGGCACAATGTTACATACCTCCAACTCTCTTGGGAGGTAGAAGTGGTAATTGGCGAAAGGGGTATCGTTTGTGTAAACAGTCTAGGAGCCAGACAAAGTCGCTATATCTCCTCACGACCTTACTGCCTCTTCTCGGACTCGAAACCTGGTAGTTATGATGCTGAAACATGAACATGCCCTCCTTCTCTGGCAACAATGCAACACTTATGTTCTCTTCGGGTCCCCCGTTGGTCACACGCCCTCCACCAAAAGACCGGGCCGGTGCATTAGAAGGAGGACGGTCCCCCCCACCGCCACCCAGAGCCACCAAAGCCGTCCCCCCCAATGGGAGATTCTCCTGGATTTGAGAATGGAGCACTTGAACCGCCATCGTAGGCGCCCCATGCTGGAGTAGATGGGACATCTCCGGCTGGTGGTTCGGAACTTCCATTGCCCTCCACTGATCTAGTTGTGAAATTGCTCGTAGTTCTGCTTGGCGCATGCAACCCATTGCCTAGACCATTCGAGGTTCCATTTGTCTTGGGCGGAGTTGCGTTATGATCATGACCTTTATGCATTGCAGGGCTTGCCCATGGATCTGCTTCCGGAAAGTCGAGGGAATCTTTTTGCATTATTCGCGGCTTTGGGGGGGACGAGAAGACAGGAGCTGGAGGTGGGGTATTTGGACGCTGGGGAGGCTTCGCAGCTAGTTCTGATGCGTTTGGAAAGGTAGTTGGTTTGGTTGATAAACTTGGTAATCTTGGTTCTGGCAAATCTTGTACGGTTTAGCATACGTCAAGCGAATTAGAATCAAGAAAAAGTACTGACTTCTTCTCCGCTCATCAACACCGTCCAAAGTTATATCTTCATGCTCTTGCGCTAGTCCAACCAATGCCAGCAGAACGTTGAATTCGTTCCTGCTCAAATCTGTAAGCTGCCCGCCGGATGATATGAGGTTTGTTATTCGGCCCTGCTCATCAGTACCAAGATTTCCTGCGCTCAAAACATTTGTAACACCAGCAGGCGTTATTTTCCCTCCACGCCCATCTACCTTTAGCATGCTGTCGAAGGTATCAATGTAGCTATCGGGAACAGATGACGAATCGAGTAGGTTCTTGATCAGATCACTGCGGGCAGCTTTCTTCGGGGTAGGCATTCCCCATGGCGACGAGGTAGGGGCATCGTCTTCAGCAAACAGAGATGATTTGGATCCTGCTGGGCTTTCATCGTCGGCGAATAACGAGTTGCGAGACTTGGAAGCCGCCGTATTGATCGGGGCAGACTCTTCTGGCGATGACCCAAACAACGACATTGTCCTAGGCCTGTGTAACCGCGACTTTCTTGAGGAGACAGTATGCGAATGGGCTTGGAAGATATGCAATGTTAATACAGTTGATGCGACACAAAGCTTGTGTAGAGCTTGTGTTATCAAGTGGGCGTAGCTCAACCGCACTAGAAGTCCGAGTCCGAGGTTCGAAGCTATCACCAACCAATCCCTGCACTTCAATCACATCGGTCAAGTTTCAAAGTCAATATAAGGAACAAAAATAGCAACCATATGAAGTGCTTAAATTATATAATTACTTACATATCTTTGGAAGCCATCCTATTCCCAGCAGCATACTAAAACCTTGAACTGATTACCCAGTATACTTCTTTCCCTGTGCTAATATCAAATTCTTGGTTTGCAGGTAATACTGTTAATAAATCGACTTCATTTCGTCTAAAAAGAAATCAGTAGTCCAGAGACTCAATTGAAACCTCCAGTCTACCCTGAATTTGCTCTCCTAGATAAAGAATATTGAGCTCCAGCAAAAACGGAGTCAAATCCGACAGTGTTCGTCAATTACAACAGGGAATAGTTGACTAAAAGTAGATGATCTTGGTACCGGTATGCAATTTCTTGCTTCTGTTTTACACCATCCATAATCTATACATTTCATATGCACAAGAGTCGCTAGACTTTCTACCATAATCTGTTCTCCTTCGCTGCCTCCACTGTGCGAACTTTCTTCGTCTTCTTACGTACTTCAACTCCAGGTGTCTTGAAGAACAAACTAGGGCCATGGCCCTTCTCGACCAAATGGCTTAGATATCCTCTATGTGCCGAATCGCGGTAATATTCCAAGTCTTTTCTGCTCGTTGGATCGGGCAATCGGTACGTAAAAGGAGATGCTGATGAAGCTGTGGCGGCAAGTATTGGTGACTCCTCTTGGGCACTGATGGGTGTGAAAGCAAGTGGTGTAAAGCTTGACTCCGATTCGCCTCTGAGAAGTCTGCGTATCGATTGTTTGGTGTAGTATCTTGTGGTGACCTTGCCTCCCGCTGCCTCAATTGTTTCAATGGCGGCAGTCGATGCTCGTGAGACCAGGATGTTGATTGGGGTCTTCAATTCGTCCTTTCCTCTTGCCAACAGCTTCACTCCATCTTTCACGCCATGAAGACACCGCGATTCTGTCAACTCCTTCACGGTGATAGGCTTGGTTGGATCTAGTCGACCTTGGTCTATCCAAGACTGAATGCGGTTGAGATTGATGGTAGACATATCAAGAGAGAAGCTGTATGAGCAGTTAGCAATTTGACATGGAGGTTATATCCATTGATATAGACATTCGAATGGCAGGACTTCATACAGATTCTCAAAACCTCTCGTTCCGTGAACTACATCCTGCGGCGTTTGACCACCCTGGAACCGAGCCGGCACACTTCCATGCTGCTTCTGACCCTTATGACCTCTCCCAGATGTCTTTCCCTTTCCTGACGACGGACCCCTACCACGACGAATGCGTTTGTTGTAAGCTCCTGGATTGTCGGATAATGTAGCCAAAATGGAGGCATTGCGCGCCTGCATCAATGGCAACAGTAATGTTACCAACGGCTTCGAAGCAGCAGGCGCTGTCCGGCAACACGCCGTAAACGCTGGTAGTCGTGGAGGCATTGTCGCGGTGTTCTTGAGTTGCCGATAAATTTCGGAGAGATCTGAAGCTTGAATAATGTATCCGACGCCGCTTTTAGTGAATTCACATTAGAGTTGAAAGTTTAAAGCAGCGATAATGCGTGATATCGCTTCGGTCTCCTTTATTATTGTTTACAGTACGATACAGTCACTTTGCAATTACCTAAGGTAGACCTAGGTAGGTAGGTAGGCAGACCTCAATCATACTAATACCAGGTCTCTGCCAACCAGCTGTATTCTAATTTGTGTTGTCTTTTAATCTACTGCCCCGTGAAGAACCTGTTTTTTTCAGGAGGGATTTCTTGAAAGTATTCCATTGGCGGTGGCATTCCAGACCGGCCAGCGTGGCAACGTGGCTCGTGAGCGGGAAGGCTTATCGTAGCGCCGATAGCGAAGATGGCGCGCGGCGCCTGTTGTCAGACTGACCATTATTTACACTAATAAGCAGGTACAAAGAAGCTATTTGCAGCCAGAAAGAAGACAAGATGACACAAAGACTAGCAGCTTACAGTAGCACTTGCGTATCAATAAAAGAATAGGGGCAAACCCCGGAAAATAAAGAAAAAGAGGGGGAATTAGCTGCCCCAAATAGGAAAGAAATAGGTACTGTCTAGAACAAGGGGCCCTGCTGGTTGCAGCTGGCGCTAGAAGCTAAAGGGAATTTGGCGTGACCCTCGTGCTGCACAACGATATCTGCAAAAAAAAGGCTGGACTGACTGCTGGGACAAGTTGGTCGTCGATGATGTCTGATACCCTCACAAGCCCAACGTCAATTTACTTCGAGCGCTCTAGTCCAGCGCAATGGCTACTTTTGATCGGGGAAAGCAACGGCTCTTCTTTTCCCTTGCTATTGTCGGCGTCGTCATTCTCCTGGTCAATCTTTTCTTGCTCGCAGGCACCGATGTGCCCTCCACAATAAAGAAGATCTCCATACCCTACAAAGACAAGAGCGGTCAAGACACTCCTCCAGATCCCAATGTACGTCCCCCATCCTTGGAATTCTCATTCTAGTACTCACTGGTTACGCAGCTTCCCAAACTGCCCTCATGGCACCACGACAACAGCGATACTTTTGAAGAGCTCGTCGGTATCGATGACCAGCATCCCATTTCCGAGCTTATGAAGAAGGGCGACGAGGCATGGAATCAATATGAAGAGTCGAGGTCAATGACTTTCGGCGAGACAGTCCGCAAGTACAGAAAGACCTATGGAAGACATCCTCCACCTGGGTTTCGCGAATGGTACAAATTCGCACGAGAAAGGGCCGTTCATAATGTCGACGATTTTACGCAAATCATGGACGACCTACGGCCTTTCTGGGGAGTCGAGCCAGCTGAGATCCGATCGCTGGCTGCACATATGCATGAGAACGACGGGGATGGGGTCTCAGGTCTTCACATTCGAGATGGAAAAGTCTGGAAGCTTTCGAATTTGGGGTGGCGCATAGAAACAATGGCTAAGATGGTGGAGCCATTCGTCAAAAAACTGCCAGATATGGATATTGCGATGAACAGGCTAGACCAGCCAAGAGTGGTCGTGCCGTGGGACGATATGCAAAAGCTCCTTGCTGCAGAGGAAAAGACTAGGCGCGTAGCCCCTGATGCTCTCGCAGAATGGTCGACAAACATGACTGGCTTTTGGAAGGATCAAGATCCGGCCCCAAGCTTCACGGATGCGCAGTGGTTTCGAGCTCCTGGTTCGCAATACATGAATATTGCAAAAGAAGGATGCCCACCTGAGTCCCATGCTAGAGATGGGAACTCATCTGTAGAATCAGCCGAGGCCACTTACAAAATCCAGCAAGGAGGCTTTGTTACGAACTTCAATCTCTCGTCTGATCTCTGCACTATTGGTCCTGAAATCCAGGACAAACACGGCTTCCTCTATGCTTCGAGTTCGATAGTCGCAAGCAAGCGCCTTCTCCCCATCTTCGGGGAGTGTAAAGTCAATGTCAATAACGATATACTATTTCCAGCAAATATGTACTATAAGGATGATGACCGCTACGAATATGACCCCAAGTTCGACTATGACTGGGACGACAAGCACGATAGGATGATTTGGAGAGGGGTCACATCAGGTGGGACGAATACCGTCGAGACCTATAAAAACATGCACCGCCATCGGCTGGTTCTGCTCAGCAATGGAACTGTCATGGGAGACGAGAAAGTTCGGATCATGACCCAGGATACCAACAAACCGGGAGTCTACAACAATTATGATGATTTTGGTCCTGGTGAATTCGCGTTGAAGCACACCGACGTGGGATTTACAGAAGCTGCTTCCTGTGTTCCGGATTGTCACTTCTACGACGATGTCTTCTCCTTCAAGAACATAACGACTTTGGGCGAGCAGTTCGAATCGAAGTTTCTTGTGGATGTCGATGGACACTCATTCTCCGGAAGGTGGCATGCTTTTCTACAAAGCAAAAGTCTAGGTATTAAGGCTACCATCTTTAGAGAGTGGCACGACTCTCGACTTTTCGCGTGGAGGCACTTTGTGCCTCTGGACAATCGGTATGATGAACTCTATAGTATTCTGACATATTTTATTGGTCTTGGAAAGCCTGGAGAGCCAAATAAACCTTATATCCAACGGCATTCTTTCGAGGGCCGGAAGCTGGGACGTCAAGGAAAGGAATGGGCAACAAAAGTGCTCAGGAAAGAAGATATCGAGGTAAGCCATCCTATCCTGCAACTGCACCATCCTTACCGCGGCTAACCCCGAGAAGATTTATATGTATCGCTTACTCCTTGAGTATGCACGACTCATCGACGATAATCGAGACATGATTGGCTACTCCGGAGACGGCAGTGAGCTAGACAAATACGACGCGAAGAATCCTATGAGTGTGGCAAACGGCGGTCATGCATGATGATGAATATGGTGTAATATGCGTGGGAATGGAACGGCTGTCATAGCGCCTGGTGTTTGGAGTTCTCGGCGTGGGGTTGTTACGAGATTTGTACATATAGATAGCATACAGCACATATCAGACTCAAATGTCCACACTAATTTAATACTCAATCCGCTATTTTCCTGTTGGCGTTCGGTGTCCATGTTCATACTGGTAGATTCCGCGAGCTCGGATATACACGATACACATGGCTGGAGTTAAGAATTGCGTCAAGGACAAGCTTGCATTGCATACTTTTTGTCGCCGTTCTGCCTCTCGATCGAATTGCATCCTTAGTACTTAGTTCTTCGTATTCAAATGAAGCAAAATCATTTTTTAGAGCTCATTCGATTTCAAGAAGCAAGCAACTCTCCTTGCGGGTGAGAGAGACGTGACGCACTTCAACCAAGCCTCTTACGTCTCAGTGAGCGTGAATAAACCTTGAAGCACGCATGGCTAGCTAGCTTGCTTTTGTCTTATACCGAGGGACGAGAGGAGGTATTTTGCAACATCCAGCCAGCTAAGAATATATCCAACACAATCGAATCCAAGCCATCGCGCGTTCGGATTTCCACGCACTGTGGATTCCCGTGCCGCGTGCAAGGAAGAGTTGTCCATCTAGAATATGGCGATAATCTTCGAGGGGGGAGGTAGGAAGGACATCTTCCTGCAGCGAGCACTCGCTGGAAGGGGCGTTGGAGACTATGCGGTCGTATATGTTAGCACGGTTGGCGAAGAAGTTCGGATGGTGGACCAAGGAGCTCGCGACGAAGAAGGCTTCGCTTACGAAGTTAGAGAGGCGACGATTAATTTCTTCGGTTTGGGGGGTTGGATATGTGAGAAGGGTTCAAGTGAAGATCAAGTAGTGAAGATGGACGAATTTTGGGATTTTATTCAAATCTTTGGTGTCTGCTTTCTACTTTCTACAAATTTGGCTATGCTGAGAAAGGAGGACACATGCATTCGACACGTGTTCGAGAAACGAAGAGGCTATAAAAGTGGTATAAGGGTATCTCGAACTTCTTGGGGGTTGAGAAAGTCTCAGAGTGCCTCGGGGTCATGTTAGATTATACAAGGTACTGTACTCTTTCCCTTTCGAGGAAATTACGAGAGAGGCTCAATCAAGCTGTAGAGAGGTCCTTGATGGTGCGTGTCTTGATAATTGATTGGTAGGGTATAACTTCTAGGGCATTGGAGGATATAATAGGGTTCATGGTACTGGGAGAAGATAATGATAATATGCATGCTACACATGGCTGGTAGAAAGACTCCGCGCCTAGTAGCACAGCACAGCAAAGCAAAGCTCGGCCTTCTTCCGAGTTTGAAGACCAGTTCAGACTTGATTTGTGAATAGAAAAAAATATCCTTGGCAACTGGCCCAGAAAGACGAGATACAAAGGTTTTGATCGAAGAAGGAAGGGTAAGAGCTGGAAACTTGCGGTGTCGTGAACAAACAGGTTAAGTTCAGATCCAAACCGTGCTTCTTTATGACAATTTATATTCGCATAACTAGCACATCGTGCTCCTGACTAGATGAGACTGAGGAAGCAGGCATGTTGAGAGAGAAATTCCTTAGGCTAGATCTGAGAAAGCAGGCATTTCAAACGATTGAAAGTATTGCTGCTAGGACGGAGATACAGGAAAATACCTCAATGCTATGTTGGAGAGACTTTGGGATGGGGGGGCAATTGTATCTTTCGCCGTGAGATGAAACCGACTTGTTGGGAGTTCAGCATGCCGTGATGTATAAAACCATCAGTGGTAGAGAAGTGGAAGGTTGCTTGACTGCTCAATCCGAGCTCTTGAAATGTACTATACAGTAGATCACCTAGCACCCAGCATCCAATATCATCATACAATACTTTGCAGCTAAAATACTAGTAGACGATACACTCTCGTCCTTCCGACGACACTCGTAGCTTTACAGGCTAGCAATCTATTGACAATTCTTCCTGCGATTCATATTTCAACTACCCTGTATTCTTAGGAGCTTTTGGCTGCTTGTACGATTGAATGACTCAGGTATTTGAAGAGAAGGGTAGTAATGAACTCAACGCTCAGAGGCAAATGCCATTTCTGATCTTCGGCAGGTAATTCTTTCAGCTTGCCAACCACTTCAACATGTACATTCTTCGCAGTGAACCTCGACCCGGAATAGTTTCTCCAAGCTCCTCGATGTCCCAATTTTCTCGTGTCACTTTGACATCGCCGGACGAATCGTAACGACGACGAAAAACACAGCAGTAGAAACTTCTGCCAACGCTCCTGCAGTGCAATGCCGCCAGCCGGTTTTGCCACGGGAATGCCATGCCATGCCACTCAGTCGCCACCCATTTTCCAAGACTTCTAAAAACAGCCGCATGGCTACGAGTTGCAACTCTACTGCGTACAACCCGCCATGCAAATCTCGAACCACTATTCGATTTAGAAACATTACCCCAAACAAAGGCAACTAAAATTTCAAATTCTTTGGCTTGCCGTACCTGCCGGCCCGTTACCTGCCTGTTCTGGACGAAGTCGAATGCCGGCAGCTTCACCCCAAAACCTCTTTCATGGGAAGTGCTTGAAATACCAGAGTTTTCCAGCATCCATTAGACATAGAAATGACATAAAAGGGGTGAAACTGGTCGTAGTGGGTAAGTGAGCCGGTATTGAAGTTGTAGCGTAGGACCCTGGACCCTTAAGTGAAGGCGTTGCTTATGCGACATTTCGTAAAGCTGCAGGTGTGAAGGTGTGGTGTGTACTGGTAGTAGATGCTCTGGCGACGGAAGCTTGCTAGGGAAAGGGAGGCTTGCGAAGACCGCAGACGCTATAGGGCAAACTTGCGAAGGTTCCTAACGGAGATATGTCCCGAATGATCATCCGGGGTTCTTGAAAATGGTTATAAGACCGCAGGTGGTTTATATGCGATAAAAACAACGCGCAGTGTTGGCCGATCGATGACGACTGATTGCTAATCCTGGATATACTTAAATACTATTCAGAATCTGTGATTACAGTAATTGTTCTGCAAGTCGTGTATTTTGTTGCAGACGTCAGAGTTATTGGGGGGGGGCTGCTGGTCTCAATCGATGATCGACAGTCGCACAACGACTCGGTTCGGGGAACAGTACGGATACGAATGTTACCGTTCTCCGAATTGCACTAAATTGACACATAAATTGGAGTAAGTGTAAGTCATATTACAAATTGCAATACGGAGCAAGTCTTAAGACGCTGACGCTGTAAGAAAGTAATCTCAACTTTGTCCTACTGAACCATGTGCCGTCCGGCAGTGGAAAATAACGCTCTCGGCCGTGGAAAGAGACTGACAGCAAAGAGAGTTATCTGAGAAGCAGTCAAACCGGTCCCCTACCTGATCCAGTGACTAGTTCTCACGTCCACCTTGATTGACTAATGATGCTTTGGTGACCCTGTTAGTGTTGAACCCAACAACGTTTATTGGTCCTCAGATCCCCGGTACGAGGAACATAGTTGTAAACGGTCCACTTGCCTTTAGACAAAAAGTCAGCAGGCTGAAGATTGCTTCATAAAAGTCTGGGGTAAGGAGAAAGTGTGACAACGGGAACGGAGCGGCAGGACATGACAGGGGCCCAGGAAAGTTGGGAAAGTTAGTTTCTTCGATCGGAAATTCAAGAGCCGTCGAGTGTTTCTGGTTCTGCATGTTTTGATTTGAGGATGCGGAGGCCTCCTCCTCCCTCGGATGGAGGCTACTATGCTATGCTTTATTGGAGAACTGAACCGGGAAGGAAATATGAAAGTCCTGAACTCAATTTGTATAGTCCGAGCGTACCTTTACAGATGCCGTCGGTGGTTTCTAGATCTGGGGTCTGGGGAGTTGTTAGTGAGCACCGTCCATCTCCGTACTTGTACTTCTACCTGTGGTTAATGTAATTGACATCAACACGATTTCAAGCTGGATATAAGTAAAGGCCACAGCGGCTGTCGGTTAGGGTAGTATCAGTGTCCGGATAAGATGAAACTCTACTACCTTAAGAAATACAAAGACAGTACTTCGTAAATTACTTTGATCGTACTGAGTAGTACATAGTGCTGCATCGAAATCGCTAGTGTTGACGGCCAAAGTGGCTTGAAAAGCTGGGGAAGACAGGGGTGCAGGACCGGGATCGATGGCTGCTCTGCCTATCATTCGAACCATGTTGCTTCCCAGGGGCAGGCAGAACCCTGCTGATGGATGGCTTGAGTTGGCCGGGCGCCGAGTTGAAGGAGAAGACCCTCCTGAGTCTGGTCCTGGGTCCAGCGGATGAGGAACGGAGGGAGAAGGGAAGGGAAGTCTATTAGTCGGGCTACTAGCCTGTTGCCACCTTTGCCACGCCACGCGCCTACTCCGTACTGTACTGTTACTATACACTAAGTACTATCCAAGCGAGCCAAGCTACCTATGCAACCTATACAGCAGCGCCTCACTAACATATCACCTGAGCAGCAGAGCCCTTCACTATGGAGCACGCACGGTACAGTTGGGCCAGGACTCAAGAGGGCGAATGCAGAGGGAGGCAAATCGGTAGGACTTGCCGTTAGATCATCAACACCTCCATGTTACAGTATGTACTGTACTGTACTTCACTTCCCCTTCCACCTCCCATTAATCCACGAGTCTGCAGCGTATATGGCTTCTCCTGGCCAAAGCTACACCAGCGAATGGTCTTCTGCCGAGGTCAAGTACTTCGTCATCAGTCAGGTACGAAACGAAGATTGTAACCCTCCCCTCCCTCCAGAGAATGAACTGCTTGATGCTATCTTATCGCCGGATCGTTTCGGTGATTGAACATGGATCGCCCGAGCCATAGCCACTTTCCACTTCACTGTGGGGAAACGATCCGGAAGTAATGCGGAGAGAAGCCAAACTGGCAGTTGGAATAGTTACATCTCCAGTACGACGACTCTTCTGGACACAAAACGAGCGACACTGAACTCAAGAATCAAGAATCATCTCTGAAGTGGTCATGCTGTACTTGTGGTTTTTGGTTTTCTTGTAGATGAAGGTGTATCCTATCACTTCTTTCGCTTCTCCGGAAGGGCCTGATGCCTGATGCCTGATGCCTGATGCCCGGAGTGAGATATATTCCCGCTACTCTGATATGCATTTCGTGTGTAACAAGCGAGCATATCAACGGGATGCAGTATGCGAGGCATTTTCAAACATCCTAAACACTAAGTAAGTTTGCCTTTTGCCTATAGCGTAAAATATCAATATATCGTCGGATCATTTACCTAGTGGTTTTAATATGATATGCAGCGGAAGACTATCCTCGAGTGGACGCCAGCCAATCAGGAACACTCCTTGGTTTGCCTCTTCTTTCGGGACCTTGAACGGTTCAAGCAGTCCACGCGGTTCAAGCATTGAGCCTTTTCCCGTCCAATACGAAGTACAAAGTATGCGTAGAGTAGATAGTCCATGGGCGCCAGAGCAGCACTTGTTACTGAGAAGAACAGAATTCTATTCCCATTTCCTTGAAGTGCCCTCGTTTCCTAACTAGTAGTCCTCTATCTCCAATCATCCCAAACTTGACTATCCCCTTCAGACAACGCTTGCTGCTCCAGGCCCCGCTAACCCTTGCTTGCCAGCGCCAATGGTAGTCGAATAGAATGATGCTCATCCTTGAAGTGCATGCCCGTAGGTCACCCACCATTGAGGCCAGTCCCTTCGAGACTTCTTCGCTGCTGGCGCTCCATAATAAATATATGGGAACTCGTACCATGTGCAAGTTTACAATTTAGTGCTGTACCGCGCTGCTCAGCGTTGTGACTACTAAAGTAGTTTCGGCGTTGACGGCTAGCCACAAGCTGCCACAATTGACGGCGTTTGGAAGGAGTCCGTAGTCAGACAGACTCGTGGACATAAATCGCAGTGACCGAACTTCTGCTCCACTGTGGGACGCTTCTTCTGATCTCGTACAACAACATCATTGTCAACACCCAAGCATAATCTCGTCTCGTCAACGGCCCATATATCTACAAGATCATATCGCAACTTTAGACCTGCATCTAGGGCCCTTCCTGCAAGTCGCTGGAAGCTCGAGCTCAGGCAGGACACGACCGGGTTTGGTTCGGTTAAAAGGTGCAGCAGTGCAGAAGTGCAGAAGTGCAGAAGCAGAGCAGAGCAGCTGGCAGTGAGTGGATGAATTTGGTGTGGTTGCAGCGGTCGAAGCGATAAGTGGGTGGTAGGCCAGATCATAGTAATATACAGTACAGTAAGTATACAGTGTGTAGTTACGGTATATGTATGTACCTATAAGGTAGTATAGTACAGTAAAGTACAGTAGAACTTACGGGTCAGTACCGCAGCGACGCCGACGCAGACGCAGAAAGACGCACCGCACCTGCAAGTCTCCAGTTAAGCAGTTAAGCACCCGCCAGCTCTAACTAGCCACTCACTTATTATTGGTGACAGGCCGAAGCTGTGAGTCCAAACATCCCTCCTCCTATGATCCTATCCATATCCATATCCATATCCATACGGAGTATTCACATCGTGCTTCTCTTTCGCCCGTCTCAATCCAGATCGGATCAAACCCATATCCTACATTTGTTTTATTCACGTCCTGTCTGTTGTTAGTCGATCAACAAACGAATGGAGTGCTAAGTTTCAGGTTGTGTGTTTCTAGCATGCCAAAGCCAGCCTCGTAGAAGCTCTTTCCGCCGCCCCAATCGATTATTGCCCCTCCTTAACGACGACACTCGACGATGCTGAGCGAATCAACACCTTTAAACCAACAACAACCTCTCGCAATGCCTGCCGCAACGTCTTCTAATGCTGCTGGATCCAGTGGTGGAATCAACTCTGAAAATGGTATGTCGCAATTCCTGGTGAATATGCCAGCGTGGGCTCGGGGTTATAACTGATAAGTGGGATACTGAATTGCTTTTCTCTTGTCTCACCAATATATATACATATGTATTTACATATGTCTCTCTGATCTTTATGACGCTCTTCTAATACCTCCCTTTCTTCCAGGCAATCCGAAAGCCGCCAACAATTTCCCTCCCCCGAAAACAGACAAGCCCAGACCTCATGTGTGCGGTACATGCCAAAGGTCGTTTGCTCGATTAGAGCATCTCAAACGCCATGAGCGTTCACACACGAAGGAGAAGCCATTCGAATGCCCCGAATGTACGAGATGCTTCGCTCGCCGGGACTTGCTATTACGGCACCAGCAGAAGCTGCATATGACAACTACACCCTCTTCTAGACCAAGAAATCGCCGGGAGAGTGCCGCGAGTAGTACAGCTGGCCCCGGCAGAGTGCGGAAGGGGTCTGTCGCGAATGGTCATGGAACCGCAGCAATGAGGCCAAGAGCAAATACCATAAGTCATGTTGATGGGGCTCATATGCAGCTGATGGCTGCGGCCAATGCCAGTGTTGCCAGAAACGGACTCCAAAATACGCATAGCCGTCACCCTAGTCTTGTAGGACTTCCCATGCATAACGAATACCATTTTGATGGAATGGCTTCGTCTCTGGGACACCGCGGTATGGGACACGCACTGCCAAAATTGGAAACTCAGGGATTCAATAGCCTGGATTTTGGAGGCGGCTTAAGGACTGCACCAGTTCATGGTGGATTCAGTGCCGATTTTGATTACGAGAGATTGATGTTTGGCCCTGGTTCAACTATAAACCCGAATGCTCTACATTACAATGATTCCCCCCAGTCCATGGTAATTGACTCTACATCTCCGTATCTACAGGCTTTCCCAGATATGACCGCAAGTCAGACATTGGAGGAGAATTTTGATTGGATGAATGGCTTTGACCACCAAATGTCCTTCCAAGACGCCAACGAAACTGCAGTAGATGATGGCTCCTCGCCGTCGGCAATCAGCACTGCTAGCCAAAGTGGAATTAGTGAAGTTATGCTAGACGGTTCGAACAACCCAAATGTTTCTTCAGCATCTGTATGGCAGCAGCAGTCAATGATGGCACCTCCTCAGATGACGCCTAATCCATTTACTCTGGACCTCGGAAATTCTGGCTTCAACGATATGATGAATGGCGGAGTAAAAAATAGCAGTGATCCATATTTTGCTACGCCTCCGCCATCAATGAGTTCTCCGTCCATGATGTCAGGGATCACGACACAAGCATTTCACCCTCCCATGAATCTCGGCCCGGAAACGCCAATGTCCATGAATGGAATAAGCAGTCAGTCTTCGCTACTTCCGGCAACTATTACAGATTCTACTCGCCAGGCGCTTTTGTCTGCGTTGGCCCAATGCACACCATTTGGGGGACGTAAATATTCCTTTCCAACAACCAGCTCACCCTTATCCCCCCATTTTTCGGGACGCTCAAATAGCATTTCCGATGGATCTCGGGGCCTCCCAAGCACTCAAGATCTGCAGCGTTATATTGGGGCATACATTCGATATTTCCATCCTCACCTACCATTTCTCCACATACCTACACTTTCTTTTGATGTCCCAGGCCATCCCAACGATGGTAGCCATGCAGCTGGATTGATTGGCGGCCGTGGGTGCCTTATTTTATCAATGGCCGCGATTGGAGCTTTATATGAACTTGAACATTCGCAGTCAAAGGAGCTGTTTGAATCGGCGAAGAAAATGATACAACTGTACCTTGAGGAGCGCCGAAAATCTGACGTTCGAAAGGCGGATCATCGAAAGACGTCGGTTGACCATGGAGCACGACTCCCCGAACACTCGGTTCACACACCAGTATGGCTTGTTCAGGCTATGCTGCTGAATGTAGTATATGGCCACAATTGTGGCGACAAAATTGCTGGGGACATTGCAAGTACACATTGTGCTGCTCTCGTAAGCCTGGCTCGGGCAGCAGACCTACTTCAACCTCAAAATGTCCAGGGTCTCAATCATCAACAACAAGACGCAGGGTATTGGGGGAGCGACGAGATTTCGGAAGATCAACAAGAATGGCACAGCTGGAAGGATATGGAAGAGCGTAAAAGGACACTGTATGCCGTGTTCATCCTTTCCAGTTTGCTCGTTTCTGCCTACAACCATGCACCAGCTCTGACAAACTCCGAGATTATGTTGGATCTTCCCTGTGATGAGGAGTTTTGGGCAGCGGATTCCGCCAGCAGCTTTTATAGTAAAGGTGGTGCCCATATGGCTGGTCATAACCAGGTCACATTTCACGATGCTTTGGGCGAGCTTCTACGCACAAGTGAAAAGCAACAGCAGCTTCAAGTGGCCCAAGGCCAATCATTTGGATCCAACACCAATCCTCAAGAGGTACCGAAGAGTGATCTCAGACCTAGCACATTTGGATGTCTGGTTCTCATCAACTCAATACACAACTATATCTGGGAAACGAGACAGAGGCACCACAATCGGGTTTGGACAAATGAAGAAACAGAAAAAATGCATCGGCACATTGAGCCAGCTCTGAAAGCCTGGCAAGCAGCTTGGGCGAGCAACCCACATCATAGCTTGGAACGGCCCAACCCTTATGGATTCGGTCCTTTGTCCGCTGACAGCATTCCTCTCTTGGATTTGGCGTACGTCCGCTTATTTGTTAATCTTTCCCGGTCGAAAGAAAAGTTTTGGCAACGAGACTGGGATGGAATGGCGGAAGAGCTTTCCCGTGGCAATGAGATTATTCAGCATGCCGAACACTCCCCCAAATCCAACAATGACTCCGATACTTCTGCGAACAGCTCTATATTCGTCGACTCTCCTCCAACCTCGCACTCATCACCTGAGTTCAAAGTTGGCATATTACCTGCAGATAATGGCCAGCACCTCAATGGCCTACAGTCCAATAATACTCATCAAGTGGCTGCTCAGCCAATTTCAACTTCGAAGCGGGAGCGTCATCTTCGCAAAGCCGCCTTTTACGCAGCAGATTCTCTTTCCATGTCTGATAAGTTAGGTGTAACATTTGCAGATTTCACTTCTCGAGAACTACCTTTGCAGTCAGCGATGTGTGCGTTTGATTGTGCCCAGGTTCTCGCCGAGTGGGTTGCAACAGTACAAGAGCGCGTCGGGCGTTATCTAGGAATTCTGGGTAAGGATGACATCGACCTAAGCCAAGTTCCCGGTATCATGTTACTTGAAGAGGAAGATTGCAAGCTCCTGAACAAAATCCAAGAGGTACTGAATAGTGCTGAGATCAAGATGAACTATGAGATGTCAGGTATGGCGCCCATGGCTCAGATGAATGCGGCTCAAAAACTTTCTGGAGCCGAAAACTGTGGATATGGGAGCAAGATCTTGCGAATCACTGCTTATATGCTTGATAAAGCTGCTGTCTGGCCTGGTAAGTTTACTTGCTCAACACTGTAATTGCATACTAATGTTGGCAACAGTCACGCATCTTATGGCCATAAGTCTCGAGACACAAGCCAATCACATGAGAGCAAGAGCTGAAAATTCAGTCTCCCAGCGCGACTAAACACTGCGAACTGAATGGATACTAAAAGCGATAAAAAGCCTAAAAGTCTATACCAAAAGTTCCGGAGTTATGTAACTCAATCTATTCTTGTATAAAGTACGGCACCTAGATGACATGGCCAAAGGTCACCGTCATACTTTCCTTTTCAGGCTCTTACATATGGGCAAGGGATTCTCTGTTCGACCTCAAGATATTTCTTTTGGGTTGGCTATTTCTACTCTTTCAAGGAGTTCTTGTTGGCGAACGTATGATGCAATAACGACACTTACGAAACCTTCTCGAAATACCCGACATTCCTCGACGCCGCCCACGCTTAGTTTCACTTCTCGGCGGTCGCGGCATAAACTTTACGCAGTATATTTTCTACCTATACGCTCGTTGTTGTCCAAATCCAAATCGACCCGTATCATTGCTTGCTTTGTCTTTGCCCAAAGGATCACATGTGATTGATGTTTGGTAATTGCATGTTGGATCCGGCGGATTTATTTGGTTGAGCAATTTGAAATATCAATGGCGGATGGCATGGATTTAGAGCGGTTTAGTACTACTGCTAGGTAACGATGATGATGGTTCTCTGATTGTTTGCGGGTACAAGACAAGGCGATGTCTGCTTTTATGCTTTGGTTTTGGATTGGCACGAAGAAAATGGGATGGGATGGGAACAGAAGGGGTGGATGACGGCAATGGTGTTCATGATGGGAGTTCTGTCTGTTCTCCATGGGGACACAAAATAGGGAGACGGGCAAAATAAAAATATTGGTCACCCACCCACTCAGTGCAAATGTAAGCAAGCCATGGCCATGTTTCTTATATTCCATTGGGCTCGCTTGACCGAGTTCTTGGAAGCCACCTGCAGCCTTAGGCAGCCCAAGCGCTATGTCTCATACAAGCGGTCGCAAAAGCAAGCCGTCCAGTTGCTTTCTTCAGCTGCTTCATTACGCTTTCCCAATCTGACTGTGCTTTCCTTATTGAGCGAGTTGGTTGGAGTAGTTGCTCCAATCGAGGTACCGTCGTGTTGATTCACACTTCCCGCTCGCTATATCAACGCGCCCCTTCTAACTCAGCCCGAACCTTCATACCCCCTTTACACCTTCCTCCCAGTGGAGTAGCCAAGCAGTAGCCAAACCTCCTTTTCGTTTCTTGAGAGGCGAGCCTTCAGCCTTTTGGATGCAACTTACCTAGTCCGTAACACACTTTGGCAGTCAGCTGAGCAGACAAGAGCGTTGCAAGTGCGTTGCAAAAGCCTTGTGCAACGCTATAAGCAAAGCCAAGTGCAATTGTGAGTACGAGTGCAAGTGCAACTACGGCTTCTCCGGCTTATGTAGGTATGGCAGGTGCTACCTACTAATCTACTTCTAACATCAGCTTGAAGGTATGTGAGGGGCTGAGATGTGTCCACATTCCTACATATAATCCCCTACAACAACAACAACCTTACTTATACTTAATCCTCCTGTCCATCTTTACTCCTTACTAGAGCGTGATTGAATGAATAGTTACCCTTTCCGGATATCAAAAGTATTAGATTGTGCTTGTCGACTATCACCTAGGTTTAATCCAGTCAGCCCCCGCTATCTGCCTACTTTCAGAAGATCGTTCACTATGGCTTCGAGCCTTGATTCAAAGAGGAGCATTGGCAAGAAGATGGTCATCGCGTGTGATGGTGTGTATCTATTTCCCTTTCTCTACATCTCAACCACTTGCAGCTAATACCACCTTCGCAGGAACGTGGCAGGTACCGCTTCCCCATACTCATCATCCCATACGAGTATTCGGCCAGAACCACCTAACCAAAACGGATTCATAGAACAGCGATCAAGGCTACGACGACTCCGTCTTCGCACCACCGGCAGCTCAGATCCCCTCGAACGTCACACGCATCGTCCGCGCCATAAAACACAAAGACGACGATGGTATCCCCCAGGTCGTCTTCTACCAGCGTGGCGTGGGCGCCAACGGCGGCGAAGAAGATAAAATCGTGGGCGGCGCCACGGGTGTCGGGCTCTCTGAGCACGTCCGCGAAGCGTATGGATTTCTAGCTAACAATTTCGACCCGGAGTCTCAAGAGGCGCTCAATGATGTCTCCAAACCTATCGACGAGATTGTGCTGCTGGGATTTTCGAGAGGCGCGTTTACTGCGAGGGCTATTTCGAGTCTGGTGAGTGATGTTGGGGTGTTGACTCGGGCGGGGATGGAGAGCTTTTGGGGCGTTTTTGGGGATTGGATGAAGCAGAATGTGGAAGGGAGGCAGAGTGAGTGGTTTGAAAGTCGGTTTGGGAGGAAGGTTTCTTTTACAGATCCGGTGTATAGGCAGACGTTGATTGAGGTATATTCTTGAGACGAAGGTGGAGAGAGATTCGGCTGATTTGATGGTAGCATGGTATTACGAGATGGCCGATGCCAATTCGAGCTGTTGGGGTTTGGGATACTGTTGGTAGGTTTGACTGACCTCTTGGATGTTTGCGGTAGCTGACAGCTTATCTCCCGCTAGGTTCCCTCGGCATACCTTTACCATTCCATGCAGAAAATGTCAAGGAATTCTCTTTCGTCAACACCAAGGTAGCCGTGCACGTTCAACATGCATTCCAAGCACTTGGCCTCGACGAGCATCGAAGACTGTTTACTCCCACGCTCTGGGAATGGCCCACTAATGACCAAAACCTGAAGAAGCTCAAACAATGCTGGTTTCCAGGCGTGCATTCGAATATAGGCGGATCGTATCCCGACGCCGGTATTTCCAATATCACACTCGCTTGGATGATCAGCCAATTTGAAGAAAGTGACGGCGGAATCTTGACATTCGACCCTATATATTTGGATGTAAAGATAACTGGTTCTTTGATTTTGCCCTACCCCCTTCTGTCATGTTTCGTCTCATGTGCTCTACCTTTTCCTGAAAATTCCTAGAGTGGAAATATAAGTTCCCTCTACTCCCTCGAAACTGTCTTGCATAGGAAATAACTAATTCCCCCATGATCCAGTGGCTACAAGATCTGAACAACGAATACTACATCAAGCAAGCACAACCAATTCGACCATGGGCCCTTAGCAAAATCTACGACTCAGCACCCCACACCACAGTTAAGGGCATTGTCGCGGGTCTCTCACCCGTAGTTCGTACCCCCGGCCGGTATCATGTCGTCAATGACAAAACCGGTCTTGGAACCAATATACCATTGAAGAACACATGCGAATTCATTCATCCCAGCGTTCGCATCCGCATGGATAGCGGAGGACTTGGTACAGAAGAGGACTCCAAGCATGTTTCAGAGGTATCACATCTTCTGAATGCTGCAAAGGGTCTTGTAGGCTTGAATTGGAATTTGAATAAGTATTCTAGTCCTGCGCTTAAAAACTATGAGCTGGTCGAGTCGGTGGGTGTGCAGAATGGCACAACAGGAGCGGGTGGTGTGGTTTGGAAGGCGAAGGATGGGAGTGAAGGGTTGCCGGAGGAGGAGCTGGGGAGGACGGAAATTAGGTTGTTGAAGAGGAGTGTTGACATGGCTAGTAAGCTTCAAGGGTAGACTGAAGTTTGGGACGAGTATTGGGTCGTTAGATTGATTTAAGTTGAGGGGATGGACAGGATGGAAAAGGGTCTGTTGTTCTTTAGGAGGTGGATTCGTTGAAGGAGTAGGATGTCGCTCTTATGCATTTCCAGTTGGGCAGTCCGAGTCCGTGTAAAGTTAGGCAATAGCAATACCCCTCATGCTATTTTTACCGAGAAAGAAGCTCGCATCTCATGTGATGGAAGCCACTCACTTGTTTGTATCAGCCATTGTCACTGATTAGACACGCTATGGGGTAATGCGGTGTGTATGGGTCTATGTTGATTCTCTTTTTCTCGATCTCTTTTTCTGCTGTCGTTGTAGCGAGAGGTACAGTAAGTCGTGCTATTCTACTTTATGACTGCAACGCCTCCCAATATACTTAAGCCTCAACCTCAACCTGTTCCCCAGAAGCAGGCTCCCCAACACTCTCTTTCTCCTTCGCCTTATCCCCCTCCCCCTTCTTCTTCTCAAGCTCCCTCATCAACATAGCGACGAAATCCTTAGCTAGCTTATCATAACTCCCCTGCAACGTCGTCTTGATAAAGCTCATCAACATCTTATTACTCGTCACCCTGCCCTCCTTCTCCAACACGCACTCATTGCCACTGCCGTCCTTCCCCTTGCTAGTCACCTTCCACGTTGTCACGCTGTGCACGCCCATCGGCGCCTGCGTGATGGCGATCATGCCGCTTGGCGTGCGCTGCATGCTGGTCTCGTAGACTATTTCGTCGGGGATGAAGCGTTTGGACCAGCCGCCGCGCCATGTGGCCTGGCTCTGCTCCTCTGCTCCCCCTTCTCCCTTTCCGCCCGTGCTCGATCCTTGTCCTTGCGGTGCTGATGTTTCGACGCACGCATAGACGGGGATTTCAGCGATGGCGGATGCGGAGGTGGGTTTTAGGGATGCGGGGACGGATTTGTAGAAGGCGTGGATGGCGGGGGTGGGGAGGGGAGTGGCGGATTTCAGGAGCGGGTTTATGGTTAGCATTAGGGCGGGGGAGTGCAGGATGCTGAGGATTTCGGGGAGGGTCATGGTGGGGGGGAGGGCGGTGGTTGTTGTTACTGTTGTTGTTGTTGTGAAGTAGGCTGGGTGGGAGTGTTAGATGGGTGTTGTGCTGTGGAGTGGGTGGACTTACATGAAGACATGATTGCTGTCTTGAGTTGACTTGGGGAGATGGGGAGTTTGTGCTTGGTTTGGGAGAAGGAGAGGAAGAAAATATATAAATATATTAGGATTTAGTCTTCAATTGAATTGCGTCGAGGTGGAGGGAATTGATTGATGGATTGATGGATTGACGGATTGATGGATTGATTGATGGATTGATGGATTGACGGATTGATGGATTGATTGATGGATTGAATTGAACTGTGGATATGGGAGTCCTGGGAGCTTCACGACTGAAACAAAGAAACATGTGCCGTCGCCGAGGAAAGATGCGAATGGTATCAATTGATCTCGAGACTGGACAATCGATGAATAGCAGTGCAGTTGAGATCTTACCTTACTTACCTATGGACTGTACTTAGGTACTTACCTGATCTCGGAGACCGAGTGAATGTGCGTGTGTTACTGACTGTAGCACAAGACTTGAAACAGGAGAGAGTGAGATGCTTTTTTGATTTCAGTGCCTGTTGTTGTCATCGTCGTCTGTCTATACCACGTGAAATTATGGAGATATGGAGACCCCGCATCACGTGAAAGGGGTTACATAACTTTCGGTAGAACTTGTACTTGTACTTGTACTTCTGTACCGATATATCGTAAGATCTTACTGTATTTAGACACCGTCCGGGTCGCTTCTCTGCAACGTTGCAATCATTCGGGCCGTCGAGTCTGGAATATGCTGATCGTACGGATACAGTAGTATCTCCGAGAAAAGACGCATTGTAACGCATCTCCTCTGCCGTCTGGAACATCAGCACCAAATAAGGGAAAAGAAGAGAAGGGAACAACCAGAGATCATGGGAGTTGCTTCGTAAAACTTGCAGTCGCAATGACAGGAGATCGGGAATGCTGTGACAGGCGGAATGGAAGAATAATTCTACTCGTTCGTGTTCCGTATTGTATGGAACGATACCATAGAAGACGGGACGGGTTGGGTTTTCTACTCCAAACCTGACCAAAAAAAAACCTTGCTGCAGCTTCGGTGTAGGCTTGTGCTTCCTCGGCTTGGAAGAGCAGAGCGCCTCAGCCGTTATTGTTATTGCCATTTTATATCCGCTCCTCAGAAGTAAAAGTTGTACTTTATAGTTTCTCTTCCCTCGGACCATTTATTCCTCATGATTGTGCCTGATCGAGTGGACCTAACAAGATCTCGCGTATATCTCCATCCCATGTCTCCAGTTCCCCAAACACCCCACCTTGGGGGAAATCCAACACTTTATATTGGCAGAGCGGTTTAATTAAAATTTTCGTACAAAATAAGGTCTGCGATGCGATCGATATACCTTCGTACGACCAAAGTCACACGACATGTCTCACAGGACAGCCAAACAGATGGCACCATTAAGCGGTGGCCAGTTTATCATAAGCACTCCGTACGAAGTACACTGTCGCGTGGGTCCCCCCGGACTTTGACATAATAGACCATGCCTTTCTCGTGGGAATGCCTTCAGGGATCGGCACCCTTGAGGCTCGAATCGAAGAGTTTGCTGGGTTCTGCCGCACTCTGACCAACAGAATGCTTCACACAGGCACAAGGGTCGAGGCGTGTCATGTCTCGTGAGAAGTCATCGGCCAATAACTTTATTGTGAATGCATGCCATTGTTAGCGGCTACCAAACTGAACGCAAACAACATCGTACCTTCCAAGGATAAATCCCAGCATGCTGTTATGTGATCGGTCCTTCTGCCCAGACAGATAATATATAAATAACAACTCCACATCTCCGCAATTCTTATAACTTGACTCTTTCCGCATCCTAAAGACTCTAGAAGTCATCCAAACATAATCATTGAAAACAACAAACATCCTTACTCGTCTGAGGACCTTCAATCGCCAACATGTATACCGTCGGCAATGTTTACGTCGTGAGTTACCTGCTTCAAAGAATTCCCCTTTCTCAGCATTTGTCGTTTTCCAAGTCAAGACTTGTTTCTACCTTGGGTGTGCGACTGACAGCACGCTCCTCCAATTCATGCTGACAAGTGCTCCTCCTAGATCGCCGCGGCCTCTGTGATCGGTGGTGGGCTGTTTGGTTTCGATATTAGCTCCATGTCAGCTATTATCTCCACACACGCCTACAAGTGTTACTTCAACCAAGGCGATGAGCCCTGCAAGGGTCCACAAGCCAATGTCCAGGGTAAGTTATTCACAGCCAACCTCCTTGGAAAGTGCATTATCTGACAAGTGCACAGGAGGAATCACCGCTGCTATGCCTGGTGGTTCGTGGCTTGGAGCATTGGTCTCTGGTTACCTCTCTGACCACCTGGGACGAAAGAGAGCTATCCAAATCGGTGCCGTGATCTGGTGTATCGGCTCCATCCTCGTCTGTGCCTCGAATGGAATCGCCATGTTGATCGTTGGCCGTATTGTCAACGGTTTCTCTGTCGGTATTTGCTCTGCACAGGTTCCGGTTTACATCACCGAGATCGCACCACCATCAAAACGTGGTAGACTTGTCGGAGCCCAACAATGTAAGTATATCGCTTGCATCATTAGCTATGGAACCAGTGACTGACAAAACATTAGGGGCAATCACCTGGGGTATCTTAGTCATGTTCTACATCTCCTATGGGTGTTCGTTTATCGACGGCACTGCCGCTTTCAGAGTTCCCTGGGGTCTGCAGATGATTCCTGCAATCATCCTCTTCTGCGCCATGCTCTTCCTGCCAGAATCTCCTAGATGGCTAGCCAAGAAGGACCGATGGGAGGAGGCTGTCCATGTTCTTGCCTTGACACACGCCAAGGGTGACGACAACTCGCCCTTCGTTGCCAAGGAGATTGCAGAGATTAGAGAGGTCGTCGAGTTTGAACGCGCCAATGCAGATGTCACATACTTCGAACTCCTGAGCCCGAAGATGATCAACCGAACGCACATCGGTGTCTTTACTCAAATATGGTCACAACTCACCGGAATGAACGTTATGATGTACTACATTACCTACATCTTCACCATGGCTGGTCTGGGCAGCAGCGTTCTCTTGCCTTCCTCAATTCAGTACATCATCAATGTGGTCATGACCGTTCCTGCTCTGTTGTTCGTTGACAGATGGGGCCGTCGCCCAACTCTTCTCATCGGTGCTGTACTCATGATGTTATGGCTCTTTATCAACGCTGGTGTCCTCGCCACGTACAGCAAAGTGCCAAAACCAGGGCAATTCGACACCAATGCTGAGTCTATGGCCATCACCGGTGCACCCGCCAAGGCTGTCATTGCATGCACCTACCTTTTTGTCGCTTCCTATGCACCTACCTGGGGTCCAGTCTCATGGATCTATCCCCCAGAACTCTACCCCCTCCGCGTTCGAGGCAAGGCCGTCGCTCTCGCAACCTCAGCAAACTGGGCCTTCAACTTCGCTCTCGCATACTTCGTCCCTCCGGCGTTCGCCAACATCCGCTGGGAGGTCTACATCGTCTTCGGTGTCTTCTGCGTCTCCATGTTCATCCACGTTTTCTTCGTCTTCCCAGAGACTAGTCAGAAGCCTCTCGAGGAGGTGGAGGGGATCTTCGATGATACCACCCCTGGCTCCATCAGATTCCTCGGTACACCAGCTTGGAAGACATCTGTTGACACGCGCGCTCGTCGTCTGGAGAGAGGCGAACTTGATCCAGAAGACAAGCACGTGGCAGCCGTTGAGCATCATGAACCGTCTCCAGAGAGAGTTGCTGAGATTCCCAAAGAGGGCTAAAGTACTACTCGTTGCGTGAAGCAGTAGGGAAAGGGCTTTTGAATACCGTTAGTGTTAATTTGGAATAGGCGGAGGGAAAATGGGCACGAGAGGTTACAGCACGGTTTGTGTTAATGACGGCCGATACCTTTTGATTGCTGCACGAATTATGATACCACCAAAAACTTATGAATACACACACCTCCTTACCAATATCTATCCTGACTGCTTGAAATGTTGATCTGTGAAGCATTTCCGAATTGCGTAGCTGGTTGGAGTTGAATCCCATCCCACACTGTGGACCGCATGTTCAGTGTAACTCTGTATGTGGGCTCATGTCTAGTGTGGTGTTTCGATTTGACGTATTGATATGAAGGTTCATAGCCTCCCAGTCAGGGAAAGCCCTGCTATCGCACGCACGAAACGTCAAGATCTTGAGGGTATACCGTCCGCCCCTTCACACCATCACACCTTCACACAACTCCAATAGGCTTCGGCACCCAAGCGCCTTCCCATGCCGCCCATCCCTTTCCAGAGAGACGAAGATAATCCGCGCCAATAGTGACAGTGTTAGTGTCAGTCTCTCGCGATCCATCATCTGTACCCTCATTGTTTGGATCTATCTCCATCTCCATCTCCATTTCCTCCATTTCCCGCTTCAGATCTTGCAGGCTCTTGACAACAGGTATAGGAGGAGGAGGAGGAGGAGCTGAATGTAGACCTGTCTCGGAGTCTAAGAACTGTTGTTGAAGTCGCGACGCCCGCCGTAGAAGTAGAAGCCTTGCGTCGGGATTTGCAACCTCGTTCTGGATCCCCGTTATCGCGGCCATTAAGCGCGCTCGATCCCAACCCCGCGAGCTAGCCTCTACCTCCACATCCATATGCATACCCTCATCATCAGCTTCCTGCAAATACCTCCTCACAAACTCCTTACATTCATCCCCGTTCCCCTCCCGTTCCCCTCCCACATCAACCTCGGACAATTTCACCCAATAAAACTCCCAGATCCACCTCAGAGCCTTGACACTCGCACTCCTTAGCTTGGCCAGCGACGGCAGCTCCTCGTGCGTTGCTTGGTGCCGCAGCTCGACGTACGTGGCGGGCAGGGAGAGCGTGCGCGCGATGCTGTACATGGAGAGTTTTTTGTGGGATGTTTGGTGCGAGTCTAGGAGGCCGGTTACGAATCTGAGGGGAAGAGAGGGGGTTAGTATGGTGGGTGGGTGGGGATGGAGATAAGAGCTTATGGGGGTTTGATGCGGGGTTTAATAGTGAAGGATTGAGATGTGGGTAGGGGTATGGAAATGGATAGTGGCAGTGGTGGAAATGATAGGATTGTGACGAGTGGGAGGCATGTCTACTGATACTTGGCTTTGAGTATGTATATCTCGCCATACTGATTCTGAGACTACCTCGAAAACCGCCCCACAGCCATTTGGAGAGAACAATGATAGGAATTTTGTAAATTGTAAATGAACAAATAGCCCTCCCAGCTTCATTGAAATATACAAAAAACGCACGCAAAGAAAAGATAGCAACGCCTCTCTTCAAAAAAGAAAAAACAAACAGCATACCCAACCCAACTCAACTCAAACCAAAACCAAATCCACAAATCAAAGCAAACCAAAGAAAAACCATTCAAACTAACCTACAAAAAGCCGCCGAATACGCAGCCCTAACACAATACGTCGAATTCCCCGGTACATCATTCAAAATGGCACTCGTCAGAATAGCACTCGCCTCGACCAGATGCGGACAATTTCCCCTCTGCATCCACACCGATACCTGAGCTACAGCTTTCCGCCTCTCTCTCTCTCTATCCGCATCATCACGGACCCCGTTTTGAGTTGAGCTTTGGCCTTGGTTGTTGTAGAGCTGTTGCCGGACGAGGAGGAGGTCGGCGGGGGTGCGCCAGGGGGTTATTATGTATTGTACCATTATTTGTTTGTTTCTGCTTTATGTTTTACTGATACTGGGTCATGTGGATGGATGTAAGCTGGAAAAGAGCATGTAGTAGAAGCTTCTTGGGTTGTGATGGAGTCGGAGAGGAAAAGGAGGTTGATTTTGATTTTTGATGCCAAGACAGACTATCTTATGCGGCTCTTAGAACTAAGCGAGAAGCTTATTTCTTTGGAGGGGATGGGAGGTAATGAATATTTTACTTTGGACTGGTATCCTTCATTTATTGCCTACTGTATAGGTATCTGGGTATGTGGGTTGGTTAGTGATGAAGCTTTCTCCAACTATAATAGTTTTGAGTCTTAGTAGTCTGTAGCTGCGAAATTTGGATTTCCCGGCTAGCTGCATGCTGCGGAGGCACCTCCGGGAGTGGTGTTATTGCATTCCTACCTTAAGGTAAGTACTTTAGAGGAAATGCTACAGCAATAGGAGTCCCGACTTTTAGCATTCCTTCTTTGAAAAGCCAAAATCCACTGTCTCAGATCAAGCTGGATCTAAGGTCCAGCCCAAACGGACAAAGTGAGACAGATGACAGGATGGATGTTCCATGCAAATTTCGGACACGTCGATAGTGCAAGTGGAAGTGGAAGTGGAAGTGAAGTGGAGGTGGAGTGCACACCGGTAAGTAGGGGTGGGCGATTATTTCAATCACGATTGGATCAAATTATAATCATAAATAACGCGAATATAGGATTAATAATTAATAAAGTGGAGATTTTCTTTCTCAGCCAATTAGAATGCTATTATACTGCATACATAATTAAAAAATCTCTAAATGTCTTTGACTATTACTTTTAAAATCGCCCACCCCTACCGGTAAGTGGAAGGTCGCTTAAAAGTACCGAAGGCAGGCACTTTTATTAGTATAGTCGTGTTCGCAACTTGGCAAAGCTGGCTGCACAAGGAGTCAAGGACAGATGATCTGCAAAGTACTGTACTTCTAGAGATTCCTTTTCTGGTATGCCGCGCTTTGCGTCGGCATGTTCCCCTTTCGGTGTGAAGTGAAGGGGCAAGCGAGGGGTGAATATCACGATTACGATGTAGACACAGGGCAATATGATGAAGAGTGTTTGTAATATTTTGGTATTTGTAAATCAGAATCTGGACACCTAGTCTTCCAACTGCTACAATTTTTGTAGGCATATTGTGAGTGACGCCTCTATAACTCCGTCGCCGTGGTATTCCCGTCCCAATGCTCAAACATGTTTCCGTCCCAACGCTATGCTAAACAAACCCAAGAGATCGCTTAAAGCGTTCTTAAACACCCACGATCTATAGCCATCCGCTGTGGCCAAACTGCTGGGCTCCTTGTATCGGATATGAAACCGTATTGTTCTCTTTGACCTCATCATCATCTTCTGCCTCTCCATCTTGCTCATCGTCTGTCTCGTCGTCTTCATCCTTCTCGTCCTCACTAGGAGGTTCCCAAGTTTCCTCAAGCTTCAGCCCCTTTCCAGCAGACTCAGGCCGTCGGTATGCGGAACCAAGTTGAGACATCATTGCGGTCCGATAGTTGTCTAGTTGAGGGTCTTGTGGGGGTGACTTTGCGGCCTCAGGAGTGTCATATAGTCCTAATCCAATCAAATCATCACTCGTGTCCTCAAGGTCTGAAAGAGACTGATATGGTATCGACTCTTCAGCGGTGAAGTTGGGCTGAGCAATTTGGATTGGAAGAAGATCATCAGGTGTGGGTGGCGCGGTGGAGCCTTCGAAACCGTTTGTAGCAAAATTGCTCCAATCGAAGTGTGAGTACATTGTTTGGTCTACATCCTGCGCGGGAACTGCGCTGTAGTTTTGCATGTGTTGTTCCATCATGTCGGGTTGCGAGAATGCGTAACTTGAGGTCGAATGAGAAGGCACGGAAGTCTGCTGGAAGTTGTATTGTTGTTGTGTTTGTTGTTGGTCGTAGCCAGTATATGGAGCAGATAGTGGGGAGAAAGTTGATGAAGGCGATGTGTATGCAGAATATACAGCTGAAGTCGGAGGGATGTTCATGAATTGTGCTTGATTGTTGTATTCGAAGGCTGTCGGATAGGAGGGCTGATAGTGTTGTTGAGTTTGATAGGAAGAAGGATGCCAGCTCACTGGCCGATTCGATGTCGAGGGAACTTGAAGACCATCATTCGAGACAAATCCAGTAGATGTAGATGCCGCCACATTCTGGTCCATTGGGGTCACCCTCCGTCGATATGGGTAATCAGCCATCACTGTTCTCCGTCTTCCCAACCCTATCGACCCTCGGGGGCTGTTGCTGGTACTGTTTGGTTTCGCAACCCTCATAGAACCCGCCGTTGAACTTGTTCTTTGCCCATTCGACCCCCTTGCAAGTCGTGTGAGGTTCGACATTGACATCTGTTTGGACACGTCGTCTAGCAGAGTTTCCACCGTTGAATAGCCCAATGGGGCTCTATCCCAATGTCCTGGGTTCATCATCGTTGTTATAGTTGTGTAGGTGGGGTGGGAGGATATGTGAAGTATAGAGGGAGAGGAGAGAAAGTCAAGATGTAGGAGGCATCGAGAAACATGAATAAGAATAAGTCATAGTCTAAGAAGGGAGGGAGATGACATGTTGGTAGAGGAGAACGGGTCCATGTCAAGGAGTCAATGTCAAGCCTAGACAACCGGGAGGACAAATATGGAGGCTACTGTACCTTGAGTTAAAGTTCCGGTATGTCGTCTGTGTCATGGCTGATGATGGATCTGAGGGACGAACGAACCAGGATTCCTTTGCAGGGGAATTCACCGGGTCTGAGCTTCTGCTGGGGAATCAGGATGCATAGTTCTGGTTCTACCTTGGTGCGCCGCTCCATACGGTACAGTGGTAGTGAATTATTTAGGTGAAGAATGATTAATGGTGGCCGAGCCCCTCCCTCCCCTGGCCTGCAACATGCAGAGTTCGAAGGGACAAGCGGCTCCACGACTAGGCTACCTCCCGCGGCTGGGGGAGGTATCAAGGGTCGCGATGCGATGATGGAGGCGCACGGCGTACGCAACTCCTTTCCGGTGTGTGACGATCAAGGATTGCAGCGCCAGCGAGGGACGAGGTGATTGTTTTGATGGTGCTGGTCTGGTGTTGGTGTAGGTGTTGGTGTTGGTGTCTCGCTACGGCACTTGTAGTAAAGTGGCTTTTCCCAGACCGGGCCTGTGTTAGGAAAGAGGGCACCCAGAATAATGAAAGGCGGTCAGATGGGACTACTACTAAGACTAATAGAGAGACACCGATGGATCGAGCAGGAGACGCCCTCCCTCGCTCGACGCCCGCCCTTGCACCGGGAAAAGGGAGTGAGTGGAGTGGGTTGCATTGGATTGGCATGGCGTGGCCATATCACGAATACGCTATGTTGTAAGTCGGTTTCCGAACTCGAACGTTGAGGAGGGCAGCTCCCCAAGAGTCCAATCAGCGACTCATAAACCAGTCCCCAATATGTAATATATGTGGCGCCGGAGAGTAGGGTGTAGGGTCAGGGTACAAGCGGAAAGATCTTGTGGCTGGGACATGTGCGTAACAAGTACATGTACGGAGCAAAGGCAAAGGCACCACCGGAAACACTCAAACACTATCTAATCTATGAGCCTACAGTACAGTACCTCCCCTGCATTATTTACCTGTCACTTCAACCAAGGAAGTGGCCGACAGACATGCAAGACGTTCTAGGATTCCCGAATGAAACTATTTAAAAGTATACCACATTCCAAAGGGGCGGCGTTGAGAATCTGAGTGCTTGGAATTGCTTTGAATGGATCGCCAAAGAAGAATCTCATGTGTCTCTCCCCCTGAGTGCTGTCGCTTATTACGAAGTACATGGGACGATGGATCATGGATAGACATGGACGATAGATGAAAGCCAGCTGTGCAGGCCTTGTGCCACTTGACAGAGAGCGGGGCTTACTACTCCAGGATAGAATTGATTAATAACAATATCATTCAACCAAAACTCACTCAGTCACACACGACTTCTCTTAAGCCTTGCCTGAATGAGGTATCTTATTGGATTCTCGCACTTTAAGTGTCACTATTAAAAAATAGGACGAAACTTCAAGTTAGACCCTCGGAATTTTCCTTGACAGTGCGTACGGAGATTTAGTGGGGAAGCCTCCCAAACCTATGCTCTGGGATCGATAATTAGCCCAGTCTCGTCCTACTGTAAAGGCTAAACCACCGCAAATTCGACTAGCTTCCTATAACTTTCTGTGGGTGATCCAAAGTGGGCCTTCGTGTTGGAAGTATAATTTTTGTACTAGTTTAGCTTTGCCGCTGTTCAGGGTTGCGGATACACATCTGATGAAAGGCGACGGCGACATTGATGAGGTAAACTCGGCGGTGCCTTACTGATACAGTCAGTAGCTAGAAAAGGTCGCAACCCCACGCCAAAACAACATCGTCTGTAAGGGGCAACTCCGTCACAACTCATATTCAGCCAGCATCAAGCCGTGGAGGACAAAAGATTGGGTTTGGGCTGGGCCGCACTGCAATCCACAATCCACAAGACCGGGCTACGGCAAGTCGATTGTGCACCGCATTCCTTAAGCGTCCATGAGGGGGTAAAGTGGGTCAAGACAAGGGGGAGTGGAACCGTGGAAGGCTGATGGAAACGTTTTACACCCCTGCTTGCTCGCATGGCGTGGGGCTTGTTGTTTGGAGCCCGGGCCACCAAAGTCCCCTACTGTACTCCGTACAATACCTCGAGAATCCCTAACGGAAAGCAAAAATGCTGTTGCTAGGGTGGGCCAAAATAGAGCCTTAGTCCCTGACGCATCACATCGACGTCGGGAAGAAAACGAGTCAAACGACATCAAGGATCTTGCCGCTCCGTGCTTTACTGTACTGTACTACAAACGCCGAGTTTAAAGCAGCCGAAGAGACGAGTACAGAGGCAAAAGTCAAGATGACGACTGCCTGACTGATTACTGTACATTGCAGTTTATGTACGTTGTTACCTATTACTGAGCAGGTTAAAATCCTTCTATAGTAGTACTATATGTACTAGGTAGTCATGCTGCCTGCAAATCCCACGATACCCGTCCAAGTTCCAGCACAACAAAATCGATCGTCCTCGGGAATTGGGATACAAGCGTCTGATGAAAATGATTTGGGGACCTCCCACCTTCATCGAGACACCTCACCTCACCTCACCCCCACCGTAGTACCCTAGTATAAATAAATTTACCAGCACCAATACCCTGGAAACACTTTTGGCTTTCTGCTTCAACTAAGACTAAAAGAGCCACTTGCTTTTAGAGTCGGTAGTAGGGCTATGCAGATTACTCCGTAGATGAATATTCTGTGATGACGCGCAAATTTGCTTGGCCCTCTTTGGTGAGAAAGACTTTCCCTCATTGGCTACATGGCAACGACGGGGGTTACTCCTAGCAAAAGGGAACCGAACCGAACCATCTTTGGCTGCTGACATGACATGGACTTCTTAGCCCCTGTCACTTACAGTAAACGTTATGGATCTAAGAAATCGATATGCGCTGTCTCCGGACTTGCAGAACAGAGGTGACTGCTCCCATCCAATCAGATTGGTGGGGTTGTCTGCATAATGTTCAAAATGCTGGGTCTTACGAAAGTAGATTATAAGGCGGATCTTCACTTGAAGGTTCGAGCCTCGTGTCATCCTCGGCTTCATACCGCGGCAGCACAAGTCTTGAACACGGCCTTGACATGGTCTTCTAAATCTCACTCGCGTCCCACGTTGCAGGCGGATATGGTGGAGGGATATGCCGTGTTTCTGGAAGATGGGTTTTGAAAGGCTAACGGACCAAGGATCTTGAGGCGTGGTACATACTAAACCCCTTCTTCTGGAAACATAGTGTTGACCTTCAGCCTGATTTGGTTATACAGGTATTCAGATCCTATATTAATGCGACTGACCGTGTGTTGTACAGTACTGTATAGTAAAATATCCCTTGCGTAAACAAGCACTACTTCTTGGTCCAATTAGCCTTTCCGCATGTCTGACCGCTCAAACCTCCATACTGTATCCTCATGATTCAGCCCAACTAGCCAAGATCATGTTGTGGAAATAGGACGTCAAGTGCAGCCAGCTCTGGTGATATATGGAGGCATATCGAATATGATTGGATCACAAGGTGATGTGCATCTGGGCGGTACGGTACAGGACTGCGCAAGGACTTCTTGTTTCCCCTGGCCTGGTCCATGACCATTAAGAGACTAATGAATTATATATGCAAACTTGCAAAGCCTTTAGGCATGCTGTGGCGCTCTAGCGCACTCTTCCCGCGGCTCGGATGCGAATCTTCTTTCATGAAACCTTCAACATGGCATCCTTATCCTTATCCTCGCTGCAGCCGGTTATCGAAACCATGCCCAACACCGTTGCAGGATCCTATTCCGGGCGAATTCCTTCTACAGGGTAGAGGTGAGGCGGGTGAGGTGACATACGTACAGCAGCACAGCAGCACAGCAGCATCACTGACTGAGACCGGCATACCTCCGTATTTGTATGGAGTACATCCTACATCTACCAGGCTTCCCCGGTGATCTCATGTTGGACTCACTTAAAGTGACTGAAGTGTAACCGCTGCCGATCCAATTTGATATTGCAGCGCTGTGCGAAGTCCGACCTTTGATTGTTGCGCTTGTGAAACTTTTCTGCTGACAGGCACCGGCAGAAACAAGTACCAACAAGATCATCATGTAGTGGATATCAAGGCTAAAGAAGTGGTGGAGATACTGTACTCGAGTATCTAGGGATCCCAAGACTTAATCAGCCGTCCTTAGCACTTTATCTAGTGGCAAAGTTGAGTTCAATAATTGCTAGAGGCATTGTATGGAGTAAACTAATTTCAATAAGACCGCACCAAGATGACTGCGAGACTTCCTTACTGTACAAATGTTAGAACTTTAAGGAGATGATATCTCGGTGGCTAATCCTTCGTTTAGCAACCTAAACCATGCAAATTTGTGGTTTGGGTCATGTCGCCCACTAATCTAGATATTAATGGAGGGGCTTGAGGGAAACCCACACCTCACGATCCGTATTGCTGGCATCGGTCAAAGCCTCGGATGCAATAATAGGCAAGCCGGAGCGCGGAGATCATCTCTTGAGCCGTTCCACGGACGCACCGCTTGCTAGGGCTCCTGCTTTATTGCAACCTTCAGCTGAGAGCGAGCGGCCTCTTTTTCCCGAGCCTCTTGGGCGTTGGGAGTTGCCGCCGTCAATAATGATCCTCGCGATTTCACGTCTCACCCCACCTTGACTTATAATTGCGGCGTGGAGAATAATATATGGATTTGACGATGGAACACCGGAACCTTGTCGTGTTTCCTTGTTAGGTGTATAGTACGGCCTCCGAGGAGCGCCGGTTGAGACTGAGTTTCCTGGCCTGGAGCTCGCTGATCTTAGGAGTAAGAAACAACCTAAACATCTCTTTGAGGAAGCTGAAAGATCATTACTGTGTCGCCGACGCGCTTGTATGATGCAATGAACCGGCGCAGTTGCCCTGTCGGAATGATGGTTATTTTAGGTTCAGACTTCGGACTCGTATACCAACTACTGGAGGAGTTACTCCGTACAAAGACTTCAATCTCTTCATGTTTTACCCTTCGTGCACGTGGTGGTGGTCTCTAATCATGCAGAGCTTCAAACAAACACCCATGCGGATTGTATTCGTATGCTCCTTCTTTTACTCCACAAGATCGGGTACTGGCACAGAACGGGCGAACTATGGTTCTGTAATAAGTTCACGTACTGTAGCCCTGGACTCGCAGTGGCACTAGTCTGCCTTTGCACTCTAACTTTCACCTCACCGTCGTCCACGAGACTCTCGTATAGTTGGTTGCTTGCCAGCGGCAGACTCGCCACTTGGGGGGCTACACTTGCCTTCCTTATCCGAAGGTAAAAGGATGCTCAAAAACACTAATGGCCACTCTGCAATGCACAGCTTCCACTCATGCTCTTACATGACCTACCCACTTGCGTATTTGCACATACGCATTAATTGACTCATATGATTAGTCGTTGCAGCAGCTCGCACACCCAAATGCACTAAATCTTTGCGCCTAGAACCCAGCCACAGATGTACGCAAGTCATCTGGGCAGAAGGTTAGAAATTGCTGCGAGTCAGTCTAGCACTGTAATAATGGAAGCCATCAAATGATGACAGAGAAAAGCAAATTCTGGCCACATCCATGTCCAGCCGGGAATTGGGAATTTGTTTGACATGCCGCTTATCAGATCCTTAGGACCACTTTTGATCCTAAGCTCCGAGTGCGACACCAAAGGCTTTGTGTTATTACTTGGCTTGGCTAGTAATGTGGGATGGCTGGTTTGGTATTATGTGCAAGAACGCAAACAGCCCTTGAGAGGACCATGCGGGTGAGCGGGAGGATGACCCTATCCAATACGGAGGTAGCATGGAGGCCAAAGTTTCTGCTCAAGAGACACTTCTCGTGGGTCTCCCAGGAGGACAAGGGCACTGGCGGTTCAAGCGGTCTGGCAGATTTTCCAATTTCGAGGAGTGGAATGGGTGGTCTCGCAGCGTTCGCAAGGCATATCCGTGTCCTGACTCTTGCTTGCAGCTTGTAAGTGCATCAAACAAGACAAGGAAGCTTGATTACAACGCCTTGCTTGCTGCCATCGAGCTCACCGTGTCGGCAGGGTGAGAAGGCTGACGGTAGACCGCAATGTGAAATGGCTTCCCAAGAGCGGAGCAGGAAGTACGGGACATGGCATGGCCTCGGTATTACTATGGATGAAGTGGCCATTCAAGTGGGCCTTTCATACACATACACGCCTCCGCTCTGTCGTACCACTCGAGGCGAAGAAATGCAAGACAGAGAAGGGGTTGTATACTTGTATGATTCCATGCTCTGATAGGAAAAAGGAGGGAGGGGAACATTACTTCTTATCGATAAGAGTTGGTGGGGTAATACAGAAGTCCCGGGCTGCGTCCCTCCGTCGATCAATGGAAAGATGAAGTCAGTGCCAGTGCTTTCTTTACCAAATATCTTCTTGATACGGAAACACACCAGCTCAATATATTTGCTCTGGCTACGAATGCACTTACTTCAATACAATTGACCGAATGCCTTCCTTTGCGCCCCTTAAAAGAACTGATATTGTAATCAACATGCATCTCTATAAAATATGTAGCCCAAGCATGCCAAAACGCGCTAAAATGTTACCGGAACGATGACATACCGATCGCCTTGTACTCAAAGAACTGAATCTCGCGACCACAATAACAACTTTATTTGATACGCAAAAACACCCGAGCAGGAATTATGTCTTCGCAGACGCCTCCTTCGAAGATCCATTTGCCTGAACCAAACCAATTTGATGGACCACGAGAAGAGGTAACTACTTTCCCGAAGCCCCCTCCAGCAATAAATAAACAATGAGACAGGTTCAATCGAATGCCAGCGACAATGAGTACCAGCATGCTCTTGAGGTATTCATCATCCACCAACCCAGTTCCTTCAGAGCCCAAACTTATGCGCCAACTAGGTTGTCTTCGATCCTCAAAACGCGTACCGCCGAAAATCCTCCCTCGTTGCCTCAGAGGCGATTCCTGTCCCGCATATGAAGAATACAGAATGCTACGTACATGCATTGTTAGAAGAGCAGAGGAATCTGGGACGCTCATCGACTGGCGCTCTAGACAATATAGCCGAAACTCTTGGAGAACATAGAATTGCCAACGGGGAAGATTCTATAGTCGAGCCCAAGACAGGTTGCGAAGAAGACAGTGTGCTAGGGCAAGAAGACGAGCAAGCATGGAAAGAAAGGCTCCAGGCAAAATATCAGGAATCCACAAATGGCGACAGCAAGTCAGTGACGCCCAAGCAGACAGAACCAAATGAAGTGCACAGTCGGCTATTAACGAAGAAACAACTCTCAGATATGGCATGGGGAGTCCGAGAACTAAGCAAACGGTTAGGAAGCGTACGGTTGAAATTAAAGGTCAAGACTGTATTCCTTCTCACGAAGGCTCATGACGAGACACTTATTTGGAATACGAGGGAGGTCGCAAAGTGGTTGCTCAGTCCGGACCGACAAGTACGATATACGGTATGGGTGGAGAATACAATGGAAGCGAACAAGAAGTTCGACGCCAAAGGCCTCTTAGAGGAGCTAGAGAAAGAATATACCCAGAAAAATGGCGAGCGTGATGGGGACAAGAAGCTAGAGAAGAGGCTGAGGTACTGGACCAACGATATGTGTAGAACTAGGCCACATACGTTTGATTTTGTGGTAACATTAGGAGGTGATGGAACCGTTTTATATGCGAGTTGGCTGTTTCAACGTATTGTACCACCAGTCTTGAGCTTTGCATTGGGGAGTCTGGGGTTCTTGACAAAATTTGATTACGCCGAATTTCAAGATATCCTCACGAAGTCATTTAGAGATGGCGTTACAATCAGCTTAAGGTTACGATTTGAGGGAACCGTGATGAGGAGTCAAAAAAGGAAGGGATCTGTTCTGAAAGAAGGAGAAAGCGAACTAGAAGATGGGGAAACAGACCTAAGTCGGGATCTGGTTGAAGAATTAGTTGGGGAGGAGAAGGAAGACGAGAGAACACATCGACCTGATGGCACATACGAGATCTTGAACGATATCATCGTTGACCGAGGTCCAAATCCAAGTCAGTACTCCTTTCAAGAAATAAGCCCTTTACTGACATCCCTAAGCTATGTCTTCGACCGAAATCTTCGGCGATGACGAATACTTCACATCTGTCCAAGCAGATGGACTCTGCATCGCCACACCCACAGGCTCAACAGCCTATAACCTCGCCGCAGGTGGCTCCCTCTGCCATCCCGAAAACCCCGTCATCCTCGTAACAGCCATCTGCGCGCACACTCTCTCCTTCCGACCCATCATCTTACCAGACACGATCGTACTCCGGATCGGTGTCCCCTACGATGCTCGAGCCAGTAGTTGGGCGAGCTTCGACGGCAGAGAGAGAGTAGAGTTACGGCCCGGGGATTATGTTACGATTAGCGCGAGTCGATACCCATTTGCGAATGTTATGCAGCGGGGAAGGAGGTCGGAAGATTGGGTTAATAGCATTAGTGGAAAGTTGGGGTGGAATACAAGGCAGAGGCAGAAGCAGTATAAGGAATGGTCTGTATGATCTTCCATACGCGTGGGGGCCTCTAGACAAAATATAATCAATACAGAGATCCACTGGATATTCTGAAAATGGGGTTGGAACGCGATCGCATTTACTGGCTGTCTATTTCATACACATTCTACTCGAGTGAGTATTTCCGCCTCCTTCTCCTCTCCTTGTGTTATTTAGATTTCAGTCTACGCAGCTGTCTTGTGTATGCTTTGAGAAGGGAAAATGTAGCTTCACGTGTGACCTAGACTTTCCGCGGGGTTCAAGAAGTCTTCTGGCTCGATACTGAAAACTGTGCTATCATGGTTCCTTCCCCATTCAGACTCGAGAGTATTCACCTTGAAACTCATCTGAATTCACATACTTCCACTTTCAGTTCTGAGTGGATATCCTTAAACCCCAGTGAATCACAGCCTGCAGTTGCAGAAATCACTCATACTTAAAGGTCCTCATCGAAGCTCTTATTCCCAGTTCTCCCACTCATCAACCACCTCCCATTCAACGCCATAACATCCAAAGCAAACTATTACCGTCACAACTATGCCTTGCTAGCTACTCAATACCCTGGAGTCATCAAGGGCAATACAGATTATTCTCAAGACTCCCAACACATACCCAAAGTATCAGTCACAACAGTACGTAAACGGACCCCTTTCCTCTTCCCCTGTTCAAGTAATGCCATTTCCTGCTGCTATTACCATGCTGTTTCAGCGTCTCTAAGAAAAAGTCATCCTCGTATCTTATTTTTTCTCAATTTGAACTGTTTCCCGTGGTGTTTAGGACCCTTGCCAGTCACAAGTCCATCCGCAGAGTCATTCTTTTTCATTCACTATTTTTGTACCCCATCCTCAAAGAACATCTCAGCTGTAACTCGATCAAGCAATAACACAGGTTTACTCTGCTTCCAAGAAGGACTAATGATACATCGGGGAATTTTCTTGGCTTGGAGACTTCTGTTCACTATAAAATTCTTTCACTTCATTCAGTGAACTCATCATTTATTTCAACAGCAGAAGACCGTTCAGCGAATGGTTCAGAACAGTATTTGATTCATCGCTTCAGGCTACAAGAGCGTGCTGTCTTTAATCCTTGCTCGTTCTTGCCTTGCTCCTCTGTATGCATCAGCTCGCTTCGAGCGAACCGAGCCCCTTTCTAGCTGGAGTAGCCCTCCTCTACATCGTCGAGATCTCCAAACAAATCTTACTTGGAAAAATACTGATATTAATAGATTCATCAGAGTCCTACGGAGATCCCTTAGTTAACCAAACATTCGTTACTAGCACAAATTTATCGAGTGATCGAGCCCCAATGCCAGCCCGCCGCTCGCCAAGATCTGTCGAGCGTTTCTGCAAAGGTCTCCAGCTGGAGAGCCTTGCATCCGAGCAGATTGCAGTCCTTCTTTCGCTAGCGCAACTATCAGGCTGGTCAGCAGATCGCATTGCCTTGAAAATATATGACCTCTATCATGTCAATGTTACCGCGGAGCAAATCTGGAATTTGTACTGGAAATGGATCCTCAACCGCGATGGCAGCAATGAGTTGGAAGATGCTGAGCAAGCAATCGCAGAGTGCGTACTCTCCGACGCTGGGATTACACTGACGCACTCTGGTCCCAACGGCAAACGGGATTATGTGGGAAGACCGTTGAGCGAGACTACACAGCCTGTAAGTCTCGAAGGCTAGTTCTCTGGCGACGTATCTTACTCACATATGTGTCTAGACAACTGTTGCCTGCGCAGGCAGGTGGTCATCCTTGCCCAATGTAAGTGCTGTGAAGATATCTTCGGTCCATAGTCGTTGCTAATCATACAGAATGTCAATGAACGACCTCTGTGCCCTGGCTTTGATGCTCAATCGCGCAGAAAGAGCACAGACTGGTTGGCGACTCGCAGTAAGAAGTCATCTTGGGGAAAACTTACACCCATAGAAGAGACCATCGTTACACAATTCGGCAGCAAGGTAGAATCAATCTTCAGAGATGTTTTGAGACGTTGGAACCGGACCATGCAGGAGAAGATGCGAACCGATCGTCAATTTCGAAAGATCAACCAACAGGCGCATGTTGTTCTGATTGTGAAGTATCTGGGGAAGTTCCAGTTTCAATACGAAGATGCTTTCGGAAACACAGAGGAGACCCAAAAATCGACTTTTCTCGATGAAGTTGTCCCAAACTACACCGTACTGATTAGAAGCACTGGCTATGGTGCTAAACTGGTTCTGGGCCTCATGATGGCAGACAGGATTCACGTGGCGAGAGCTTTCAGAGAACAGGAACGGCATTCGATCGGATTACTGGAGGTCGACCATGCGGCCCTCAAAGAAGACGAAAAGCACTGCCCGGTTTGCCAGGAGGAGATGGGCGTCAATAATCTAGATGGGATTAAAGAGCCCTGCATTGAAATGGCCATCTGCTGCGGCCAATATTTTGGGGAAAATTGCCTGAAGATATGGTTCGGTATGCACAGTAGCGATGGCAGCACAAAGTCATCATGCCCTTACTGCAGGTACAATGTTCCAAAACCTCTTCTGAACAAGTTCTTGGGCCACGTCGATGAACCTGACGGATACAACACCGACGACAATGACGCCGAGCAACTTCTCGCAGAGGAATACCAACAATTCGTCAACATGCTGAGCCCGAATTACACTCCTCAAAACCAGTCTGATCTAAACCAGGGATCACAGGTATGCAAATTTCTACTGCCTTCTCTCGGCACATTTGAGAGTTCCAAATGTCTCAGAAACCCGAGGCACCAAGGAAACACAACTGTCTCCCAGAAACTTCTTGATCAGGCAATGCTGACTCCGCGGACTTGCAGGTGAACGAGGCCATCCGGGCAGCAGCCAGCAGTGGGCCAATGGACATCGACGACGACTTCGACATGGAAGGGTGACAGAAATGGCATGCGTGGAGATTCTCTCTCGATTTTCGGACAATTTAGATGATATATTTAACGATGATTGGTGGCAAGTAGCAGTTGCATGTATAACGATATATTTACGGTACTTTGGGATGGATTAGACATATAGATTAGTTCAGCCAGGCGTATAGGGGAAATAGGCTTACACGGACGGATTGGAGGATGCATTTTTACCACTTTTGTTACCACCTGCGATGTTTCTTGTTGGACGATGGCATTGAGCGAGGCTTTTGGTATGGGAGGTGTATATAGACATATAGGCAGTGAGGCATTGCATACATAATAAACACACATCAACTCGATACCGCGCCTGGAAACCTTGTCGTTTGCGCGAGAACCTTTGGGACATTGCATCTTGGAATATGTTTCTTCGTACAAATCTAAGCTGTGGTAGAGTGGTATGTATGACCCGGTTGTGCTTTGCAAGGGCACCAAATTAAACGTCCAGAAGAATGAACAGAGGGCAGTAGAACTGTCCTGACTCGTGCTGGACACAAAAGCCGGCACTTGTGTTCATCAACTCTTACTTAGGTAGGTATCCCACTCCGCTTAGGACATTCAAGATTGGTGTCGCTTTTTCTGTCCACTGTGAGGCTGCTGGCAAGCTACCTGGGTACGTATCTGTATGTCAGAGCTAGTTTTCGGAGACGCCATAGTCAACTTTGACAGGGACAGTCTTTGGGGTAGTTGCCGCAAATGGGAGAGGGAATTACTAGAGCCGTTCCGTTTAGTTCCTCGGTACTCAGTATATAAACATGCCGAAAATTGTTGGGTCCTCCTTAGACAGAAATGATCTAGGAACTTGTGGCTCACGCAAATCAAAAACAAAAAACCGCAGCGAATGTGAGCTTTGGCATGACACCGTAGGCACTTGCCCAATTCAACATCTTGAGGCACGCAATATGACACTCCAACTCCCAATCCAAACAGTGCGCCAAATCCAGCTCTATCAATCCAGCTCTATTCGTAATCTCACTCGAAGCTGACGACAAATCGCACGTAGGTATTCACTCGGCTCCACGAAAAAAGGCATGCAGGACAGTGAAATGGTATTGTCTGTTGCGCTGACCCAGGCAAAAGAGCAAAGTCCAGGTCAATCCCAGTTTTTCAAGAGAAGACTCAATCCATCAGCAATTCATCGGTCCGGTATCCCATCGAATCCTCCAAACAAGAAGCTCCGCAGCACATCCATCCTTCCGAAAAGCCAACCAGCGTACCAAATCTCCCCCCGTTTCGGTTCAACCCATCCGTAAAACTCCATGCCAATGCGTAACCATATTGATCACTTTTGCCCAGTTTCGCAGATTTCGATTCGTTGTGCTGGTGATTTAACGGTGCTGTCGAGTGTGTTAGAATTCACTGCCGTCATAGCTCGAGTCTGTGTGCCCATCGCATACCTTGACAAATCCAATGTCCGAGGCCTTCTCTCTGAAGCATTGTCGGCAGATGTTCAATCCATACTTGCGGATCAAACCAGCTTTGTGTGTGCATACTCGGCTATTCCATACGATCAGTAAATTGTTCTCTCATTCCCAATTCCCCCACAATCGGAGAACGAACCAGGCACGGGCGCCCTTTCCGTAGGTGCGGGGTCTTGAGTTCCAGACGGATTCGTGGGACATGATTGCGGTTTTGAGGTTATCTCGTCGGGCGGGTTCGACTGGAGATTCGGTGTGCTTTGCTTTGCGCGGTGTTGTCGAAATCGGTCGTTGAAGTCTCGAATTTAATTTTGAAATGGTAGCTGTGGTGCATAATTTGAGGTTAGCCGAGATCACGTGCGCGAACTTCTTAAAATGGAATGGGCTGAAATGTCAACCTCACCTCACTCCCCATAGCCAAACTTCACCTACATCTGTCGACAGACAAATGACATGGACATCGACTGGTTTCAAAAAAAAAAAAAAAAACTATCCACAAATCCTTTTAGCAGTCTATTCATGGTGATTTCTGGGTCTATTGATGAGTTTTGTGGTTAATGGTAGATTGGTTAGGTTTCGAGAGCAAATGCTAATGCTTTCCTTCTTTTCTTTCTTCATATCTCCTTCTGGGCGGTGATGAAGTTCTAGCCTGTTCCATTGAAAATTTAACTGTTTGTGGTCACTTATCATCGTTTATTGGCGTATCCTTTCAGAAGTATTTATAGGGTCTGTCACCAATGCGTTGCCGACCGATAATCTTCTGTCTTAAAGTTGGCTCTTCTATCTTCTCAAAACCGAGCCATGGATTGCCCTACTAGGTCAAAGTACCCCTGGTTCTTTTACACTCTTCTTACATCCAAGGCAGTATACCCAGAAAAACCCTCGTCCTTATCCTACTGTACCAACTGTGATCGTACATACCTAGTCCTTTGATTTGCGCCGCACCCCCTGCGTTGTTTTCCGCTATACATCGTAAGCTCTGTCGTAATGAATGTGGTTTTCGTTCTCTGCTTTTGGTGATCTTGAAACGGATCGAGACTCCTTCTGATTGTGTGCTGCTATGCACTCGTCAAGGCGTGGCAAAACATTCCGTGAAATTTGGAGTTTGCTCACATGTCTGGAGTTTGCTCACATGTCTGTTTTTGTGTGTTTATTCCAGTAAAATTGTTAAAATGGATAATGCAATTGCCTTCCCCATATGTATAGATATGTCCTGTTGATTATTAGTGTCGCTGGAGTCGGTTATAATAAGCAGAGATCAGTGTTATACTGTCGCGCAGCAACCCTTTTCCTGATGCAAGCCGGGTTTCTCGCTGGCGGTGGGACTGCATCTAAAAAAACCTTATCGGCAAGACATGGCCTTTAGACCGACAAGTCGCCGACTTATTAAGTGTGTGCATATAGCTAAATAAGCAATTGTACTGCAACAATTCATTAAAGTCAATGGTTCAGCTGTTTAGTCCGCCTATTGACTTTAAACTGGGTAGCTATGCCACTGGCAGCAAGCAGAAAAACTTTAAAACCCATGGATCCGGGTTTCCATCGCCGCTACCCTTTATTGGCTTTGGCTTGAGCATGAGTTTCCTCTTCGGTAAAACCCCATCGGGGGTTTAGTAACAGGTCCCCTCTCCGAGGTGACCTGTGAGTTTTGCTATTTTGAGTGTTAGATTTTAATTTAAATTCTCCATTCCCTTGTCGCGCAGTTTGCCTTCTGCAATTCTTTTTCGGACAGGCTCCATTTACTGCCATCTTTATATGTCCTTTTAGTAGTTTTTAAGCGAGAAAGAGGATGCAATGTAGGCAAAGCGCTGGGGGGTGCTTATTCTTTTACACATACACTTTACATATATACATACAACGAGACTTCCGGATATTATGTTCACTGGATCATGAATTGAAGGGAGCCGAAGAATTTACGATATATGTTCCCTCAGGTCAATGTGACTCTGCTACATACAGTCTAGAAGTGTGGAGAGGCATTTGTGGTGGACCTAGAGCGACGACGGTGTGCAGTTCTAGATCATGGACGTGCATCCCTGGATCTTCATCGGGGGCGATGTGTTTCCATTCTGCCTGGGCTTCGATAACGAGGTCGCTCTTCCCGATCGCGGTAGTTGTCTCTTGAGGCTTTTTGGCAGTCAGCGTGTGTGGATGGACTTGCACTGCGCGAGCGTCTCGAAGGTTTTCCCGGCCGCCGTGTATCCATATTCTTGGGCTTTCTGCGGCGTTTTCGGGGAGCAGCATCAGTCATTCGCACATCTCGGTCCGGTAGAACCCTATTTGACGTATCTCTATTTTGTACGGTCCTTCTCATATCATTGAAGACATTGTCCTGCTTAGTCCATGTCGAGTTCAATTGTCTCTATTGTAATCGTCAGTATTTTACTTGTCATTTTGTGACATTACCTATCTTGGACTTCGAAAAGCGAGAACCGCGTACTTTTTGCTCCGCCCACTTCTCCGTCAATTTTTTCTCCTTCTCTCGTACATTTGGGACCATACTTTCTTTCAGGGATAGTCGATCCTTTTCTGCCAGCTCAAACTTGTCTCGGAATGTTTTGGCCTTGGACTCCTTCTCGGCTTGCTGGGCCTCCAGCAGATCCGCTAGCTGTCTTGCATGCTCCTGTTCCAACGCTCTCTTGTCTATTTCCTCATCATGACTTATTTGCTTCGCGGTCTTTTGTTGCTTCTCGTTGCAATGGTCGTTCCATGATGCTTTGAGTTCCTCGAGCCCGCGTTTGTCTTTGTCCATCTCGTCGAGTCGCGCTTGATTCTGTCCTGGCCGACGAGAAATTTGGTCGCGATATTCTGCCTCGAGCCTCACATAACGCTCGTTGGTATCGTCCATGGTGCTTGCAGCAAGTTATGGATGGCTTGAGGTGACGACAATTGGGTGTGTCAAGGTAACCGGCGTTGAGGCTTAAAGGTTAGAAGTGGTGACTTGAAGTTGAGGGGAAGTCGAAAGTGAATTGCGCTGCGCTCCGTTAGAAATACTGCTAATTTTTACCGCATATGTGGTTTTCGATTCGCCTTTGTATTGAAAGATCACACAGGTCCGAATTCTAATCTTCATAAAACTTTTTGGATCAAACGTTTAATAGCTACAGGGATATTCAAAGCTCTGTTACCTGGTTTATATGGAAGCTAGTCAAAAAGAGCTGGAGAGTGCAGGATATACCGGTACGAGGCAAGTGGTAGAAATATGTTCCCGGGGACATGAAGCCTTGAGTATACTTTGAGCGATGGAGAAACCGGGAGATGTCATTGTGAATCAATGCGAATGAAATGAATGACTTTCCTTGAACATTCGTAGTAACTTATATAAGCCCCAGAAAAGTAACTCCGTTCTTCCCTACCTCCGATAAATTTAAACGCATAATGTGCTAGACTGTGATAATTAATTATACTTGTGACAACCTTCGTAATGGTAAAAGAAATATCTTACGAATGTATTTATGTAATGTAGAATTGAAAGCAATCTTGGCTTGGTAAAGAGAACTCAGCAACTTCCCGAAGTGAACCTTGCAGGGATGGCTCGGATCCGGAGACGAGGCTGAGGAAAGCAATTTAAATATATTCCTAGGTCGTTATCTTAACATCAACAACGAACCAAATTTCTCCAGATCTTTAACACTGTTCTGTTCGTGCGACTAGCTCTACTCAAAAGCAAGACTCAAGGACCCAGAAACTCAGCTTTGACACGGAGGTTTCAGTTCGACTCCCAAATATAAAACTACAATGGCAGCCGTGTCAGTCCCCAATGGGGAAGTAAAATTGGAGAAGAAGCTCGCAGATATCAGCCTGGGAGAAGACAAAGCCAATGATACAACTGGCACAGCGACTTCTTCTGTTGCCGCCTCACTTCGAGAAAAGCCTGCTGGGCCATTGAAGACCCCAATCGTCGATCCAGTCGAATCTGCCGTTCCAGACCCTCCCGCAACCCTCACAGCCGACCAGCAATCCAAATACGAGTCGTTATTAGAGACTGTCAAGTCATGGGAGGAAGTGCCGTCTACAACAGGGAAAAATGGGCCTGTGACCGAGGATGAGATCATGTGGTTGTCGAAAGAATGTCTCCTACGATATCTTCGCGCTACAAAATGGCACACCGCAGACGCAGCAAAGCGTATACTGGGCACACTCACATGGAGGCGTGAATATGGGGTTGACGATCTGAGTGCAGATGCAATTTCACCGGAGAACGAGACGGGAAAGCAGCTTATTTTGGGATACGACATTGCGGCTAGACCATGCCAATATCTCAATCCGGGCAGACAGAATACGGAACCCAGCCCGCGGCAGGTACAGCATCTGGTATTTATGGTGGAACAGTCAATTCAGTTAATGGTACCTGGACAAGAGACATTGGCTTTATTGATCAACTTCAAGAGCTCGAAGAGCAGGTCAAATACAGCACCCGGGATTGGACAGGGTAGGGAGGTATTGAACATCCTTCAGACACATTACCCGGAGAGGTTGGGACGGGCTTTGATCATAAATGGTAAGTTCAAGCAATCTTTCAAACTGTGTAATTACTCACTTTATTACAGTCCCATGGGTCGTCTGGGGTTTCTTTAAATTGATCACGCCGTTCATTGACCCATTGACTAAGGAGAAGTTGAAGTTCAATGATAACATGCGGAATCATGTTCCACCTCAGCAGTTGTGGAAAGAGTTTCAGGGCGATCTTGACTTCGAATATGACCACGATGTCTACTGGCCGGCGCTTATAAAGCTCTGTGTAGAGAAACGCTCCGAGCAACGAGCACGTTGGGTGAAGGCAGGAAAGCATTATGGAGAGAGCGAGGTGTACATGAGGGGAGGAGATGCTCCAAGTGTTGGATCAGTAACGGGCAAGGAGGCAGGTGATGTGCCAGACAATACTTCAGAGAAGGGAAAGGAGGCTGAAGTACCGGTGAAGGAATAACTCTATGAGTAAAAGGAGGCGGGAACATCTATACAGACGCAGGAAACCCAGTCTCAAACAATTCGAATGTTTGAAATGGCCCCTCCATCTTTATCATTGAGAACACTTGGAATGTGGAAGCCCAAGCCGATGTGTCAATCAGTAGAAGCGAATTGGGTAACCAAGTCCCTTTATATAGATAACAAATAATACCTAGACTACAATAAATTATAATTTGATACGCTGCTCTTGCTGCCAGAGAAAATTGCTCGTCGGTCGTTTCGCCCCAAGCTTTCAAGCTCCCCTTCGCTAGAACATCACCAACCTCAAAAAATCCAAGCTCACCAAATATCACCTACAACCCACCACTCTATGTGCCAGAATTGCTAGGACAACCATATCTGGTCCGATGCCACACCGGTCCTGCTTACCACACCAAGCAGAATGGCATCCTCACAACCCGTAAAGCCACCACTGGCAGGCCAGCCCGCACAAGCCCAGCGAGGCTCCCAAGCCGGCCTGAAATACCCATCCAGCGGCAAGACGATATACAACCGCCCCCTGAACCGCAGCCGGACGCAGGAGCTCAGCCAGGCAAGCTTTGCCTACCTGTTTGGTGAGATGGTCAGCTATGCGCAGAAGCGGGTAACGGGCATTCAGGATCTGGAGAAGCGGTAGGTCGTATTTCCTCCTCTTCACAACCGCATTTCCATTGTTCACATTGTTCAATTGGTTGATGTGCTTGATGGATATATACTGATTATGGATTTGTATACAGATTGAATGTCCAAGGCCATCCTATCGGCCTCAAACTCCTTGATCTCCTCCTCTACCGCGAGCCCACGCGCTCGCAAACGCGGCCCCTCAACATCATCGCCCTGCTACAATTCATCACCACGGCCCTCTGGCGCCACCTCTTCTCGCGGCCTGCAGATGCGCTGGAGAAATCTTCGAACCCAGAGACACCGGACGAGTATATGATCTCGGATAACGAGCCCCTGGTTAATCAGTACATCAGCGTGCCCAAGGAGATGAACCAGCTGAATTGTGCGGCCTTTGTTGCGGGTATTGTGGAGGGTGTTTGTGATGGGGCGGGTTTTCCGGCAAGGGTTACGGCCCATAGTGTGGGGAAGGGAGAGGAGGGAGAACTGTGGCCGGGGAAGACGGTTTTCTTGGTAAAGTTCCAGCCGGAGGTTGTGGAGAGGGAGGCTTATTTGGGGAAGAGTTGAGATATTGAGAGGTAGAGAGATAATACTGGTCATTTGGGCGGCGTATTGGGCATGGGTGGAGTTATGGATGAGCTCTGGTAGAGCTCTGGATTGACAGATGTAGTCATGAATAATTCCCAAGTCAAGAGAGGGACTTTTTTGATCAAATAGTGAGATTCTTCTGAGCTTTGTGCCTTCGAGACCTTGTTCTCTCAACAAGTATTCGCGCCGTGTGTCCCAAATGCCTGCCATAACTCCTGTATAATCTGGGTATCACCATAAAGCCTCGCAGTCGCCCAAAGTCTCCCCCCTTATAATAGCATACAAGTATCACCGCAGCCCATCAATTACCTAGGCATGAATCTAGTCCTAGGTTTAAATCCGCTTCCCGTCGCCTTCTTCTTCCCATCCGGTCCCTTCTTCATCAAATCCGCAAGCCCCAAATCCTTCCACGCCGGCTCCTTCACTTTCTGCGTCGCGCGCTGAATCCCAAATGCCGCGTGCTGGTCAGGGACTACATCGTCTTCGTCTTCGGGGTTGATGGGCTGGTTGTGTGGCGGCACGTATATTTCGTCGTCGGGGAGCTTATCTTTGCAGAAGTCTTCGAAGAGGTCCGCGTCGCGGGGTCGGTTGAAGTGGATGTAGGTGTATGAGGAATCTTTAGACTATTCTCTGTGTAAGCCATAGGATCAGAGGAGAGGAGGGAGAGATGGCTACCATGTTTCTGGTTGTGTGTGGAGGGGGAGTGGGGGAACTTGTTTACAGTGGAAGCAGGATAATGTTGGGTTTGTTTTGAGGCGAGGCTGAGGGATGTCAAAGTTGCCAGCCGCGCCTTCCCTACACACATCTACAACAATTTCTCAAAGACGATTCTCTTGTGAAATGACAATAAAATATGATCAATTACAAATTGACAAGAGTTTGTACCTACTAAGGCTACTAGGTAGGTACCAACTTTCAATCTATTATTCAACGTCCTGATAGTAATGCCCAGGGAAAGGATCTCTAGTTGGCTACTGCTTAGTTTTATGTAGACTGCTCGGGACTGAATCTGAAGAGTGAGAAACCCAGCTGATATATACAATCCCATGACTCTCGACCCCCCAATACATACACCTGGACCCCATCTAAACGTTGCGGAGCTTCACAGCGCTTCATCTTCGTCGTAGCCGTCCAATAAGCAGTGCTCGATGGGCTACGAAGCCTTTCGTATCTTTCCTAGCTCATTATGAGAGAGACATTATATTCCCCTGATCAGCGTTAGGGATGATTATTACTAGGCTGTTCATTGAGGGAGTTTGGAGCTGATAGCTAGAAGGTATTATTCTACACCCCTCTCTCGCTTAAGTAAAGGGGCAGAAACAGCGATAGACTCACGCTCTGGTGGGTACAGTACCGAGTACTGGGTACTTATTGCTATATACAGAGAATCATCTTTATACAAGCGTTACAAAATCAGCTTTTCTGGCAAGCAAAATCTACATTTTGAGTAAGAGAATTGAAGGTATAAATTATTGTAGAAGCGCAAGTATCCGAAGTATACTCTTATGATACAAAGATCCGTCACAGAAACAATTGAATTGCCTTGACTCCCGCACACTTTTAAAGTTTGATAACTTCTGCAAAGTGATACCCAATACCTCACCGCTCTCATAGCTGCTAGGCGGAGCTGGAGGGCACTATCTTTACTCATGCTGCATGGTAGAATGAATCTTCTCTCTCGAAAAAGTGAGCGTCTTTCTTAAAATGATGCATACAAAGATACAGCCAGCCTCTACCTTTGAGATACTCACCACTCCTCATCGTACTTCACCCCACCCCATTCCATTCCACAACCCTATAGCAGATTCACACCCCTATCCCCACCATGAACGACGACTTCCCCACCAGCGACTACTACACAGAGTACAAAGAGTACAGCAAACGCAGGCTTGCGCTCTGGACCTCCAAAACCGCCGAATCTGCCGAAATCCACAAGCATGAGAGACTAGGGCGCGCTAAACTTGAGAAGGATGGGAGTAACAGCCAGATATTAGACACCTTGCATATACAGACGCAAGGCCGGTTGCTAAATGTGAAAGAGAAGTTTGGGCGTATGGAAGAGGAGTTGGATAGGGGGTGGGAGGTTGTCAAGCGCGGGATTCAGGGGGGAGTGAGCTGGGGAAAGGTGGATGCTATGGAGAGGATTGGGAGTACTGGTGAGTGAATTTAGTGTTTACCCGAATGAGAGATTGGCATAGGAGGGGGTTCTTTTTCTTTCGCGACGCGACTTGGAGAGTAATAAGATGCTTCTAAGTCCGGAACTTGGTAGCGTTTTGGTTTGAGCAATGCTGACTTTGAGAATTTAAGCTATGAGAGCACGGAAGAGATCTCACGAGGAGTTCGGCGGAGAACACCACTACCCTCGACGGTCTATAAGCCCATTTGTGAAGAAAGGGTCCCGACGTACCAGCAATTATGACCCTGGCTTGTCTGACAACTATAACATCGACTTCGACAATGGCAATGATGCCAACTTGGACACCACTTCCAGTACCCCTCAGCAAGGACCCGGTCCTGCTGGCTCTCCGTACATCAGCAGTTCCCGGCCTCGACCCAAGACCAACCCCCCTGGCACACGACCTTCTGCATATATACCATCCACAGCCCGTACTTGCACACCAGCTCTTCGACCCCCAACCTGTAACTCCAGCTCTGACTCCCTTCCCAACACCACCCACCCAACCACCACCCTCCTGGGCCCTCTCCACCTCCACCTCAGCATCCACACTCAACCTAACGCCCACGGAAAGCACACGCCTCGACCTCAACATCTCCCGCGCAGTCAGCAGCCCCCTCGCTTCGAAATTCTGGGCCATGCTTCCACGCGAGAAATGGCCTGCTGTGTATGCGAGGATTTGGGTGTTTGTTGAGAGACGGCTGGGTGATGCGAGGTTGCGCGGGTATCCGTACCGGGTGCCGGATTTCGTGGAGCTGTGTCCTAGGGTTGTAGAGTTTGTGCTGGAGGAGGTTGGAGTGTATGAGATGGAGAAGGTCGAGGTGGAAGTGGAAGTTGAGGTGGAGGCTGAACAGTTTGGTGTTAGTACGTGACGAGGATGACTTACTTTACAGCGGGTGGGGGGGATCAAATGGATGCATTGTACTAATACCTCATAAATGGCATATGGTAGATACCGGGTATATAGAAGCTGATCCAAATAATGAAAAGGTGCCATCCATGGACAGAGGACCTATGAGAAAAGGGCCTGAATTTTTTATAACTGATAGCTTAACTCCAGTTTTAAATATCTTCCAACACAATTTAAACACCCCATTCGAAAAACAATATGCGTAAGTACTCCACCTCGATATCGAACATATCTACAATCTAGCTCTTCCATCGCCCCTCCATCCAGCCTCAATAGCAATCAACTCAGCAGCCCGCTCCCCAACAGCCAGAACAGTCAACATGGGGTTGATAGTAGTCATAGTAGGGAATACTCCCGCATCAGCAATCCTAACTCCCTTCAAGCCCCTGACCTTCAACTCATGATCCACAACCGCCATGCTGTCCTCCTTGGCACCCATCTTCGTGGTACCAGCCGGGTGATACACCGTATGCGCGACCCTTCTCCCATACTCAGACAGCTCCTCATCAGTCTGCACTTTCGGGCCGGGCGCGACTTCTTTCTTCAGCCAGTTGCTGAATGGGGCTTGCTTGGCGATTTCGCGCGCGGCTTTCAGACCCGCGACGATGGTGGCTGCGTCGTAGCCTTCGGGGTCCGTGAAGTACCGGAAATCGAGAGCCGGTTTGACGGATGGGTCGGAGGAGGTGAGGTAGATGCGTCCGCGGGATCGGGGGCGTGGGATGTTGGGCGTCATGCAGAAAGCGTTGATGGGAACATCATAGCCGAGACGGGCGGTGTTGAGGCAAAAGGGGATTTGGTAGCAGTGCATCATGATATCTGCGATATTTCCATCTGGCAGTGCTGCTGGGTTGAGGAAGGGATCGGTGTTGTTTTTTGCGGCGTTGGGGAGCTCGCGGCGCAGGAAGATTCCTGCATCGCTATCCATGGTTGTTTGGGGTGGGACAGGAGCGTTGAGTTCCCACATGATGATGGATTCGGGATGGTCGAGGAGGTTCTCGCCGACACCGGGAAGATCGTGGAGCACAGGGATATCCAGGTCCTTGAGTTGTTGCTGGGGACCAATGCCGGATAGCAGCATCAGTCTGCAGGTGTCGACTGCTCCTGCACAGAGGATTGTCTCGGCCTTGGGGGAGACAGTGAGCTTGGTGCCGGACTTCAATGTCAGGTTTACACCTTTCACGGTGTTGCCTGAGACATTGATCTTGCTGACCCAGGCATTGGTCAGGATAGTTAGGTTAGGACGCTTCTCCTGACCCCGAAGAATAGGGTGGATATAAGCTACAGAAGCAGAGCTCCGACGGCCGTCATCAGGGTTATATGAGACGTTGAAGAAGCCCACGCCTTGCTCCAGTTTGCCGGTCTCTCGGATCTCATCGTTGAAGTCCTTGATGATCGGAATACCCATAGCAGTGGAGCATGACTCGATCCAGTCTTTACAGACCTGGTTGCGGTGTCTAGGGTGCACTGGCTGGATTTGGTTTCGTAGATTGTCAAGGTGGCGTGTCACGGTCTTGAAGTTCCATCCTTTGCAGCCCAAGCTCTCCCATACTTGCATATCATACTCGAATGGGCGGAATGAGATGAGAGTATTGTGGGATGAGCAGCCTCCGAGCACCTTGGCTCTAGAGTGCCTGATATGAGAGTTTCCTGGATCCTGATTAGCTCAAACTTGAGGTATTAAGTCAATTAATTGATGGCGTTGGGCGTACCATTGGGCTGCTCCACGGTTCCATAGTCATAGTCAAGTTCACCACCTAACAGGGTGAGCCATTCCTTGAGCTTCAGCACTCGATCATCATTAAAGTCGCTTGGGCCAGCCTCGACCATGAGGATCTTCTTGTGAGGCAAGTATTCGGAGAGTCTGCTTGCAATGACACAGCCGGCAGTGCCGCCGCCGACAATGACATAGTCAAAGCTATTGACTTGAGAGTCGAGGATGCGTTCAGTAGTCATGTTGAGTGAGTCTGGAGTGAGTCTTGACTTGAGCACGGGTCGGAGTGGAGGTTTCCAATGTATCTACTCCAGACTTATTCACAAATACAATGCGTATTTCCACAAACTGTTATTCATACAAAGAACTGTTGGTTGTCGATAGCGATAAGAAACTTTTTGATCAGTCCTAGCTATGGTGGGTCCCGGGTGGAGAAGAGGCAATAGAGCGGACGCACCGACTGAATTGCTTGCTTTTTGGATAGGAAAATATATGAAGAAGCTAGATAGGATGGACGGTGTAGAAGTTGTACTCCTTTCGTGGTACCTGGTTTGTACGACTTTTGCCTTACCCATGGATCTCCCCTCGCCTCCCCATATGCACTTGTACAGATGGGATACCTCAATCCACCAGATTCTTATGCCGGGGCCGGGAGCTCCACGATTCAGAACTACTTACGAAGGCGTTTTAGCTCATCTAGCAGGAAAACTTTTCGAGATGCGGCTGCTAGCGCTGAAAACGGACAGTCGGTGGATTTGGAATGGGACCACCTCTCAATCTTTGCCCAGACTTTAATCCTCAACCTTGAACCCCCACCACACCCATATGCTAGAAGATCTAACTTACTCGTAATACTGTACGCCACGCCGTGGAATTATCATTGATATCAGCAATCAGTAGTCAGCCGGAAACCCCCATCTCGTACTCTGCGGATGAAATTCGGCATATCATATTAAGTTTTGGACCACGCCGAAGAGAGCTATTACTTCCTCAGACCCTGATATTCTATGATACGGCCTTCACCGACTACAGTATAGAAACTGTTTGCGTGCAACTTCCATTTATTCCTTTTTAAGGCAAAAAGTGTGTCATAGCTTGGGGAATCAATCCAAGACGATCCGCTTCTACCTTCATCGGGCCCCAACCATCAGACCATCTTTATCTTTATCTTCCACTTGCTACTCAATTTTCAATCATTGCTTCAAGACTAACTTCCAAGCTCCTCCGAGAACATCAGCCCACAATGGGAGGCGCCAGCTATTCTCCCCAGCAGCTCTACTACGATGGCAAAGTCCAAGCAGCAACTTCTGGCAAGACTTTCGACTCCATCGATCCCTCTACTGCCCAGCCCTTAGCAAAAGTCCACGCTGCTTCGCCAGCAGACATCAATTCGGCCATCTCCTCTGCACAGAAAGCTTTTCCTTCCTGGTCCCAGACTCCACCCATCGTCCGGTCTCGAATCCTCCTCAGAGCCGTCTCTCTCCTCCGCTGCCGAAACGACGAAATAGCCAAAGTCGAAACCCACGACACAGGCAAGCCCTTCTCAGAGACAAGCACAGTAGACGTAGTAACGGGCGCCGACGTGCTCGAATTCTTCGCCAACCTGGTAGCAAGCGGGGGATTAAGCGGGGAAACTACACAACTACGACCAGATGCATGGATATACACCAAGAAGGAAGCACTGGGAGTATGTGCCGGAATAGGAGCATGGAACTATCCCATCCAAATCGCGCTATGGAAATCAGCACCTTGTTTAGCAGCGGGAAACTGTATGGTGTATAAACCTTCTGAAGTCACTCCTTTGCACGGGCAAATACTGGCAGAGATATATGCGGAAGCTGGTGTGCCTCCCGGAGTCTTCAATATCGTGCATGGCGATGGAGCTGTGGGCGCAGCTCTTACTTCACACCCTGGAATCTCGAAAGTGAGCTTCACAGGCCAAGTTTCGACTGGGCAAAAAGTTGCTGCTGCTGCAGCTGAAGGCATGAAATACGTCACTGTAGAATTGGGGGGAAAGAGCCCGCTCATCATACTTCCGGACACAGAGCTGGAAAATGCTGTGGATGGAGCGATGATGGCGAACTTCTTCTCGACTGGCCAGGTCTGCACAAACGGTACCCGCGTGTTCGTGCACAAAAGCATGAAAGCAGCATTTGAGAAGAGATTACTGGAGAAAATCGAATATATTCGCTCACTCGAGCCAATGGACCCAAACAGCAATTTTGGACCGCTGGTCTCGGAGATCCATTACAAGAAAGTGCTCAATTATATACAACATGGTATTGATACCGACAAGGCCAAACTACTCTCTGGCGGCCCTCAAAAGCCTACAAAGCTTCCAAACGGCTACGGCGATGGTTTTTGGGTCCAACCGACAGTCTTTACTGACTGTACAGACAGCATGAAAATCACAACCGAAGAGATTTTCGGCCCTGTGTTATGTATCCTAACATACGACACAACAGCTGAAGCCGTCGCCCGCGCAAACAACACAAAAATGGGACTGGCAGCAGGTGTCTTTGGCAAGAACCTGAACGAATGCCATGATGTGATCAGTAAGCTGCAAGCAGGCATTACGTGGGTCAATACATGGGGCGAGAGTCCAGCGGAGATGAGTGTGGGAGGATGGAAGATGAGTGGTATGGGCGTGGAGAATGGACGGAAGGGATTGGATGCTTGGGTTAGGGAGAAGAGTACGTTGGTTGAGCAGGGTGGGGTTGTGGGGACTGTGTTTGCGAAGTTATGAGGTTGATAGTTTAATATAAAAAGAAACGTCAAATGACAGATACCGGACCCAAAGTGATGTTTATGACTAAGACTGGTCTCTCTAATTATCCTCAGCTCTAGATGTTCTTCACGCGCAACCGCAACCACGTATGCTAATACCATCTACTCCTCCCATAAGGAATCAAAAGCACGGCCAAATAGTCTCTCCCCTGTCAATTCGTACTCGTCGCCATTCTTAACCTTCTAAACCTGCAAGAGCAGATGCTACTCCCCTCCTTCTTCTAGATAAGAGCGACCGAAAAAGAGCTTATTGCAATTCTATAACGCGAAATCAGATACTAAATGTATACGATTGCAATTATTGCTATCAAAGTACGACAAAGGACTGAAACCGCACCCGCAGAGAAGGCAATCTCTCAAACGCGATACTTAAACAGCAGCGTATTATTATGAATCTAGCGGCTATGGAATTGCGATAAAAAGCTATGTTTAAGTGGTGTGGTTATGCTATTATCTATGCTTCCTACATCTTAGAACCTTTGCAATTCTCCCTCAATTTCCTAGCTCTCTTCCGGCCTCTTTTAGGGTATCCGGGAGTAGCTGTAGCATCTGCATCTAGAGCTGAAGATATACTTTTTAGCAGTGAGTGTGATCTTAGTCTTTTACAACTTTGCGGGTGCGGTCTGGGTCATTTGATGATTAAAGTATCACGTTCATGGCATCAAGTGCCATGAGCTTTCTGCGGGTGTATAACATACAAATTTGAACACCTTTCAGTGAGAGAGTCCGCTATCTGTCATTTGATGAAAAAGAAAACAGTCAGTTCTGTCACGGGTACCCGGTCTTCGTTTTCGTACGCATTGATTGCATGAGCTACCTTCCTTTTGCTGAGAGTCAACAATCTTCTCGTGCTGCCTTTAAATAGCTTGCCGAAGAAACTCAAGTGCCTTCTCAGTAACCATGCCAATACCAAGAAGCGAATGAAATGGAATCGCAACGGATTATTCGACCCAGTTCATCATTTATTTTGCAAACCTGTCTCGCTTTTCCTCTGTGACAAGTATCGATTTCGCTCTTACTGCCTCACTTTTCATGGCTGCGGTAAGGGTTTCGATTAGCGTGTCTGCTTCTGTGGTGCTGACTTTCCAGGTCTTGCGTACTCGGTCGGCGAGTGCTAGGGGGTTTCGGTGGGGATAGTTTGTAGTAATGATTTATACAGGCTTGCAGAGTTTTGTTCAGATGAGTCGCAATATATCCAGGGTATACGGAGTTCACTCTAGGCGGCTCTATACAAAATATGTGTCCTGCAATCAATACCAGTCAGTCAACCAGTCAGGCAGTATATGTTTTGCATACATACTTCATCCGCAGTCCTGTCGACTCTTGCTTCTCCCGCTCTAGAGGTGCTTCTCTGGCAGAGCGTGAAATGACGATGACGACAAGCACTACGGCTTTTCCCTATTTGATTTCCAATATCTTGCCATGTTTTTCCCTCCTCGCGACCCTGCAGTACAAAGGCTTCCTGGATGTTGATTAGCATTCCATTATCCTGCTAGGCATATGTCTGTCGCCTTACGTCCTGCTCAGTCCAAATTCCTATTCTGCTTTTAACAGGTGACCTTGGCTGGTCCAGCTGCGGTGCGCTATCCAGGTTCACTGGTTGTCGTTCTGTCTGCTCTTTCTGGGTAGTAGCTGGTAGCTTTGGCTGTTCTTGGTTGGGAGTTTGTGCACTGTCCTGGTTCACGGATTGGTGCTTCGCTTCTTCTGAGTCCTTCTGAACAATTGAGCTGGCATCCGGAAGAGTCACGGGGGGTGAGACATTGTGCTGCTCGAGCTGTTTCGGTTGTTTGGATTTATCGTTCTTGTGTTTCGGTGAAGATGCCGTGCCTAGGTATTCCCTCAAGATTTCAGACGTTGTCATAGGTGCCTTTGTAGGAGGGTTGAGCTTTGGGTTTGAGAGGGATGGTGTATTTGGCGTAGGGCCCTGAGACAATGTTTCATTGGTTGCTGCTTTCACTGGGCGCAGGTCTGCGGATGAGGTTTTGACTCGCTTGCTGGAGGGAGTATCCTCTTCAGAGATGCTGGGACAACGACGGGGTTGGAAACTTCGAGATTCTGGCCTTGAGGGTCTAGAAGTCTGGTATGTTAGAGGACTGTCATTTCGGGACTGGTTTCTTGTACTGGGTGGACTTAGTTGGCTGTGTTGATCTCGTCTTGTAGCACGGCGGGATATCTCATCTACGGTGGAACTTCTTGAACGGTGAGGTTGAACATCGTCAGACGGAAAAGGTGTTTCTGTGCTCGAAGGAGTGCCCAAGCGAACGTGGTCGTGACGGTCAGGGTGTGTAAATCCTGTAGAATGTCCCTTGCTACCCCGGCGAGCCGTTCTTGTCCCCTTATTCTTGCTGCTTTGGACGAATTCGATAGCCGAGTCTTCTCCATCTGGAGACGCGACGAGGCCATTCTCTGGATTGGTCTCGACTTGCATAGCAATGGAGCGGGAAGGCAGGGCCTGCTCTAGCACAGGAGATGGAGAACGTAAGAGAGACCCAACGCTTCCTTTGAAAGCTTCAAACAAAGCCTCCTTGACTTTCTCCTCTTGCTTCTTCCATTCCGAAGTCAATTCTGCATCATCTCGCTCAGCCTTCTGAACCAACCCTGCATGCTTCTCCTTGAACTCCTGATCGATCTTTAGTCTCTTCTCTTTGATCTCCGTCTCGGCCAACCCTTGATTCTTCTCAACGGACTTCCTACTAGTCTCCCTCTCAACTTCTCGAAGTCGTTGTAAATTAGCAATCTGTGCTGCGAGCTCATCATCCCGTGTCTTTGCATTCACTTTCTCCTCCTCGTCGATCTGCTTCTTGCGAGTCTCAAGCTCTGCATCAAGTCTTGCTTGCCCCGAGATTTTCTGTGCTTCGAGTTCGATCTTCTTGGCTGAGAGTTCGGTACTCTTTTCTTGCAGTTGGCGTTCGCGTTGGGAGGCTAGCTCTCGCCAGTCCTGCTCCAGATTGCCGTATGATTCGTAGACCATGGTGCCCAACGAGGTAATTGTACAATTGAAGCCTTATGTGATGGCAAAGTGTAATTAGATATCAAGATCAAATGTTGGTCCGTATGGTGAATGCTGCACAGAACTTACGACTTATCCGTGGGTTTGGATATTATTGTCGTCGCGGTTGAGTTGAGGTGATGCGAGAGGGCGGCAGTCTGTTTACATTCACAAACCCCTTGTTAGAATATACACACGTCGGAGGGCAAATCAAAAGGTTCCGTACTGCCAACCCCAACACACCGAATATCATAAGCTAAATCAGGAATTGATGCATGTTCGAGATTTGGATTTTGGGGAGTACACTTTGGCCAGTTGTTCAGCGAGAAAGGGGTAGCAAAAGAGCAAGTTCAAATCCACAGGGAAGTCCAACCTCACTTTCAGCCGAGATAAGAGACAGAAAAGACACCTGGACTGCTCAGGGTATCGAGAAAATAAGTATATTAGGGGTCGTTCTACATACAAGTTTCGCTATCCATCCTTCAATGCTGCACCCCATAGAGCAGAAACCAGAAACTCATCAAAACGCCAATTCGTTCAACCATACTCCATATCCTATTACCAAATGTTGTAATCATTGTGTACAAAACCTCCTCTTTTCCATTTTGCATGCAATGAACGCCATTAATCCCAAAGACAGGCCCGCGCTATGCATTAAACTTCTTTCTTTTCCTACTGCATTATCCAAGAGAGGTATATTTTAGTATGCAAGGCCCCCATAACTCGAGTTCCGTCCCCCTTGTCCATGGTGTGCTGGAGCCATGTATGTAGAATCGGTGTCTTGGTACATAGTAGCGCGGCGATCGTCTTCAAGGAAAGGCTCTTTAACATCCCAGTTGTTTTGCTTTGTGCCCACGGAGAATTCGAGATCTTCACGTGTGATGGAATCCCAGTACTATAATCTCAAGTCAGCAAAGCATTTTTAATGGGTATAAAATAAGGGAGAACAAACCTTGTAAACCATCATGACAGCCAGTAAGTTACAAATAGTAGCAAAGAAAAGCCCATCCAGGTAATGTTGCACTGCGTTGCAGATCGTGTTGCTGAAGACATACAGGATAACCTGTCCAATGACGAAAAAGAATGCCCCGAAAGCGAGATCTCCCAGTGGCCAGCGCTCCTCAAGAGTACCCATAACAAGAAGAACCTGCATGATAAAGTATACGACCAATGCAATGCCAGACAGAATATACAGCACCACGAACAGCCCAACTGTATTTGTAGGGCTCAGGCCCGCCCAGCTTTTGAACGTAGCTAGCGATATTATACCCGTGATGATGAAGAATGCAAAGCTGACGGTACGGACTAGCCAGACGGATAGCGTAGTACCATCCTCGTAGATCTGAAAGCCTACGAAACCGTTAATGAGAAGGCAGACGGAGAGCGCGGATATGAGGCCATTCTGAACAGCGGCGAAGTAGGGATATGCGCCATTGCCGGGGGGAACGACCCCAGAGTCCAGAATGAGCGAGAAGAATGTAAGTAGCATGTAGATATAGAAGAAGGCGATGATTTCTTTGCGGCCTAATTATAGAACTGTCAGAATCGACCTCTAAATCCGACAGATTCGAGGGGTCAACGTACCGACGGCTGTGAATTTACTCCGGACATGCAAGATCATAATTACTGTCATTATGAGTGCGATTATGTGCATGAAGCATGCGGCGCCTTGGAAGATGATGGTGTTGCCGACGTCGATGTTGCGCGCATAACAATCTGCTTCGATGCCAAATGAGCCGGTGACAGTTGAGTAGTGGCCCACGACTGAGCATAAAGGCACCGGTGCTCGCTGGCAGACATCTTCGAAGTCTCCAAATCCCATCCTGCCTGCCCGTCTGCCCTTCCCTAATATATGCCCGTACGACTATTGTGTTGAATGTATGTTTGTTGCTGAGGAGCAAAGCCTCTCGAACCCGATAATGGCAAAGATGCTCGTATGCGATAGCGAATGTGATAATAGAGGAGGTAGCGATCGTGTGCTCCTTCTATGCTGGTGATGCGGGCAATGTTGAGGATGGAAGGAAGAAGGCTCGTCGTCGCTGCACAAGGGATGAGCCAAACAATCGTTTCTCTCCCCGATGTCTTGGCAACTGGTCGTTGGCGGGCAACCACGTTAGCGCGCTCGTATTAACTCCTAACCATCCACGTGATATTTTGGGACGACATCTTATTGCTAGATATTATGTTGATGATAAGTCTTATAGGTGAGATTCAGTTTTTTTATATACTCTGATAGATTCAGTATATTCCCTTCTTAGTTGATCTATTTACAAGTCCGTGAGGCTGCCGATCATGTGGGCAATTCAAAAGTTATGTACCTTAGTTCTATTCTAACAAGCCATTAGGCACGAGTATTCCTCGATGTCTTTCTCCTCCAAAGCAACAAAAATTGGGTGCTCGAGTTCGTCTGTTCCTCAAGCTCATAGTATTCATCAAGTGTGAATGTTCTGTCCTTATGTTCTTCATAAACCTGAATGATGCCTGCCTGAGCCAAGAATCCTGTCGAACGGAGAGTTACGTAGGCTCACCGAGAATTCAAACCTTACCGTTGACTCCCTTGACTCACTGGACACGTCTATGATCGGCGGAAATGTACTCGGATCCGGCCGTGTTTTGAACGATAATAAAGTTGTGTTCATTTAACAAATAAGCAAACGCAGCTCCATCCAACACTGATATCGAGCACAAGGCTGTCAGAAAAAAACGCAACGATATGACCTAACTCAGCTGCATGCATTCTTCCAGAGTCAAAATTCGATGCTGCCTGATCATTCCTCCTACAAGACTCTTGTGTGGGGGTTTGGTGTCAACTAACACTTCTACACCGTTGCTGGACGTAACATGCTTAGTGTAGCGTCCTGTCGGGATGAAGAAATGAGAACATGCAGCTTCATGATGCGGGACAAGCGCGAAATATCTAGCGTATCACTTGGTAACTGAATATTGCCTTGCAAAATCCTATCGGTTGTGGTGGCATTGACGAAAGGTTTCCGACTCTTGGAAGTGTCAAACTGAAGACATTGGGAATGCGGGCGTTTGCACCGGGGGAAAACAAGAGTGGAGATGACTAGGCTGTATCCTTTTTTTCAGCCGTCTTGTGCCTCGCACGCAGTGTTCATCGTGAATGGAACTGTTGATCAAGTTAGGACAGGCTGTTTGCATATGACTTGTAGGATAGGTACTTTAAGAGAGAGCCCGGATGTTTCAGCAGATGAGGGGTGGTAAGCATCGGTAAAGCACTAGATTGAGAAGCATAAAATCTGTGTAGTCGTGTAACGCCGACAGGAGGCGGTACTGTTGCAAGGAGAAGGCATCAAAATCAAAAGAGGCGGCCGGCGAATCAATTCCTGCGTTTGAGCTGCGGTCTCGTGTCGACGCGAAATCAACTGCACAAGACGAGTAAGTGTCAGCTTGGTCCAACGTCGCATGCAGAGTGGAAGAACACGCCAGGAATGCCTGTTTTCAAGGTTCAAACCCGCGAGGACCGCACACCAACAACTTTTAAGTGGACTCTCTCAGCCACAAAGAGCAAGTTTCGCGCATGACAGGACAAATTCATAGGTGGCATAGGCAGAGTGACTGGCCACCGGGATCTCGGTATGGGCACGGGAAGAAGTCTCAGATACGGAGGGTAAATTTAGTAGGAGTATAATCTAGAAATCCTCGTGTTTGTGTAAGGATATAGAATTGGATTTTGCCGGATCGTTGAATGCACTACGATACGATGTCCAAGAAGTTTCTTCGCCCCCCAGTCTTCTTATGGATCCAGGCTTTTCCACCCGCATCTGGAATGATGGAGCGCGAATGGTTTGAAAACCTAGTCAACCGCCGGTACAGTTCTTGGTAAGTTGGACTTAAAAAACCCCCCAAAATAGAAGTACAATAAAATATGCTCAAGAATGGAACTCTGATGAGAAGCTCCCGGGGCAGCCGGTGGCAATAATGAGATTCAGACAAAGAGGTAAGTAAAATGGGGGCAATAGCGGTTGCCGAACTTGTTCTTAGTCGCAGACGACCTCCATGCCGGCTCTCCAGCCCGTTGTGCCAATAGATTGGTTGGATTATTGGACTGGAACCATGTAACCGCAGCCTTGCTCGACCCGAGAATTATTCAGATTCTGCAGCTGATCCTTTGGGAACGTCCTTTTGTTTCCATGATGATGCTTTAAAGCTCGATGTTATCACAGACTGCAATCCTACGATTCTGCCACACAACCACATCTGCAGCTGCCCTTCGAACATGTCAAATTGTGAGGACAGCGCCACCGCTCCATTGCTGGCATCGTAATTGTTTCCGGATGTGGTGGCACTTGGTTGATCAGCCTCGCCAGGTTGCCTTCCTCATTCAAAGGAAAGGTTTATTCCCGTCCAAGTAAGCGCTTGATGTGTTCGGCATCCTTCTATGCTGGGTTCAAGGTCAATATTTACTGGCCTGCAGTCTATTGATTGTTTTATTAGTAGTAGTAGTATTCTTATTATTACTATTGCAGTTGGGTTTATCATTGATCGAAGATTCCTTTGATCAGCTGCAACAAAAAGCCGAAACATCTGGGCCGGCCGGGGATAAAGGGGCCTATTCCGAGGGAGGCTCGAGGCTGCTATGCTATGCAAGCTGAAGGCAGAAGCGCTGGAGCAGGGCCAGCAAGACCGCACAGCAGTCGTACTCGTCAGTTGGGTGGCGATGGGTGCACAATAATGAACAATATGATAATAGGGGCGGCGTTGTCCCTCCCAATCTCATCGTTGGTTGTCGTAATATCGTAATCATAAGGTGCTTGTGCAAATCAATCACAGGCTACAGTATGGCGCCGAGGGTAAGGAAAGGTTATTGACTAAACCAGACCAAACCAGACCAAACCAGAATGCACTGACACCCGGGATATTCTAAACAGACACCGCCTCCATCAAAGATCAGATCCATCCATCATTACCTCCTCATGATCCACAAAGCTCTTACTATATGCCAAACTAAACAACTTGGCGTCCGGATTATCCAGGTGTCTTATCTTATGTCTTATTGGCTCTTCTCAATCATCCGCTGCCCCCACGACGAGCCGCAATAATGATGCATTTAGTGATCTCGAGTCAGCTTCTTTGGAGAGTACTTCGTGTATATCAGCCGTTTCACTCGTCTCTAGGACAAGCCACATCGTATCAAAAGGCGTACGTCCACAGGCTGTTGTCATAATAACAAAAGTAGTGATAATAAGAGGTCTAGAATTTCCCAAAGAAGACGTTTAGTGGTCCTGTTAGAAGAGTTGGAGAAGGCTTGCGTTTCTTACCCCACCCCAACCAAGCTTCGCACTGCCCCGGTAGTCTCTTTTTCTGCAGCTTAGCCCACATCCCAGAGAAATACATCAGTAGTCAGGACTTACTACATGCTACCTGGTACGTTTACCATGAGCCCAGACAAACGAATAGGGGTTTAGCTAGATGAAGTCAAACTTTACGACCTGGATCTTCAACGCCCGGGCTCCTCCGTACGATTTGCTTCTATTTTCACCGACGGCTAAACAGGAAAGGCAGGCACATTGCATTTGATGACAAGCAAGATGATTTTACGCCGGAGGTCTACTTTTCTTAGCACGTCCACCCGGCCGACAAGTTGTGGGATCAATCGAAAGTGATAGTTAATCAACCCCTAATAATCATACTATTAGCCCATGCCTGCCATGTCTGGCTGCAACACTGATGCATCAACGGAATTGCTTCATTTTCCGCCCGAGTTGTTACCCCCTGTTCTGCTTTGGCGCAGGAAGGCGTTAAACGATCGCCGTGAATCAAAGCCCGGAGGCCAGGATAATTGCTGTAGTCCTGAATCAGTCCAGTGTACGGAGGCAGATTCAGTAAGTAATACAGCGAGCATTTTGAATTAGATACCTATCCTATATAGGAACAAGGGATAAATGATTCACGCACCATCTTTCAACAGACGGCATCAGCCTGATCCAGGCAGACCTACCTATGCCCCCAAAGATCGGTCAACTCGCACAAAACCTATAGCCTTGTTGTCACGTTCCAAATTCCAATCAATAATAATAGTAGGGATAGCAGCAGCGCATACGCGTACGGAACGGTATAGCTGGAGCCTTTTGCTGCTCCACGCTTGCCGACAAGTTTGTGATGTGCTGTGCTGTGCTTGCGGCTTGTCCCACTACCCTACTGTATCATCACTCCTTCCGTACAGTCTTACTCATTCTGTGCTTGACCGAGTGTAGCGCTTCACTCTGAAAACAGCGAAGTTTCTTCTTGGTTAGCTCGTACAGTGAGTGGGTGTGTGGGCTCGTGGAACCTGCACCTGCACCTGCACCGACCGCTGGAACCAACTCAGAAAGGAATCAGAGTTTCTAAACATTGGCGTATATCCAATCTCACTACACTTTGCTTTGGTGTCACTGCGAGGTCGCATCCAATCAAGCGGATGACATAAAATTCGTGCCCGCGACACCACCATGCGGACATCATGCCTGTCTGCTTCCTCCCAGAAACGGGGCAAGTTCTATTCATAATTCCTGCCATACGAAAAATGCATCCATCGCTTTGCGATTCGCTCACGTACTCGTACAGTACTACTGGGCTTGGGTCTGCGGGTTGGAAACAGCCTAGAACTCGTCTCCTATCCGTATCCTTGGTGCCGTGCTGTCTGTGATGTGCGCGCCCAAGCGGCCACTATTTGGCATTATCATTTATTACAAACACGCATGCTTTTCTCTAATACTTACTTGTAGAAGTATATGCTGCGAGCTAGAATAGGACTATGCTCTGATTGGTCTGACGCTATCAATTGCCCCATCTTTTCTCACTCCCTCCCTTCCCTCACGGTCCTCACCTCATTTTTCTCCCGCTCCTCCCTCCCTTGCTATCAGACTAGACCAACCTACAGTATCCATGATGCCAGCGCGTGTGCTTTTCTTTTCTTTTCGCTGACCCCCCCCCTCTCTCTCCCTCCCTAGCAGCACAGGACCAACTGTTTTGGGTCTGGATTGCCCCTCTACGCGGCAGGCCGGCGCGTCTGGTGAAGGCACACAATTGGTTTAGACTGTTACCTACTGTAGTATAGTGTTATAGATAGAAGTCATTACGAGGCGAGGGCAGGTAGCGCGTCCGACGGGGCGTCAATATCAAATTCTTACCTGGGTAGTCAAACATCGCTTCTGATCATGCCATGACTCCGTACGGATGTATGCGTAGACAGACGCTTCAAACTCGGCGACCCATGTTTCCCCTGACATAAACCAATCATCTCTACCGATATTGCTATCATCATCCTTTCGTAACCATTCCAGTCCATCTTCCCGGCTTGCTCTGCTGGCTGGCCCCCATCTGAGCCATCCATATCTCTCTGCGCCTCACTACCCTCGTGGATACTCACTGTACTGCTACTACTCCACCAGCTTGCTTGGACGACCAGGTCAGGGAGGGAGGGCATACACATCCCTGCCACCTAACAGCCGTTCCTCTGTGATTGATTTTATTGGCCGTGGCCAGTGACATCAAGCTTGCAAGCTTGGCCTTGAGCCTTGAACGACTTTCTGAGTAGTTTCTCTTTGAGATCAGCCTCCGGCCACTACCATTTTGCATCTGGAACCCTAATTACATTATTATCTCACACGGTTTCCTAGTCAGACTATCTTTCTCCTTCTTGTCGTGTTTTCATTCCTCCTCTTTTTCCTTTGGATTGAGCCATTCCACATTTAGCATAGCCCGAGCCCGGAAAATACGTGCCCTTAATCTGGTTAACACTCCCTATACAACAACAGTACAGTACGGTACCAAACCTCGAGAACATTCTCCGTCTCTCTCACTCTCTCTATCTCTCTCTCTGATTTTACCATCCTTCAGCCATTGCTACTCCCGTCGAAAATAGAACCCTTCTTGGAACTTCCTCCATATTCAAGCTGATACACTTACGAGTATCGGTGCTACCATTCATGGCTCTCCGGTGATTCGAATAAGGGTCAGAGGAATTCACTTGCTGGGAACGAAGGGGCAAACGAGAGAACTGGAGTTCTGGAAGCTCTAGGAGAACGAATTACGGATCACGCAGCCCCGGAAGATTTGAATAATTGAGATGCTTCTGGGATTCACCGTCCGACTACCATAACCCCCCCTTCCCCCCCTCCGAAACCGAACCTGAACCTCAACCACCCCGCCACCAACAAATTCTCCATGCATCGAACAACAAGACGACCGGCCCCTCTCGATTTCTCGCTGCAATCCAACTCTGCGTACGGTATCGACAGGCGGAAGTATCTTGGCGTGCCCAATTCACAATCCAGTCCAGTCTACCTTGAAGCACCAGTACGGGACGGGCTTCACACTCCACCAGGAGACAATATGGGGACTACGTATCAACATCCGCAATACACAAACTACGCTGGTCGACAAGATCCTCCCTACTCCATACCCTCGGTTGGACAAAATGGTTATGCTGGTGCATACGCAGAGGCGAGCGCTGCCCCAAAACAATACTCCACACTGAGCCAACCCACCGCTCAAGTTCCTTCTCAAATTCCCACATCAGCCCTTCGAAATGAGGTTCAAAATGTGCTACCTCCATATAGACAGCCGTCAAGTCCTGCGCCTGCCAGCAGAACAAACATCATGGGGCCCGTGGAGGAACAGTCCCGCGGGAAGAGTACAAATAGAGACATGATTATTCCGAATTTGCAGATACCTTCTTCGATAAATGATAGTGGAGGCAGTTTGGCCGAATTTGCTGCCCAGGTAAGGAAGACGACGTTATACTGTAGATATTATACTAATCTAAGCTCAGATTACATGCTTATTCTGGTTTGAATCGACAGAAACGTTAAACCGGGCTGAGAGTATGGGTCCTTCTTCGTCCCCAATCAAAAGATTACGGAATGAAGCTCTACCTTCGAGCGGGTTCAGAAAATGGGTAGTCACGATTCTGTCAACAACTCAGGTTACGCAAAATGTTATACTGTTGGCACTTTTGTTCATTTACCGACTAAAGAAAATCAACCCAGCAGTGAAAGGTAGAAGCGGGAGTGAATATCGGCTTTTGACTGTAGCGCTGATGTTGGGCAATAAATGTACGTTTCTGGAAAATCTCTTACCCGGGAGTCATGCTGACAAGAATATATAGTTCTCGATGATAATACGTACACTAACAAGACATGGGCTGAGGTATCCGGAATATCAGTCACCGAAATTCACGTTATGGAGGTCGAGTTTCTGAGCAACATGAGATATAGCTTGTTGGCATCGGAATCTCAGTGGAAAGATTGGCAGGCAAAGCTTGGAAATTTTTGGACCTTTTGCGATCGGGCATCCAAGGCTCCAGTACTTCAATATTCTCCAAGTATGGACCCGATCTTGCCATCGCCCCCAGTTTCCATGCAAGCTTCACCCCCTTCGCAAACACCTTCTCTCGCAAGCGGATTTTCGTCAAGTTCGGCCAGCTCCAGCTCTAGTTCCAGCCACTACAACCAGCAATGGCCTGTCAATAACTACCCGACTCCTCTACCGTCTATGCCAGAACACGATTTGCGCTCAACTCGAAAGCGGAGTTATGAAGGTGATGCAGAGGAGCCAGCTCCAAAGCGGACCACGAGACCATCTCCGAATAGACCAGCAGGTTTCGCCCCAACTGCACCTCCGATGAGGCACGACGTTCCTAGATTACCAGTTCCAAATTTGACAATTTCAACCAGCCAACCCATGAGCACTGGTTACAATTCAGCCTCCAGCTTGAATGGTCCCGTTCTCCCACCTATCGGTGGGAGAGCAATGTCTTCAGTCTATCCCACCACACCATCCTGGACTCCACATTTACCAGCATTGACACCTACTGGACCCCCAAGCCAACACGGCCCTCACAGTGCTGGTGGCTACACGACCCCCTCTCACCGCCAAAGCCCCCATTCGGTACAGGAGTTATTATCCCTCGGGTCTTCACCAATATCGGCCAGCTTTCCCCACAATCCCGGTCATATCTCTCCTTCTCTCTTTCTTCAGCAAAGAAACTCGCCTTACAAACCAGTCCGACATGTAAACACACTTTTATATCCACCGCCATCTGGATCAATGCAAGGCTTCTCCACAAACCCCGGTCAAATGCACTACCAACCGCTAGGAAGGAGGAATGACTACCGTTCAGGCGTTGTTCCCGAATACAGCTACCCATATCAGCAGTACCCTGTTCTACCACAACCTAATTTTCACGCCTAATTCAAACCTGCTTCCTACTACCACCACCACCTACCAAAAGATTTCCGAGTGCCGGCATGACTGCCAGTCAGTCACGGCATAAATAAAACATTTCTCTAATTTTCCAACCAAGAAAAGTCGAGCCCCAAAGAGAGGCTCGCAGGCATCAACACACACATGGCGTTTTTCCTTTGCAGCGAAGTTACTTCCCATAGACAGGGAACTTGGCGCTGATATACCACATTGCATGCAAGAGGAGTTTGGGGGCAACAGCCGCTTTGCCTTGCTTTATAAAGATCATCATCAAGGGATGGTCGTGAAATAAAATACAAAGTGCAGATTCAGAATTAGCTATCTGTAAATACAAGGCTTGACGATTCTGCAAGGTTTTTTTAAAGCTTCTTTGATTGTGATTGATGGTGATATTGTGATGAAACTTGAATTTATCTCGGTTAGATATGTTTCAGGGGCTCTTCATTCTTACTCCTTTAGTTCATGTGGTCATGTGATGTCCTTCCCGTCAAATATCTGCTTGAAGCTCGAGCAAGTGCTCATGCCTTGCTAGAGTAGGGCTTACATTACTTAAAGCCGTTCTTACATTCCGCCAAAGAAAAAGAAAAAACAAATCGATCATTCCAGCCGGTTTTCTCACCGCCAGCCTACACTGTACTGTATCCATCGTTGTCATAACTTGGGTCCTAAACCTTGAAGGTTATCTCACCCAAAATTAAGAAAATGGGCATTGATGCTATTTACTTCTGTATCCATTACCCGATTGCCATATTTGTCTCTAGTGATTTGTGGTAGGGTAGAGTTTGGTACAAGTGGATACTGGTACATGCATCATATCAATCATAGATATATAGTCTTCTCGACGTGTGTTATTCTGTATAACTTTTGTGACTTCTGGACGTATTCAGAAATATATCTATCGATTTTGTTATATGTCGTTAGATTACCCGATGCATTTTTATCTGTCCGTTTTGTTCATTTTTATCTTTGGTAGTAAGTGACGTTTAGTACTGTACCTAGGATAGGTAGTTTAGGCAATGTTTGCAGTGCTTTATTGGCAGTTTCTTGTTCTTGTTGCACGTCGTATTGGTACGACGTTTCTTTTTCATCTTTTGATAAATATAAAGTCTATGCTGAGTTTCAGTATTTGATTGTTATGTATTTTGAGGGAATGGCGGTAGATGTATAATGGAATTAAGAATCAAGATCCTGGCTGTGATTATGGTCACGTTGTCATTCATCATCTTTCCAACTGCTTCTTACGCCCTTCCCTTTAGTCGTCAACGTGAACTCGACTAGTACTATCGCATGCATTACTTCAGAGTCTTCACAACCTTCTATTGTTCTTGTAGTCCAACTATCGTCAATATAAATACTTGAGAAAGTTCATGCTTGCGTGGGTGTCTCGGGTGAGAAGAGTGTTTCGCCTGGATATAGTAAGTGATTTGAAACCCCACATCTACTTACTCATTCTGTGCTCCATGTGTCATTTACCAATGAACACGTTTCTTGTATGAAGCAGATAAGATAGTGAATGCTGGAAGAGACAAATAGCAGGTGCGTACTTTGTTGTGAATTGGGGGGTCTCCGTTTCGGAACCAGTTATTCTATGGGGAGTCTTAGCTTCCTGAGCGTTTTGTTGTGTGCTATGTCTGGAGTTCGAGAAGACCAGACTATATATGCGAAACTGTATACGGTACTATGGGCTAGGTTTAGGGGGTGAAACCATTTTTGACAGTTTCTTTTCCACTTTGGCGTCTGTTCAGATTTATTATTTCGTAGGTAGGAGCGACTCTTACATGAATGAGGAATTGGAGCGTTGACACGAAATCCATCCGATGTTCACTCGGTTTTCACCTCGGCTTGAGTGAATGAGCGATCCGGTTGCAGTGATTCCTACTTGGTGCTTCTACCGAATCCAGGCGATGCTGCCAGAACACGCACCTCATATTGAATGGGACATTCATACAAACATCGTACCACCTTTGTGTATACTTGCCTCTCTTGCTGTCTTATTGTCGACTCGACTAGCTCATAGAAGAACATTTACCGGCAGCAAAGGTCAGATCTATTAGCTTGTTGGCTATAAAACTTGCATCCCCAATAGAAACCAAAATTTCCAGCCACTCAAGAAGATCGCGCCACACTCACAACAATGGCAGATCCAAGCAAGCGCAGCAGGGTGGCAGCACTCAAGGTCGCTTTCGACGAACCTGCGTGGAATGGCTGGTATGTTTTTAGACACATTTTTCTGCTTCCTTTCCCGAGTCTGCACACATGCCTCTCTCAACAGAGCATGTCTCCTGGCGACATTGCCGTGCATAATAAATGCTACAAAAGCAAAGCTGACTCCCCGTTCTTTGGTAGGGTTCGACAATACCAGCGAATCTTCGTCGACCGCAAGGTACAAGATGACCATAGGCACGTGGAACGACGAATAGCTTTTGAGCAGCTATTCAAGCTCGGTGATACACCTCAAGTCACAATGCAGAATGTCCTTAAGCTTCAAGCCTCCCATTACACAGAGGATCAAAACATTGGAATGGATCGCTACAAGCAAAATCTCCATGCTGATCGTCTGTTTTTCATTTATCTTGTAAGTTGTGAACATTCCCTGACGGCTGGGACAAACTCTCTTGAAGTGCGATTGTAATTTCTCCAATATTATGGCAATTATGAGTATGGCCGGACCTACAGAATGGGAAGCATCTCGTTTGTCCAAGAAATTATATTTGACAAGTATGCTGATCTCTTTTCCACAGGCCAAGCTATGTGGCATTCAGGTCCTTAAATCCACCCTCGGTCTTGTTCCGCCAGAGAACCCTGTTGTCAGCTTAGAGAGCAGTGATAGCTATTTCCCGCGGCTTGACACATCCTCTTCCACTGGCCAACTAGAGGTCGCTCCGCAAGATCCTCCATTCATATCTCCGCACGCCTCCTTGTCGCCCATAACCCTAGCTGGTTTTGACTTCGATATGAACGATGACCAGAACCAGGACCATCATCAAGGGCAAGGCTATCCATTCACCCCATCTCCTCAAGGCAACGATTACCCAACTATGATGTCGATTGCTCCTCCTGCTCAGTCCCAAGCCGTCGCCAGCGCGCCTCAAACTCAATGGGAATATCAAGCCTCAAACCAAAATACGATTGGCGCTCAAGGTTATAGTGCTCAAGGATATGGGTCCCAAGGATATGTTTCTCAGGGGCAGAGCGCTCCGGGATATGGTACCCAGGGATATGGCACGCAGAGTCCTGGTTCTCAAGTCGCAAAGCCCTCTCAATTAGTCATTACCACAGGGTATGGTTATCAACCGGGCTACTCTCAGGGGCACAATCCCCAAGAAAATATGTAAGCACCTTCTAAATATCCCCGGGAGTAATGAGATAACCGGAAGCATGGCTGACGCGGCAATAGCAGCTCCTCAGAAAGCCCCCCTTCCAACCAGTGGCAAAACGCGTCTCAATTCCAGCCCCCGGATAACATCCCGGTATCGACTGCAGCTGCGTTCTCAGTTCCTCGAAATGTCTCATCTCCCGGAGTGCCTTCTCAACAGCTCCAGACGACAATATCACAGGTGCCCCCAAACCTAAAGATCTTTCTCTTCCGTGGAAAATATTACGATTTGACTTGTAACCTGTGTCCTGAGCGCAGATTCAGCAGTATCCAAGGTCTGTTTATACACGTCAATCAATCCGATATCAATCACTCTTCCCTGATTGCATCAGATCATTCCTGGGCAGGCGCTCTGAAAGCTGTTGCCACGCAGGTTGTTGACGGAAACGAGCAGAATGTTGAGCTTCATAACCAGGTTGGTCTAGATCTTTAACGGCATGAATCACTTTGCTGACTGCCGAAACGGGAGTTCAAATAGGCGGATCCAATCTTGAAAATCCGTGAAGGATGGAAGTCGGCTTTGTGAAAATGTGTCAGGGAGTCCATGAAATACTTTGAGCAGGTATGGCAGGCGTTTGTACTTAGAAATACCCAATAGCATTGCAAGCGATGCCTGTTTACAGCGTCCGTTCCTTTCATCATTTATATCCCTTTCACTGCTGTATAATATTTTGCAGATTCTACCGGGATCTCACCTAGCCTCGTTATGATGGAAAACATACTGAGCACCAGCGAGACTTTATTACCCAAAAGCACATGAAACAATATGCAACTAGCAGGAAGGTGCATGATACCAATCGCAACCATGTTCGATTCTGCCCGCGAATGTCACACTCCTACATTTCTGCGTTCACCTTGTTTGAATCGAAACTATCATGATAATTAGCCTGCATGCTCACTCTATCGTCTGTAAAACGTTCATCTGTATTTTGTATAGTGTTCGAAGCAGGACCTGGCTCAATTAAAAGAGTATAATCTGTACCTGCCGCTCTACTTGCTTCGGCACCCAGTGCTCCTTCCCCTTTCCTAGCGCAGAATCATCCGCCCTTGACTTTCATTCCAGCACCAAGCTTCAAGTCTCAACGTATCTTGACCGTTTATACTCCGCATGCCAATTATTAGCAAGATATCAACTCTCCGAATTACGCTTAATGTGTTGGAGTTCTCTACTTGACGTGATTTCGGAAGAGGAGGGATGTATTCAATAAAGGTGCCAAGAACAACCTCTTACCTATTACACCTGCTCTACGCCTCCGATATGAAATGCCACCCCCATCTCTGCACTAATCCATGTATTTTCTGCTTGTGGTGAACCGCAACGCACTTTCCCTTTCCCACGACTCGTCCACTACTTGAGATCCTTTCCCTTCCTCTCCCACACCTCCTCTTCCCTCATCCCATTCTCCCACCACCAACAATGAAACTGCTCTCGTCATAGATCATCAAAGTCACATACACTCAAAGCAGATACATCACAGCAGAGCTAGATGGAAGCCCGATAATTGCATTGCAAGCATACCCGTTCAAGTACAGGCCTCTCATGCATGATCTCGCTGGGGGTGTCACACTGTAATGTTACCGGTCTTCTCACTGAGAACTGTCTTGTGTGATGCCATGAATCTTTTGATGTGATTCCTCTTGTTGCGGATTCTTTGTCACATATTCAAACCCTTACTGCAGCATTGAATTCCTGAATCCTCTGGACAATGAACAGCAAGGAAGGTCTGATTAGCTAAGGTAATGAGGTTTCCCACTCTTTGTGCGGAGTGTTTGCTGACCAGATGCGCAGATCACTATGGCCATATGGCATGGCATCCCGAGAAGAGATCATGTTGGAAAGAGCCTTGCAGACACTTCTGCAAATTATGCAGCCTCAGTCAAAGCCAGATGAAGCTGTCAATCTACACATCTGAAATCAAATAGAAGAAATCCATGTTGAAAGACACATTGGATGTACGTGATGCTTTCTCCGCAGATGCAGTGCCAGTGCTACCCGTCTTCACTGAAAGAACATCCTGACTTTCAGAGAAAACGACGTATTAATTGTAGATACAGTACAAAAGTTAATTCTCAAAGTCCGGTGTAGCCCGCCTCCTGGTAATTGCCTTTCACAGTATTTGTGATGTTGTGGAAGAACTTTTGACGTTGATTGAAGTCGAGTCAGTGACTCTGCATCCCCGCGCTCTCCTGTGCTGTCTGCCGGCAAAACTATATTCCGTTGATCGGGAGGGGTGCTGGCTTGTATGTCTATGTCTCACAACATCTCGAAATTCGTTTGCTCCATGCGGAAATGAATATGAAGAAGACACTGCTGCTTTGTTTTATACACGGATTTAAGGGAGGAGACGACACGTTCGGCGAATTCCCCGAACATCTTCGAGCCCTCGTCCAAAATGGTCTTCCCAAGATCCGAATTCTGGCAGTACAGTATCCCAAATTTGAAACTCAAGGTGACCTTACAAAATGCGTATCAAAATTCAGGGAATGGTAGGTCTACAGGTCCACAACTTCCTCTTGGATTTATATGATGCTGATTAAAACTCGTAGGCTACAAGAGAAGATTATCGACCTCGAAGTAGAAAATGCGGCCCCCTCCCCAACTATCGATCCCAGCGTACGAACAATCCTCGTCGGTCATAGCATGGGTGGAATAGTTGCAGCGGACACAGCCCTCCTAATAACATCTGACAAGATGATCGAATCTTCCGAATCAAGTGAAATTGAGCCCTCCCAGCACAACTCGTTGATGTTCCCCTACATACAAGGTGTTCTAGCCTTCGACACACCGTACTTGGGAATAAGCCCTGGAGTTGTAGCCCATGGAGCCGAGGGACACTATAATGCTGCTTCTAGTGCCTTTACACAGCTTAGTGGGCTAGCTACAGCTATATGGGGAACAGAGACCGTGGCAGATGCTTCGAAAGACAAGAAGAAACCAGTTGCAGCGTTACCAGCACCTCCAGTCAAAGAGGCGCCTGCATCGGGCTGGGCAAAATGGGGCAAGATAGCTGCGGCGGCTGGAGGCGTTGTAGCGGTCGCAGGTGCTGGCACAGCTGCATTCGTGAACCGGGATAAAATTACTGAGGGCTGGTCCTGGGTAGGTTCTCACCTCGAGTTCGTGGGGTGCTTGATGCAAGGAGAGAATTTGAGGAAGAGAGTCACTGCCATGATGGAGCTACACGAAAACCTAGATGTGGGATGGGCAAATCTATATACCAGACTTGGAAAGCAAGCCGTCAGCAAGAATGATGGAAGCATGGTTGGTAGCGTGATAGGGAACCAGAGAACCTTTTGCAACCTGCCTAAGAAGAAAGTCAGAGAGCTCTGGCAAGAAGCTATCAATGATGCAGCCCATGACGAAACCGGGGCGCATATGGGTATGTCGGATCTCCTGTGTCATGTTAACGTGGTTGCTGACTTTTACTCCAGCCATGTTCTACCCGAAAGATAATCCGGGGTACTACGACTTGGCGGATGCTGCAAAGAAGCTGATCATCGAATGGACATCAAATGACTGGTACGAATCTAGCACTGGGGATGAGACTACTACATTTAGCATCCAGCATGATGAGTTATAGGTGCTGAGGTACGAAAGGTTTGAATTCATGATATTTAGCGTAGGCGTCAGGGGTTCGTTCAAAGGACGACAGAACAACATATTGTGACGAGCTTAACCATACCCTTACAAACTACCCCACGGTCTTCAAAATTGCGGCTTTTGCATATCAGTAGTCATTGCTCTATGCGGATAGTGATAGACGTAAACCGCTGATTCCTTTCGCCTACACCCTCATTATGGGTGGGGTTTTCATGTTCAGATGATCCAAAGACTAATTACACTTTCGTACAAATGCCCTTCAAACGCCACCCTATAGCCATCTATCCAATCTATTATGAATTTAGTACAGTAATTAAGCTATCTTTCTCCAATTATTCCCGCTTCCCCTTTCCATTTCCATCCCCACTCCCAGAACTCCTTTCAGTCCCCGAACTATCCAGACTACTGTCACTCATATCAACGCGGAACGAAAAATCCGTCTCCCCCACCAAATCCCTCACATGATCCACCAACCGCGCCAGATCATCCGTCACAAGCCCACTCGCAACCTGGATCACAGCATACGCGCTATATCCTGGCTCCTCCACATGCCTCGCATCCAGAATGCCTTTATCCAGCGCCTCTAGCCTCTTCGACAGATTGTAAGGCTCGGGGAGGACAATGTAAGGAGGGAGTGCCGAGCCTTGCGATACTGCGCCGGAGAGGAGCGCGAGCGTGCTGGTTATGGAGTGGGAGGTTGGCTTGATCGTGTCCATTAGTAGGCTGAGGTCTGAGAGCCAGGCACGACGGGCCGCGGTGGTTGCGTTGGGGTAGGCTGGACCGCAGGAGGCGTCGGACCAGGATCGCGTGGCATAGGAGATTAGGGTGAGGTAATTCAATATACTAGGAGTAAAGGGTTAGTTGGAAGGGAAGGGAAGGGATGGGGCTTTGACGCAACGTACTTGTTTGCGCGGAGGGCGATGTTGTCGTATGTTTCTTTGGGGAATTTCCCACCGATTGTGAGTTCCCATTTCTCCCAATCCGCGTGTTCTGGTCAATGTTAGTATAACATTCAAGGAGGGTTTCCAGAATGGGGAGGGGATGGTGGGAGCACGACTTACGTTGTAATGAAGGGAGAAGCACCAGCAGCTTCTGAAAGATCTTATAGCGGACCTTCTCAAGCTTCCTACCAGGAGAATCCTTCAACTCCATATCCCCCTCTGTACCATGCATCCTCGCATTAATCGTAGAATGCACAACCGAATAATAGTTGGCCAGCAGGTAAAGCGTTGATCCTAGATCCTTCCTCAGCCAACTCCTATCTGACAGCGGATACGGGAAAATCGTCCAGATAAATGCCACGAAAGATCCACCAGCCACACAAGCCAGTCGATACGGCGCGAGCTCGTATATAGGGTAATAAGGCTGTCCGCTGTATGTTGCTGCCGCGAGGCCGATTTTACGGACTTGTAATTCGTAGCCGATGATGAGGACTTCGGTTACGATTGACATAAGCCATACGGCCATGAATCGGGGGTGTTTTAGGAAAAAGTACATCTCGAGAAAGATCAAGAACCATAAAAATACTATTACGCCCGAGGTCTTTTGGTCGGGGATGTACCATATTATAATTGAGAGTACCCTGGAAGACCAAATTAGCAATTGTGCTTGGGCCGATTGCTCGCTTAGAAAAGGGGATTGAGGGGAGGGACTTACATTGCTACAAATGTTCCCCCCACTCTGCAAAGGAATCCAAATATCGCCTGGCCGCTCGTCATTGACATACCAATAGCCTTTAACACATTAGTATTCGAACTCTCAACAGTTAGAAAATGGGTACGGACAATAATGAACATAGCCCAGACAAGCCGCTGATCCATAAAAAATGACTGTGTATCCTTCAAAAAGGCGATAATCCCAACCGTCAGCGTAGCACACGCAACTCGAAACCCAAAAGCCGATTCAGCCGAGCCTAAAAAGTGCGGGATCTTTCTAATGCGGTTTCCAAAATGCTGCCAAGCAGTAGCAGGAGGCAAATGTTCAGGATCTTTTACAGGATTGAAGCCTGCGCCCATGAAAATGTTGCTGCTTCCGTTTTCCATGGAGTCTGGGGAATTTGTGTCAACGGATGTGTCTTCTTCGCCTATGGAAAGGATCCATTTCTTGATTCGGCGTTGGCCGGGTAGGATTAGGCGGTTCTTTTTCATGGATCCTTCGGAGACTTTCTTGTCGGCGAATTCAACAAGTTTGAGGATTGCTCGGCCAGCGGAGTAAAGCTGGGGAAAATTAAATTTGGGAAGAAGATTACTGAAGGATGAATACTTACTAAAAATTCTAAATAGAGGATGAGGTACAACTGCTGTTGGTCTCGGGCATGTTGCGTATCGTCCGGAGTATATCTGTTCTTTTTAGGCTCCTCATTCAACTGATCGAATATCTCCTCCGACAACCCCTTATTTCTCGCCCAAGCCTTGAGCGTCTGCCCTCTAGTCTCATAGAAATCTTTCAATTTATGGTCTAGAAACTTGGAGAACTCGGGATCTCCGGGTCTGGGATCCGTTCCTTTGGCCTCAACGTCGTCTCCGCCCTTCTTCTTTTTCGGCGATTTGTTGAATTCTAGCACCAGACCAACATGCTCCACGGCTTCATCCATGGCTCCTACCGCTACAGCAAAAGGTTCGTGAAGCGTCTTCATCATCTCGTTCCATACACGCTTCTCTTCATTCTTTGAGGATTCATCATAGCCCTCCCAGGCTTCTATCTTGTCATGCCGAGTGTAGGTGGAGTTCAACCACCCGCGCCTCTCCGCGATTCTCTCGAAAATATCTGTGCTTGTTGACAGGCCGAGCAGGGGGATGAGAATATCACGGAAGAGGGCGAATATCTCGTCAATGTCCTTAGCGCATAATTTCCCCCAGGCAATTTCCCTTTTCGCGAAAGGAAGATCGCCATAAAGCTTCCCGTGAAGAGCCAGAAGTCCAGAGACAGCACCTTTTAAGGCTTTTGCTGATGGTGTTTGGGCAGGATGGGCCTTCTCTTTCTTCTCATTCTTCTTGTGCTTTTTGCCATTCCCTTCAGCCCTTTCGTCTTCAGCAGCAGGATCTGCAAACATATCACTGCTTTCCAGGCTCTGTAGGTACGCCGTTTGCGCTTTCCTATTGCCAAATCAGCTCTATTCGTGTATCATTCAACAACATCAACTTACATTACACCTCTCACTGCTCCTAGATATCCCGTAAACTCTTTGAAAACAACCGTCCTGGAACTGATGGGTATAATAAACAAGTTGACTGCTGTCGCAATCGCGAACGCAGTTAAAAACGCCTCCAACAGCTGCTTAACCAGGCTAATCCCAGCTGTCATTGTTGGAAACAGCGGTCCATATGTAAAGGCCACATTCGTGAAGATACTATATATAATAGCCGGCAAATTCAGCGCCGGCATCTTGGCTCTGAGAGCATTGACGAAGTAGATATTGGCGAAAAGCCAGATGGCGCAGACGGCCGATTGCGAAGAGTTGTAAGTGGCTTTTGAGCCTACGGGGGTTGTGTGTTTCCGTGCTTGGACACCAGACCAGATACCAAGGAGTGCAATGGAGGCCCCGATGCAAATGCCGACTAGGTTCAGAGTAATGGTTTGAAAGTACTTTGCGCGCGGCATTATAGGCATGCTTAGTACGGTTATGATGGGGATGAGGTAACCGATGGTGCTGTAGGTTTTGGCGACTTCGTCTGCTTGGTAGAAGGCCTGGAGAGTTGCGTTAGTATGCTGGTTTCGTCTGCATAGGGGGAAGAAGACTTACTATTGCAATAGCTGGCCCAACACTCCCTCTATCTCCTCAATTAGCAAATGTATTCTCGTTTGCTCGTTTCCAATTCAAGGGAAACGTACTTGAACATCATCATCACCGTCCCAACATCCAAGCCAATCTTGGCAATCAGCTTTTGAACCATTGAGTCCTTCGGTTTTGCTGTCTCCTCCTTGATAGCCTGCTCCTCCTTTGCCGTCGCAGTCCTTGAGCCATCATTACTCGAGCTCTGCGGGGCCGATTCCTCTCCAGCTATATCCTTTCCATGGTCTGCGTCTACTTCATGTCTTATATTTGGTTCCGGTAGGGTCCGGGTCGCGATGTCTTCAGCCATGTCTTAGATGGTCAATTGCAACGCCGAGTGTCACCACGTTGTAGCATCTGCCATTTTAATTGAAGACTATGTGATAGACTGGAGTTTGGACACAGGAGGAGGGAAAAAAAGGAAGAGGAATAGAAGAAAAAGAAAAGATTAAGGGCTCCGTGACGTTATTTTGATTTGTTGCCACACTTCCGCCTTAGTCCCCCGCAAACTCTAAAGCTGGCCTTGCAGCAAGGCGCTTGCATAAAATTGTGAAAATGTTATGCCTATTACCATATACAATATCCCGGCCTGGAATTTTGAAGTGTGCGAGAAAGTGTAGATCTTCTTATTCTGGGGCAGCACGCTGGGCACGGTGCGGAGAAATTAAGATATGTACGTAAGGCCGTTTGTTATTCATCCATCTCGAATCGTGCCTCGGCCGGTGACGCCGAGCCGCCCCCTAATTCCGGGGTATTATTAATATCAAAAATCTCCCGCCAGAAATAACTAAAGCCTCTTTATAACGTCGGCGCTCTCTTCAAACCAACACAATATCTAACAAAAAGGGTATCTAAGAAATGGGCATGTCTGATTCCCTTCGGCCGCTTCTCGGCAAATTCGGAAATGGCAGCCGGCAGCGTGTACCCACACCGTTCTTTCAGGTAGCATACGATGAAGAAGCCTGTTCGATTGAAGCCGTAGTGGCAATGGACTGCAATGTAAGCGGGCTTTGTCTGCTCGTCCCTAATGCGGTCGATTAGGGCGATGAAGGATGCTACTTCGGATTCTGTAGGCGGAATCTTGGAGACCTGTAGAGACTTAGAATGTGATATTATTGAGGAATATTGCTTGTAAGCACATACGGTAGGGAATTTATGATATTGAATTCCTCCTTTTTCGAGGCCTCTTGGGTCATATACAGGACTCTCGTGTGATATATCAACGACATCCGTAATTTCAGAACCCCATTCCTTCACAAAGACATCAGGCGAATGGGTTTCATCGACTTCTCGCAAGGTCTTCATTGCCCTGAAGATGCCATCAATAGGCTCCGAGACGGGCTTGACTGCTTTCCACTTTGCTAGATTCTTTACATCCCATTTGCCGGCATCGCTGAGATATTGGAGTTGCCAGCCAAGAGATAGTCGTGGCGAGACCTGAGTGCAGAGGAAGTCTGAAATAAGTCCAGCGAGAATTCTGACGGTTGCTGGTTGGTAGAGAAGGGCGTGTGAAGCTGGGCTTGGAAGTATTGTAGTTTTCAGGACTTTCTTTGGCTTTGATGGTTGTGGAGGCACGGTTGAGAGTCCATCATTTGGCGTTGAGGGGTCTTCGTACATTTCTTCTGCTGTGTCAGGATTCGTTTCCAGGAAATATTCCGGTCTGATGGACTTTCCCGCCTTGCTTGGCCCGGGACTGCGAGCTTCAGTCGATATATCAACGAGAAAAGCAGGATCAACGACCGACTCACTAGCCTCATCCATTTCACTCTGGATAGGGTGAGACTTTCCTAAGAAAGAGGCAATCTTCTGAATCTCCCCCGGCTTGGTGATATTATCAGCTTCGCCAGCAACTAGGAACACAGGAACTTCAAGACCTGCCCAAACATCTTTACCCGGAAATCCGCCCTTGGCAACTCCATTTTCATAGTTTGGCAAAGTTCCGGAAGCCATTCGTCTCCAAACTGGTGTCTTGCTCTGGTAGTTGAAACGGTATTGAAGCGCTTTCGTCTCATCATCTGCATCTGCTCCAACAAAACGAGACACACTTGCGCTGTCCTTCCCACCTCTCTTATCATAGTTTCTCCAAACATTGAAGATTGGTGACGGTATCCACAGCAGCTTCCTGAACATAGAGACCTCATCCGGAGAAGGGGCTTCGGCTCGAGGGCATACCGCAACCAAACCTACAACGTGCTCTGCTAACGAGTTGGGGAAGCTCATGCTTTTCGTGGCAAGCATTGCGGAGAGCGAACATCCCATGCTGTGACCGATGAGGACAACATTCTGGTCCTCTCTCCTATAGTCCTCAATGATGAGACCTAGAAGTTCCACTAGGCTCTCCATTGTATATGCATCCCAGTCCTTCGGGGCGAATTTGGATACCCCGCAACCTGGGAGATCAATGGAGAGACATGACGAGAGGTTTACCAAGCTCGTCAGCAATGGATGAAACTGTGCGACCGAACCTCCAAAACCATGTATAAAGACGAGCAAGGGCAACCGAGCTGGTTCTGTAGGTAGCTTCTCGAACTGCGGATGTTCTCGGAAAAAGATACGTAGGGAGGGATATGTAAATCGGCTCGTTTGGTAGGATCGGATTACCGAGTGCTTCTTTAGAAGGCTAGGGTCTGATGCTTCCGCTTCTAGTATCAAACACATATTAGTCCTGCGTACTTTTGGTATGTCAAAGGACTTGCCATTTGTATCTGTGTCCTTTCCTGCAAATGAGTCATCTGTAAAGCCCTGGCTTATTGACTTCCTGGTCCGCCGCCTTCCAAGATGCCAAAAGACGATCAGAGGCAAGGAACTACAGAGAAACATTCCCAATATATCAAGCTTCGAGGTTTGTGGAAAGAACGGGCGAAGACTCGATGCGACCGCTTGAATTTGTAGGTTTAATTTATTCGATGCGCCTGATATCCGCCAGGGTATGTTGTCCGGCAGGGCCATGGTATTCACAAAGGAGAAAATATGTCTCTCTCCAAGATAAACAATTATCGAGGTTTACAAGACGTCTCGCAGTCGCAACCAATGGCGTCTTCGCAGACGGCCTGCTGGGAGGAACTGCTCGACGCCAATGGCCTGGTCTGGTAGGTTAAAGCTTGATACCAGATACAAACCTGAATACAGTTGCTGCTGGTCTAACTTTGGATTACAAATCAATAGCTTCTTGGGGAAAGATTACATGTGGCTCCCGTGGAGCTTTCGTATGGTGTTGGGCGGTGGTGTATGGGGTTTGGGCTTAGAAAGCTTTTGGTATGATGAAACGCAAGACTGGCCGGCGAGCAAAACGTGCGTCTGTTACTGGTGACGGTAAAAGCGCAATGCTCGTTTCCCCAGGAGATTTTAACAGCACAAAATAAGGAGAAGGAACGATGGAAATGACTCAACTTATGGCCGGGGGAATTCAATCGAATATCATACTGGTCTGTCCTTTCCTTTTGGATGTGAAGGGGGATTTGAGAGAGAAAGAAAGTATCAAAAGCTCTTTCTCTGGGCTGTTGAAAGCTGATGCGGGAGGCTTTTGCCAAGCGCGGAAAGTCACGAGTGGTGCGGGGTGGGGTGGAGTGGGCATCGCATCTCTTCCAAGCCTCTTGTTCTTCCCAGCCAATGCAAAGTAGTGCAAGTACTGTAGCTGACCTGATACGAGTATAGTACGAGTGCGACCTCAGTAATATTGGTACTGGTACCGGTACCAGCACCATAGCTAAAATTCTCACTCGGAGACGTGGACAACGGACGGGAACATGACCATGAACATCTTGGCCAATCTAAGACATGCGAGCTGCAAGCTTAAGTTCAAGCTCGAGCAACTTGTTGTTTCTCTCCTGCAAGGCAATGCACATCTGCCGATCACGGAGAGATAGCACAGCATCTATCCATAAGTTTTGCTCATTCTCTAGCAAAACCTGCAGCAATATCTCTGCACACGAAAACAGATGGCCTGGCTCTTGAAGCTAGTTAATCGGCCTCTACCGGTACCTTTAGTAGTGGCTACGACAGACCTTAGTGGGGCAGCGGGGATAACCACACTGAATAGAGATCATACATTATCTCTTCAGCTGTGGCGTACCGGAATCACTTTTCCTTCTGTTCCATTCCGAGTTTTCAATCTCCATCGTCCTTTCCTTTGCTTTATTATCTCAGTCCAGCGTCCAGTTGTCCTAGATTTTGGAAACACTTCCTTCTGTCCGCAACCCTCCTGCCTCTTCATTCCCACTCTTCTCAGTTTCACGTCTGCAGTCGAACAGACCTACAGTCACTATGGAGCCTTCAAACTATGAGGATATCCCAGACAAGCCGAGATATCTTGATTTCCCATGCCTTGAGGCCGGAACCACGGCCGCAGACGGGAAGCAAGCGCTGAATAGATGGTCTACCACGATTACTAGGGGTATGAGATGTCTGTTTGTCTTTTGAAAGAAGCTGCCACTAATATGATAATTGCTCAGGTCATGATTTCCCTGGAGCCCAGGTATGATACAGTCTCAGCATATGGATCAGGTTCTTACTCGAAAGGCTATGCTCTATGCCGCCGGCGTCCCAAATCGAGAGATGATGAAGACAGCCCCACATGTAGGGTGAGGACTTACCACGCTACAACCTGTTCCATTGCGATACTAAATGTGTGTAGGATATCTACAGTCTGGTGGGAAGGAAATCCATGCAAGTAAGTCACAATCCAGAGATAAGGAGGTGACACGGTCGTTGATATGTGTTACCAGTACCCACTGTACGTTCTACAAAACCGGACATTTTAATACGCCTACTATAACGGTATTACCTATCTAACGAGAAACAGTACATGACCTTGGAAAAATTGTCAAGGATGCGGTGCAGAAACAGGGCATGCTAGGCTGGCAGTTCAATACAATTGGTGTATCAGACGGAAGTTAGTACCTCTCCGAGATAACATCCCCTCTTTGAAAGATAGGCAATTTCTGGTCATGGGAGACATGTTCTAGTGAACAGGCCATACACCAGTAATCAGCGCTGACTTCTTCTAGTTACCATGGGGGGAGAAGGTCAGCCTCACTCAATCTTTACTCTGCTATAACTGACCCGATGAGGCATGAGATTCTCACTCCAGACCCGCGAGATTATTGCAGACTCGATAGAGACTGTGACATGTGCTCAGCATCACGATGCCAACATCTCAATTCCTGGATGTGATAAGAATATGCCTGGTGTGATTATGGCAGCTGCTAGAGTAAGTAATTGGAATACTTATTTATTTGTTTGGATCTAGGTAGGGACTGTGGCAATATACTCAATCATGAGTTCCTGAAAAGAGACCCCTACGGCTCCTGAAAATTTGAAGGACTAGTTCTAACTGCTCCGTTCTATAGCATAACCGGCCATTCCTAATGATTTATGGAGGCACAATCAAGAAAGGCTTTTCTAAGCTTTTGGATAAACATATTAACATTTCAACTTGCTATGAAGCAGCAGGAGCATTCAACTACAACAGACTCCATGCAGCTGCAGGAGCTGGCGAACCAGGGCGAACCCCGAGCGATGTCATGGAGGACCTGGAACAGCATGCTTGTCCTGGCGTTGGTGCGGTATGAAAGTTCTTATCCTCAATGATTATCCACCCTTTTACTCTATTGATAATTCTAACTAATATCTGTAGTGCGGGGGAATGTACACAGCTAACACAATGTCAACTGCAATCGAGGCTATGGGTTTGTGTCTCCCGGGCTCATCTTCAAATCCAGCTGTATCTCCGGCAAAGGCGCGCGAATGCGAAAAAGCTGCAGATGCCATCAAAATATGCATGGAGAAGAATATTAGACCGCGAGACTTGATGACAACAGAATCGTTCGAAAATGCGCTGGTCGTTACGATGGCTTTGGGAGGCTCAACGAACGGAGTCCTGCACTTCCTAGCCATGGCCGGCACAGCAGAAGTACCACTCACATTAGATGACATTCAGCGTGTTTCAAACAAAGTTCCATTTATTGCAGATCTGGCTCCATCTGGCAAGTTCTTCATGGAGGATTTATACAACATTGGCGGAACACCATCAGTGCTGAAGCTTTTAGTTGCAGCTGGACTTTTGAATGGCTCCATACCTACCGTCACTGGAAAGACGCTCGCGGAAAATCTGGAGCCATTTCCTTCTTTACCTCAGGATCAGGTTATTATCCGGCCCCTTTCAAACCCAATCAAGCAGACAGGCCATCTCCAGATCTTGCGAGGAAATCTTAGTCCTGGTGGTGCAGTCGCAAAGATTACCGGCAAGGAAGGACTTGTCTTTACCGGCAAAGCTAGGGTTTTCGACAAAGAGTTCGCATTAGATGCGGCGCTCAACAAGGGACAAATACCACACGGGGAGAACCTCGTCTTAATTGTCAGATATGAGGGACCTAAGGGCGGGCCGGCATGCCCGAGCAATTAAAGTCGAGCGCTGCAATTATGGGTGCTGGTCTCACGAACGTAGCTCTTGTGACCGATGGGAGATACTCTGGGGCAAGTCACGGGTTTATTGTCGGACATGTTGTTCCGGAAGCTGCTGGTGAATATATTTCTTCGCTACCCCTTTCTTCAAGCCCTTGGCGCTAACCTTCAGCAGTGGGTGGGCCTATTGCCGTCGTCCAAGATGGCGATGTCATAACTATTTCGGCCGAAACAAATACTTTGAGTATGGACATCAGTGATGAGGAGATTGCAGAACGACTGAAGGCTTGGAAGCCACCCAAGAGCGCGGTCAATAGAGGTGTTCTCGCGAAATACCAGAGACTGGTTGGAGATGCTTCTCACGGCGCTATGACGGATTTGTTTTAAGACAAGACCAGATTATGCAAGACGTAGAATGGGAGACATATTGTATTTAGACTTAGACTGCTTTAAAAATGGAATTCTTGCCCCTTTTCTGAATTCTCATCACGTGTTGCGGCAGAGTGGAAATGTCGTGACGTTCACAAAGCTTTTGAGCTTCAACTCACGAGAGCTCAAGCTTCTCAGCAATTGCTCTTCCCCAACCACCCACCTCTATTTTTACGACGTCCAGTTACTCGCTCGAACACCCATAATAATGCCTCCTATACGACCAGCCCTCACACGCCCAACAATCCACGACCTCTCGCACTTCCTCTTCTCCACCCCACAATCGCGCTCCCGCTGTGTCGCCCGATTCTCGACCCCCAAACCCAAACACCTACTCGCAACTATACCCACATCCCGCAAATTCTCACCTCCCCCCATCTCCCCACAAGCATCCCCCAAACCGCGCACACACGACCGCGGCCCAGCCTCCACCGAAGACACGCAAACGGACTTCTCGTCGCTCGACGTCCTCGGCAATACGCCCGTGCCTAGCACAAGCATCGATGCGTGCGCGTGGGATGGCTTCCATCTGAACAGCGGCGTGAAGGTGGTGGGTGGCAAGGGCGTGCTGCTTGTTAATGGCGAGGCGTTTGGGTGGTGTCCTTGGGAGGCTGAGGGGGGTGTTGCGGGGGAGGGGGGAAAGGAGAAGAGGTTGGTCAATGCGAAAGGGCAGTTTGAGGTGGGGGAGGCGGCTTGGGGGGTTTTGGGGTTGGTTTGGCCTAAGCCTGGTATGTTTGTGTTTGGGTCTTCCTATAAATATATGTTCTAAACAGCACAAGTTGACTGACGTGTTCTGGTTGTAGATTTATTGATCTTGGGACTGGGGAAGGATATGAGGCCTATTAGCCCGAAAACGAGACAGTATATTCAGAGCCTAGGGATTAGGGTTGACATACAGGATACGAGAAATGCGGCTGCGCAGTTTAATCTGCTTGCTATGGAACGGGGGGTTGGGAGTGTGGCTGCTGCGTTGATACCATTGGGGTTTAGGGAGGGTGTTGGTGTTCAATGAGATGGTTGATGGGGATATGTGAGAAGAGATGAAAGGAATGCTTCTGTCACTGCCTTACAAGGTGTATACTGTGCTGACTGGGAAGAGACCGGGATAAGAGTAATGTGTAAATACCACTATACAAAGCAGGAAGCTTACGTCAAGTAATGGTGAAGGTTAACGAAGATCTCCTGCAATTGCTTAGTCTAGAGACTAGGAACTTGATGAGAAGCCAAGAACAGGCCCAAGTCAACGATCCTGCGAAGCATTTCTGCCTAGAGAGATTTCACGGAGATCTTTGGGAAAGAAAGAAGTTGTATGTCCCTAGAATTAAACCACTCTTTCATTTGCGGACTTCTTTGGTTCATATATATCATAAAGTCTATCCCCAACTCTTCTACATAAGAAGCTAGACTAATCCCCTTGACCATTTCAGACTTTGACTCAAAGAAAGTTCATTTTATATACCCTGCCAGGTAGAGAAACCCAACCCAATCCCTAATACCTCCATAGCTGACTCAATTTTCATCCTGGTCCTTTCCTACGCCTTAGCTGAGACAGTTCCTTATCCGTAACATCTCTTGCTGAAACTCCCTTTTTTTTAATTCCCCACCGAAAAGAATATCCACCTAGTACCAACGAAAGAAAGAAATAGATTTCCGAAGCCATTTGCACCCGTCCGAGTACCCAGAGTCCTGCCATATCCTCCTCGAGATGAAACACAAGCAACCGTGCCAGCACCGCAGCTTGATGTTATCCCCAAAGTTCCGAATCACCGAACCTTTGCCATGCCCCTTTCCGCAAGCTGTCCTACAAAGAAAACTTCAACTCCGTCGGGCTTTTTTGCCGGAAGGTGGCGATGGATAGATGCCCGCCTCACGCTCTCTCTTTCTCTGCTCTCTGCGCTCCTTGCGAATTTTGTCAAGATTATTGTTGCCGAAATCGTCGGTCTCCTCGGGCCCGAGCCATTCGATCGAGTGCTTTTTCTGTGGGGGGGTGTGAAGTCGAGACGAGATTTGCGAGTCGGTGGCGCGACGGGGTGGTATTCATCTGCATCCGAATCCAAGTTAAGTGACTCCGCTGGTCGCTTCTTCATCTTTGTTATAACAGACGAGGAGCTGGAAAGGACAAGTCGCTCCTTGCTCTTTGAGTACCTAAACTTTTCCGTGATGGATTCACGGGTAACTTCAGACACAACTTCCTCCGCCTTTGATGCTGGTGGAGTTGTTGGAGTTGGTGGGGACCGTGGGATAACGACTCGAGGGAACCCGCGAGAAATTATCTGCTTTTCTGGACCGGCTTCTTCTTCCTCGTCATCGTCTGCCTCGTCATCAGTGTATTCTGCGTATAGGCGATACCCCTTCTGGCCTGTTTTATTGCGGTTCTCTTGAAGAACACCGAGATTTTCAGGACCCTTGAGATGAAATTTTATTCCGGTATAACTTTCAATAAGCCGCCGAAATTTGTGACACTGCACACATGGTGACTCGGTCAGATAGAGCTCGGCCTCCAAGTTTGGAAACCAATCCTTGAGCCTCCAGAGTTCGCCTATTAACTTCTCTAATACTTTTCGACTTGTCCAGTCGATAGTCTCAAACCGACTAATAGACCTCTTAGCACACATCACGACCGCAAAATACTATTCCATTGAGTCAGAATGGCAAAGAATCAAGTGCTTGGGTTTTGGAAATGATCTTACCAACATGAGCTTTGGCTCCACATGAGATGCGAGAGTATGGCCAGCCTCTTGGCCCAAGGCGGTGTCAAATACCCAACGCTGGAAATCATGACCATGATACTTGCCAAAGTGCTTCACCAATTCCGTCCATATTCCACTATCCAACAACTTTGGGTGCGAATCTGCACAAATTGACCACCCGGGCAGGGCATACGCAAGAGGCCAACCCCCTTTTCGTTGCACCCATGCAACTACCTTCTTCCGGTTATATCTCGTGTTACCCCGAAATACCTCCTCAACGCGGAGAATCATAATGTAATTTGAAGGCGCCCTGAAAACATAGGGGTTTCCATATAAATGGGCGTTATCAGGCAACTGTGTGCGGGATATAGTTGGTAACGCCTGGGGTCTACGCATAATTGCGGTTTGTGGCTCGAGAATCTTTCCAATCGTGGAACAGTGAAGTTGAAGATTTTTGATGAGCTCTGAGTTGGATGAACCATGCTCCTTGAAGTTTTCTACAAGGTCATCGGCATCTCCGAAGGCCGAAAGCATTGATGAGAGGTTCTCAGCAGTCTCTAAGATCTCTTCCAAGCTAGGCTTCGGCGGAGGAGTTGGGTTGTGAGGATCTCCAAGAACGGTTTCATCGTCTGAATCTGGTTCTGCAAGCACCTTCATGGCGTTTGGAGTCGAACGCTGGAAGTCTGGTCTTGCCTTCTTCTTTACTTTTTTTGGCCTTCCTGGTGATTTTCTCTTGGCTGGCAGTGGCGTACGTACTGGTGTAGCTGGAGGGGAAGTCGGAACATTTGCGGAAGCCATAACTTCATGTAACGATCGATCCCTGGCCTTTTGGGATTTGCTTCTAGCCACTGTATTGATTAGAGAAGTGGCAATTGCTGTTAAGTTATACGTACTTGTAAGGTGGAGGATGTTGTCCTGAAAAAAAGTGAGGCAATTAGCAAGGCTGTGAAGCGAGGTGGAGTAAAGGTGAATTGCAAAGAGTGAATATTGAAACTCTTCAGCTGCAAAAGCCGAAGTTGACAAAATTGATAGATCGAACTTGAAAGCTGGAATGTAAGGGTACAGAAAGTCCAGAGTCAAGGTAACTGAGCTGAAGCTGGAAGTTGATACTTTCATGAAGAGTGAATACTTACAACTTATATGTATATGTGCTGAAAGCGAGATGTGGGGAAAGAAGCGTGGAAATGTGGACAGCCAGTCGAAGAACTAGAGGGCTAAGATCCTTGGGAATGCGAGGTGGGGGAATATGGCCTGTGGACTTGTTGTTGACGAGTTGATGGATCTAGAAAGGAGGAAAGAAGATGAGTAGCGAGGAAGCACGCTAAGAGAGCTTGTGGCCTTGAGGGCTTGTTAGCTTGTTAGCCCTCGAGGCAGTGAGGTCTGAGAATTGTGGCTTGTGTGACGTCTTCTGTTGCAAGGATCAAGGCCCAGGGTAGTGAGGTGTGTTTGCTTGACGGTGAATCTCGACGCTCTTGCTTCGAGGAGGTTGTGAACGTAGCAAGACAGAGAACGAGCCAAGCTGCTAGGAGAGAGAAATTCTTGATGGCGGTTGATTGTATTGGTTATGAGCAAACTCTTCAGCTGTATCTCGAAGCGTTGTGAGCTATTCAAGAGTGTTGGTGGAAAGGTGAGTTGTTGAATCTTGACAGTCGATTCACAAGTTGGTCGAAGCGAAGCGAGGAGAGCAGAGGGGTTGAAAGTGAAGCGAGAATGCAGCAGCGTTGCTTTTCAAGTATAGTACGGAGTAGGCGGAAGAAAAAGCAAATCTCTAACACCATTAGTACGACTCTCGGACATGAGATATTATAATACCTCAATCTCACGTAGACTAAAGGAAGTTATTTAAGAGCTTGCACATGAAATTCACAATCCACTAATAGTCGGTCATTCTTTCGCTTGTAAAGAATAAAGGACCGACTATTACATCAAGGCTGGCTATCAAAACCTCTACAGCTTCGAGTAATTATTGGTGTGCCAAAAAGATCAATGCAAAAGGTAAGGCCCCAAAGTCAAATCAGCTGACTCTCTCGGTCTTCAACAAGACTAGATGCAAAGTAGCAAATGCCCTCCAATATTGCTTTACATACTGTAACCTATTGATTTCCAATACTTCATAGCGCTCCTGACTCCGGACAACAAAGTTTCGTGTATGTATGAGGATCTGTAGCATGATCTGTCTGCTAATTACCATTCTACGATCCCCTTGAATATTTTCTTCGTTAAGTCAAACCTGCTCCCCGACCGGCTATACGATAAAATTGACCTTTTTGCAATCGGGTCAAAAACCAGGTTGACATGAGATAATCTGGCCCCTGCCGGCACATACACCTCTTCTTAGATTTCTCCACAGCCTTGTTCCTTAGCCAGCATCATCCGCTGGGTAGCCTTCGCTTTGAAAACGCTGTTCTGGACCCCCTCCTGCCGTAATCAGTGACTTAGTGCTACAATCGCTTTTCTACGAAGTACAGGATGTCAACAGCGGGACACCACTTTAGATAGCGCCCCGGTAATCCCCATATCGGTAGAGAAGACTGCTGTTCGGTCCGAGACGGAGTCACCAATTTCGACAATCGCAGCTGCGAGGTTGACGGATTCCTCGAAGACGCGCCTTACTTCGTCCCACTTCTTTAGTCTGGCGCTGGGATACTGACGGCTGTCGCGGTTCCATTGTCCCAAGAGCCTGCCGGTTGTTATTGTGTAGTACCGGTTCCAGATCAGAGACTGACGAGCATCTACAACACTTGCAAAAGGTTTGAACTGCGGAGCAGTATCTTTGGGAGTCATATGCCAATATAAACCTCTCACTATCTAATATTGTGTTAGTACAAATTTGACGTGAAAAACATGCTTGAAGATATTGTTTGTTGAGTTGATGGACGCAGGTGTGGTTTCTATTGTCCATAAGGTGGCTGCAGGCAAAACGTGCTGTATGCAGATAATTCAAGATTCACCCTATTGTTTTTCTAAAAATAGCCCGAAAATCATAATACGACTACGATTCTAGAGCACCAGAGAGTATATGCGTCTGATTATATAAAATATCTTCGCTTCCTTTATTAACGCTGATCTTACATGGTATCAAGTAGCACAGTAACACCAATATTCACTATCCGCGAGAGTCTTTACGCACTGTCAAACGCCTCCTCCCCCTCCTCCCCCCAAGCCCCAACAACGCAATTCCAACCATCCAATCAACCCCCTCACATCCTCCCGACTATACATACACTTCCCCCGGAAGCTTAGTTCTCGAAGTCTGACCCCCTCATACCGAATCCTCGCATTGCCCCTCAGACCCAGACCCCACATCCCATCAAACCAAACCCCCACCCACATGTCTCAATGCCAACATCACTTCGCACTCCTGAAATAGTTCAAAGAGATTCCTTAGCTAGCCGGCGGCGGCGAAATATCAAAATACGTATCGATACTCCTAATCTCTTTCAACTTCCTAATCTCATCCGGTACCCGCCCCATAATCCTCACCATCTGTCTCAACGCGTTCATGTCCCCCAATTAATTATCTCCAGCAAGCACATCGACACTCCCCCAAAGACCCCACCTTAACCCGCATCTTACGACTAGCGCGATATTCATCTACAGCTACCAGTATACGATGGAGCCGAGTAATCGCTTATGACGGGCCGATGAATTGTAGACTCTGGTATGTGCATGTCGTTGAAGAGTCTGAGCTCGATTGGACGCCACCGCTGATTTGGTAATTCAACGCAGTTGTACCGTAGCTGCAAAAAGTCAGTTCGAGCTCGGGATGGTGACTTGAATGCTTACCCTGAAGCACACCATGGTGAAGTCGTCGAAGCCGTTACAGAGATATCGGTCCATAGAACCGGGCCAAAATCCCACGTTCCTTCGTTCTTCAGTTCAATTGCCAGGAGACCCTGCTGACTATCAGTTGTCTGTCACCTTGGGAGTTGTACATAGCTTACTCTGGTCAAGGCACCTTCGTTGGCTTTTCGGTTCGATGTCTGTTAGCAATCGTCTCTGCTAAGGTTTGTCAAGGGGCTTACAAAATGAGTTCGACGATGAGCCGGTCTGCGGTATCTGTCCGTTTGCTGAGCCAATGGCACCGGGGGCAAGAGACCAGGCATCAGTCCATAAACCATTGTCTAGGGAGAATGTGCTTGTTATAGAGTCGCCAGGGTAGACTATACACCCAATTAGAAAGAAACAGATGATACTGGATGTGCTTCATTACCTTTGATAGGTGTGTACACATAATTCGGACTAGGAACAATCTTAGCACAAAAGCCGTAGCCAGATCCAGAATTCATCTTCTTACTTGCAGCAGTACTCGACGAAGAACGTCCAGCTCCCAGCACCGTTTGAGTCACTCAAGACGCTCTGGAACACAAAGCCCTCAGACTCGTTTTCGAGGCCTGGCCAAACTGCATGGAGACCCCCACCAGGTGTTGATGGGACCACCATTGTGGATTGGAACTGCAAAGATGAGTACTTCCCCGCCCAGAAAGGTGAAATCGACATACTCTAGTAATCGGGGCACTTGGCAGAAACCAGAATGCATGCGCAGAATCTGCTCGGACAGAAAATTGCAGGAGCGCCAAGCAGAGCGCAGAAACGAGGATGGTAATAGCGTTCATCTTGGTTGATGTTGTAAGGTAAGACTTTGGGTTCGAGGGCTATCCTAAGGTGCCGAAGGAAATTCGTAGTTGAGGTTCCTTGGGATTCATGACCTGGCGGCCTGGAATGAATCACCATAAGGGGAAGGGGTGAATGTGTACAAGTGTGTATACCTACCTACCTACCTAGGTACTTATTACTACATGAGCGGAATCAAGGTAATTATCAACCCGCATATCTGAACCTTTAATTTCACTATTAAAAAAGCTTTGCACATGGAACGTACTGATTCGCATTATCGATACGAAGGTATCAATTGTTTGTGCAAGATCCATGTCACGGCCAGTAATCACTGATCACTAGGCGTCCTCCCGGTTTCGAAAACCGTTCAAAGGTGGTTAGATGTAGGCCGAAAAATTGTGGAGAATAGGCACCGAGTTCCAGAGGTCTTCATTGGTCCAAAAACACTATATTCTGACTTGCATCCACTATTTCCTATGCAAAGTCAGAAAACGGTGTAGATTGCCGAGACGTCCAATTTGAAAAAATGAAATTTAGAGATAATGTGACTATATAGAACCCTGGACTGTTATAAACCAAACCTCGGATACATCTGACAATTTGATCTGAAAGTTTAAAAATAGCCGCAGTTATCACGTATAACTCCCCCTTTTTGATTCTCAGTCGCTCGAGCTGGAAGACTTTTACTAGAGGAGCTAACGATATTTGAACTAGAAATATTCGAAAGCTGGACATCTGTTTACTCGTGCAATAACATTGCCATCAAGGTGAAGCTCATGGTGAGAACTCGGATTAAGCGCGGAAATCTGATTCGTTACCTCGTACGCTAATGCCCTGGTGATTCTTGCAAATGCAATGGTATGGTCAAAGACTTAGTATGGGTATATGAGCATCCGCTTCTGATCCAGCTCCAACTTGGAAATAGCTTTGTTCTCCATTAGAGTTTTGAACCATGGCTTCAGCTTCTTCATATCACTAGGTGTTGCCGCACGACCTTGGAGATATTGGCCGTAATGGATTGTCGCACAAACTTCCTCGATTGTAACGCCGTAAGAGTGAGATGGGAAGGGGACGTCGTGGAAAGCGCGGAATCAAAGCTCGGCATAGGGAAAGTTAGGATCGTTGATGTCGAGAACCATTTGAGTTGCGATTTGAGAGCCAGCAGTGAGCTTCTTTCTGTAGAAACTGGAGTTCTTCGCCATCGCCATCGCCAGTCGCGAGATAAGCATAGTTGCCAAGATCCTCCCATTGATAACCCGATTGCGGGTTGCAGCACAGAATTGAAATCCTCCAGTACCTGTGGTTTTATAGAATCTCAGTGACAGATCTCCATTGGGGTCAATGGTAATATCTTGGACGCCGTGCTATCGGCCGGTCAGCAGGGTGCTTGGATCTGAAAGAGTGGCAGATGGCCTACAAGAACAAGCGCCATTATGAAGATAGCGACCAGAACCTTGATTCTGAGTCAAGTAGCTGACGTACGATAAGACAAGCTGGATTGCCTCCCAAGGAAACGGATTTTGGTAGTTGATTTGCCTACTCACCTGAAAGAAACTAACAGTACATACAAGACCCTCTATTCGTTGCCGGTAAGGGTTACAAGAGGAAATGTGATAAAGATTTTTCGTTATTAAGGGTAGATAAGATGCTCTACGCTCAATATAACAGTACATACAAGGTATGCATTGAAATAAGTATATAAGGATAGTAAATCTCTTTTCATGAGGGCTTTTATGCAGACGCTAAGCCCAGCCCAGTGACCTAGATGTGAAATATCACACAAAGGCAACTTGGTGTTTCCATGTGTCCCAATCAAAGTGGTACCTAGTTGTAGATTATCTAGGACCTGACGTATTGCATCTAGTAGGTCTAGGGGTAATTTTCCCAAACTTTGCAATGGCATATTCTGTCTGTCCCCAGCTAGTATGGGGATTACTTGATCTTGGCGGGCTGATGGTATATACTTTGGTGGCCCTGTGAGCCTTTTTGCGTAGGTTCTTCCATGATAGCGGAACGGAAAGATGTCTGTGCAAGCCCAAGAAGTTAGGAAGGTACAAGACAAGTACAAGATGTGATGTGGAAGGATACAGCTACGGGACTGGACTGATTAGCGCTTAACCGCGGCTAGAGATGTCACGCTAGTGCCACAATCACTCCATCCCATCACCACAGCCACAGAACAAATTGATGTCGACATCTTGAAAAAAAAAGAACAGCAGAGTACTTGTTATTGGAGATTCAACAAGCCGGCCGCCTTTTCAATTAACATGAAGTCTTTCTTCCAACCACGATCTCGAATTCCAATCCCTCATATCTCGAAAACAAACCGCGCCCGATCCTGCTCCTTAGAATTCGTTGAGTAACGGCCTGCAGGTGAAGCCTAGAACACTCACTCACCCACCCACCCTGCCACCACCCGCTTGGCCGGCGAAAAACTACTACCGTGCATCAGACGTTTTGTTTGAATCTGCGACCCTCGATCTCTGACCGTCTTACCACTTATCAATATGGCCAAAGATTCGGAAATCCACGAGCACATACCTCATAAGCTCCCACACAAGGAACGGTCTCCCATGACAAACTGGGTGTACGATGTATTCCTCTGGACTTTTTCTATACTCGTTGACCTTTTCTTCCGAGAAGTACACCCTCGAGGGTCATGGAAAGTTCCCAGGCGGGGGCCTGTGATCTTTGTCGCAGCCCCGCATGCCAATCAGGTAAGTACTTACCTTCAGATCCGCACTATGTAGTTTGCTGATACTCTGATATGTAGTTTGTCGATCCTCTTATTCTCATGCGTACACTTCGCAACGAATGCCACCGCAGGGCTGCCTTTCTTATTGCAGCAAAATCGATGAACAGATGGTTGATCGGCTGGTTTGCACGGAAAGTTGGTGCTGTGCCCGTTGGGCGGGCTCTTGACATGGTGAAACCTGGCTCTGGAACAGTCTACCTCCCGGATCCTCTTGGCGATCCTCTTCTCGTTCGTGGTATCGGGACAAAATTCGATGGGAAGGAGGTCCAAATTGGTGGATTATTGGTCCTGCCTAGTATCAAGGGAACTGCCGCTAATACGGAAATCGCGGAAGTCATAAGTGCTGAGGAGTTGAGGTTGAAGAAGCCCTTCAAAGGCGCAGCAGCCATGAGACAACTTACTGGAAGGGATGATGTGGATGACAATGGCAAATTTACAGACCAGAGTATCAAAGGCCCAATAGAAGGGTTTGAAGGCTCGAGGTACAAGACTGCCCCCAAAGTGGATCAGACACAGGTCTACGATGCCGTGTTTGACCGTTTGAGCGCAGATGGGGCGGTAGGAATATTCCCGGAAGGAGGTAGTCATGATCGAACAGAACTGTTGCCTCTCAAAGCTGGTGTTGCTATTATGGCCCTGGGAGCATTGGCAGCAAATCCTAACAGTGGATTGAAGATCGTCCCCTGTGGTATGAATTACTTCCATGCACACAAGTTTCGGTCTCGTGCTGTCATCGAGTTTGGAAACCCTGTCGACGTTCCAAAAGAGCTGGTCGAGCTTTACAAAAGTGGGGAGCGGAGAGAAGCCGTCAGCCAGCTGTTGGACACTGTCTACCAAGCTCTGGTTGCTGTTACGGTCACAAGCCCCGACTATGATACCCTAATGCTCATCCAAGCTGCTCGAAGGCTGTATAACCCTACAGGGAAGAAGCTCCCACTGCCAATGGTCGTGGAGCTGAACAGGAGACTCGTTAAAGGGTATACGCACTACAAAGACGACCCTAGAATTATCTCACTGAAAAAGTCGGTGAATAATTACAACAAACAACTGCATTACATGAACTTGCGAGATCACCAAGTAGAGTACGCCAAATATTCGATACCAAAAGTCATCTTCCTGCTCTTCTACCGACTGGGAAAACTTTCCGTCCTTTCAATCGGCGTACTTCCTGGTCTTGTGCTCTTCGCGCCTGTCTTCGTGGCCTCCAAGATAATCAGCATAAAAAAGTCACGAGAAGCGCTTGCTGCATCTACTGTCAAGCTTCAAGGTCGGGATGTTATGGCCACTTGGAAACTTTTGGTAGCACTCGCATTCGCCCCTATCTTGTACAACCTTTACACTTTCTTACTGGCGTCTTGGACGTATCGCAACAGGGTGCAAGGTTACATGCCTGAATGGGTTCCTTTGTGGGCAGTCTTCGTCTTCGGATACATATTCTTCCCCGCAATCACATATGCTGCTTTGCGTTTCGGTGAGGTTGGCATGGATATAGTCAAATCTCTACGTCCTCTTGTACTGGCACTCAACCCGACTTCCAGCAACACCTTCCACAAGCTTCGGCAGCGCCGGGCTCAACTTAGCACCGAAGTCACTGATTTGATCAATACACTAGGTCCGGAAATGTTCCCTGACTTCGACGCTGCGAGAATCGTAACAGATCCGCTCCGCGCCGATGGGGAACTAAGCCCTACATCGCCTACTGGGAGTGGCTTCCATCGTCGAGACAGCAGCCATTCTGGTATTTCTGAAGCAGAAAATTCCCCCCAAATCCGCAGAAGTTATACAGATGCCTCGATTGGAGGCGCTCCAAGCATGAAAAGCCACCTACCTCGGAACGAGTCCTTTAAAAATATTGGGAACATTGCGCTTTTTGCAACCCGTCCACCATCAAGGAGCAGAAGTCGGAGCAGTAGCAGTGGTGGAGCAGTGGGTTCCGCAGGCTTTCCCCTGAAAAGTTTTAGCACACTGGATGCGAAAGGAGGTTTTGATGAGGTCAGCATGAAGATTAGGGGGGCAATGCGAGAACGGGGTCAAATGCGGAGGAGGAAGAGCGAAGAAGCCAGAGCGGAAGATGAAGATGATAGCGAAGACGAGGAGAGGAAGGACGTCTAGGTTTCATTGGGCTTTTCTTTATATCGTCTGATGAAGTTCCGAATTTTCTTGACACTTTGATAGCGTGGCGTTGGGAATAATATCGATACCATTTGTTTCAACTTTGCTAATTTTATTTAAAAACTTCCCATGATGCACGGTTCTATTCACCTTCCCCTCTAAGAACACTATTAGAAATTCAGAATCCATAAATCGAAATGAAGTCATGATGCTTTGTACCCCTGAAGGCAACGTTAATCCAAAAGCAGCCTACCCCATGATTTTCGATCAGCGCAACCTCTGACATGCGGGGATTGTCAATTTTAACGTAATATTTGTGTAAATCTCGGCTCAAAAATCTACACCTTAAGTAGGAGCAATCTCAATACGCCTCACCTCAACTCGCCGGCCTCTCCAATACTCATATCCCAATACCTTTCTTCACTCGAGGAGCAATCTGCCAAATGGGACTCCCGCCATGGGAGACTAGCGATAGCCAGCTCTTTGCATTGATCACCGGCGCCAACAGGTAAGCTGTCTGTCCGTCTGTCTAGCTTCTACCCCTCGACATTGCTTGTGCCACGCATGCTCTACTAAGGATTTACTGCCCTTTCATTTTCGAAACATTGTACAACAGTGCTAATCCGCAAGCAGTGGCCTCGGGTTTTCAATTGCTTCACGACTCATCGACGAATTCCTCACCTCCCCCTCGACGTCTCCAAACAAGCATCTGGTTCTAGTCCTCTGCACTCGAACCCCCATCAAGACACGCTACACAATCTCCCGGCTGCGATCCCATCTCAGGAAACTGGTTGAATATTCGGCGTTCGCGACAAGCCTTCGCGAGAAAGCCAAAGCCCAGGGAACGGAGTACAGATGGGAGGAGGTGGTTCAGAGAGTGCACTTCCTAGGCGTGGAAGCTGACCTCTGTAATCTGCGGAGCGTGTATGCGCTCGCCGATAGACTGGTCAATGGCACGATAGGGAGTCCCGATGCTACTACCATTGATGGGTTGAGGCTCCCGCATGGATCCCCAGGCACGCAGAGTTTTTCGGAAGATGCGACGCAGGATCGTTGGGCGCTGAGTAAGGAACGTGGGTCTATTGGTGCGCAAAGATCTTGGGGCTGGGGTTTGAGCGGCCTCCGTCTGCCAAGATTGGACGTGGTGATCCTGAGTGCGGGGATGGGAGGCTGGGTTGGTGTTGACTGGCTACCTGCAGTCCGAGATGTCTTGTTTGACACAGTGGAAGCTGTGACATGGCCAAAATTCAAACTACCAAATGTTGGGGCTGTCGTGAGGTCCCAATCATCTTTTAAGGCGAAAAAGTTATCAGATGAAGAAGAAAAACCTTTACTTTCGAATCAGGCAAAGCCCGATGAACCTCCTCTGGGCGAGGTCTTCTGCTCCAATGTGTTTGGGCATTACATCCTTGCTCATGAGCTAATGCCACTTCTCTCCCGTCCTGCTTCGTCTTCCTCTCATGCTGGTGGGAAAATCATTTGGGTCTCTAGTGTTGAGGCCCTCTCGGAGCATCTCAACATCGATGATATCCAGGGCCTCGAATCTCAAACGCCCTACGAAGATACAAAACGTCTGATTGACGTGCTATCCTTGACCTCTTCTCTACCATCTACTCAGCGTATTGTAGCACCATTCTTCGACAGCTCGAATATTGTTACCAAAACCGAAAGCGACGCTGGGGAGGAGAAACTACCATCGGTGAAGCCAACGATGTATTTGACACACCCTGGTATTTTTGCTTCAGAGATTATGCCCCTGAATGTCTTTTTGGTCTGGATTTATAAATTTGTCTTTTTGTTCGTACGATGGTTGGGCAGCCCCTGGCATACAATCGAGCCCTACAAAGCAGCAGTTGCACCTGTCTGGTTGGCGCTCACCGACACGGAGAAACTCGATGTTATCGAGGGTGATGGGACTAAGAAGGCAAAATGGGGGTCTGCAACCGACAGAGGTGGTGAAGAAAGAGTCATGAAGACAGAAGTGGCTGGTTGGGGATGGGATGGCACTCTTGAGAACGCAGATGATATTGCGAGAAGGAAGGGGAGGAAGAGAGGCGTTGTTGATATGACGAAAGAGGCACGAGAAGATTTTGAAGTGCTGGGGATTAAATGCTGGTCCCAGATGGAGGATTTGAGGAAGAAGTGGGAGGATATTCTTGGAGTCAAGAGCTCCAAGAAAGTGTAAGTTTGACTGTGGCTTGCTATGCTGTATTACGTGTAATAAACTGTATATGTTAATGAAATTGATTGCACTATACCCATAATTACTATCTTCTTCTGCAACCGCGTACAATTGAACTTGATTTCAATACCAACTCTAACATTACTCCAAATGCAGAAAGACAGACAATTTTCCTAACCTTGTTTTCGCCTGATTCCCAATAAAGACGGCTCCGAGGATACTTAAAATACTACAATGCAATATACCTACCTACCTACTATTCACGCCTTCCACATCCATCTCCGTTTATCAACAGCATCCCAAAACCGCACCCCAATCACGCACAGCGCAGCTCCCCCAAGCAGTGCTGCATCAAACAATACAACGTTCCTATAATTCCCTAGCTTGCTCTCGCCTAATATCTTACCACCGACTGGACTTCCGAAGATCTGGCCGAGGCCGCGCACGAAGTATATGAAACCGTTGACGCTGGCGTAGGCTTGGAGGCCGAAGACTTCGGCGATTGTCTGGGTGAGGAGGTTAGTAAGGTTGCTGATTGAGAAAGGAGGAGAGACAGAGAGGGGGAGAGGAGGAGGGGAGAGACTTACAGTAGGAAACAACGCATTATACCCACCCCCAGCGATCCCATAAACCACCACAAAGCACACCCACAAACTCCTACTCCCCCCTTCCCCTGAGCTCGCACTCCCCAACCAAAACCCCAGCACAGAAACAACACACAACACCACATTCGCAATCAGCGTATTCTGCCTCCCACACCTATCCCCCACCCACCCAGTCAAAACACGACTCACAGAATTTACCCCGTTACTAAGCGCCAACAGCGTCGCCCCTCTCCCCGGCGAATACCCCAGCGCCACCGAATACTCCGCCAAAAATGTAAGCGGCAGTCCATTTCCACCCGCCTGGAGGAACCCCGCGCCCACACTGAGCAGGAACGCGGGTTTCGTGGCTAGTGCGAGGTTAATGTGCGTAGGTCTTCGGCCTACGAAGCGGGATGGCGCGGCGGTGATGGCGATGGGGAGGGAGATAAGTAGGTTGAGGAGCGAGAGCGTGCGTAATGTCCAGCGCGGTCCGAGAGCGTTGAGGAGAGCCCGGATTAGGGGCGAGAAGACGAGCCCGCCGATCCCGGCGCCTGATAGGATGAAGCCCATGGCGGCGCCGCGGTGCGTGGTGAAGTATTCTGGGGCGGAGCTGAGGATGGGGAAGTAGAGGCATGAGGAGCCGATGCCATAAAGGAGGCCTTGGGTTAGGAGGAGGTGCCAGACCTAGCGAGAGTCAGTAATTAAGCAAGCAAGTAAGCAATTAAACAAGCATCAATTTGAGATGTAACATTGTTAATCAGACCACGGGCACTGGGCAGAGAAAGTATAATATACTTACCTGTGTACTCAAACTCGCCAACCCAAACCCCGCACTCATACACAGCACCCCCAACACACTAACCCCCCTCGTCCCCTTTATCCCCAACCGCGCAATAACAGGATTGACAACAATACTGCCACCCCACGTAAGTCCATACCCCAGGGATCCCACAAAAGCTACTAGCGCCCCATCCTCCGCGGTAGTTTTCGGCAGCATGGTCTGGGACGGCGATATATAGTAGGACTGAAACACGCCATAGGCCTGGTTAAAGCCGATTGTGATGCAGATGGTTAGGAAACTAGATATCAGGACTAAGATCTGGCGTTGGCGGGTCATGGGCCGGAGTTCGGGGGATACTGATATGTTGGATATAGCAGATGGATTCGGTGCTGGGGCCTCTTCTTCTTCTTCTAAGGATATGGATATTGTGTCCTGGGGCGTACGAGTCTCCCGGAGAGCGATTGCTGAGGTTGATGATGCCATATTTTCTGCGTAAAGTAAAGTACCAGAAGCAACTCAAAGAGTCATAGGCTATAGCCGAGGCAATTGATGTATTGTGTGTAGTGGGTTAGTTGTTGTCCGCGAGTGGTCAGAAGAGCCCTCAGAATTCACAATTGTAACTCGTTGCAATGCATTCTCGAGTTCTGCTTGAGATTTCTCTCTGGAAGGGCAACCTGCAAGAGTCAGTGGTCTTTACTTATAAGTAATGCTTTTTTAAGAGTAAGGGAAGATGGGTACAGCTGAAATGGCCCAACTTTTGCATCGCTACAGTGCACGTGGTATTCTCAGGGGTTCACCCCTTACAATTAAGGCTCAAAGAATTTATCTTGAGTTCTAGACTACAGTAGTAGTTCAGTATATTAAAATAGCACAGGAAGGAAGGATCTTTGATTCCGAATTCTGGTCTTTTCTAATAGATACCTAGCTACTCTGTAGTTAATATAAGGTTAACCACTAATCATTATTAGCATAACTTATTAGCTTTTTTCTCCAAGTCGCTCTGCAGTATAATATAGCACGCTATAGGTACAGTATAGTATAGTATAGAGATTATATAATATTGTTAAATTGATTATTTTATTATTCCTAGATTTAAATTATATTATATAATCTTGTATAATGCATCTTACTCCTCTGAGCTGCATTATACCGCAGGTGGACTTAAGAAGAAGAAAAACGCGATTATTTATTCGCTAGAGTTGTGACCTGTGCGAGGCATTATTTATTCATTTAAGTTATGCTATGCAAAAGTTGGGCCATTTCAACCGACCCCAATATAACCAGATCCGAGCTCGTGAACAATACTGCTGCCATAAGAAAACCCAAGTACCACCTTACTGCTTGTATATCTCCATGACGGCTCTGAATGAAGGATCCTGTTGAAGTTGCTTTACAGAAATACGAGATTCTGGTAGATAGCAAAATCCCTTAGACATAATAGATAGTATATGGCCTTTCTCCGTGTCACCAACATCTGGTCTCACACGTCTGATCAAAACGTCGAGGCGATCAGAGGCCTTTCTGCTCTGATCATACCACGAATCATCGCTCACGCCGAAACCTTTATAATCGCCTTTCCAGTGCTTAGGCAGCGGGCCTAGGAGCTCAACCATATCCGAGATAACTGAGGAACTCGCGTTTCTGTAGAAAAGGCGAACTCCGAGAAAGAGTTCTAAGAAAAGGCACATGTAGCTCCATACATCGCTGGCAAGACCTAGATCCTTATCATGCAACAGTTCCGGGGCACAATACTCAAAAGGCGCATGGAATTTGGGCGTTACAGAAGTGCCTACATTAATTGCATGCCCGAAGTCGCCGAGGCAGATAGTATCTCGGAGCAAATCCTCAGAGACTGTGACTGGTTTAACAATCTCTGCTTGTATCCCGGAAGGTAGATATAACTTGATCTTTTGTGGCCTGCCGAGATACTCGTATATCGTATCTGTATTGCTTTTCTCAAAAGAACGGATACCCCACATGATGTTTCGATTATTCAAGTCTATAGAATATATTAGCATGTATGAAAACTTGTAGCGAGGTGGAATTGACTTGCCCCGGTGAACGATTCCAGCGTCATGGAGACTTTCCAGGGCTTTCAACAACTGTTTCGCGGCTGAGATTCGAGCAACTATTGACATCTGCATCAAAAAACAGGAACCGAGACTCGGACCCCACACTGGGAAAACTAAGACCAGGTGCATCTGTTTGTCGTGGTCTCGCAGGTAGAAGAAATTTTCGTACGTAAGAAGATTCGAGGTGTTTTGTACACGCAGAATGATTTCATTCTGGAGTTTCAGCTCGTTTTCTCCTTCGCTTCCAGGAACATGAATTTTGAGGGCCACATTATTCTTCATCTGAAAGTCGTATGCCATCCAGACAGTGGAGTAGCCGCCGTGGCCAAGTTTATGCTCGATGCGATATCTCTCGTTGAGGACATCTCCGATGCATATCGGGTAGTATAAGCCCTCAAAATATCGGTTTAGAGGTTCAGCAAGATCCTCGACCTCACATTCGTCGTCAGAGCCCACAAAGTCTCCATAATCAGGGGTGTTGTTATCTTCAAGAGGCATCATCAGCGTTGCCATTTTTGTAGGTAGACTTATGTACCCCCAGCCTCCACAACATCTTTGATGGCCCGTGCACAAATTCCTTCTGCTAGACAGGCGCGCGCCACTACCCGTTTATTCCCGCGTTTTAGCTTCGGGCTCAAAGAGTGAGGTTATCAATTGCAATAGTTTTGAGAAGAATGAAGGAATGCCATCAACACCAAGTCTCGTAGGAGTTTTACAATTTATTAATACAGAATTGAAAAGGCTTTCCCATTGAGGTCAACATCATCACCAAATCCCCGCGCAATGCCACAACTCATCAAGTCCAAGCGCCATGTTGATTCATTCTTCGTTCTTGGTAATGTATATACACACTGATACATAGAATACACGTAGATAACCAAAAATGCCCCTGTAAAACGCCTTTGCCCTTTCCGCTCAAAGTACAGATGAATGGCAAGCCAGCCAGCAGAGTCAAATCATATGCTTCTTTGTGTAAACTCCATTCCAGTTTTTCACTTCCTGAAAGCTGCTGAAACATCTCCTTTTGTCCATTCAGCAATCACATCTCCATCATACACATCCCTGCTGATTGTCAAGATTCTGTCTCCGACTTTCTCATAATACTGCTCGCAGTTCTGTATGACTTTTGCAACTAGACTGCGACTGAGTCCTGGATCGTCGGCATCTCCAAAATGCTTCTCAACTCTCTTCTTTAGAGTCTCGATTCCACGCCTAATCTCTTTGGAGTCGTAGCCTGCAAGAATCTTTTTGAATGTTGACTTTGAATGACTTGGCATCCCCGAGATCTGTGACATGGGCTCGCCTGGTTGCCGTGAGAGCATGAGACTTTCAGTACTCTCCAAGAAATCAAGAAGCTTCCCCAACGGTCTACGGATAACAGCCCCAAGGTATAACGACATGTGCTCATGCATTTCTTGTGCCGCATTTTGCTTCCAATCCTCGAGGACCGGGTTGTTGCGGGCATCCACTTCCTCCAAATAGTGGTTCATATTCTCAATGAGAAGGATCTGATAGTTCAGAGCTTCTTTATCTTCAGGATCGGCGCCCGCAGTCTGGGCACTGGGGTTCTCTCTTGCAATGACTTTTAGAGATTCAAACATTGTTCTGTTGATTCGTGCATATGCTCGATTGACAGTGTCGCGTATTTCCAAATCATTCGCGGTGGTCAGCAGGGTTTCGAGGCTCAAAGAAAACGAAGGAAAGATGCGAATGAATGCAATGACGCCCTTTCGTTTCTTGATTTTGACCTTGGTATCTTCGATCGCACGGATTTGTTCGTCTACAAATTTAGTGAACAAACCAAGTAGCCTGGCGTGAATCTTCTGGAAAGTCCGTGCAAGATACTCTTGATTGGATTCCTCGAATTCAACAAGTTTGCGCTCTATAGCAGCAATTACACCCACTCCTTGTCTATAGACTATTAGCGTATATCAAAAGGATCGCTTGGGAGAACACGTACAGTGGGTCCGCTTGGATCGTCCAGTCCACAAGCGCTTGCATGTCAGCGGGGAAAAAGGCAAACACCTCTTCCATGGACTGGACCACAAGTCTAGCTAGATCTCGGTTTGGATCCATCACTCTGGGCCGCCTCAAATCACTCCCAAGTCGTCTATCCGGCGGCGCTGCTGCAACAGCATCTGGGAAGTCGTGTTGCTCAAGAGAAGTCACGTGGAAGAACTCAACAACAAAGTTTTGTTCCATGCTCATCGTTGGTATCATCTCATCAAGAACCCCGGCGAAAACCTCATAAGGTTGGAGACGCCCATCCGAAGACCTGTCGAGGCTGGTTTTGGGGTTACTATCGCCAATTGGAGAGCGTAGACTCTTTGCCAAGGTTTGACTTCTCTTCACAGTAAGCTTTCGGGCTGTTGTAGCAATGCCTTCGGTCTGCTTCTCGATCTGGGATGTGAACAAGATGTCACCCTCGTCACCACTAGGCTTCCTACCAACTCGCTTCCATGCAAATACTACATCCCGGAACTCATCTTGATAGAGTGGTCTGCAAATCATCTCATAGGTCTTGATCAGATCCTCCCATTCAAGTCTATCAACCTCCCTTGAAAACAGCATGAGCGGACTGTATTTCCATAGCATATTTCTGGATAAGTCATGATTTCGAGGATCGAGTTTTGCTTTGCCTGCAGCTCGAGTGAGGTTGTTCCCTTTCTCCCGTTCCAAAGCTTTCCTCGTCTCATCAACAGCAGCAGCAAATTTGACTTGGAGGAAAGGTTTGAGCCGGCGGAGAAAAATTGTAATTTCGTTGCCGTACACGTCTTTCTTTTCTTGCAGAACTCGCATGCTTCCAATTTCGCTATTGCCATATCCACCTTGCTTTCCGGAAACTGCACTGCCATCTACACTAGGTCTGGGACCAGAGAGGCTTAATGAAGGATCTATGGTTAACATGGCTTTGTACAATGTGACTAAAGACGTTTCGACTTGTTCAAGGCCACGTGGCGTCTCCAGAGATGCCTCGCGAAGACTTCCAAGCTGCTCTGAGGATATTGCAATGGTATCGAGGAGAGACTTAAGTTCGGCGTATAGGAGCTTCTGGTTAGCTGCTTGAACTTGAAGACCTTGGCCTTGCGCTTCAATGTAAGCAATATCTTCGTTGAGAGTCTAGAACAGTCAGTAATCAAGTAGAATTGCGGTATGACTGCGTGACTTACGCTGAGCTCCACATTATATAAAGTCAATAAACCATCAAGTTCATCACACTCTTCGATCGTTTTGTCGAGTCCTTTCATGACGGCTGCGACTCTCTCATCTTCGTCATCTATCCTACTCATCCACCCGCCAGCTTGAGCCTTATTAAGTTCTCGCTCAATTTCATCCTGCATCTGGTCGACATTCTTGGTCCGAATTCCTTCTCCAACCCAGCCAAATTGTTCCCAGAGGTCGACCAATTCGCTCCCTCGACCAGTCAGGATACTTGGATCAATACCCAAGGAGGCAAGTTCCTTCTGCATGGTTTCCGAGGGTGGTTTTGGCCGTCTGGGTTCTCGAATTTTCGACTGATCGATTGAAGTATTTTCTTTTACTGCCTGTATGGGGCCTTCAACACTACCAGGTCGGCGTGCCTGCGGAACAGTAATTTTTACTTCCGGGATAGAATCAGCTGGCTTACGTGGTGATAATTTCTCTACGGGTACAGCAACCACCGGCGCTTGTGGGGTAGGAGTAGGTAGTGGAGTAGGCACGGTTGGAACGTCGCCACTCATGCCGCGGACTAAAGAGGGTGCTGGTACGACGCCAGTAATCCCATCTGGGCCTTCAGTTGAAGTTTTAGCTTGCATTTCGCGAAGGCGTTCAGCCGCGCCACCAGCACGGGGTTTGAACGAGTTGAGAGCATTGGCAGTTTTGGCAGCCTTGAAGAATGAGTTTGCAATATCGCCCTTGGATTTTTTCTTGATCATAGGTCCTAGACCTGGGCGGGCCTCTTCTGCAGGTGGTTCTTCGGGTACTGGTACGGCTACAGGTGCTGGTGCTGGGGGCGGGGGCTCGATGGCAGATTCGGTCGGGCTAGCACTGGGGATGCTAGCGCTGCTCTTAATAGACGCAGTCCTGTCTGTCATGACTGGATGGTCACGAGTCGGGCTTGTTTTATTTGGTTCGTCCGATTTTGCTGGTGTGACATTTGCTGAAATGTTGTCTACCTTCCGTTCCGGTATTTGTGTCCGTTCGGGGGTTTGTATTCGCTCGGGGGGTGGTATCCGTTCAATGCTGCGTGCTGGAGGCCGCATTCCATCTCTTACAGGAGGGCGAATTTCGTCTCTTGTGTCCCTTGTTGGAGGTCGCGTTTCGTCTCTTGCTGGAATTGGCATTTTGTCTCTTGTTGGAGGTCGCATTTCATCTCTTGCTGGAATTGGCATTTTGTCCCTTGTTGGAGGTCGCATTTCGTCTCTTGCTGGAGGTTGCATTCTATCTCTTGTTGGGGGTCGCATTTCGTCTCTTACTGGAGGTCTTGTGTCATCCCTCCGCATACCGGGACTTACAAGTGGCGAAGGTATCATATTATCGTCTAGGTTTGGACCACGTTGGCGCGATGAGCTGGTGATATTTGGTATGGGAGGCCTGCGCCGTTCGGGAGGCAACGCTAAAGGTGCAGGGACGGGTGGAACGTCACCCAGGGTATCTTTATTGCTAGAAATGCTGCTCTCGGGTGTCACAGAACGTAGCGAGTTTGGGGTCATGCTACGGTCCTGGAATCTTCCTGGTCCGTTCGGCGCACCATTGAGCCCACCACGCGAACGAGGGGGTAGACCTAAGTTCTCCTCACTCCTACCAAAGGATTCTTGGCCTCCATTAGTGACAGCTATCCTCTTCAAGACTGGTTGGTTCTGCTGATTCTGCTGGTTCCGGGGGATGGCAGGGACACCGCCCTCTATGCTACCGTTGGGAGAAGTGTCAGGACGAGGTCGCGATGAAGGCCTTGATGGTGGCCTTGATGTTTGAGAAGTGAAGGAGGTCCCACTTGAAGGAGGGAGCAGCGGTGGAGGCGGACGCTGGACTGCATCGCGACTGGGTTGTTTTCGCAAAACTGGTTCTTGCGACGGTTCTCGTCTGGGTGGACGGTTCTGGGCTTGCCCATATGAAGGTCTTGCCGCTCCACCGCCAGGTTGTAGAGAAGGTGGTGGTGGTCTCGCAGCAGCAGAAACACCCAACAGCTGCTCTCGCTCACTGGGTTCAAATCCAATGAGTTCCGGTGATTTACCCCCAGTATATTTGGTGAAGATTTTGACAAGAGATGCAATGAAAAATTGCTTTTCCTTCGCGGTGTTCGCCTGCCAGTAATACGGCTTGCCTAACGATACCACGAATCCAACCCCCCCTGCCCATTGCTTCTGTTGTTCCTCTGTCATCGTAGCAGAAACGGCGCTGCTGAAAGACTTGATACCCGTCAGATCATCGAGAGCCCAGGTTTTGCCTATTGAAAAGGATCCATTGCCATTTTCCCTCGCCTTATGCATCCGAACCCGCCCAGACCTGCGCACAGCGACAATGACGAGACGGGGTTTCTTGGTGTCCTGGCTTGAATTCGGGGGAGGTGGTGAGGACGGATATGCAGCATCTTCGATGATTCTTATGTGTGTAATATACGATTCCGCAACTAGAAGACGTGTCAGCCAAAATCCGCTACATCCATACACGGGGTCCTCAAGGCCGTACGTGACCCATCATCCTCCTTCTTGCCAAAGCAACTTTCAATTATCCTCCGCTTCTCATCCTCAAAGCGTTCGGCCCTGCTCATTCCATTACTGCCGTTGACCCCGCCAGATCCATTCGTAGATGAACCCTCCATTTGGCGGAGCCACGTCGGTTCAGCGGCGTATAGTGGACGGTTTAGGTGCAGTCATCTAAACGTATGGGCGGATTGGATATTGTCCCTGGGATCGCTCCAGATTCATGGCTCGGCCGATGCGCGTGGTTGAGTTCTAGACGAGCTGGTGCCGTGTACCTTTTGAGGCGTTGATATTAACGATCATGTTCAAGCTCGCCTGAAGTCACGTCGTGGCCGTGATTGCTGTAGCGTAGAACGGTGGTCCAAGTGATCCAAGTGTGCCGGATATGCCACTTTATATTATATATTATATTAATTTAATATCTCTATCTTCAAATTACACTCTTTCCATATTGTAGAAAATGCTTATCTCCTGGTTTCCAACAGAAACTGAAATCTCGTCAATTGTCACAAATTATATCACATGTTCTCGTCCGAGGCCGAGCAAGTACTGTACTCGAGTACCAGCCAACCTTCATTTTCACCCCATCCCATGTGAGACATTTTGAAGATAACGTACCTGTAGATTCATGCCTGTCTCGTCTCAGTCTCACACAGACAAAGCAACTTCTTACCTCCGTAAACTATTATACATACGTCCAGGAAGTCCGTAAAAGCAGATGCTCAATGTTTGTCTGACTCCACAATAACCCCATACTTCACTTGAATTACCTCAATGAGAAGCTAACCAACTAAAGTACTTCAATTGTCCTTTTCAACCTGGCCATGAAATTTGACTTACTTGTCTTGTAAATAAGAAAAGAGGTGTACTTGTACTTAATAAACTTATGCTAGGCCCTTCTAGGTTAGTCAGCAGCGCATAGATCCCTGCCATTCGCTTCTCCTCTGGTGGAACTTTTTTTTTCTTGCGATAAGAAGTTCTTCAACTTTTTTAATACTCGTCCTCAACTACACCAGCGCCAATCGCAGACTTCGCGATGTCTGGAAATCCGAATATGGAGAAGATTGGGAAGCGGAAGAATGCTCCTGCCAAGAAACAGGCAGATTGGCTTTTCCCTTCCAGTAACCCTTCCAGTGATAAGCCTGCCTCGACGAGCGTACCGAAATCCCAGAATCAGGACCGATCGAAAAACAAGGAAGAGAAGCAACTGGCTAAAGATTTACTCAAACAACGAGCCGGTGGCGCGTCCTCAAAGCCTGCACCCCCCTCACAACTGGTGGGGCTCATTGGCGCTTTTCTTTCCGAAAACGAATTTGCCAGCACGACGCGAGCATTTCGAACCGAAAGTGGTAGTCGAGGACTTGCTGCGGAGGACGTTCAGAACATACCGTCGCTTAACACAATTTACAATGAATGGCTTCAGTTAAAGGTGCTGGATACTCCTGCAGACTCGAAGGCAGCCGTTGGGGAGAATGGCAAGGTCACCAAGAAGCGGAAAGACAAGCAGGCAAAGGTGGAAAAGAATAAGGCAAAGGTCCAAGAATCTAGTGGTGCCAGCGACGTGGAAATGACTGATGCACCACCAACGAAAGTTTCCGTGAAGAGGTCCCCTTCTCTCTCGTCTTCTGCCTCGTCGAGCAGCTCCGACAGCGATGCAGATGATGAGAAGGAATCTCCCACTACAAAAACTCCATCGCCAAAGCCAAAGCCTAAAGGCCTGAAACGTAAAGCAGTTTCATCCAGTAGCGAATCCTCAACTTCAGGCCCAGATTCGAGCTCCGAGGAGGAAGCTCCAAAGGTCAAAAAGGTGAAAACCAAAGCAAACTCGCCATCTTCAAGCGAGAGTTCAACATCGTCTTCTGAATCAGATTCATCCTCCGATGAAGCGAAAGTTGTCAAATCAAGCTCGTCCAAAAGCGAGTCATCTTCCTCCGACACAGGTTCAAGCTCAGATGAAGAGGGCTCAGATACGAAGAAAGTAGCACAGACATCGAGCTCCTCAGAAAGCGACTCATCTGAAAGCGAATCTGATTCTTCCTCTAACTCCATTGCCCAAAATATACCATTACCCGCCTCTGATTCTGATTCCTCTGATTCCTCGTCTGAATCTGACAGCGATTCCACATCCAGTAAGAAGGGGGCTTTGAACTCAGAAAGCAGTGCTACACTTTCTGACGGCGCTAAGAAATCGACAACTTCATCCTCCGGCTCGTCATCTGATTCTTCGTCGTCAAACGATTCCGATGAAGAGCCAAAATCGAAAAAGGTCGCCAAGAGCGTAGTCACAGTCACAGAACGAAAACTCTCACCGCCACTACCCCCCGACCCAATCATCAAGAAGCCTTTCAGAAAGACCAACGTCCCGTTCTCCCGAATCTCGTCGGATATCAAGGTTGATGAGCGCTTAGCTAGCAATGCATATGTACCCTATGACTATGCACAGAAGGCTCACGAGGATCTCATTGTGACCAAAGGAAAGGGTTTCACGAAGGAGAAGAACAAGAAGAAGAGGGGAAGCTACAGAGGTGGATATATTGACGTTGAAGGCAAGAAGGGGATCAAGTTTGAGGATTAGGCGCTCAAGAAGCGATGATTCGGCGATGTAAAAGTCTTTCAGAAGTGGCCAAACCGTAGCGAGGGGCGTTAAATGGTTATAGAGTGATACACCTTTATGCGTAGAAAATAAAATGGACGTTGTTTACCGCATCATGATTGCTGTGTTAGGAGCGAAACTAGGCATCTGGGGCATAATTTGAGATGAAAGCGCCACCACATGAGAGAGAAATCACCAGAGGTGAGTCTACAAGAGTGAAAATATGGAACCCTGACCTTTAGCAATCACTTGTGGTGTTCAGAAAGCCTGAGATGGACCCTCATTGCTAAGTCGAACCGCCATTTTCAACGGCACAGCCTCAACTAGCACGCAGTAACAGTCATGAACTCATGGAAGGTCGTCTGGAACAAGCGCGAAATGATCTCGGATACCGCAGGTCTGGTTTTGGCCTGGCGGCAGTTCCAAATAAGCACCGGCCCGGCCAAGCCTGCTGATCTGCCTTTGATACAGCCTTACGATTATTGTGCGGGTCGTACTTCGTGTTTTGAGATGACTTTTAGTTACAAGCCACTCGACGCCGGACTCAATGTCCTTGTGAGAAGGTATACCCTCGAGACCATTGCCGCCAAGATATCATGATCCTCATGACCGACAGAATACCTAGGTAGTACTTTCTTGCTTGCTTGCTGTCTGATGTTTGTTGTTTGTGATCACAAGCAGTAACAAGGCACGTGATCGAGCTATTTGGCAGGTACAGTACAAACGGTTGCATCTCATCTCTCATCCTCATGTTAAGGACATTCCCTTGTACAATCTCCTGTTTCTTACCACCACCCTTGTCTTTATGCGCTCCTTGTCGTTCGGTGACCTCGAACTCGAGATCTAAAATCAGGGGGCTGGCGTTGGCGTACTGTAGTTTAGCCAATCAACGTACGATCGCGAAGTGGCCGCGGGGCTTAGCATAATATCATCCCAAGGACCTCCAGGCTGCATCACGAAAGCATCACCGACTTACTTCCTCTATGACTTCTGGCCTTCACCGCAACTACCCGCCTCGGCTATCAGATTGGGCCTTAACGTAGGCCAATTTGTTCTAAACTTGAAGCTATTTTGCAAGCGCAGGCATCTGTGACCCTAGAGGAGGCTGAATGGAATGGGTGCTCTTTGCTCAATTGTTGATAAAGACGGTGGAGAGCCATCAGAAGGAAAGGCCCCATCGCAACTTCATTCTCAAACACCGCGACGACTTCATAAGATGTCTCACTTTAGCAAGCCTAGCACAAAATCGCAACAGAACTGGCGCGCAGCTATTCACAACCGAGATTTTGGAGATGAGACCGAATACACCAAAGCTTTGGAGCTGCTTCGGTCAGAGGAAAGAAGCAGGGCATTTGATTCCGAAGTCATCGCTCACGCCTCAAAAATCGAGAAAGAAGCTGCTGCTCTGGTTCTGAAAATAAGAGCTTTCGACTGGGACAATACGTACGGAACATCACATGACGCTCAGGGGGAACCTACCGGGAAGAGGACCCAGGGGGAGCATTTCCTAGGGAACGTCGATCTCATCAATAAAACAGAGTTGATGCAAGTCGCAAAACGGATGCCCAAGGGAGCACATCTTCACGTCCACTTCAATTCCTGTCTGCCAGCGAGATTCTTAATTCAGCAGGCGAGGGACATCGACGCTATGTATATTCGGAGTACACTCCCTCTGACAAATCCGGAGAACATGGCAGCATCAAGAATCTCATTTATGGTTATGACACCACATGAGGCTACTCACATCAAAGATCCAGCCGGAATTGAAAAGCATGTGCCTTTGGGCAATGTCTGGGATGAAAACTACGTTTGCAATACGTGGATGCCGTATCAAAAGTTCCAACAGAACTTCGATTTTGTCGACGAAAGCGGACAGACATTGAAAGGGACTATAGGGGCTGAATCTTGGCTGGAGAAAAAGATGCAAATATCAGAAAGCGAGGCATACGGAGTGCAGCAAACAGGTCGTGGGTAGGTCATATATTTTCTCAACCCCTAGTTGCATAGCTAACAAGAGAAGAATATGGGAAAGATTTAATTATCGGACCCAGATGATGAAAGGACTATTTGCCTATGAATCAGCCTTCCGCAACTACACTCGCGAGTGTATTAAAGATTTCGTTAGCGACAAAATCCAATATGCCGAAATCCGACCTAATTTTATGAGCAATAACTCGCTCAAGACTGACGATGGGAAGGGTTCTATTGGGAATGAAGGAATCATGAAAATCATCGATGAGGAGCTCAAGGCTACTATGCAAGAACTCCAGAAACGTGGCGAATATTTTGGGGGCATGAAAGTAATCTACTGCACTCCACGATCCTTCCAGAAGCCTCAGATACAAAGGGCTTTGGATGAATGTATAGATTTGAAAAATAAATACACAGGGTTGCTCTGTGGTAAGTCACTAGAATATTCCAATCCGAGAGCGCAAACTAACAGAGCTCAGGCTTCGATCTTGTTGGCCACGAGGAAATGGGCAATGAACTTCGGTATTTTGTCCCAGAATTCCTCGATTTCCGGAAGAAGTGCAAAGAGCAGAACCTTGACATCCCATTTCTCTTCCATTGCGGTGAAACTCTGGATGTTGGCTCGAAAGTGGACGGAAATCTGTTTGATGCTGTCCTTTTGAACGCTAAACGTATCGGTCACGGATACGCCATCGCGAGACATCCACTTATTATGGACATATTCAAGGAGAAAAATATCGCTATCGAGTGTTGCCCAATCTCAAATGAAGTACTAGGGCTTACTCCAGTTGCTGCGGGTCATCATCTTCCTATCTTGTTGGCAAATGATGTTCCTTGCACGGTTAACAGCGATAATGCCACATTCTACAGGTACGTTCGAAATGCACTGTCAATAAGCTCTTAGCTAACATAATCAGATCTTCATTATCCCATGACTTTTACCAAGTCATGATCGGCTCCGAATCCATGACTTTACTTGGCTGGAAACAGCTTGCTAAATGGAGTTTAGAGCACAGTTGTATGGATCCCGAGCAGTTGGCAAGCGTGACTGAGGAATGGACAAGGAGGTGGCAAGATTACTGCCAGTGGATTGTTGACGAGTATGGTCCTCGATTGCAAAATTGGGAACCACAGCCAGGCCGTCATTGAGACTTATTTGCGCGTGTACAATACTACAGAGATGCTAAGCTGGCCGCCCAAGTCACCACCACCCCGAAATTGAGCTGCCTGATTCCGAGCGAGGGGTAGCTTCATTGCAATGATTTGAATGACTTCGAATGTGCAGTCTGGAGTTCGGGCTCCTGAGAGGTGTCTAGATAAGTAGCAAAGCTTGCAAAAGCTCGCGGGGCGTTTGGAGACAGTGGAGTGGGTGGTGGCTGGTCACTTTGGATACATTGGATTTAACGAACATTAAGATTCAAAGATACCCCGTTTTACATGTTGGCTTAGCTGGAAATAAAGCAGGTGCCGTGGAGTTTTGAAATATTTGACAGGGCATTACATACATGAATGAATGATATACTAAGGATGCGAGTTTGTTTATAGTGCTATATTTATATATATCTTCTACAGTTGACTGCAACGTACTTTTGCCCTCTCTGATCTCTTTCTATCTAGCCATCGAGAGATCATGAAAGGGTTTGCACTGAATTTTCTAGAAATACGAAGTGAAGTATAGATACATAGACGCTACTGTACTGTAAGCAGCCCCGCCACTCAAATCATTCCCCGCAGTGCGGGAGGCCCTGGTGGCCCAACGGGTATTGTAGTGGCCGCAAAGCAGCCATGCCAGCAAACGGCTGTCCCCCAGCTTACAGTTGACAGCAATTTGCAACCATTGTTAATACTCCGTACCTAGGTACCTAGGCAGGTATCGAAACTCCCGGCTCGTTGCATCTGCGTCACAGCACAGCCTCATTGCAGATCGATATTGCTTCTTTACTACTGTAGTGCTGCGGCTGCCCGCCCCCAAAAACACAATCCTGACAGCAGGCATGAAAGCTTCGATGCTCTGCGAGGCTCAGCTCAGACATAATACTGTGTTTGCCTCTGATTTCTACTTATATGGGTCCGTGGATCAGGTGCTGTCTTCTGGTATATAAGCCAATTTCTCTCCGGCGTATTTGGTAGCCTTCCCAATCATCACTACCTGAAAATCAACGATAAGGTATACCAACAAGGCATTCTGAGGACTCGAACCTCTCTGCAGAGCCTGCACATTCAGACCTTGCCCATTGCTATCTCTTGCTCTTGTTCCTTTCATCTTTACAAGGCGCTAGACGGAGGTCGAGCTGATTCTGGCCTGGTCGACTGCTCTATCGATCTTGGTCGCAAGGCTGAAGATCTAACGACAGAGCCTACCTTCCGCGAAGCGTCGATATGGCCTCAAATTGGTTTCCCGTAGGCACAGATAATGGCAAAGGATGGAGACTGGACATTGTTTCCCTTTTGGCGGTGATTGGGGAGTCGTCGATGGAGGTAAGTAACAATATTTCAGTCCCCGCAGAACAGTGTCCTAACCTACCATACCAAAACAATACTCACAAGATGTCTAGGCACACTCCCAGGCGTAGGATTCCCAAAGCCTTGCAGTTCTTTTCGGTGGACTTTGCTGATAGAGATTCAACATCTAGCCTAACCTCTTCATGGACCTGCATTCTGCCTCGAATCATTCCCGCGCCCCAAGCCCTTCTGAAGCCTAGTCGACCCACTCGAATGCCCCAGCTTCCTTCACAAGTCGTAGGCGTGCACAATGGGACAGCGGTATGTATTTTCTCCAAACATTATATTTCCTTACTCGGACATATTCGAGAAAACAAATGTCTCGAGCGCTCCGAGACTTTAAAACCCATTCCTGAACTCCAAAGCCCTTCTCCATCAGGCAATACTAATGTCATGAACTTGCAGGTCCCCACCTTGAGTTATTTCCCGAATATCATTCATCCGATCGATGAACAACCCCCATTGTCGTTTGTGGTCTTCAAGATCACTCATAAGGTGAAAGGACCTGTGAATCCCCCTCCATCTAGCGCCAATACAAATCCTTTGAAAAAAGAATCAGCTTCGACCAGTATTGATAGGGGTGACTTGGGAGACTTGGGTGAGTTACTTTCTTGGAAAAATATCTTCTTCTTTGATTATCCTAGGAGTTGGTTTCAAGAGTCAAATACTCACGATATATTGATTCAATCCATGTGGAATATTGGACTCAATCCCAAACCCCACCGTGTCTGATAATGCTGACTCTGAGATCTTGACGTCCAGAAAACGGCCCTACCCCTAAGCGGCGATCTACTTTCAAGAAGCTCGAGCACACCTTCAGCACCAAGCCAACCTTCAGCACCACACCCCGGCCTCATATACCAACACGAACATATTCTCCTCTCAGCGTCCTCTCCGTTGTATCTTGCTTGCTGACAGTGGGACTTCTCATATGGGCCTTCCTAATACCTGATGGCACAGCTGTTTTGGCACTAGGTACCATCTCATTGGCATCTTCCATCGTTGGGTACGCGTCTTGGTGGTCTCCTCTTTTGACAAAGCGGATCTTCAAGGCTATAGTCCCCCCGGGTGATGTGGTCATTCGAACCAGGGAAGGAGCATTCATTTTGGTCAAGTGCAATGAAGACGTGGCCCGAGAGCTCTATACTGGAACCGAGGAATGCAATTACAAGGTATCGACTCAGGTCTACCGTTTTCTCGTTGGGCTGGGCACCTTTCTACTGATGGTTTCTGTGGTCCTCTTGGGCAACTGTAACTTCACCATGCAAGCCGCTATTGGTGTAAGCTATATAGTACTCAATGGTGCCTTTTGGTTAATATCCCTTTTGAACAAAGGCAAATTTTGGGACCTATCTGCCTACTTGGTTGAAAATATTACGCCGCTTGATGCGAAGAATGCAGACAAAGATTCAACCGATACTTTTGAGGGCAAGCCTAGCTTCACTCGGACGATGTGGTATGCTATTAGAGAGACGAAGAGAATTGACTGGGTCAAGAAGAGCGGTGCTGCGCCGACAACACCGCAGTGGGACAAATGGCTTAACTTGGCGGAGCAGGAAGCACGGAAGGATAATCGAAAATGGAATGCTGTTGAACAGCGGGAGAAAATTGTAGGCCAGCTGGATTCGGTCAGCAGAGACGATGCGGTGCTGGTTGATAATGCCGAACAGCATGTCCCTGCCCTTCAGGTGGACCTGCCTGCTACGAGGTAAATGTAGGTCAGGGTGTTGTTATTGATTATGATACCCATGCTAGGATCTGTCGGAGTTACATATGATGTCTTTGATTTGTATTGGCCTATCGTATTGAATTGAATATTTTGTCTGTTGAGTTGTATCTATTATTCATTAGACACCGCTAGCATTTGTGTGCAATTTATCAAAGATCATTGGAAAATAACCAGAGCACAAATGTATTGCTATGAAATACGTCGGCACCATCTTAGTTGATAGGAAGATTTCAGAGAACTGTTCTGTTAGAAGTCCTCATTTGCAGATGCAAGCTGAGTTTGAGATTCGAAAAAGTTTCACCATAAACCAGAATCTCGAAGGTTACAGATCAAGTCTCATATAAGAGGTGAGTTCTATTGTGTCTGTCTTGCAAAGAGTAGCTCCAACCTATACGCGATCTCTTTCAAGTCCCGCAGTGCTATCTTGAAAGCTGAGGTGTAACACATGAAGCTGTTATCTCTTGAGAGCTCTATTCAGTGTCTTGATCAGAATGATATCGCTCAGCCTTCTTTCTTGCCTGTTGCTCCTGCTGGAATTTTGTCATAACTTCTGGCCGGCCCATGAAGGAGAAATACCAGGTGTTTCGCGTATGGCTCAACCTACACCTCGAACCCCAAATGCGCAAACGATTGTGCAGCCAGTAATCAGTGTCAGAGTCTCCTGTCTTTGGCTGCGAGATATCCATGCAGTCGAGACACAAACCCTCCCAGTAACTCATAAGGTCACTCCTCGTCTTCCTGATATTCGCTCCGCTAAGCTGGTTTTGGCAGAGATAGCATGCGCCTTTTGGAATCGAGCATTTCCAGTGGAGAAAGCCGATGCTGTCAGTCACATCCTTGTTCGACTTGTGGTGCTGGTGTTGGAGTGGCCAGATTTCCGTTCTCTTGACGCCTTCGAGATACGCTGCGATGCACTTCTCGTGCACATCGCATTTGAGACGGCAGAAATCGTTGAGTGGTTCGAAGAGACCAGCGATGATCTTGCCTCTCATGCTTCCCCGTACAGCATTCAGTTGTTCTGATACCCACAAGTCAATTTATGATGTCCTTAAAGCTGAGACTTCCCCGGGACTGGGAAAAGGAAACAAGAATACGTACGGATAACCCGTCCTTCGCAACGAAGATGACGAAAGCGTGTGGGATTGAGCTCCTCAATGTGAATCGCTACCTCGTTAGCCAGTCGCTTCGTAACATACGCAAAAGCGCCAGCATGTTCGAGCGCCTGACACGGAAACAACAGCGCCCTCAAATCATCCGTCTCGAGACTCTTCTTGTCCAACTTCGTCCAATACGTCTCGAACCACGCATTCAGCTTCTCCAGATGGAACAGATACTTGCGGCTCAACTCGATCGCGTGCCAGATCTGCTCGACGGGTATGAGGTACGAGTCTTCAACCAAGGTGCCGTGGAAGACACGCAGCCAGAGCTCCATGCTTGCAACACTGTCGTCTTTGAGCGTGACTTCGTTGCTGTTGGCTTCTTGGAAACTGCCGTTCAGAAGCCGCTTCCAGTAATCGTTGCCGGCGACGTCGAGCAGGGTCTGGCGGGAGACTTTGAAGCATGCTGTGCGGAGTGGTGGGTGTCCGCCATTGGCGTTGTATGTTGCGTAGTCGTATTCTACGATGTTGAGGATGAGATCGCCGGCGGGGTCGATCTCTTCGAACGATTGGGTCTGTGGGATGTTAGAAGGTTTGATGGAGTGGTAGGGGGCGAACTTACCTGGAAGCTAGCCATTGTTCGTTGCGTCGTGTCAGAATGAAGCAAGCTTGTGGTTGTTTATTTTTGCACTTGAAGTTGAAAAGAAAAAGAGGTGAAGAAGATTGAGTGAATTTTGGTTCCCTTATTAGGACACTTTTTCCCTCTACGGAGAGTCCGTCTCGGGTAGAAAGACATGATAATGGCTAATGGAAAATTGTACCTTCGTTTATTATGTTCGGACTTGCTTCGTGTGAATCAACCACGCTATCACTTCAAGAATGCAGGTGTTTTAGATACTGCTAGGCAGTCTAAGTTTAGCCAAGCTAAAGGAAAGGCGTAATGTTTTCTAATTCTCAAAAAAAAAAAAAAAGTTTTCAATGTCCTGTATATTTGAGACTTTGAGATGGTGATTATAAATGATTGGAAAGAAGGAGACAAGATCGACTTGTTTTATGCTTCTTATAGACTTTACATGAAATCAGTATACGATTTGTTTAAAGTCGGCCGTGACGTGGTCCATCTTCTATTCAACATACCAGTGTTTCGTTTGTCACCATGGTCTCCCCCTTTGATGTGTTCCGGTTCATTCGTGAAGCTAATGGATTCATGAATCTGACTAGTTTGTTCGTGAATGCGCTAAGATTCATGCATGAACTAGTTTATATGTGAATCTCAGCGCGTTCCGTATGAATGAACTAGGATATTCATGAATCCATTAGCTTCACGAATGAACCGGAACAGATGTCGCTTACACCGACCACTTTGCCTCCCCATCTTACTATTCGCTTTTAACATTAAGTTGCTTCTAACAGCCTGCACCTCGCAGGCCTCATATAGGTATGTAGGCTGTACTAGCGTGGCACTAAGGGCCCTGTGAGTGAGCCTGAAAATATTATAGAGGCCAGAATATTATCGACTTGGCACAGACACTTATTACTGACTGTAAAGACGAGCAGAGGCAACATATATTCCGTTCAATCATCTTCTAACGAGTCCCTTTCATGTTCAACAAAATTATTCCATGCCCGTTCCCTTCGCCAAAACACCGTCCCAAGTCATACATTCATGATTACCAAGCAGCGGCATCTCTATCAAACCTTACTAACTCTTTCCCCGCATCTTCCACATCTTTCTTTGCCTTCATCCGCATATAGAAAATCGGACAGTCCTTACTGCTGCAGATAACTTCACAATGCATACTTCCCTGACACCTCTGACACTGCGTCCACAGCCTGCTGAATCTGACTTCCAGATCCGAGACTTTATTCAAGGTTTTGGTATACAGCTCACCAATTCGAGGAGCACAGTTCGAGCATACGGCTCCACCAGTCTCATCTTTGCCTACGAGAGGCTTTTTGCAGCCCATGCATGTGAAGGTCTTCTTCGTGAACTTCATCAGGCCACCGATACTGGGCGCGGCGACAGAGATGGAACGCGTATGGTCACCAGCTAACAGCGAGTTGGCTTTTGTCTCCCCGAGGATGGGCTCGAAGATTCTGCCCAAGGGTTTCGAGAGTTGATTGTCGAGGTAATATTTCGTGTCTATCGGTATATTGTTTTCAAGGACGAAAATTGGATCTTCCGAACGTTCGAAGTTCTTGGCGCCTGCAGAACCTTTAACGATCACATATGCTACTCGATCGCCAAGAGTTGGCGCCGAGCCGGCATCACGCTTCCTCATCCTTTCAGCAAGCTCAACATGGGCTTGCTTCGCGGTGTAATCTGCCTTGGCGAGAGCCTTGGTGATGACCAATTTGGACATATCGATCTTGTTCTGAAGAAGGTCCGAGATGGTGTCTTTGACATAGCTATGCAATATTAGTGGGTTTCGTTGAAGGATGGGGTAAAGCTTACTCTTGAGCACCTTGCACATCTCGATCCATCAATATCATCCTCAGAACAGTCTCAATGACGTTCTGCACCAACCGACAATTGTCTCTTCGAACTGTTTCAATACCTTTAGTGTCCATTTTGTCGTACTTATCAGGGTTTGTCCAATACAGTCCAGCGTATCGCTTCTTGTTAATCAGAAGGTACGGGAAATAGACCTTTTCGAATTCCAGCTTGATAGGTTTGATGAATTTCGAGGATACATATGCCGCCGCTTCTTCACCCAATTTCATAGCTTCTGCCAGATCTTTGACGCCAAACTTTACCATGACAGAATCAGTATCACCATAGATGACCTGTGCATCATGGGAATAGCCATTTGCAATCGTGTACTTCGCTTGGACTTCCTCTTTGGTCTTCTCAATCATCTGTCGGCCATAACTTGTGGTACTACTGGCGATGGGTAAGCAGGGAAGCTTTCCCACGGTCGCACCAGTTAGACCGTAGACACTGTTGGCGCTGATCTTCAATGCGAGTTGTCGCCCATTCAGCACGGCTTTTTTGAATGGATCAGTCTCCTTTGCAAGTTCCCGCTTAGCCTGCTTTCTGGCAGTGAGCAATTCATCAAGAATTTGCGACAAAAGACCTTTGCGTTGCTTAACAGTACAGAACATGTCTCCATTTGGCGTGACGATGTAATCTTCATCCTTCACCAAATTTAAAGCGTTGATTGTTTGTTTCTTAAGAAGGGTTGTGTAGCATAGGTTATGAGCTTGGATGATACTAGGGTATAGAGAAGCGAAATCAAGTGTAGCAATGGGCACATTGTAGTATCCTCTCGTAGGTTCAATGACCGTAGCACCTTCATACTGTTCGTCGGAAGGGTCTGTTCTTAGATTTGGAATGACCAACTTCTGCTCAAGCGCTTTTCGGAACAATTGGCTAACGAACTTGACTTGTTGACCACGAGCGAGAAGATAGTTGAATGGGACACCTGTGACTCTTGCCATTTCCGTATAGTTTTCGAGGCAAGACAGTTTGTCCATCAATCGTTGAGGCAGGTAGGCGTCTTTCAAACAGTAAACTGCCAATCTTCGCCGAGACTCTGGAGTTCCATTGAAAAGCTCGGTAATCATAGTGTGGTGCACATCTTCCTTCTGCTCACCAAGAAATTGTGCACAAACGGAATTGAGGGTATAACTTCGTAACTGGTGATCTCGTTGGACTAGTTGCAGCAGATCCAACTGTAACCGACCGTTCGTATTCGTTGCCTTGGTATCCCGATTACCCATCTGCTTGCTGCTGAGATTTGTCTCTTTGGATACAGATCTAACATTGGGTAGGCGAGTCCAAATATCAAACTGCTTTTGCTTGAGATGCTTTGCCCTGTCGAGTAGATACGGAAAATCGAAATTGCAGATATTGTAACCAATTATGATATCCGGATCTACTTCTTCCATGAAATCCCTCCATTTCATGAGCATGTTTTCTTCGCGCTCAAACTCGAAAACCTGCGTGTTGACGATTTTACTTGTTGTGTCAAGACAGAAAACATTGCGTACAAATGGCTTTTTTTCTCCGTACCTCGTCACGATGTTCGCGATTTGGATGACTGGGTCTTGGTTAGGTTCGGGGAAAACTCCTTTACGGCCAGCGCACTCTATGTCGAAGGAGAGTATTCGAAGTGGTGCCATCTTGGCCCATTCTCCCTCAGGCTTATGCGCTATCAGATCACGGTATGAGACCTCGGCTTCGATTTGGCAATTCGAGTGTCGAAGGTGTGGATCAATCATTTTGTATTGTTTGGGGGGAACTTCAACCCATGACATGCCGAATATCTGTTGAAATTAGCCAAGGTCACATATCTATGTTGCTGAGGAGAGTCACCTTGCAATCGATCATGACCCGAAGAACATATTGGATCATGTCGAAAGTTTCAACACGACCCTTTAGGTCGACCTGCCACATTCCCTTCCAATTGGCTCTACCCTCCTCAATCGTCCCACGGACTTTACTTATGAATTTTGGGTCCGTTACAGTTATTTTTATATATGGGTTTTGCTGGTTCCCGCTGAAATGGTAAAGATTCTCACGAAGAACTATCCGGATGGAATGAATTGCAGGCTGATGTTGCGCCACTTGTGACTCGAGGTAGATCTTGAAACCGTCACAGTCATGAGGACTGAATGATATCGGGGCCGGAATGTAGAGGTAGTGAAGAAAGTCTGTGACATGGAGCATTACAGAATGGCCGGTCTACAAAATCATGTTAGTATTGTGGCAACATCACTAGAAGCGTAACTCACCTCTGTAACACCGAACAATTTGACAGCAGCTCTTCCATGTAGTGTGCCCTCCTCTGCTTCAATTTGCTGGAAGCATAGCTTGTCGACACTGGGGTTGAAATCCGCCAGACTAGGTCGTGCCCATTGCTGATCCTTTTCCGAATTGTTTTTCTTCAGGCCAGCCATGTCCTGTGTCATCTTTTCCAGCACTTCGGATTCGAAGTGACTGGGCTGGCTAGAGCCCGGTTTGCCCTTTGGCCCATTCTGAGAGCTCTTGAATCTAACGGCTGGGGAAGAGACAGGTTCGAGTTTCCTCTTTTTGGCGGATGCGGGTGTCCCAGGGATGTTGCGTCGTGTATTTGTGGCTTCACCTAGAATTCGTTTCTGGGGAAGTTGGGAGGGCGCCATGGTGGTCATCAGGCAGCTTGAGTTGCAGAGTTGGGAGACTTTTGACCGATTCTGAATGTTCTAAACACTCGTAGGTCTGGCGAAGCGGGTTTGAAGGGTCTCGCGTTAATGACGCGAGAACGCGATACGCGATTAATTACAGGATCACATGATATATGCTTATATAGGCAAAGGTGATTTCAATATCTCCCAGCATGCAACTGCAACTTCCTCTATCGATTCATAGCAAATGAATGCATTGCAAACATTAATGTGTCAACTCATCGCCCCAAGTTGCCCCTCATTCCCCAAAGCAGAATAACAAGCTGGGAGCTCCACTTTACACCAGGATTCTATGCGCGCCGAATCTTCTGCGTTAAAGAACACACAATCAACTTAAAGTTTATACTTGCATAGCCAAAAAGTGTAACACTGACCGCAATCATTATGCGTGAGGTTTAGTTAAAGTTGGCCTGATAGGAAAGACCGCGAGTCTTTATTGCTTCCTATTCGTGATAATAATATGAAATCGATAAAGCGCGAATTAAAAGAGTCTACATGAGCTTACCTGTTTTCTCTCTCGATACCATTTTCCTCTGCAATATCTTTACTTTCAAGTGCGACATATTCTCAAAAAAGCCTTTTGAGAAAGTCAGATTCTCAATACACCTACGGCGCTTCGACAACGCGCTGTGAGGCTTAGAGAAATATCAGTGTTTCATTAACCCTCAGGTTCCTTTATGGCCACTCGTCAATAACAGCAGCCCTTCTTCATTGATACATCAACCATAGTTAGCGTACTACCTAGTAGTTGATGTACAACCAAAAGTCTTTATGATACGTGGATATAGTATTGTACAGCCCTGCTGAATAAGTAGTTAAGAGATATACCGAAATAGTATACATGAAATGTTCGGTCTACCGGTCATGAAGCTCCTATAATTGTACAGATGACGCGTATCGGGATTTTGCATTTCTTTTTTTGCCATTCTTTAATTACTTTTTGCATATTGTTTTACCACTCTCCTATCGTCAATTCTTTGGCTCGCTCCGCCCCAAAAGCATCTAGCATAATAGACCTGCTGACCAGATCTTGAGGAATGTTTCCTGGTATTGGTTTGGTCATTTAAAGCGACGCATATCACTCTGCTTTCAACCTTTTCCCTCCAGCTTTGTCTGGAGTCTTTGATGAACATTTATTCTATTGTCGACCTTCTTGTACAGCCTATCTGTTTCTCTTCTTGCTGTATAGCTGATTATAACTTGAGTCTATTGTCGTGTCGGATGGAAGAGCGCGAGTTAGGAGACACAGGTAAGGTATGGAGGGTTGTTACTTGGCCAAGAGTTAGCGGACTACCTTTATAAAATAAACCATGGTGAGCGATTAGCTTATACTCTTGTATGGCTCGGAAGCCTGAGGTTATCAGTATGGCTCCTGCGCAATATTTTCATATAGGTTATTACTTATAACTCAGGTCACGCCGGTGGGAGATAGTGCATGATACTCCGTACATGCTATGAGACACGAATAGTGATTGGTTGGTGAACAGGGCTACCGGAGACAATAAAGGGGTTGGCTAACACTGCTGGGGGCTCAGGGCTGACGTATGGACCCCACTGGACAGGGGGCCGGACTGAAAAAACATGCGAGTCGATCCACTGAAGATCCACCAGTCCCCCCCGGAGCTTGGCAGAGCACAGCCTAATTTCTCACCCACCAACTCCAAGTACCGTGACCGTGCCGTGCATCAAAGGTCCTGAAGGATTGAAACTAATTTGTAAACAATACAATAAGTCCAAGACAGCAGAGCCTCGAGAAACCAAGATCTGTTATTATTGAAGCTGTATATTGTTCTTGGTTGATTTTATTCTTGTGATTCATTCTGCGTCGTCTGTCACGACTCGACACGTAAATCTCGGCTGAAACCTGTACCTGAAAATAGACCCAAACCAAATCACGAAGCCTCTCAAAGCCAGAGCCAGCCTCAACTCGGCAGTGCCCAGGCCAAACTCCACCACAGCCCAAAGCTATTACGACGCTGTCACCGTATTCGAGCCTCTCGAGAAGATTCGTTCGTTAATCCGAAGCTCGACACTACATATTGAAAGCGCTCCCAATACGCTTTTCACTCCCTTTCTGCTGTTACGACTCCGTGAATCACCGCCCGGATATCTCAGACTTGTTTATTTAGGGAGGAGCATCAGATTAAATCAACAACGCCATCATCATTATGGCAGCCAACGACTACTATAATCCTTCTTTACACCACGAGGATAGGCATACGCCTCAACCTCAGTACCAGAACTACAATTCCCCACAAGCACCACCCTCGACATCTCTACCTCCATATACATCGCAACCTCCATCACGACCGCAAACCGCGAGACCACCAGAGATATCACCAGTGTCACCTTTCGAGGCACCCTTCGACGACCATGTATACCCTATGGGTGGAACGGCACAGCGGTACGGCAACGACAGTCAGAGTACATTAGGGGCAGATTCAAGATACTATGGGCAAGGAGGCGGAGGGCATATGGATTCGACGAATTCATTTAGAGACGATATCCCACTACGAGACCACACAGCTCTTCCCGCGCAAGGTGCCAGTACAGACCATGTCTACGACGCAGGAGATCCGGGAGCGCCTAGTCATTTAAATAACCAAAATTCGAACCAATACAACCAACAATACCCCGTTGAGGAAGGAAGAGCGAATCGAAAGAGTGGTTTGAATTTCCTGAAGAAGAAAGGAAGAATTCCGTTCGTTGTCTACACATTTACACTCGTTCAAGTTATCGTTTTCATTGTAGAGATTGTGAAGAATGGTATGTTTCTCGAGAAGGCTATCGAAGGCTTATAGTACTAACCTCCATTAGCTCAACTTACAGGATCACCCATCGAAATCCACCCCTCTTTCAACCCTATGATCGGACCATCGCCTTTTGTTTTAATCAATATGGGAGCTCGGTATATGCCTTGTATGCACAATGTTCACGGAGTGCAGGACGCTTCCGAATCCTTCACATGGCCCTGCCCTAATTCGACAACGAATAGTGGTGACTGTTCCCTGAGTCAACTTTGTGGATTTAGTGGCGTGCCCGAACCCAATTATTCGTCTGGATCTTTCAATCAAAAGCCAGAGCCTGATCAATGGTTCCGTTTCATAATCCCTATGTTCATGCACGCCGGAATCATCCATATCGGCTTCAACATGTTGTTGCAAATGACGCTAGGTCGAGAGATAGAAATTCTCATTGGGCCGATTAGATTCTTCTTGGTCTACGTCGCAAGTGGTATATTCGGGTTCGTCTTGGGTGGTAATTTTGCAGCTCCTGGAATTGCGTCGACTGGTGCTTCGGGCGCTTTGTTTGGTATCCTGGCCCTAACGCTTCTGGATCTTCTTTACAATTGGAGTGACCGAAAATCTCCATGGGTGGATCTTGCGTTCATCTTGCTTGACGTTGTTATATCATTTGTGCTAGGTCTATTGCCTGGTCTCGACAATTTCTCCCATATCGGTGGATTTTTAATGGGCCTGGTGCTCGGAGTTTGCCTTCTACGTTCTCCTGCGTCTTTACAAAAACGGATTGGCCAGGACCCTCCATATACACCTGTGAACCAGTCGAAGGCAGATGGCGATCGAGATAATACAGGAGTTGTCGGGTTTGCAAAGGCACCGATGGGATTCTTCAAGGGCCGGAAGCCGGCATGGTGGGCTTGGTGGCTTGTTCGAGTTGCGATGTTGGTTTTCGTGCTTGTCGTCTTTATTCTCTTGCTCAATAACTTCTACATCTACAAGAAGACATGTGGATGGTGCAAGTACTTGAGTTGCTTGGTAAGTTATTTCCGCCCCATGTAAGACCATCTGCTAATGATATTAGCCTATAAAAAATTGGTGCGATGTTGGCAACATTTCGTTGACGACCTCGAATACTACGAGTAAGCGGAGTGTTTTTGATACTTGGGAAGCCATGGCGAAGTTATATGAAGCGTAATGAAGCGTAATGAAGACTTTTGATGTGTGGTTATAGACTAGGTGACGGCTTGAGACAGAAGGATTTTAAGGGCTGCATAGCGATGGAGTCAAAATGCACTTTGAACAGGAATACTAAATGGTAGTTATCTATAGACACCAAATATACCAATTTAATTTAATCCAATCTCGATCTATGAGAATGCTTGGAAGTTATATATTCCAATACTTGCGAGTGTATTTGTGCTGTAGTGCAGGCACTTTCTAGTCTCCAACCAACATAACTTTCATTTATAATACACCGCCAAAGGTCGAATATCCATGCATAAATTTCTTTAATCACGAAGTCCAGCAACTTTTAATTCAATTTTCATAGGTCAATGCATGTTTCATAATTGACCTCAGCCTTCTTTGTAAAACTCCCCAGCCTCGCGCTAACGAGCGCATCTTTGAAATAATTTTCTTACATCCAATCCAGCCTCTTGCTATGCGCAACCCAGCTTTCTTCAAGAAACCGAAGGCAAATTTCTGCCTCCAATTCCCGCAACATTAGTTCAAGATGGGAAAAGGCAAAGGAAAAGCCGTCAAGCGCGCCGAAAAAACAGCCGTCAAAACCGCGAAAAAAGACGCAAAACGCGCAGCTCGAGGTTCGTCCTTTCTCCCTGTTCAAAGCTTTCCCCTCTAACCAAAATTACGAATAGAATCGACAGCCCTTACAGGAATCACGAAACCTACACCCAAAGGCCCTTCTCTCAAAGCCATCAAAAAGCGCGCACTCAAAGAGAAGAATACAAACGCTCCAGGCCCAGCATCCTTTCCCATTCCCACCGGACACCCCAAACCATTCACCAAGTCCCCACAACATGCCAAATGGCCTGCGCTATTCAAGAAGAGTTTAGGTGTTACGGAGGCGCATATCAGGAAGTTGGATCGGGTTATGCAGAGTATGAAGTCCGAGATGGTGGAGATGGGGGAGCAGGAGAGGTTAGAGTGGGAGTTGGGGGCGAGGGGAAATTGGAGGCGGATTTGTGGAATGATGGATCGCGCGAGAGAGATTCTGGCGCAGGAGAGGGAGGCGGCGAAGGGGATTCTGCCTGCGAAATACCTACGTGACAAGAAGGGCTTGGGTGTTGCAGGCACGAATTTCGAGCCCTTGGGTCCCAAGCTTGCGGAGAGGGCGGAGGCGTTGGGATTCAATGACCAGGAGCCTGAACAGAACGGCGCGAAGATCGATAGTGAGGGGGATAGTGAGATGGAGGATGTCTCGAGCTCAAGCAGCGACAGCGACAGCGACAGCGATAGCGATAGCGAAGACTCGGATCTGTCTGTGGATAGCAGCGACTTGGACTCAAGTTCAGACAGCGAGGTGGAAAACGAGAATCAGGAGCCTGTGAATAACGGCAGGAAAACTTCCATTTCGGACAAGGAAGAAGAGACCACGACCGAGAAAAAGGCTGTTCCTGTTGTGGAACCGAACCCATACTTCGTTGTTGACACGGAACCTATGCCTTTGAAAGGCCTGGAGAAGCCCTCACTATCAACCTTGAAGAAAAGCAAGAAGCGATCGGAGGAGGGTGGGGTTGGCGAGACCAAAAAGAGCAAGAAGGCCAAAAAGGAGAAAGTTGTCGAAGAAACTGTTCGGTCGGAGCCAGAACTTAAAGCCGAAGAGCCAGCAGCCCAGAACGGCGAGAAGCGCAAGAAGCGAAGTAGAGACGAGGACGCCGAAGCCAAGAAGAGCAAGAAGTCTAAGAATGAAGCGGTCGTCACATCTGAGTCGGAACCAGCTACAGAGCCACCGAAGAAGTCCAAAAAACGCTCACACCCAGACGCCGATACCGATTCCAAGAAATCCAAGAAACACAAATCCACCACCGTCGTAGAAGTCACCGAGCAGGAAGCACCGGCCTCCAATGTTGATTTCGCTGAAGTCCAAAGGAAGCTTCAAGCAGAAGTCGACGCAGGAATTGCAGCCAAAGAAGCTGAATTGGCAGCTGAGAAGGCGAAGAAGAAGCGGAGACGGAGTAGTGGAGAGGGTGGTGATGAGAGTGTGAAGAAGGTTCGGAAGGGAAAGAGTACATAATACCATGAGCTTTATAAGGGCGGAGTACGTACGATATTGCATTGTTGGTGTCTAAAATAAATACAAATAGTCTATACAATTCCTTGTCTACCAGTTCTCAGTTGTGATATTAAGTCCCAGGGAGCTTTCAGAAAACATGCGCTAAATCTCCCGAACATTTAAAAGGGGCTCGCTTAAAACTCCCAGGAAGATTAGAACGATCCAAGGAAAAGCTGAAGCGTCTATCTTCTTTCATGTTTCGAGAGCGTACGTACGTATGATATTGTGTGAGACTACTTGTAGATCGTTGAAAATCCAAGCATAGCTCTATCTCTTACGGCGCTGTCCTGGGATTCAGCTCAAAGCATCGAAGAAAGAGCGAGGTGCTAACATTTAGGCAAACAATCAAAAAGACGCTTCGACGGGAGGGGCATTAAAGGTAGTATGAAGCTGGGCTGTTAATAGTTATTATTTGCAGTCCATGAGATATGACCAATTTTTACAACATAATAAATACAAGGGCGGACAAAACTAGTGCCTATAACTCCTTGCCTAAGTCAAGCATAGCTTGATGATTTGCAGACTAGAGTCTCCTTAGTATGCCAATATATACAATACTTCGAACAATACTTCCTTCCCCCTCCCAACCTAACAACTGACTATGCCACTCCGAATGAGTAGAGTTTAGTGAGTAGCTGATCCAGCATTGCTAAACGCTGCCGCTCGTGGTTGTCTTCGTGGGTCTTCAGCCGTCCGTCTCGTTGCTTTTCTTACAAGTTCCATTATACAAAGTCATAGAGTGTCCCATATACTCTTGTCATCGTTTCCCATCTTTCTTCTCTTCGTCGATATTCTCATCCTCATCAGCATCCGATGTCTTCTTCCTCCAATTCCACACCTCCCAAACCTGATCCATAATCAGATCCCCATAGCCTCGCCCCTCCTCAGCCGCTTCTTTCTCTCTCTTATCCCGCTCCACCTTCCACTGCGCCCTTCCAGCCTCGTCTTGTGTCCTCCTTAATTCCTCCAACACACTACTTTTACCCCCTTCAATATTCATATTTATCTTCCCCACTAATGCCTCTCTATCCTGATCCATCTGCTTCTGTTGGAACTTCTGCCTTTCCTCCTTCTTCCTTAACGAGTTCTCCTTCAGCTGCTCAGCGGCTTCATGTACTCGTACGACAAGACTGCGCCCCGTGTAATCTTGTGCCAGCTGGTTGCCGCCGAGGAGAGTGGTGGAAAGGAGGGTAAATGTGTAGAAGTCTAGTTTTCGTGGTGGGAGGAGGATGAGCGCGGGGCAGATGATAACAGTTGCTATGGCGAGGTTATGGTTGAGCTTTGCGTAGTCGATAGACGACGGAGGCTGTGGTGTTGTAGTTGACATTTTGCTGTTTCATAGGGGATGTGGTGGCTCCAGGAAGAAGCTTGAGATTTGTTATTATCGGACCATCTTATTGAAATTCGAATTCGTCAGTCATTGCAGCGAGAGATATTGGAGCTTGACTTTTGAAATTATTTTGAGGCCAATGTTAATCAATGACAGATTGATGGAACAATGATGATCCGGTCCGGCTGGTTTGCATCAAGCCCCGCCCCGCTATATACGCTAGTTACGTGCACCTCCTAGGCATATATAGAAACTATCTAATATAAGTATAGATAGATCTTTATTCGGTGAATATCTATTAGAAGAAAGTTATATACATTGAAAAATTGTTAAAGTTTAATACATTTCTAAAAAGATAATCTAATTAGTAGGATCGTAGCGACGTATACTTTTTAACTATCCAATAGGTTTAGATAACGACATTTAACAACAAAATCTCTAAAATTTGTCAGCGTGCCAGAGTGGTTAATGGGTATGACTCGAATATTCTCTTATCCAGAAGATAGATATCATATGACTTCGGTCGCGTAGGTTCAAATCCTGCCGCTGACGTGCAAAGTATAATTTTTGTCTTTTACCCTTTTTTGAACCTTTAATTAGATTAAAAATCATCAGGGCGTTGGATTTCGTTTTGGAACTTCTAATAAATGTAATTCTATTTCTTTTTAGGAGCGATTGCGGCTTCGTCCTTTTTTTTTTTTTTTTTTTTTGATTATTCTAGAACAATTCCGGCTAGAGCTCTTTGTCACATTACTGTCTTTGTGCAGTCAGCGGACGCCGCTTGAGGAAACATCGCCAGCGTTGTTGACCTTGATTCATTTTACAATTCCGACAAAAAAAAGAACACCTAAAATAACATGAAAGTAACGAGAGGTTAGACTGAAGCTGGGAGATCCTAGTTTTTTTGAGGTTCTTCGGAGATTCAATAGAGCAAATCGATCATAGATAAGTTCAATATGCAACAAATGATAGAGAATCGCGGTCACATACAATAGAGTTCGAAATCGGCTTCAGTTTGGAACACTGAAAGATTTTTATTCTGGACCCACATTTTGTGCACATTAGCCTTGTATAGCTAGTGCTATCGAGCATACCTGCCTTCGTTCATCTCTCAAATGCACGTGGTTCAACCCAGAATTGTTTCGGAGATTGCTGGTCATTGGCGTTATTCCTGCTGCATCACGTAAGAGTCATGATGTTGTGCCTGAGTATTGATTTAGACCCGGCTGGAGGGACTACAAGAACATTCCTTTTATTCTCAGTTCAAGTCCTGGCAATGTACTATTTCATAGACACAAGAATTACTTCATGCCTTCACTGAACGCAACCAAAGGAAATCTAGCAAGTCTTCATCAAACAAAAAAGGCCATCCCAAACATCACTAGTCAAGAAATAAAGGAAAATTAAAGGAAAATGAAAATTGGGGAGACAGTAGAATAACTCGATCAGGGCTCCAATCTCCCATGTACTACCCTCAAATGCCTTTTCAAATTATCTTTCCTCCCAAAACCCTCACTTGAATACTTACACCTGTGTCTCGGACAGAAGTATCGTTCTATAGGAAGAACTCCAGGGTGGTGTGCCAGAACGTGACGTTGCATGTCTCTGTTTTCTGCGAAGTGTTCCTTGCATACAGAGGACAGACATGCAATGCTTTTATTATGGATTTTCTGATGGCGTCTGGGAAATCTTTAGTGTCTTTCAAAGTAGTATACGATGTAGACTTACTTGAGTCCTTGGGGGTTGGAAAATAATCGATGAGGTTGGCAGATGGTGCAGATATGAGTCTTTGGCGGAGGTAAGGAGGTAAATGAAGATAATGGTTGAATATCCGGGGTTTGGAGTTGAACGAACGGTGACTGGCAGTTCGATGTAGATGAGGCAGGGGCAAGTGATGAACCGGGCGAGAGTGAATCGGAAAGTAATGGAAAGATCTGTGAGGGAGACAAACTCATTGGTGGTATATCAGTCTGCTGTGTGTTTTCTGGCAGGAAGCTGTCCTTCAAGTTAATATTCAGGTTGGTCGAGATCTGATTTGGCCAGAATTCCCTGCTCGTCGTTGATATATCTCCTTGATGAAAGTCACCGAGTAGCTGTTGTTCCATCAATTCGAATCCAATATCTCCTTGATGAAAGTCACCGAGTAGTTGTTGTTCCGTCAAGTCGAATCCAATATCATCACTGTCTACAAAATCAAGATCACTCCAGTCAATGTGACTTGTGTCCCAATATCTAGAATAATTCGTGTAAGATTGGGCGGACTCTTCGTCGAGTTCAAATCCAAGGTCGGCAAAAAACAGGTTGTTTTGAATATTGAACATGGCTTCTGCCATGATGAATGGGAGGTTTCTTTGGTTATATTTTTGGTTGTCTTCGGCAATGGCAAATTTTGGGGGCGAGATGCGTGGAGAAGCTTGGTAGATGTTTGCGTGTAAGAGTTTTGATGGAATCTCCAAGCTCAGTAAGTTTAACGACGATTACTGAGGTCAGGGTCACAGCTGTGCTGCATTAAGGTCCGTAGTCTGCGTCCCTTGGTTTCGGATGGGGAGGCGGCCATGCTTTCTTCCCATAACCAGTGTCGCTGGTGCCAGTTCCAGAAGGAGGCAGCTCCAAAAAGGACTGGGTGATGATAGGGGAGTCCATTATGGTCTACAGACTACGCCAGGTTGAGATTAAAATTCGAAGTGATGTGGATGATGAAGAATAATGGAAGCCCTGGGGTAGCCGACCATTAAGTACAGCATTCACAACGAGGCTCGGGAGGCCCCCGAAAATGCCTTCGCATAGCAGGTGATTCAAACCCAATCGCTTGTCTAAATTTAGCGAGAGGCCCCTCAAACTATCACTCGACAGGGCTGCACCTGGTGCACCTTTCTTGAAGTGGGGGGGCCTCTCAATTTTGGGGTAACACAAGTTTGTCAGCCCATCCTCGCACTTTGGTTATGTTGGGCTGAGCCCAGAACTGGATTTATATTCGAATATCAGTTCGATGGGAATATATATAATTAAACCTAAAATAATCTAAATCCAATTATAATTATATTGTGATTATCTGTTGGGACATATATTACGTGTGCCACGTGACCATTAGTCTGATGACTAGGCAGCGACGATACTTTTCACTTTGTTGCTGCAACCTTAGCTAGAACCTCTTCTACACCTAGAAATGCAACCATGTAACCACTAATAAAGTCGATCGAGAAGTATGTAAACCTAGGCCGACCTAGTGCACTATGTGTATACCAACATTATCAATTGTTTTTATTTCTTTTTTCTAAATAAGTGATTATATATAAATCTAAGACCTTTATATAAAACTATTATTGGTTTTGTCTCAAGATCTTAATCACAATTCTCCTATCATACGAAATAATATCTTGATCCCAAACGAGTGAATAGTATTATGGAGGGAATAAGTAGAGGCGAGTTCCCTATAGCACTGTAAACTCGTGTCACCCGACAAAGAAAGAAAGAAAGAAAGAAAGAAGAAAGCAACACCATATTAAAATATCTATTATCATTGTAAATTGCCGGGAGGACCACACTTGTATCGTAAATGTATATGAAGGTGATGAGGAGTCTCAACCCCAACTATCTAGTATAAATAGCTCTAGTCGGAAAAGAGTTTCTCCGAGGTGCAAAATAATCTTGCCATAGTATGGGATGTGCCAGCATCCCAACATAAGAATACTGTTATTTCTGAGTGCTACAAATCAGGTTTTCCCAACAAGTGTTCACAGAGGGCATTTAGTATCAATAGTCTTTGTGGGTATCATTTGGTAACGGGCTAGTAGGCTTTTGATAAGCGAAATCTATGTTCTTTTTACAACGTACGTCGCGTCGTCTTTGTTCTAGGCGTAATAAAGCCGACGTGAAGGGGGTGATTCTTCTAGTTATACCTAGGTACCTATAGGTATGTAGTTATTAGGAGGCTTTGATGGAGTCGTATATCTTTCTGATGAATAATTCTCCTCCACCCCATTTTCATTTCTATTCAAATATACTCTCTACGTCCTATGTTAAAAGACATTTGTATATATCAGTCAATTTTCATGCATTACATTAGCTACATCTCGTTCCTACCGTATTATATGCTGAGTATCTAGTAGTGATTAGATTCCAAATGTAGCATAAGATGGCTCACGCCTAATTCTTGTTCTAATAGTTTATTAGTATAATCTATTATCTTTCAAACATATAACAACCCCGCGAATATATAGAGGTTTTTAGTTCTTTATTTTGAACCCACTGCATATACACTAGTATTCTTCTCATCTTTAAATCCGGAAAACAACATATAACCATTACCCTAGGCAACCTTCATTCTGTGTACCATTGAGTCGTACGGATTGATTCTCCGATCAGCAGCCATTGTAGTATGGGTTCACTTGTCTTCCTTTAAATTCGTCATTTATGTACAACTAAGTACTAGTTCTATCATATTTAGATGTGATATCTCTTTCTTCGATCGAGTATCTGGCGTCATTTGCTACGTCGCTCCACATTTGTTATTGTTATTTAGATCACAAAATCTGATAGCTATATCTAAGCATCAGGTAGCTGCTTGTTTCTCTAATATTAAATGCGCATTTGAACTTCTGACTTGATATTTTGTGATGTGCGAATCTCTAGCACAGCTGTTCGTTTTAATATTTCTACTATTACCAAGCCCTGCCGAACTGTAGGATAGTTTGTGTAATCATCGTATAAATCTTCAATGTGAGACTTCAGAATACAACTGGTTTTTAAACAATGTAAGTTACAAAACGACTTTTCTTGATCAAGTATTCAACTCACACAATGATGTTAGAGATGACGCGTTTATTAGTTTTCTGAAGCTGCAGCGTCGGACCTGTTAAAGTCTGACTCCTATTTCACCTTCGTCTTCATAATCGACGTATAGACGGACAAGTTTTATCGAAAGTAGCAAGAAACAGGTTTCATTCATTTGAACCGACCTTCCACGTTTTAGTCAGCCCCTCAAAGCAATGCCACCTTATATTCTTACGACTTGGAGTCCCATGAAAGCCCTTCCTACTAAAATGTACTGGTGGCTTTCGCGCTCTATCAAGAATGGCAACTTCATTACATTCCATTGGATATATTACCTACTTACCTGTCTAATATCTTCTGTCCTTTTTTGGTCCGTGTCCACTCCCAGTGGCTCGATATTATATGTCGATAGCCTTTTCATGGTGATTTCAGCTATGTCACTTACAGGGCTAAATACACTGAACCTAAGCACCTTGAACACTTGTCAACAAGTCGTTCTTTACTTCCTGACGATACTCGGAAACCCATTCTCGGTCAGCGTTTTTGTTCTATACATCAGGAAAAGAGCTTTTCATAAGAAGTTTAGGGACATCAATGATGCCACATGGGCCCCAACTCCAGGTAAATCTTATTCGCTCTCGAAATAATATATTACCGCTAATAAAATATTAGATAGTACCCATGTCGGAGTAGAAGGCGCTCAGATGCGGACCACCGAGACACCTACCTACAAAAAACCCCCCTTTGCCTTTCGGAAGTTTCTAAGCGTTTTGAAGTCGTCGCTAGGTCGTAATTCCCAGTTCCATGACCTCTCGCGTGAGGACTGGAATAAGCTTGGCAGCATTGAATATAAAGCACTCAAAATGTTATTGTGTCTCGTCCCTGGTTATCTGATATTTTCTCAACTCCTCGGAATCTTCATACTAGCGCCATACATGGTATTCAACAAGTCGGATGTCGCTCTCTCCAACGGCGTGAGCCCATTGTAAGGTCACTTTGCTTTCCAAAACATCTCGCTGACACTTCTTTTCAGGTGGCTGGGAACTTTTCTCTCTTCAAGCGCTTTCAACAATTGTGGTCTATCATTGCTAGATCTAAACATGGTTCCTTTCTCAACTTCCTTCTTGGTACTGGTCTCATCGTCGGTTCTTGCCCTAGCCGGAAACTTAGCATTCCCAATTGTCTTCCGTGGTTTGCTTTGGTCTGCTCTCAAAGTCTTACCAGCCGACAATCACTTCCAAGATTGGCGGGAAACCATCACCTTCATTTTGAAATACCCAAGACGACTTTATATATATTTGTTTCCATCTTTACATACCTGGATTTTAGTGGTCATCCTCGTTCTCATCAATGGACTCGAAGGGATCGCATTTCACTTTTTAAATAAGAAAAATCCTACCCTTGATACTCTTCCACCGCATATCCAGTTCCTAGATGCCTACTTCCAAACCGTCGTAACACGGACGGCCGGGTTTGATGTGATACCGATCTCTTTCCTCCGCATTGGAATGCAAGCTCTATACTTAGCCATGATGTTCGTCTCAGCCTACCCAGTTGTTTTTGCGATGCGGAGTTCCAACGTATACGAAGAACGTTCCCTCGGCATTTATGCCAACGAATTACTGCCAGAGAAATCTGAAATGTTTTCCAGTCCAAATTATGGCGATGAAGACACTTTTTTACCCCATGCGCCGAGGACGAGAGCATACTACCTGCAACAAGAAATACGAAAGCAACTCGGGCACGATCTCTGGTTCCCAATGGCGACCGCTATCCTCATACTCTGGATCGAGACGGGTAGTCTCGACAGAGATCCCACTACCTTTTCCGCCTTCAACATCCTCTTTGAAAGTGTCAGCGCTTATGCTGGTGTGGGTTTATCCACCGGTCTACAAGATCAAGCTTACTCCCTTTGTGGCGAGTTTCATATTGCGTCGAAGCTCATCCTGTGTCTGGCTATGCTGCGCGGTCGTCATCGAGGGCTCCCTGTTGCAATCGATCAAGCCGTTCAACTTCCTCAAGATATTCCCGGAGAAATGGAACAACAAGACCACGAGATAAGAACCCGTTTCTCTTTGGTAGATGCAGCCCTGGAGTCCAGGCCACCATTCTCGACTAGACCTTCAGACCAGATAAAATAGGAGTCAGTCAAGACGAAAACGGAGGATTCGGAAACGGGAGGCAACAATTTCATGTCTGGAGCCTTAGACAAATGAGTACGCTTTTAGCGAGTATAAGTATGTGTAGGGGAAGATCTATGTTTAAAGATGGGTCACTGTCATTTACCGACGCTGAAATATCTCAAGCAATAACATTTTCGTGCCTCTTCCGTGGTGGTGGTAAGGAAGCGTTGCCAGTCGTTCCTTTTAGCAGAAGACGCTCAGGATGGATAACGTTTCCCTAAGTTCTGCTCTATTTTAGAAGGAAACTTGATACTATTCAAACCTGAATTAGATGATGAAATATTTATAGCGCATACAGAAAGAATCTTTATATATCGACATAGCATATCGATCTCAATTGAAAAAGTGTTTATTATGAAGTGGATAAAGTAGACGAGACGGGGTAGGTAGTTGACGTTGGACGTTGACCTCTCCTCTCCTCTCCAGCTCCTTATCGATCGCTTACATAATCACCTTTATCAGGAGCCAATATTTGTTTGACGCGAGCGCGAGCGAGGCGACGCGACTTACAGAAAGATCAGGAAATGCATAATATCGATCCGCAAACACTGGACTGCCACAATGGAGGATGATGGAGAAAACTACGCCCATACCTCAGTTCCGTTGAATGGCCCCTCCGATTTTTCTCAACCCTTGGCAGGCGTTGTCCTCTGCTGCACCTCAATTGTCGAAGATCTACGCGTAAGTTGATTGCCGCCATTATGTTGCCCACTCTAATATCCTGTGCTACAGACAAAACTATTCGAGTATGCCAAACAAATGGGGGCTATCTGCGAATTTGACTTGACCAACGATGTTACACACCTCATTGTCGGCGAACCATTCAACACCCCAAAGTATAGATATGTCGCCAAGGAACGGCCAGATGTCAAGCCAATGGGACTCGGTTGGATTGAAGCTCTACGACAATTATGGATCAAAGACGAACAAATCGATGCACAGGCGTTGGAGAATGAACATACGTTACCGACACTTCATTCCCTCAAATTCAGCATGACGGGTTGTGAAGATAGTAAGGGCTTCTGCTATGGGGTATTTGTACAGTGTACTGACCAAGCTTAGCTGCGAGGCAAACCATTGCCGACGAAATCGAAGCTCATGGTGCCGTGTATGCAGGAGATTTGACAAAATCAATCACTCACTTAATCTCCTTTCGGACTGAAGGTGCTAAGTACAACGCCGCGAAAAGCTGGAAAATCCCAATTGTCTCTATTGAGTGGCTGCGTGATAGTTTGGAGAGGGGAATGGTTTTGGATGAAGCATTGTACGATCCGAATTTGCCACTAGAAGAGCGAGGCAAGGGGGCCTGGGACCGATCGAAACCCAAGAGGACGTCCCTCGGCAAACGGGCGAGGGAAAACGGTATGGCTGGATCAGAAGGAGGTAAAAGGAAGCTACGCCGCACCGCAAGCACCAAACTGAACAGCCAAAGTGAGAGCATGTGGGGGCAAATCGTTGGAGGAGGATCAGTAGTGCAAGTTGCTCAAAGTGGGCAGTGGGAAGTCAATGGAGAAGAAACGAAGCAGCGAAATGATCAAGCCATTCAAAACAAGCCTGAGCAGTCGCTTGATACCACCATACCCAAGCAAACCGTGGAAACTAAAGCGAAATTAGACGGAATTTTCAGTGGTTCCAGGTTCTATTTTCATGGCTTTACACCTACGAAGGCGCAAGTTCTTTGCAGTCACTTACTTCCCCATGGAGCTGAGATATACGAAACCATCGATGAGCTACGCTCAGTACCACCAACAAATACTTCATGTCACAATATGATGATTGTCCCACACGATTTACCATTATCAGAGCATCCTGAGCTCCCACAGTCCCAGCTGCATATTGAAACGGTCACCGACTGGTGGGTGGAAAGATGTCTCCATCAGAAGAAATTTACGGATCCGGCTGACCATGTTATTGGTCGACCGTTTCAAGTTTTCCCGATCGAGGGATTTGTCGGGATGATTATCTGCTCGTCTGCCTTCTCCGGCATAGACTTACTTCATTTCAAGAAAGCAGTTGAATTATTGGGCGCAACGTATAGTGAGGACATGACCCCACAATCATCAGTACTTGTCAACAAGTCATTACTCGACTTAAGAAAAGATAAATTAGAACATGCACAGCAATGGAAGGTTCCAATTGTTGGATCAAATTGGCTTTGGGATTGCATCAAAGCTGGTACGAGATTGAGTTTGAAGAATTATCGCTGCAGGCCTCAGAAACGATCGGACTCTTTGCCAAACACTGAGCAAAGGCCGCAATCTCCCGGTGCAAGCCAGTCAGATCGACCCGCGATCGTTGCTGCAAAGCGGATATCTAGAGGGAACAGTATTTCTGGAAAACACACCAAACCTCTTAGAAACTCTGGATTCGACGATTCAGCATTCGCACCAGACGAAGACGTCACTCTGAATAAAGCCGCTATGAAAGAAGAAAACGACTTTTACGATATACAAACCTTACCAGCAGCATCTCCAACTCAAGAACTCACTTCTAGATCCGAGCCGCTATCGGAAAGAAACCCAAATTCGTCCTCAAAAACAGTCTCTACCGCTCCCGCTCCTTCCGACCACCCTGGCGCACGGCCACCACAAGAGGACATCAGTAATGCTATTTCGGATCTAATTAGCAAGACGAAGACAGCTATACAGCCAGCACAGAGTGAGGCCCCTGAAGGACGAAAACGCAGTACGCACAGAATTCTCGGCCGTGTGGCTAGCAATATGTCCACGACATCAAACCACTCCCGAGCTACATCAGTTGACTCGACAGCTACTCATGGCAATCCAGTTGAATACCCACCCTACGATACCGGGACGAATGAGCAGATGGAGATGCTGATGAATGGCGATAGAATTTCTCACAAAGCTGGAGATAGCCAACCCCCTCCTACCCAATTGCAATATGAGGATCCGGAAAGTGAAGCAGTCTCAGAGAGGGTCATGGCGAGGATGTTGGGGGAGAAAGCCCCGCCGCCTAAAAGAAAGGGCTTGAAGGAGAAGGCGGTTACGATTGGGGACTTCGAGCCGAAAGCTAGGGCTACGAGACAGGGAAGGCGGGGCTGAGGTAAGGTTGGATAATAACCTCTAATGAATTCCGAAACTCCCTTTTTGCATTGCTTTTCTGTGTTGTCCAGTAATCCCTATATTCTGATATTTCCATGTATTCCACCTCTAACGACTGACAAATCGGAGAGCACTTTTCCCCTTCTAAACCGCCTTCATTTGCATGCTTGCCTTCTACATGTCGCGTACTTTTACGCCCACTATATGCAATTCGTCGTGTTCCATCATGATCGCTGTGCATATTTCGGGGGCTCAAGCGTTCACCCCCAAGTGCCCTTAAATGCAATATAACCCAACGCTAAATGAAGTTCCAAAAGCTTGTTAATACTTTACATATCTACATTTTCTATACCTAAAGACTAGCTAATATCCACAATAAGGTAGGGTATCTTTCCTAAACACCTGCTTAGTGCTTCCGAACTGTACATGCAAAACCTACAATCATCATTCATGACTTGCGTGTAGCTCATGAATGGTGCATAAACACAACGAGCGGGCTAAGATTTAATAGCACACTGCTCAGTTCTTCTTTTGCCGCTTCACAAGAATCATCTTCTTGCCAATCATCTCCTCGCCAACTGTATCCTCTCCTGTCACCTCTGCTTCCACCTTGCGCTTCCCTGTGTTAGAAGACCGGATGAATGAGACCTTGAGCTTTTTGGCGTCTTGGTTTTCTTCTTTGTCTTCGTCTTCATCTTCGTTCTGTCCGCCAATCCCATCGGCAGGTCTGGTGGACACTTCGCCCGAGGTGTCTTCGGCTGCGGCTGTGGCGGTAAGGTCTACAGTCGGTGTATCATTTCCCCTCTTAATACTCACTGCGTCTGCCTCTTCTGCCGGCTCACGATTATCCTCGACGTCTGTGGTTGCGTCGCCGCTCTTCACATCCAGGCTAGGATCCTCGGGTATGCCGGTCGTACGAGTAGGAATAGAAGCAGGAGGAGGAGGAATCGATTCGTGATCTTCAGGCTCAGCTTCTCCTCAAACAATCCCTCGGAGCAAAGATACTCACTAGTGACTGGTGCACCATCTCCGTTCGCCCCTTGGCTGTCGTCGTTGTCGTCTTCTTGGGCGAGGACACCAGCTATCCAACGGTTCCGGACAAACTCCATCCATTCTGCCTTGAGGTTGTTCTGTTCCATAAATGCACCTGTTGCTTCGCGCAGGAAGAGTTCGTCGCTCTTGCGTCGCTCTTCGGTTGTTTGTCGGTGCGCCTCTTCCTATCTGTCTGTTAGGACGTGGGGGATTCATTTTTTGAGGTCTCGTTCTTACCTCTTCGCTCTCGCTTTCTTCACTTTTAAGATCAAGCTCTTCTTCTGGTTCGTCCTCGCTCAGCTCTTCGGTAGAGGAGATCACTTGCTCGTTATCATACCCCGGCCTGGCATTGAAGCTTGTCACCAAGCTGTCGCGAGCCTCGTCCAACTCGTCTTCGCTAAATCCTTCAGCGTCGGAAAGATCCTCGTCGGCTGAGTCGGCTGCTGGTTGAACACTTGTCATGATGCTATCCTCGGTGACCTCTCGTAGCTTGGTCTTGTCATGTCCCTGAGCCAAGATCCGTTAGTTACAAGAATCTCGAGACAAGGTTGAGAGACGTCGCTTCTTTGAGACATGTGAAGGGAGTGAATTATCTCTCAAAAAGGAAGCAAGAGGTGTTTGGCCGAAAAGTAGACTTACCTCATAGGTCATGTAGAAAGTAGCCTGAGAATCCAACACCCTCTGTCTCTGCACCTCCTGTCGTTCCCTCGCCTTCTCAGCAGCATAAGCCATCCTAGCAGCTTCACCCGTCGCCTCTTCCACAGCGCTTCTTCCACCCATCCTATGCGTATGCATATCATCCACAAACTCCCTTTCATCAATATCCCTCTGCACCCGCTCCCAGATCTCCAACCGATCATCAGCCTCAACCTCCATATCATGATACCCCTGCCACGCATTACTCCCCGGCACCAGATCCTCCTTGAATATAATATTGTTCGCCGCGATCTTGACCTTGGTCGCGAAATCCCGCTCCTGCTCTCTGTCAAGCCCGACGCCGTATTTCATGATCAGGTAGCACACTTGCGCTTCGTAGACGGGGCGTAGGATGTGCGTGAGTTCTAGGTCCAGGAGGATGTCTATCATCTGCTTGCGCTTGTTTTGTCGGAATGCTAGCATGGCCTGCAGGGGCACGCAATCAAAAGTTAGCGGGCAAGCTCGCAATAAGTACAAAGGTTTCACGTCAAGAGAGCTACGAGTGAGGTGGTGAGTGAATACCATGGAAATTGTATCACGACATAGGCCGGAGGTTATGGTGGGCTTCACGGGTTTGCTAGGCTGCTCCTTCGCATTGTCGGTGTCCATGGGATCAGAGACGTCTTGCTCGTTTGAAAGCTGGTACTCCATTTTGTCTGCCATGATGCGATGAACGTTCTTTGAAGTTTTGCTAAATTTGGTATAATTGAATGATTGAAAGTGGTATTGAAAAGAAATTATATATTCAAAATCAGGTCAAAGTCACGTGATTGGATGCTTCTCTTACCCCCCTTTATAGTCGGTTAATTTCCAAGCGTCAGCAAAGATGCTTTATGACTCTTGTCCATTTCGTAACCATGCTTGTGGATTGGTATTCACTTGAATTTTTGCCATTCTCAAACAGCAAAGAAAGAAGAAGAAAAGCAATTGAATGATTTTTTTCGACTAGTCACCACTTCTAGTCTCTACTACAAACAAAAGAATGTCTCTGTCTCTGCCCAACTCTTCCAAAGCCTCCCCCAAAAACCAGCAGTCCATCACTTTCATTCCTCCCTCCTCCCCCCTCCCCCCTACTCCTTAGCCTCCTCTTTCGCCTCTCTCAGCCTCTTAAAAAATGCCATAATACTCGGGACACTTTTCCAGCTCTCCCTAGCCTCAAGACTTTCAAACCACCTCTTCACATTCGGATACGGATCGAAAAGCGTCTGGAACCCGACTTCCTTGGCCAATGCTCCATACGGGAGATGGAATAAATCGGCGAGCGACACTTGGTCTCCAGCTAGATACGCGTGTTTTGCGAGAATCACATCGTAGATCTTGAGAGTGTCTTCGAGCTGGCTCTTGTACTGCGCTACTAGCTCTTCGTCGGCTGGACCCTTGCCGTGAGCGCTGGATGTGGGTGTTTATCAGTATGTGTGTTTTCTCGTGTTTGGGAGGAAGGAAGATGAGGAGGCGGAGGTAAGGTACCCTTTAAACAGTTTCTCGAAGCCGATGCTTTCGGCTGGATGGTTGAAATAGGAAGCTTCGTACGAACAAGCCTACGCATACTTCAGATCAGCCTCAATTATCCCTCGTCGTCTTTTGCGCTTGTATGTGCCTCACTTGCTCGAATAGCCCGTAGCCTTTCAAATCATCGTCATCTGGAATCAGCTTCGTGCCCTGGCCGGCGTACTTTTTGGCGAGATATCTATGAAGAACATGGAGTTAGTATCTAAGGCTGTTTGAAGAGTACAGAAGAATCAATATGTCAAGAGCCATGAGACACTTCCATAGCAAAGCAGAATAGGTTTCTGAAATCTCTACCCGAGGTATGAAAGCAGATGCAGGCAGAGGATCTCTCTCACTCACTTGCAAATAGCCCTACTCTCAGACAGCACAAAGCCATCATCATCAATAGCAGGAATCTTTCCAAACGGCTGTCTCGCCAAATGCTCAGGTGCCTTCATGTCAGCCCGCCCCATGGTGATGAACTCGTAGTCCGTAACTCCCTTTTCGGCCAGGACGGTGAGGACGCGCGATGTGCAGGTGGACTCGCGGATGCCGTAGATTTTGAGAGGCATAGTTGCGAGGGCTTTGTTTAGGATCACTGAGGAGTTGAGGTGGAGTATTTGAAAGTGAAGGGGTATCTAGAAGAGAGTTTTGAATTGAGAGTGGAGTGTATGTATGTATGTCTTGGGGGACATTGCTTGCTCTTATATACTCCAATTCCACCCCCTCTAGACCCATCTTTCCTCTTAGTCTCCTCCCCTATTTAGTGAATTCCCTTCAACGCTCCATCCAATATCTATACTTCGGCTCTGAGAACGTCCCGAGCCAATGATACATCGTCCACATTCACCTCAATAAGCAGCAAATCTACCAACAAACTATGCATTAAATTTATGGATCACTCAAATAGAATCACAAGATTGACGCCAACCACACCGTCTCACCGAGCACCAGTACAGGCATTACTAACAGCCCATCATTAGAAATCACCTCAGGATTGACTTAATCTTCGCCATACTCTGGTATATCACAAACATGCGGCTCAATGTTGGCCGCGGAAAGGTTGCTGATTGGCTAATCCCCTGCGATGCGCGCGGTAACGTCTGTGATAGGTGCAGAGCGACGGACTTTACTTTTGCAGATCGTTCGTAACTAACATTACTCTTTTGCATGAATGATCTGAAGGGGCGTTGGTTCTAAACTTAGTGAGGGTTTGAAGCCGTAGAAGTATTCTTTTACTTCAACCCCCTCCAACCAACCCCGCCCCCCCACAATGTTCGGCCGTTTGTGCCTTCCGAGTTTTGAATTTGCTGGAAGCGGTAAGTGGTAAGTGCGATCGCTGGCTAACATGTATATGTTCGCTACTTCCGCATGGTATTGTCATTGCTCTTAGCGCCTTGGATACATCCTAGATAAACTGGTGAGAGGACGATGGTTTACGTGGAAAATGTCACCCGGATGTGAATATATAGGACGTGCAATTTAAAGAGAAGACGTTATATTCAATAGGCATGAGCCCCCAATTCAAAAAGCGCACAGTGACTAAATCTAGAAGCTACCAAATAGAAAATAGAGCAATCCCATTCAGCTCCTCGAAAGACCGATACCTATGACTCACTATACCATCAAGATGTCAAGTAGCAACCATAAGACAAGAGATTCGCGACAAACGCAATGACACGTACGAAATACGGAACATCAGCAGGAATAAAAAGGGAAACAAAGTATAAGAATGGCAAATTTCGCGGTATAACAGGACATGACACCCCGGGAACCTGACAGGAAGTCTCGCCGAAACCATCCTTCTTGCTTGATTCAGTGCATCAGATGATCTGGGGCATCAAAAAGGACCTTCCAGCTGAGTGTAAAGAGGGTATTGGGCTGCAGGAATCGCTGTAGTCCCAGATTGAGTGTCTTCTTGATCGCTTGTGGCGCAGAGGTTGCAGTCATGATATTCCTTCGGAATGGGGTCAGGCAGGTGTTTAGCTGACAATTTACGGTTGTTGTCGCTCAAATTTGCAATTGCCTTATAAGATGAGTGCCAAGGAAGCCCATGATCATAATAGAGGTGCCATTTCAAGCTGTTCTTGATCCAATGTGTGGGATTAACAGCATTTGCACATAAGTCCAACGCACATTCGTAACTCTCGTTTCCATTTCGGGCGTGCTCTTTGCTGAAGTGTCTCGAAATTTGCTTTCGATCTGTGAAGCCTCGAGAAGTTCTAGCTTCCCCCAAGACACAATGATAGTACGGGCAAAAAGCATCATTATCGTGTATCGTCTCTTGGATATGCTTTACCCATTTGTCCTTTCTAGCGAATGATGTTGTCTCAGACTCGCAAGATTCGTAAGGACATTCGTACTTCTTGACATCCGAATGTATTGTAGCAGAGTGCCGATCGAGATCATTCTGGTTGCGGAAGGGCTTCTTGTAAGAACACCGGGGGACAGCGCATAGGAGGGGTTTAACGTGAATGTTGTTCAAGTGACGTTTGTATGTAGGCAGTGTCTTGAAAGTAGCTTTCGATGAACAATCCGGCCAGATGCATCGCGAAGGGGCAGTGAAGCGCTCTATGGCATCTTGCCCATGGCCGGTGAGGTGAAGGGTCATTTCCTCCCCACAGATAGGATGGTCACATGCCGTCCATGTGCACGAAAACACTACAGGCCGAGCATTTGATGACATGAGTCTCCTTTGCGCACTGTTCGCCCTACTAGCGTCAGTGAGTTTTTTTTTAGCCACTCACATGTTGTCGGCCGTTCCTTCCACCTGCATCTCCTCCAACCAATCCTTCTCCTCCAAAGCATCGCCCATCATCGCTCTGTACGACGTGAACTCGTCATCGAGAGGCTGCGGCTCGGGATTGGCCTTGAAGTAGGCTAGCGTCTGCTCGAGGGCCTCCTGGTCGAGCGAATCAAAGTTGAAGGAGTCCATGTTGTGTAACCGTGTGGGAAGTGAGGCGGTTAAGCGAGGGCGAAACGTGCAGTATCGGTGACGGAAGAGGATGTTGCGTGGCAGACGTGTGCTGGCTGTATCGGTGACGAAAGAGGATGGTTGTGTGGGTTGGCAGTGTTGACGAGGCTCTGAGTCGTGTGAAAGCGCGGAAAAGGTGCAATTGAGGTGGGAGGGGAGTCTGGTTTATATGTGTGCAGCTGAGTTTGATACGCGGCTTGGAGGGCGATTGCGTGCACGGTCCTTCCTGTAGTAGTAAACCATGCTGGGTCTGGAACCGGGTCATATCATGTTGTAATGAGACGCAAAAAAGCCTTCAAGTTTCTCAAGGAAGTCAAATCACGTGCTATTTCTGAACTCGTTCACGTCGAGCCCTACCTAGATAGGTAATGAAAAGGGACTGCCTTGGGCTACGAGATTGATACACAGGCAACAAACGCAAACCTGCAGAACATCGCAGCAATTCAAAACACAAACACAACTGGCAATGCAATGTCTATCACTTGATATGGACCAATATGAATCCATTCACCTGGAATATTATCGACTATTCGACATTATTAGCTCCTCTTCGAAGCCGCTTCTTTATGTAATCTCGTCTTCCTGCTTCGAGAAATGCCTCTCCTCTGCACAACCTTGATGAACCACCAGGTCAAGATATCTCTCATCAAGAACACAGTCGTCACAAACGCCACTGGGAGCGCGATGATCCAAAAATAGCTCTCGCTGTGGTTAATAGCAGGAAAGTCGACGATGTTCATTCCGAAATACCCTGTCAAGAAGGTCAGAGGCAAGAATATTATCGTCACGACTGTGAGCTGCTTCATCGACTCGTTTTGGTAGGCCGAGATGGTATTGAAGATCAGGTCAATCATGTTGTCGCAAGACCTCCTCATTTGATCGAGGGACTCCGTCATAAGGATAATATGATCCTCCACGTCCCCGAGGTAGGTTTGCGCCATAGGACTTATCTTGACACCCGCTGGACTCGATTTGATATCACCTCTCCCACCAACTTCGGAAACTACAGAGCCGCTTTTGTGATCTCGGAGAGCACTAATCAGATTGATGATGGGATAGACAACGTTCCGCATCATTGTGATTTCGCTGGTGATAACGTATAAAAGTTTGGATTGCTTGATGCTTGGCTCTGTCAAAACATCAAGTTCCAGCTCACCAATGACATCTTGATACGCAGTTGTGACTGGTATGGCAAGGTCGATTATGGCGTCAACAATTGCCTGGCATATCATTGAGGCATCGCATGATCGTCTAAGAAGGGTATCAGGGGTACTCAGTCGGTTGAGAATAGGGACTTCGATATCATCGGCGGATTGCTCAAAGAACGAGACAACGGTGTTGTCTGGGGTTGATTAGCAACTAGAAGAGATCTTCGCAGGGGGGCGGGGGTCATACCCGCCGTCAAGAATATCGAGACCTGCTCGGCGCTGACGGCCAACTTTCTCTTGGTCAACGGCGAATGGGCTTCCATATAACTCATTCTCTCCTGGTTAGGTCCGCCCTGATATCTCTGCAGTGTCCTCAGTTTTTGCATAGCGGCGCTAGGAGTACCTTCAGTATGGCCAGTTACATATCCATTAGTTGGATCATGTACACCAGCCACCAAATTAGCCTTCCTTTGCTTCTCGTCGTATTTCTCCATGGTTTTCGACCCGGAGAAGGCCTTGCGAAAGAATCTCATCATCCCACCATGAAAATACCCACCCTTCTCATCATCTGAGTCCGAGTCCGAGTCCGAATCGTCATCATCATCATCCTGGTGGAGGTGAACGAGTTTTTGTAGAGTGAGCACCATGTACGTGTGATCGGCGTACCTAAAGCCTTGTTAGCCACAGCATCGACTCGGAAGTCTAATGATCTTACCAGTCGGCTTTAGTTCTATTATTTGTGTTGAGCATGTCCTCCATGGCCAGCCTATGTAATCTCTTGTGCTTTCCCAATGCCCCAATGACATCCCAACTCAACCCGTTCACGTTGATCCATCGGCATTGTATCCAGCTCTCTTGTCTCTTCTCTAAGAATTGTACAAGTTCTTCGTTCCCAAATTCGTGCATGACCATGTTCTGTTCGCTGAAATCCACCACGGTTATCTGACATTCTTCGTGGAGGGTTGGGACTTGCGATCTTCCACCATTCGGCTTCGAAGGGTCAAGGCCAGGCTCTTGACCTGGTTGCCAATTGGGTCGTGTAGTAGAGGCATCGATCGACGCAAACGTCTTCACCGTATTGGATCGAGTCGGTCGGCGCTTTATATATGGAGAGGATCCAAGGTTCGACCCCGAGGCTTCAGAACGCGCTTCGGATTGTCTGGGGGGCCGAGAAGAGGGGGACATGCCTGCCTCTGCCTCCAAGTCAAAGTGAGTACTTAGAGTGGGCGACGACATGGTAACGGATGGCTGGAAGTCTTTCGCAACGACATTCTTGTCTGCCATAACTCAATGGCGCGAAATAAAGGGCGTGAGAGGTGGCGCGCGGAGATTGCTGTTGCAGGCCTGGTCGCATGGGCTTTCAAAGCTCGTAAAGAGACACACACACCTGGTGTCGTGTCGTGAAACAATGCGGTGAGTGCTTTGGGAGATACATCCAGAGACAAGTGTATAAGAAAAGAGAAGAAGGGAAAGAATTGAATTCCAAAAGTATGTATAAGAGGAATGAATATAACCAACTGGGCGCAATGTCAAAAGACCATGCTACAGGCGAGGCCTTTCTATACTGTCCCCATATTTTCAAGGCGGCCGACAACTTTTAAGCTTTCAGATGGTTCTTGGCATAGCTAGCCTAGCCACATCTGGCTGGTTGGAACACTGGAGTGCTCCTTTTCCGTTTTTCTGGAACATCACCATACCTACATTTGTTACATCCAAACAATCACGTTCACAATGCCATCATTCTATCGGCTCAAAGATGTATCTTTATTTGGAATCTAGTGCGATTCATTTGCATATCAGTTTCAGATAACCGCTTTATTAATTCAGCAATATATAATTCTTGTATATTCTAAACAAGTATTATAACTCAGAAGCACCGGATATTCTTCATGGGAGCCAACATACTAGAGGACCCATACCGGATTTTTTCAGGCAAACCGCGGGATGAAACGTAGTTTTCAGAAGTGATATGGGTATTAATATAGTATTTGGGTATCATTAACAGTTTATACACCATCAGCAGTTATCCCATGTCTACTAGGCAACCGTATAAAAGTGCTCCGCCAACCCGCGACCGTCCCCCGAATCCCCCTCAGTCTTGCTGGCGGCGGAGGAGGGAGAATCTGTGTCCCAGTCTGTGTACTCTCCCGCGCCTTGTAACCTGGCGGGACTTCCCCCGGCTTACCCGTCCGCCTGTATGGCGGTAAGCCATCAACACCTTCCCCCTCTTCTTCAGCAATGCCCAATTCCCTCAGACTGATCGGAGGCTCCTCTGGCACGCGCCCTCTTCGGCGTCTCTTGGCCCACCATCTTAGACCAATCCCGGTGGCTAACAGTGCTGCAACAATACAAACGATAATGATAACCACCTTTGTAGCCTTCGGTATAGCAGGCCCGGAAGAAGGAGGGTGATAGTGTATGGCGGTATCGGTGCGGGTCCCCGACGTCCCGCAGGAATACCGATCGGGATATTTTGAGATGTCGGAGCTATAAAAGATGCGATCGAAACTTGAGCAATTGAACTCGAGGACTGTAGTCAATAGGTGGAACCCGTCTGACATGTCGTCCATAGCTGGTAGCGAAACCCTGTTTACATTAGTTCAAATTGCACAGCCAGAGACAAGAAGAACTAACTTGTATAGATTTCCCGAAAGGTTCGTAGACCCATCCACAGCCGCAAGCTTTCCCAGCCCATCCAAAGCCGTCAGGGCACTATTATTCGCAATCACAAAGTCGCCACTATAGATCCCGCCCCCAATTTCCGTCAACGCCGGCAGACTGAATTTGTTCATCATCTGGTTTCCCCTCACAATCACATCCCCACCAATCGCATTCAGCTGGTCCATCTCAAATGCCTGGAACGAATTATTCTCCAGTTGCAACGTAGCAGAAAGTGTCGTCAAGCTCGAAATATCAAATTGCATGACATCCTGCAAGCTCAACCCTTCAGCTGTCGTCAATTTGGGAAGCAAAATCTGGAAACTTTCTCCATTATCCGCGAATTCAAGCAAAGAACTTGTCACCAAACTCGACAGGTTGACTATTTTCATATCCTTATTCCCCGTAACACTAACATCTTCAACCCTAGAAAACGAGCCAAAATTGAAGAAATCCAATGTCTTGATCCCAGTATCAGAGATTGTGAGATCGCCGTATATGTTCGTCCCAGGGTTTCCATACTCGTCCACGCCTTCGGTCTTGAGACTTGGGCTAGTGAGTTGGGGGATAGATATCCAGGAAATGGCCATCTGGACTGTTTCGAGGGCAGGTAGGGAGAGGTTGGTGAGCTGAGGAAGGGAGGAGAGGGTGAAGTTGTCGTTTATCCATTGCAACTGCGGCGCGGATATCTCGGTCAAAGCCGCGCAGGACGAGATGGCGAGGCTGCCATCCAGTCTTTGTATGCCGCTCAGCGTGAGGGAAGTGAGGGTATCGCTCTGGACGGTGATGAGGCCCGTTATGTTGTTGCAGCTACCGAGGGCGTCGGCGTCGGATTGGGTTGTGATAGTGTAGGTATCCTGGGTACAGACTGTTCTTGAATATTAGCAATGATTCAAAGAACAAATATTAAAGGAAGTATACCATCTTGAGCCTCAGATCCACTTGCAATGCCCACAATCATCGTGGCAGCAAAGGCCGCGTATTGCACGCATCTTGCAAGACCAAAATATGCCCCGGAAGACATGGGGACAACATCCACCACTCAAACGAGAGTGAAGAAGATGGAGAAGAAAGCAGCATCTAATAAGTAAAAATACGAGAAGGTAAGCACAAGCTTTTTAGACCAGGTTGCCCTTGGCACTGCCAACAAGATTTCGAATCTCTGCTGGATACCATTACGGATCCAGTATTGGCAGTCCAGGATTAATCTTGTCCGTGCTGGCAAGGCGACTAGGCAGGGATATAATTGTGGGTAGCCTCGTGATGATCTCCAACAAGTTTATGATTGTGACAAGAAAGAAAACATCAATTTCCGTCATCTTGAACTGACTTGACGTGGCTTGACTTGACTTGACTGGGACCACTGGGTTGCTTTGTCGGCCTGAAGGTTTGCAAATTTAGGAATGGAGGCAAAGAAGTTGTCGCTCGCGTTCGGGTGTTCTTCGGGTTCCCCTCTAAAGCTTCCCTTCTTGTGTTCTATTTATACAATCTTATTCGGGGCATCATGTCACACTGAAAGAGAAAGCTTCATCATCCATGAGTCTCGAATTGGACATGCTGAAGCCAAAGGCTGCAAGTCAAATAATTTCAATAAAAGTAATGTCCTACTCCGTTTCCCAGACCGCTCCCTAATAGTTCATAAAGTCGTTAACACAACTTGCGACTGTGCTGACAAGTCATCCCCGAGCATTGTTTGTTGTTTACGGCAAAAACGAAATCACTTTCGTACGTTCATCTACCATCGAGTACTAAAGTGTCTAATCCTTGTGGATGTGCAACTTGTCCTTGATCTTCTCCTTGATCTTCTCCTTTTGACTTGGCTTCGAAGACTTTGAATCAGGTGTTGATGACCTCTCAGCAGCCGGTTTGGGGGTAGCATTGGCTGGAGGGCCATGTTTTACTCCCTTCTGCTCAAGGAGACCTATACATCACGTCAGAAATCATCCATCAAGGTAGGCAAAGAGGAAAGGAGCATACGGTCAGCCTCTCGTCCAGCTCCTGGCTTCGAAGCATCAAAATCACCACCATCAGCCTTCATCCCACTAGTCATAACATACTGCTCCCCCGTGCCCGTCCCATGACTCTCCTTCTGCGGTCCGTCATCCTCTCCTCCAGCACTTACATCGCCGGCCTTGGCCTTCTCCCTGAATGGTATAGGGCCTAGGTCACTCCTCTCATCATTCGCCACTCCTTCAGCCTCCTTTTTTGACGCCTTGATCCTATCGGACTCTCTGGAACCTGGCTCATCAAGAGGACGGTCGGCGCCTTGTTGCTTTTGCTTGACCGCAGAGCCAGACTCAGGTGCCGCACCGACGGAGGCAGAGGCGTCGTTGGAAGATGTGGGCTTATCTGTGGAGGTTGCGGAGGTCGGGTGGTGTACTGATGTGACGCCGGTCTTGTCGGTGTCGTGCTCAGGGCGGATGGGTCCTGTGGCAGGAGTCCTGCCAGTTTCGGTTACTCCTGAGCCAGACGAGGATTGTAGGCCAGTTGATTGTAGGCCAGTTGATTGTAGGCCAGTTGATTGTAGGCCAGTTGAGGTAGAGGATGGTTCGGTTGTTGGGGTTATACCGGTTTCAGTTGCTCCTGAGCGAGACGAGGATTGTAGGCCAGTTGAGGTAGATGTAGACGTTGGTTCAGTTGTTGGTATAGAGGAAGCCTCAGTCGTCGAAGTAGAAGTAGGTTCAGTCGTTGAAGTATCTGTAACACCAGAATAATGAGCTTCTGGTGCGTTATGCAGATGGGGTGAGTAGAAAGCCTTACCAGCATTTCCCTTATCATATGGTTCACCCTTTGCTGTATTCCCCACCTCCCCAGAAAGAGGCTCCTTTCCCTGCGTCTCATTCTCACTCGTCTTGGTCTGCTCTCCCCAGATAAGACGGCTGGCAGCCGAGGTGAGGTTGTTGACAGTCTCCATGTTTGGGATGCTTCAATTGATTGGTATCTGGAATTCGTAGGTTGTATGTTAAAAGGTGGTATGGTACGGTATGTAGGTGGTATGTTGGTTGGGGTATTTAATGGTTATGGGAAAATAGGATGAAGGAAGGAAGGAGGTAGGTTGCTATTTATTCACAATCCTAAACAGATCCGACTGACGTGTGTGGTCATCCCGCTACTCCAGAACTTGGCAGCTGGTTGGCGTCGATCGGACTTGGATAACTGGCCCTGGAATCAAGGTTTGTTTACTTTTAAATATTGATATATGGTTTATTTACAAGTATCTGGGGTATTAATATTAATAGTAATGAAGCTTTCATGCATTAGAAGTGCTTGGTATTTTAGAGTGGTTCTGTCTTTATTACCAACTTCCCTCATATTTTAGGTCAATTCTGTATTTTTATAGTCCTTTGTCTCGAGACATCATGATAACCAAAACTTGGTATGATATCGTCTCCTTTGAGTTCTTATCGTATCGTTTAATGTGTTGTGCTGTTCCTGGACTATGACGTGACCCCTGTCACATCAACGTCATCCGTGAACATCAAGGATACTGTGTAACGGCATTTCCTTGTCGAGCCACACTATGTTTGAGTAGCCTACCCATCGTGCCGTCCCGTTCTGGGAAGGGGAACTTCAATTTGAAGTGGGTCACAATGTATTGGACACGTGGTCGCTTACTGGATAGGGGTAGGAATGTGCTTCTTGTCCTGTTCCTGTCTGAGGGTCGACCAGACTTTCCTTGAAGGAATCAACCGAGGATAACCCCGTTGTATAACACAGGCTTCTCAATATTTGCAGTCTCCTATTGAATCTTGGGATGACCTGACACCAAGCCAAACACACCCAGGGCCTTTTGCTATTGTACTATCAAAGCACGCCAAATTACGTAAGGTCTCTCATTGCAGCCCTCACGCCAGGTACTCCCTCAGGATAATACATAGCATACCACGCCCACATCTTCCTCCTAAGCACATCATGGTCGCCCCTGTGAACACTACACCTCAAAATCCGTGCAATCCGTCCCAGATTCCCAACATTAGGTACCCGTCCCGACATCTCGCGCATCCCATCCAGCGTCACCAGACACTCGTCCTTAAGCGGCCCCATCTGGTAGTCGTGCGCCATGCCATACAGATTGATCAGCATGCCAAACGGATCGCTTGACCGTGCATAGCGAGACAGGTCGAGGATTGTCTGCTGCCGTACCCAAGTTACCACCTTCTGGAACGTGATGGGGTCGGCACCGGGCAGTATAACGGGCTCGCTGGGATTGCCGCTCATGTACGTGGCACAGAGGATTGGGCAATGCATGGCGAGTTGCTGCTGGAACACGTCGAAGCAAACTGGGCGCGGGCCAACGAAAATGGTGATTACCGGCGCTCTCATCTCGATTTTCAGCTGCGGGTCAGATGGGTAGGAGGCTCTTGGGTTGGTGCTTTGTTGATAGCTTCCATGTCCACAAGCTGTGTGGAGCGCGTCCTGCGAGCGGTGAGTGTTTGGGCGAGCGGGGTGCGGGGAACTTCCGAAGCCGGGGGAGCTGTTAAAAACATGCTCCAAGAGGTATTGCTTTGGATGAACGTTTTTGCACGCGGTTGGTCGGCCGGTGCTGCCGCTGTGTTTACTATTGTGGCTCGGCCGAGGTCGAGTCTGCTTGTTGAAGTGAGAAACCTGCACGACACACTTAGTAATTTATCTGTCACAGAAGTGGAAAGGCTAAAGGTCGATTCACCTGCGTGCTATGACTATAAGCACCATCACTATCACCATTATCTTCGCTCTGTAACAATTCACTGCTCTTCTTTGCAGCAGAGGTAGAGACAGACAGGCCAATATCCTCAACAGCTCCAGCGATAAAGTTGTCAGTCACCTGCTCTGAGTGGGCGCTCTTGGAAGGGGTTTTTTGTCGAGGGTATTCGAAGCTTGAAGAGCCCATTGGTGAAGTGCTCGTAATGGTACCAGGCGACGACGAGCAGGGTAGGAAATTGATCGGTGAGCCTCGATCTGCTTCGGTAGACATAGTCGCGGCGAGAAGAGAAGAATGGATGGTTATAAGATAGCAAGACTGCGACGACCGGTCTCTGGCGTGCAACCTCGCAATGCTGTGATCGCAGTCCGCGAACGCTGGGGAGATTGTTTGTTGTTGTGGATGGAACAGGCGCTCTCAAACGAGCGAGGATGGCGTTTCTGCCTACCATATTGCCCTTTAGCACCGCTTTGAGGTGATTGAATGAACGAAAACCGCGAATTTGGTCTCTGCATCACTAATGCGTAACAGAAAAGACCTGGATGCAGCATTGAGATGATAGGTGTGTCTCTGGCTCTCTTTAAAGGCACCCCACGTCTTCCAGTTGGCGATGAACTCAAATCAAGAGCATGATGGCCAAACCCGCAGGCAGCATCACCATGCAGGAAACCCACGTAAGAATATGGATAACCTGAGACATGTGTGACATCAAAATTGGCATCTATAGAGAACGGGGCTCACAAGCAAGAGCAATAAAGCGCATTTCACTCTTTAGGATCAACTGTACTTAAGCGGCAAAGGGGAAGCTCTCATATAAATCCACAGCGGGCAAAGGAGGCAGGCGACGATGAATATGGCCAATTGAACAGAAAGTTACAGGTTGAAAACAAGCTACATATCATCATCATGATCCATTATTTTGTTATGTAACTGCAGAAAAGGCACCACGCCAGCAAGCAGCAAATAAACCCATTGCCAAGCATGAATCATCTACCTACAGACAATGCAAGAGCAATTATGTAAATGTAAAACCAGAGACCGCATGTGCAATAAATAGAGCCATAATCCAGTAGCTCGAGACATATTCCTACAGAAAGGCAACCAAACCCATACTCCGCATCATTCCCATCCCATCCCAAATCTCTAATCTCCCATCACATCATCTTCGTCTTCATCCTCTTCGACAATAGCAGCAGGTTCTCCGTTTTCTTCGGGACTCTGTGGCTCATCATCATCTACTAGCTCTCTCCTTCTCAGGTCTTCCGCTGTGCCCTCTTCTGGTTCATCATCTGCGAAAGGATCATCATCGCTTTCTTCCTCCTCCTCGACAATTGCACTCCTCTCTTTAGCAGCTTTCTTCGCCGCGTCTGCTGCTTGCTGGGCCTTGCTCTTATGACTTTTCTTGCCCTTCGGCTTCGGATCATCGAGATAGGTCAAGACTTGCCTGAAATTGGGCCCCAATCGTTGTTGATTTCGAAGCATACGTGACTTGAGTTTGCCCTTCAGAGGACCGGAAGCATCAATGACCTTCGCAAGAATAGCAAGAACAAGTTTACCAGTGAGCTCACAAAGTTGCTTTTCTGCCTTCAACATATCGCTTTGGCGTTCACTGTCTGTTACAGCTTCGACATCTTCATCCTCGGATTCGGAGTCCAAATCCTCAGGCTCTTCGTCCTCAGATGGATCCGCAAGCTTCTTCTTGCTCCTCTTGGCATATTGCTTTTCAAGCGCATCGAATATCACCGTCAGCTCTCTCTGCACTTCCGGCGCCACCTCTTTCACAAGAGTCTGCAGGTAGGCGATTGTTTCGGGGTTCTGGACTTGCGCGCTCTTGCCCTTGGCGTTTGCCTTGGGGATCAGGGTGGAGAATAGCACATGCATATCGAGAAGTGTCCCAGCACCTAGTAAACGCACCGGGTCAAGTGACGACCGAGAAGAAAAGGACGCGGTTAGATTCGCCGTTAACAAATCCTGCCACTCTCTGAGATGGTCGATTTCGATATCCGGAATGTCTTCGCCAGATTTTATGGTCGCCATCAAGTCCCGTATCTTCCACATGAAGTAGAACATAGCTGAACGCATAGCAGAGATGGCAATATCATCCTCCAAGGTATCGAGACTCTCGTCATTTAAATCCTCGTACACTCCTCTGGCGACAATATCAAGAAGGATGTTGATAGGAAGACGACCGTCGTTGCCTGAACTGGTTTCCAACGGTTCCACACAATTCGAGATACTAGCGAGCTGCTCAAGTCTTGCAAGAGTGTGTGATAAGTCTGTGAGGACCTTGTTCTTCAGACCACCCCGAACGGCCATCTCTCCTGCCTTGCTTATTTTTCGTAGAGCATTGATCGTGTTCTCCCATAAGCCCTGCACTTTTGTTTCTGTAACCTCCTCCAATTCTTCGAATCCCCGAGCATGCAGTAGTGCGGCTCCTGCTTCACTGAGAACACCTTTATCAGCGTGACTACTAAATTGCGTGCTGATTTCGTCCAAAAGTTTGGCGTAGGCTGTGGAGTCTTGTCGAAGTTCCTGAAAAACTCCCAAGTTCAACACATGCTCCAAGCGCAACACAACCGTCGCTGTTTTGGGATCCGCGCCAAATTTCTTTAGTAGCCTTGGAATGAGGCTTGCCAGATGCCGAGCCATGATTTCTCTTGTCTCCGAGGTTTCTATCCTACCACCCCTCTTCTTCGCCTTGTGGGAGTCTTCGGACTGGCTGAGACTAAGCTTGACAACAGCGTTGAGGATCTCCAACAGAACGAGTTCCTCTTGTTCGCTTGGTTTGAATGATTCCTTCAACGCAACCTCGGTATCGGTACCTCGACTTCTCGACGAGTGGTCAAATAAGAGATAACCAGCAAGCATCTCCCATTCTTTGAGCTCCACAACTTTTTCGTAAAGTGCTAGTGCAGCCAGAGTAAACCTCGATTCGTTGCCTGAAACATCCAGATAATCGGCAGCATCGATTTGGCTTGGCATTTCGTCTTGGTCTTCCAAGTCGTAGCTCAGCAAAATCTCTGCCAAGCACTTCAACTTAATCCACCCGGGGCGAGGCGTATCGTAGTTATCTTCATCTTCGACAGTCAAAACGTCCTCAAGAGACTCTTCGCCACCCAAATCTTCCACTTTGGATTCGTACAGATCTTTGATGTTCGCCGCAAAGAATCCAACGAGGGCCTTGCGGACCATTGGCTCTGTGTCGAAAATGAGCCTACCGATGACATCGATGTCATCAGGTTCCAGCATGCCCACTTCTCGAATCATATCAATTAATTCCACAGCCGATGCTCGAACTACAGGTTCAGCGTCACGGGCCGCTATTTCAACCATACGTGGCCTGAACCGCTCAATAAAATGATGCATTCCGCCCAAGTTTCCCTCGTTTCCGTTCTTCTTCATGACTTTCGTCAGTTGTTTAAGGACTTCCTGTCGCATGGCCACATGCGTGTCTGATAGCATCCAACCCATGTAACGCAAGTACTCTCCATCCAAGAACATACCTGGTAACTCCAAAATCCAATTGCCAAGAGCCTCGACGCACTCTACTCTGATTTTTGGATCAACATCTCGATATCTATGAACGTAAACGGTATCGAAGAAGTCTTTGATGAGAACTTCAACCGTCTCTTTATGCTGCTCATTGGTAGTGACTTTATTTTGAAAGTCCGCAAGTCTTGCCTTATTAACCGACTTTTTCTTTTTCTCCCCATCGAGCTGCCGCAGGGCCTTCGCAGCAGTTTCTATCTCATTTTTGGCAACGGTGCACAAAGAAGTTGTCACGGTGAGTGCAATGAGTGTGGCGGTATGTCGAAATGGACGTGAAGTGGATGAGGACATGGTGGCAAGCCATAGATGCATCGCTTCTATGATGGCAGTTTCTCCGTACATAAGGCCAGACTCGTGGATTGCCTTGATTAGACATTCGAAGAAAGATATGAGAGATGTCCGAAATGCATGATTGGTCCTGGCCTTCGAGACAAGGGGGTAATCGGTGATATTTTGCTGAAGTCGGTTAGAATATACCCCTAATAATCCGTCGATTCAACTAACCGCTTGATATTCCTCCTGTATGTCACCTAGTCTGTTCTCAACATTGTCTTCATCGTTGATGTCGTCGGCAGTGATCTCTATAGTACAACCAGCACAGTTCAGGATGAAATTGACCAGCTCAGCCATTGCTGTTACGTTCTCCTCTTTGAATCTGCCTAGCCATATTGATGCGACATCCTCTAAACTATCACCACTCGTGAACACCTCAGCTAGTCCCACATGTCAGTGCCACTCGCGAACTGAAGTTAAAGCCTCGCTCACCATAAAGCCCTTCTGCACTATCATCATTGATCACTACTTTCTTCATTTTCTTTGGACGGTTTGGCAATTTAACAGCAGGAGCGTTTTCGTGCAGTGCGGTGCCATTAACTTTTGGCTTCTTTGCGGCGGGTTTCTTCGTCGTCTTGGCCTTTTTCCGCGTCTCTCTCAATTCCTCCTCGTCGGCGCTCTCAAGGGTGGCATCGCTGGCCTCTGCTTCATCTTCGCTATCCGACGCGACATTCTCGACGTCCTCTCCTCCCCTCTTTCTCTTCGCGCTTGTCGGAGCAGCCTGGGAAGATGGTGCATCTGGCACAAATTTCTCAGGAACTCTCACGGCGCGTCCTGATTTGCGCCGGCCGCCCGTTGGGGCGGGAGAGCTCGTCACGTCGTTGTTGGAAATGTCCATGAGTGGCGTTCGTCGAGTAGTCATTGATGCATCTGATTTGCGACAAGTCGAAGTTGATATCGTGGTGTTGACGAGGAGTATTCGGGATGCGCGGCGCGTGTTAAGATCGGTGGTGTTGTTTCGCGAAGTGGGAGGGAGTCGCGATTGAGGCGGGTGTTAGCTGTGTTAGGATTAGCGTTAAGCTCCACTATTAGCGCCTTGGCGGTTCTATACCTCGAATCCTCGATAGCTGAAAGATGGGACGAGACGCTCTTTTTCAACGAAGTTCAAACTCACTTCAAAGCCCCTCGCCATTCAATTTTTGTGTTCTAATATACTTCCACTCCCCAGAAAGATCTTCGAGGAAGGACAATTATGCACTAAAAGTATTCGCCTTTCTACAGTACATACCTGTCCTGCCATGGTCTCCCCTTTCCCTCCATCCTCGTCTTCCCCGGGCGAGGGACAGCTTGTCGTCGGCGTACTGCCGCAAAAAGTCTCGGCTTTGTCGACCATCTCCTTTCAATATCCATTGAAACTCATATCACCATCACCAGCAGCGAATCAGAAGAGTGTTCTTGTCTTCCTCCTAACATATGGCGGCGGTCTTGTTGGAGGCGACCAGGTCCACCTTACCATCAACATCAAAACAAACTCTAGATTGAGTATAGTCACACAAGGACATACCAAGATCTTCAAATCTCCCTCCCCCGAAGTCATCACTCGTCAAAAGCTACACGTGACTATTGAACCCGGAGCTGCATTATGTCTGCTTCCTGATCCTGTACAGCCCTTTGGAGAAAGTGTCTATAAGCAATCCCAAAGCTTCTTTGTTGCTGAAACCGGTTCACTCTGTCTACTCGACTGGGTTTCTGCAGGACGCACGGCAAGAGGAGAGGATTGGGATCTCTGGAGATGGAGTGGCCGCAATGAGGTTTGGTCAATAGCACAGATAGAGAAGAAACCAAGGCTGCTTCTCCGAGACAATGTTTTGCTGGACGGCGTCACTATGGGTTCTAGTGAAAAGGTTTTAAAGAAGAAAATGCAGGGACTGGGTATATTTGGTACGCTAGTGCTGAAAGGACCCCTTATGGAGTCTCTTGCAGCTTTCTTCCTCTCGGAATTTTCTGCGTTGCCTAGGATTGGAGGTCGGGATTTCAGATCGCAGGAAATGAAGGACCACGACAGCACACTTGTATTATCTCCTCAAGATTCATGGAGGTCCTCTAGGTTGATGCAGGAGATGGAAGACAAAGTCCTCTGGTCTGCTGCAAAGGTCCGTGGCTGTACAGTGGTCAAAGTTGGAGCTCGCACTGTAGAAGGTGGCCGCTTATGGATTGGAAGTATGATCAAGGAAGAAGGATCGGTCTCACACCATTTCGGAGAGGATGCGACAATGTGTATTCACTAAAACGTCGGTGCAATGCTTCTGCTCATAAGGCAACTTGGAAGTCAAAGGACGCCGCACAGCGCGTTCGCCAGAGCAGGGGCGGGCCATTCATGATTGTCTCAAGGCATTCGAGACCTTTTTTCTACTTGCGAACGACCACTTTGATCGACGTCTTCAGAACATTCACCCACCCGAAGCGTAAGCCATTCAAATCGAAAATTTTGCACAACCAGCGAAATGAGCGAGGACAGCATAATATACAGCCTTCAGCACAGACGGTCAATAGCGCAACAAGGACTATCTCAAGAACAGATTGATTTGATTCGTAGGAATGGCGCACCGCAGACCATCCAAACTATGGAGAGTTCGGGGGACCCTTTGACGGAACCTGATGTAACCTGCTCAGTCTGCACTGAACCGTATCATACGGAGTTCGAACCTGGAATCACCGAGTACCCGTTCCTAACAGCATGCGGTCACGTCCTCGGCGCAGCATGCTTGAAAAGATGGCTAGAGAATCAGTCGACCTGCCCGATCTGCCGTTTCAACCGTGAGTCCAACAATTCTACTTCAATGCTCAAACAAACCCGCTAGTTGAATGTTTCGCAACTTTTGAAACATTCAATAACATAACATCGCTGACTCTGAGAATGGTAGTCGAGTTCCGCTGCGGTCATCCGATACCTCCGCGAAAGGCTTTCCCATCTGGAGGTGCCACCCCACCAACCCTAGCCTTTGGAACAGGGGTAAGTCATTTTCTTTAGTTGACTGCTGCTAGAAAATTGTCTCAAGTCCAGTCGAACATTGTTCTTGACTCCAAGATATACTAGACCGGGCAGTGCTAACTCCGAGATCTAGGTCCCACGTTCATGTCTGAATTGTAGATTGACGCGTCTCCATGAATATTGGAGCGCTAAGATCGACGAGTACGAAGGAGGGTTCGCATATATGCAGAAGAGGTTAGATTCCTTAAATGCTTGGTTTCGGCTGTTTGTTGATTCGGTGGGCGATGCAGATGTGGAGACTCAGATAGGACTGCTGAACGAGTTTGAGTTTGACAAGGAGCAGATCACTGACCAACTTGTGAGGGCTGAGGCTGATTGGCAGACTGATATTGCGGAACTCTGGGAGGGGATTAAAGGTACTTGGGTTGCCTAGGCCTCTTGTTAGGGAGTTGAAGTCCGAGAGAATCCAAGAATGTCGCAGGTAAAGCGGATGTTTGTCAAATCATCGAGCATCACGGAATCAGACCCCAATGATAAAACCAGTTGTTGTCCAATATTCTATGCCTGGGTTTTATGATCTTGAGTATTTGTTAACGCTATGCAGCAGCTGCATAGGAGACAGACTGATATTGGTAGTCTTCGACAATCCCCAATGCCCATTCGAAGAACCAAATCAAGCTCCCGTCATTCATATCAGAATGACTGTATACATTCTCTCCCTCCCACCTAATGGTGCCCCCTGCCCTATGGGAGTGGTGGCCCAAGTACCCCACCCCCCCTCCACGCCGGATATACTTAGTCAGCAGTCTTGTTTTGCTGACACTCCTGGGGAGAGTAGGGGAGAGCAGGGGGAATACTCCGGACCACCTCTCTTCACGGGGAAGAGGGGGCACGATTAATCCTGACTCCACGTGACGAGTAACTATCCCTGCAGAAGTCCTCGCCGCAACCTCTCGACCTCTTCATTTTCCACTTCTTTCTGAAGCCCAGCGCGTTCAACTTCCCTGATACCTCACTCAATGCTGCTGCAAACTTTCCAACTTTTCCCCCTTCTTCCCCTAGAAATCCGCTTCCACATCTACCTACTCGCTACACCACACCGCTTCATCCACATCCGCGAGCAACCCCTTGAAGACCAAGAAGACTTCCTTGAGTACCACCGCACCAATATCCTTCCCGTTGACTTCAAATTACACCCCTCGCTATCCCACTTCGCCCACGAATGGCGATACACTATTCCCCACGACATCACTACAACCCAAACAACCCTCCACCGCTTCGGCTTCACCACCTCAAAACCCGTCTCTCAGCCGTGGACACCTAGCCCAGAGTGTCCGGAGATTCCTCTTCATACGCTGACCGACTGTCCCAGAGGGCTCTTATGGTCATTATGCCGTAAGAGCTACCTGTACAGCAAAGCTCCTATCCCCGTCTTCTTACACGTGAGTACCGAATCACGGAGCTTCTTAATGGCATATGGATACGAGCTTGGATTTTCTACCAGGAGTGAGGGTCCGAGGACTTGGGTATGTTGGAAGGACGATGTGGTGTATTTGGACATGCGTGAGTACAATGAGGATAGGCTGGTGCCTCGTAATGATTGGGGACTGAATTGCTTCATGCCTGCTGATCTAAAGAGTATCAAGCGGATAGCTTTAGAAAGAGTTTCGGGTATTTATATTGATGATCCGCCCCACGTTGCGCAGAGAGTTTCTGAGCTCTTGAGACTTTGTGGAGGAATAGAAGAATTATTCATGGTGGAGAGTAATCTGGATGCCATTTATGAGCAGGCAAGGGCCAACTCGCCAAAGGGAGTAGTACATGCAGAGGGGAGATTTTGGGGTTGGATAGACTGTGATGAGGCGGATGCTCATTATACTCTAAGTCTGGAGTGTTGTTTTTTGGCGATTTCTTCTGCAGGATATCAAAACTGCAGGCTTAAGGGATACATCAAAGAGAATGGAGGGAGCGGTATTGGTTACTTTGATATGGTGGGGGGATGTGTATAGGGAAGAGTTAAAAATTATCAGAGACGGAATAATGGGCGGTGAGAAGACGAGCACTTGGAAGATTCCGACAATAAAAGTAGTGCACGTTGGTAAGAGTGAGACCTTGAAGAGATGGTTTAAAATACGCCAACGGTATTGGAAAGGTGCTGAAGAGTCGGAACTGCAGGATTATGAAATAACTTTTCGCGATTTTGGGATTGTGATGTATTAGAATTAAGTTTTTTCTACTATAATCTGTTTAATGGCCTAATAAATATGATGTATGCGTCCAGTTTATAATATTTATTATATCTGCTAGGCTTAAATTTTAATTTTAGTGATACCTGCTATATCTACTTACCTTCTTACCCAACCTATAATAGGTCCCTAGTGTGGGGTGCCGTTCTATGAGAGACAATTTATTGAACCATCCAAATTGTCTCCTTTCTCTTTGACTCAGAGAGATAATATGGAGGCTTTGCACGAGAGGCTCTAGAGCGAGATTCTTGGTTTATCTATATTATTAAGCACTATGGTTTTCGTAAATCTGAAGCATGGCCTAATAGATATAGTTCCCCTGAAGTAGCTTAAAATGAAGAAAGTGTAAGGTGACGCCACTTCTCATCCGAATCCGCGATCGTTTTTGCAGCATTTGCCGCATAATTCCCTGCTTCAGGTCCAAGCAGAAGCCTCAATGGCGGTTCCTTCTCCTCCGAAAGACTTAGTACAATATCCGCAATCTTCTCAGGAAGAGATGGGAACTCTTTCGCGTGGACCCTGAGCATATCTGTAACGGCGCCAACAGTCTGCTTGTATGGCTCACTAACAGGTAGGATTTTCATCGAGGATCCGGCCCAGTCTGTGCGGATTCCACCAGGTTCGAGGACGGTGACTTTGATGCCTAATGGAGCAACTTCTTGGGCGAGAACGGTTGAGAAGCCTCCAACAGCCCATTTTGCAGATTGGTATGCCGAGAGCCCTGGTGTGCCCACCCGTCCGCCGAGCGATGAGACTTGGAAGATATGTCCAGAGCCCTGCTTCCTCAGAATTGGGAGAACGGCTTTAGTAACATAGATGACACCCATAAGATTTGTGTTGATCTGAGCATGGAAACTCTCAACTGTGGTATCTTCTACTGCAGCGGTGTCTGCGTAGCCTGCGTTGTTGACGACGATATCAATGCGGCCAAACTTGTCGTGGCCTGTCTTCACGGCTCGGAGAACAGCATCGTTGTTGGATACGTCGAGAGCCAGAGGAAGAATCTTGTCCACGCCATATTTTGAGACGAGGCTGTCTAATTGAGATGGGGTACGGGCTGTGGCAATGACGGATGCTCCTGCTTTCAAAGCTGCTTCAGCGATTGCCAGGCCAAGGCCACGAGATGTTCCTGTGATAAACCAGACTTTGGACATATTGAGGAATACTGAATGATAAGATGAATGGATGATGAATGGCGAGGAACAAGAGCTCGTTGAGTAAGGAGTAGTTAATGTTTGGTGTAATGTGGTATGAGATTCAAGGGAGAAGAAGGCTGAAGGCAATATATACTATTTTCACCTGTTTAGAGGAAACCTATTGTTGAGGTAGGTCGGATATAACGAGTGGCCCATGACATCCGCAAGGCTCCATTAAAAGCTTAGTGGATAGCAAACGCGCGAGGACTCGAGGACTTCCCGAGTTATCCCTTTTGGCGGTAAAGAATAAGCTACAGTGGGTAATGCGGACGAATGATTCGCGGACTTATGGACTTAAGGTAGCATTTGTAACATCTTGCAGTAACATGTAGTAGATTTACGGGCGACATCAGTGCGGAGGGCTGAGAGAGGGTGGTGGAATGGAAATTTAGTGGTATTTTAAAAGGTAAATGCGGTCCTAATGCCGCAAACTATTTCTCCCGCCCGGTAAATGCGGCCGCATGCTGGACGCTAGCGGGCTTACTAATCGTCCACATGTCACTTCAAGCAGCGGCCGCCCCATATACTCCTTTTATCCCGTCTCAGCGATTCCTATTCGTAGATAATTCCAGCAAATTGAGCAGCCCTCCCGCGCGGAGATATATATAGTCCTAGAATCAATTTTCTCAACTGTTTTCCATCTCGCCTCTTGAATTCTACCCCACGTGGTGTTATATCACGTGGAGTAGGCCGAAACACAGCGAGTTATCAGAGCTTTAGCCTTCCGTTCGCTGGCCACTTCAGCGTTCAACCACCTTCTACAGCTTCTCAAAGTCGGTCAAAACACTCAGACTTCTGCAGTATAACGGTCCCTGGCAATCCTGGTAACGTCTTGCACACCTCGTCGGCCCGTGGCAATGACAACACGATATACTTCGTAGTAAGGCCCTAAACAGTGTTATCTTGCGATGTCCTGAGACACCCGCGACAAGCAATGATGGCGCAAGTGGCACAAGCAATTGACACAGGGACCAAGCCCTACCCCATGATTCGGATTTGCAATGCATCATCTGCCGACGTTTCCGGCCAAAGGACAAATCCAAGTGGTCACCTTAACGAAACAGACACTCCGTACGCGCCCAGGTGCCGGCGGCAGTGACATCCTGCATTGGCATCAAAATTGGCAAGGTGCATTTGTGCTATCTCTATTTCCTATCAAGACTCTTTTCTCGTCATAAGCTTCTACGTACTAGGTAGGGTAGAGTAGGGTCGTGGAATTATACTCATTTGAATGTTGATGGCGCGCCTTCGGTCGCAGCACCAACACCTAGAATTCACACCAAGAGCTGTTTTTTCTCACCACCGTGAACAATTGTCGTCCACAATCCTCAAACTGTTTCCATTCAAGACGTCTCGACTTGCTTTCTTTTCTCTTGGCAATCTCTGGAGTGTGGCTTAGGTTGCTTGGAAACTCGCACAGACCAAGACGTCCTTGACTTGTTTGGCACTACTGTACATACTCTTCGTCAAACCATATCGCGAGGCTCAAGGATAAGCCCATTCATACAGACCTGCCCAGTTGCATCGCCAAGAGCAGGGATACGAATTGATAGATCGCCTTCAAGCATCCTTAAGATCCATTGCTGATCAGAACTTCTCTCCACATTCTGTTTCAACGCTAATCCTGATGCATCCCGACTACCCTCCTCTTTTTGTGGAATTGAGACAAGTGTGATACTTTCTAACTTTTTCGGGGGGTCCCTCCTAGCACGTTCCATGACTTCTCGCAAACAATCTGCTTGGCAGCTAACAGATTCGTTCAAACCCGCATAGAAATGTTAGCTTGGGTCGTCGACAGACCTCACCTTTAGCCGAATTTCCGACTCAGATCTAAGACTCTTACTACCTTTGGCCTCGATGCATGAGCTGTGTCCCCAAGATGGAACTTCATGATGTTCTTGGCAATGACTCCTAGTCTGCTTGAATGTGTTTCCTATGGCCGAGCAATGAAAGAACCTCGAATCCTTGCGAGCTCTCTATCCAGCCAGGAAACTATTAAAGCTTTCCAAATGCCCTCTGTTTTCTAATCATCAGCGATCAACAGTTCTCAATTTTCTAATCATCTTCTTTTAACTTTCACTTCTACAGCCGCTTACGATTGATTCGTAACCGCTTACTATCTTTATTATATCAATTTATATTCGTCCCTTTCAGACCTACCAACCACTTTTAGAATGTATACCAAGTTCATCATCGCCGCTCTCGTAGCAAGCCCTCTCGTTGCCGCTCATGGCAAGATTGCGGTCATGGTAAGCATCCAGCCTTTCTGACCCCGCCTTGCAATGCTGATAATCATCCTAGACAGGTGACGCAGGTGGAAACACCACTGGCCTCGGTATCCAAGGCGGTGTTGTTCCAGGGCCAGGATCCAACAAGGAGACTGAGGTCGACACCACAGTCTTCCAGTCCAAGCAAGCCGCCACTGATGGTCTTGGAAAGACCAAGGCTGGACCAAACACCATGGCAGACATGACCGCTGTCATGGCCGCATCCGGCTCTACCCTCCCTCAAGTTTCCCCAGGTGGATCTCTTGCTGGCACTGTTCACATCGTCACCACCGATGGAGCGGGCCCATACACGGCAATAGTTGATCCTACCGGGACCGGTGCTTTCTCTCAAGGCACGCAGTGCGATATCACCACGCAAGTGCCGGGCACCAATGGGAACATTGCTGCACCTAAGCAGCGCCGCTTTCTTCCTCGCATGCTGGTCAAAATGGGCATTGTCAAGCGTGCCTCCAATGTCAACGAGGACTACCCCATCGCCATTAGTATGCCCGCCGATATGGCATGCACTGGTACCGTCGGTGGTCAATCTGGCGTCTGCCTCGTCAAGATTGCTAACCCGTCTGGCGCTGGACCATTCGGTGGAGTTGTTGCAATGCAAGTGGCTGGTGCTGCGTCAGGTTCGTAATGACTTCCATGAACTCCGCTGCCCGGATTAATGGTTTCATCTTGAAGACAACTTTGCTAACTCCTCAAAGGAAATTCTACCGCCGCCGCTCCCGCTAAAGCTTCTGTCGCCGCACCACAAGCTTCCACTGGCTCAGCTTCCAACGCTGCTGGTGCCAAAGCTGGAGGTGCTAAAGCTGCTGGTGCTGGTGCCAATGCTGCAGGTGCTAAAGCTGGCAAATCAAGCAAGAACAACCGTGCTGTTGTGGGCGCCAAGTTCCGTGCTTAGATCATCAGACTCGAATAAGGAGGAGAGAGTCTTGGTGATTGTCCCGGGTGGCAATTGTAAATATCTCAAGAAGTAGGCCTAGAAGCTTCGGGAAGATATTCCAGTCTAATGGGAATAGTTTATCCTTGCTGGTGGGTCATCCGTTGATTGGTGGCTTTGTGTATACTGTAGATATAAATTACGTTCCTTTTTGCTTTGGTTCCTAAAACTTGCGCCTGTGCGGAAATTCATTCCAATATGTGGGGACAATACAACTTTATTACCTTATATTTCTCGGGTATTAAGTTTGTACCTCCTGATGCTCTCGGTAAGATTTTGTAAGTATAATAACGCACTTCTGTTCTCATCACGAAAGTTAGACAAACACATAGGCAAATCTGCTTGATCAGCATAAGGTGCACAAACATGCAGACAGACACATTGCTAGTTCATAAGAAGAGCTTGGTGCCAGGAGAAGCGTCCAGGGAACATAATGTGTTTGAATCACGTGATAAACTCGAAGATCTCTATGAGCTTGGCGCAAACCTAGAATTCCCAGGAAACATGTGGCTCAAAGAGCCTTTGTAGGACCCAGGAAGGATCAATACAGTGCATCAGATATAACATATTGCCCATTTTCTTATCACTGATGATTGTCATATATCAGGTGACTCCCAAGAAAGGCTAGGTAGATTATGTTCGCTTCGTGATCTCAGGGGCTGCAAAATCTGCAATCATCCACAAGGTTTCGAAAACTTCACAAATATATTACTTCAAAGTACAATCCGCACGACTCCTTGGGCCACCTCGGGCAAAATGTTAATCGACGCTCCCTAAGTGGCTGAGAGATTCTTACTCCGTATAGTATTCTCGGCTCAGCAGAGACTGCCCCGTAATGCTGTGGATCACGGGTTTCTCGGCTCACGCTAGAGTGCCGTTCACAACTGAAACGGCTAAGTAGCCAGAGAACAACGATCTAGGGTAGGGGATAGCGAGTCAGAGGGCAAAGCCGATCGGTTGCCAACCCAGCCTCCGATCTTCTAGTTAATGTACGGTGGCATGTACCCCGCTGAAGATCCACAAAGCCTCAAAGGCCCAGGTCGATAAAACGAAACAAATTACAAAGGATGAGCTATTACTCCGTAAGGAAGTCATCCATTGCTAACCTTACAATTTCCGAAGTCCGACCGCCTGCTATCAAGTGCTAGGAGAGTTTATAAAGATGGAATTCCCCTCCTCTCCTTGCTTTTCACTCCACCGGCGAGATTCTGCTTCCATTCTGTCTTTGATAGATATCCATTCTTCAAAACGCGTTTTCCATATCGCTAGCCTTGACGGCACTTCTTATTTCTTCTTTCCATTTAGACGCTCTTTTTGTTCCCAGACTGGTCAACTAAACGACAACATCTAAACCCATATTTGTAACAGTCTTTCACAGCACAGTGTTTTTACCACAAGCAACTCTACCAAAATGCGTTCTTTTTTTACTTCTTTGGCCTTGGTCGCCGGCACCTACGCCCAATCTTCAGCTTATACCGATGCCAACACTGGCATTACCTTTCAGAGATATTTAGACTCCGAGGGAGTTAGCTTTGGAATAGCTATCCCAGAGACACCAGCATCCGACTTCATTGGACAGATGGTGAGAAATCTTGAACAGCTCGCATAAAGAAACACAACTGATGAAATGTATAGGTGGCTCCCAGCAATGGTTCAGGATACGCGGGAGTCTCACTTGCATCTGAGATGACAGGAAGCCTACTTGTCGTGGCATGGCCTAATAACGACTCGGTTGTGGCCTCCCTCAGAGAGACAAGGTCAGTTTACATCATATTTTGGCAAATTTAATTAACGGTAGAAGTGGTTATACATCTCCTGGGGTCTATACTGCGTCTGGACTGTCAATGTCTCCAATATTAAACGGGACTTTTGTGAACTCGACTCACATGGCGTATACATTCCTTTGCAGTGGGTGCATGGGACTTACCCTGTCATTTGCTGGCAATTCTACAAGCATTACACTTGGGTGGGCTCTTGGCACACAATCAGTAACCAATCCTTCATCTGCATCTACCGCAAGTTTTACTTATCACGATGGGGGATTCGGCAATTTTGGTCTTACTCTATCCAGTGCCACGTCTGCTAGTTACGCTAGCTGGGCTGCAATGGCAACTAATGGGACTGGATCTGGAGGTTCAATTTCAAACTCAACATGCACTTCAACAGCTACTAATGTCACCGCCACTGTGTCCAACTCCACCTACGATTATATTGTTGCTGGCGCTGGACCGGCGGGGATCATTGTAGCGGAGCGTCTTGCAGAAAGTGGAAAGTCAGTTCTGCTACTTGAACGTGGTCAGGCATCCACATACGTAACAGGTGGTCGAAGCACAATGGCTTGGAATGATACCATCACTCAGTACGATGTACCATCTATGGCATATTATCTTTCGACCGCTTCGGACACCAGCGAATATTGCACGGACGTTGCTTCCATGGCTGGGTGTATCTTAGGAGGTGGAACAATGGTCAACGCCATGATGTTTGTCAGACCTCAGGAAGCGGATTTTAATGATAAATGGCCTGCGGGATGGAAGTTCCCTGATGTGAAAGCCTCCGCTGATAGGCTGTATGAGCGTAACCCAGGCACCACCCTCTCCTCTGACGATAAACAGCGCTATGATCAATCAGTGAGCTTGCATCCGTCCATTATCAGAAACCAAAACTGACTTTCTAGGCGTGGGATGTCTTATCCCCATTTTTCAGAAGTATTGGTTACAGAGAAATCGATGCCATTCAGTCGCCCAACGAGAAGACTCGAGTTTTCAGCCATCCTCCATGGGATATCCAAGACGGACTGAGAGCTGGGCCTGTCAAGTCGTATTTACCACTGGCTAAGGCTATGTCGAATTTCAAGTTGACTTTGAACACGAAAGTTGTCCGGGCTGTCCGGAACGGGAGCACTATTTCCGGTGTTGAAGTCGAACATTCCACGGGTGCTAGACAGATTATCAATATCAACCCAGGAGGCAAAGTCATTCTCGCATCCGGTTCCATGTCCACACCTCGAATTCTCTACAACAGCGGTATTGGCCCTACCGACCAAATTACAACTGTTGCAAACGGATGCACCGGTATCAGACTACCTTCTCAAGCAGACTGGATTAATCTCCCCGTCGGCAAGAACCTCCGAGACCATCCCATCTTCACAATGACCTTCAACACCACCGCCAACGCAACCTCTCTGCTCTCCACCGACTTTCTCAGCCCCAGCACAAGTAATATTGATCTCTTCGCCAAGGGAAGCGGACCGCTTGCACAAAGTGGGCAGCGATTCAATTTCTGGACCAGCATGAGCACGGCCAATGGCACCCGTTACTTCCAGGGGACTTGCAACTCTCCAGCTGCAGGTCAAGTCCGCATTAAATTGTACCTAACTCACGGTGCTACCTCCTCGGGTGTTTTAGGCATTACTTCTGACGGTGCTACTGAATTCACAACCAATCCTTGGATGAACACGGACGCGGATAAAACCGCCGTCATCACTCTCATCGACTCGCTCTTAGACGCAGCAAGGAACTCGAGCTCATTAATCCCCTCATCCACCATGTCTGGTGCTTCATTAGTTTCGAACTACATCACCGGAGACCACTTTGTCGGAACAGCCATGATGGGGTCCAGCAATGATGGCACGGCGGTTGTGGATACCGATACTAAAGTTTTCGGGACTGATAATCTATTCGTGGTTGACGCTTCTATTCATCCTGATCTCGTAAGTCCAATTATCCGCAATTCTTCCCGAAAACACGCTAACAAATGACTAGCCTACTGGAAATACCCAGGCGATTATCATGGTTGTTGCTGAGCACGCATCATCTAAGATCCTAGCGCTTGGTAACTCTGCTACAAATTCTAGCAGCATCGCCACTGCTCCTAAGAATTCCACCTGCAAGGCTTCTACGACTTCAGGGTCGAGACGCCAACCTAAAAGACGAATGACGACATTTATGAGATATGGGGTTTAAGGAAGTTCGGCGCGAAGGTGTGGTATGATTCTATAGACTATATCTGTGATATGGCTTTCTTGTACAAATTTATTTGAACTTTCAAAAACTGGCATTATTCCGAATAACCTGAGCTCCTTCTCCATCGGATTTTGGAGTCAAGAGACTTTCCAAACTCAGTCAATTCCCTGGCATGCTTGATTCTATTGTGCTCGCAATATTTTGATGGCTCCTCCTATCAAGGGGTAGATAGAATCTTAGTCGATATACTAAGTCTATGGCATTGTGAGTGTGGGAATTCTTGATCTCCCTCCATATTTTAGGTTCGGTGTCAGCTGTGAACATGGTCCTTGTATTCATTCAGAATCTCCAAATGGTAATGATTTTAATCTTCGAAGTCATCATTGAGGAATGACCACACCTAGTATCCATCAGTTAGAAACAAGACTGCGAAGGAAAGAATGGCCCACCTCTACAATGCATTTGTTATTTAATGACTTGACTATCACAGCCATCTTTTCACTAAGATGGGTATGCCACACTGCGTCGGAGGGGTCACCCAGTTCTCGCACCAGCTCTCCAGTCTGGGCGTCCCATACTCTGACCGTTCCATCAGAGCTTCCTGTTAGCACACGCCTATGGTCGAAGCGTAACGAGGTGAGGCTTCTTTCATGCGCGGCTACCCGAAGGACAGGTACTGTTTTTCCTAGTGGCCCTTTTTCTATTGACCATTTTCGAAAAGTACCATCCGAGCTTCCCGAAATTATGATATTGTCTCGGAACGACAACTGTCCAACAATAGAGCTATGGCCTTCAAGTGTGGCACGACAGATACTACAATATATGTTTAGCGACATAAGAGTAGTGTGAGGGTTCCAGAAAAATTACCCTGTCTCGAAGTCCCAAACCCGCACAGTAGTATCGGAACTTCCAGTTACCACTGTCTTGCCATCAAATGCAATAGAATAGATATTGGCATTAGTTGAATGCCCAAGGATTGTTCGGTAACATTTCCCGTCAGAGACACCCCAGACTTTTATACTACCATCGTAACCCCCAGACACAATGCGGTCACCCTTTGATTCTACGCAACGTACAGTTCCAACATGGCCAGTCAAAACAAACTTGCAAAAGCCCGCACTGACATCCCATATGCGCAGCGTGGTGTCTCGGGACCCAGAGACGGCTGTGGTTTTGCTTATGAATGCCATGCATCGAACAGTAGAGGTATGACCTTTGAGGGCGTGAAGGAGTTCTCTGTACATGCCATTCAGTCAGCATAGGAAAGCAATGATGGCAGTATTTCCATGTTACCCGGTATTCATATCCCACACGTGCACATTTCGATCAACACCTCCGGCACCTCCGCTTACAAGCATATCATCATTCTCAACATGAACAGCCATTGCCCAAACAGCGGTTTGATGACCCTGGAGGTTTCTGAGAAAATTGTTCTTATGGTCGAAGATCGATATTGATTTATTATCGAGTGCAACAATAATGTATCTCGGTGTAACCACCAAGCAAGTTGCCGCTCCATGATCTCCTGGTGTATCATTTGCAATATCTTCTTGGTCGATTTGAGAATTTGGAAAAGATATTATTTCTCTGCGTATCCTCTGGCCGCCAGACATCCAAGCATCATCGATGTTCTTGAGGAGATCCAAAGAGCTTTTCAGAGCAACTGAGCGGATATTGAAAAGTGTCACTGTCTGGTTCCATTGTGCAAACACCTCATTTGTAGTGACTATTTTGTGGTTGCGTTGCAGGTCTTGACACAATAGTCGCGCCACGCTAATAAGTTCCTTGCTCTCTTCCGAGAGACGAACCGATCCAAACCAGGCTATGGACCAGGTTTTCGTTTTCCAATCTGGGCCTGTAATGAGCTTAAGCACCTCGAACGATTGATGCTCAAAGAATACATGTATCATTTGGGTGCAATTTGTGATCTGTGCAAGCACTGCGTCTAAAGACTGTTGTATGCTATGCTGTGTTCCAGATCTGGGCATTGCATAGTCTATCAGATCTCGCATGCGTGAAAGGACCACCAGCAATTGCAGCAGAGCTGACGATTGGGGCAGTATTTTCTGGTTTGGTAAGTCCGCAATTTGCACTCTTTTGAAGTGTATGAGGTCTTGATGAGACGCCCATGGTAGAGCGGTGGGTTCCCCACTCAAGTTAGGAGAATCGCCCCCTTTTGGTTTATTATTCTTGACAGATATCCAGGAACGTTCAGCTTCAGTCCATTCATTTCCGCTTGGGTAGATTTCAGGCGCCAGAACTTCCGAGGAAATGGATGGCAGATTTGCATCTTTTGGTCCTGCTTCTGAAGCCTTTGAAGAGTCTAATTGATTTGTTTGAGCGGAAACGTTCATGGAAACATTCGTCGTATATATCAAGCTGCACGACGAACTGCGTAACGTCAGCGTTGATGAACAATTTTGAAAGCTAGTGCTAACCATTGAACAATTGTGCCTAGTTGTGTCGAGCTTCCAGGCATCCAACACCTGGGACAAGATACCTCATCCTCGGTCAATTTTTCTAGCATCACCGACATCATAATCTTGGACCTATTTTTGATGGTCTTCCGCCACGTTGTGCTATCAACAAGCTCGTTCCTCGAGTCGTTTAATCGATATTGCTGATTGAGGACATATCTTTGACCTGGGGCGCCTGTGAAAGATTCCCTCAAGAATGTATTAAAAACATTATAGTGTTGGAAGAATTCAATGGGGAGATATTTCCGTCGTCCCAAAACATCCTCGAATAGAATGCTGTTATTGTCTAGCAGCATCTTGGGAATCCTAGAACCCATTTCTTTGAGAGTAAGCATGAATAATAGAAAATGTGGCCCGAGGTAGATCCTATGAATCATTAAAAGGTGCTTTCGAGGCATTTCGAGACATTGAAACCTACAAAATAGAGTTGAAAAGTTCTCGTAAGCTCAAAGCAAGCAAAACCATGCTGGAAAACCTGTTAATTAGACATATTTCTGAGGGGTCTTATAGCATACCATTTGGCGAATGTTGTTTTAAGCTCAGAGAATGGAGTTGTAGACGACAAACAAGGGTCTTCGTGACTTGAATTTGCACGGGGCAGCCTCTGAAGAGCGGTGATGGTGCTCAGCGATCTTTTCAACGATTTCATCTCCACTAGTTGGTCGTTGGCAAGTTTTTCGAGTCTTGAATTTAGGCACGAGTCTGGAAATTGTCCAGCTGGCTGGCTAAGTGGTAGCTGCTCGGGCGAAAGGGCAGCTAGTGATTGCGTAGTCTGTTCGGCCTCTTGTGAGTTGTCCCCTGGGGTCATTGTCGAATCCACCTCGTAATTACCCATCATGCCTCTCAAAGAATCGAACTCATCTCTTAGACCTTTTGAAACCGCACTCTCGATACCTGAAGCGAGCCTTTCCGAAATATCACTTGGTAGCCTTTCCTGCAAACTCGACACGGCATGTCTAGCAGTATCAGAGTTGTTCGATTAATGCTTGAGCGTGATAACATACAATGTTTGAGACTGTAGCAAGATATTAAGGCTAAACATAGGAACAGAAATTCGATCTCGCAGCTTCTTCACTTCCTTTGAGACGAATATCGCCCATTGCACCTTTCTTGGGGCGGTTCGCCATGGATTTCTTTTGCTCTCCAAACCAAGAGCTCCATCAAACTTTTGAATCTTGGCCAAAAAAATTGAAAGAGGTTTCACGATCTTCTGGGCCTCGAGTTGAACAGCACTTTCTTGGGATTGGTGGACGACAATTGGAGAGACAGACCGCAGATTCTGGAGGGTTGTTTCGAGGCCAAACAAGAATTCAATAGATTCTTGGTAGTCTGACTTCGCTCCTCCTGTCTCCTTCAATGCTCCAGCTATTTTGACCACGAGTTGAAGTGAGGCAACGAGGTCACCAACCGACCAGCCAAAACCTGCCATTCCCTAAAAGGAATCGGGATATTGAGTTGTTACACTCGCCAGTCATACAATGGCCGTCTCGCAAAGATAAGGGCGAACACAAAGATGTATCGGTGGCTGGAGGAGGTGTCAACGTTGGCTGTGGCTGTGTCAGCCGGATTAGAGGCGCTCGCCTACACCACCAATAGGGACATTCTCATCTCATTCCATCCCGCCGATACGTCGATGTTATAGTAAAGTAAGGTATTCTAACTAAGATATTTCTGGATGAACGATGGCGAGTGAGAAAGTTGTTCAGATTCACTTCCACTTTCCTAGTCATGCAGCCGCCAAGCCCAATTTGGATGGGTCCGTGCCACATCTGTAACCCTCTCCCCTCCATCTTAACTTTCTTTCTCCGAAAAGGCACCTCCAAGTTCTTTCTCTCTGATTGCATTGAACTTGATCCTATTACCAAAACTCGCACTCCTCTGGCTTCTCCAGAATCAATTACGAATCCACAAAGATATCCCGTGACCTTCCACGAGCCATATCAATGATGTCAGCTTCAAAGACTTCAGAAGGAGCGTCTGCTGCCCAAGATATCGAGAAGTACGATATTCCTGAACCAGAGCCATTTGTCTCCTTCCAAGCCTTAAAGGATCGCATCAGACACCACTATGAGGTTGCTTCTGATTACTACTACTCTCTCTGGTACGTATACACGTATTCCCTTCCTGAACATGTGACATCCCGGACTGACCTCAATATTAGGGGTGAGCATATTCACCACGGTTACTGGATTACCCCGGATGACACCAAAGAGAAAGCACAAGTTCAATTGATCGAGCTGCTTCTTCAACGGTCAGAATTCAAGGCTGGCAGCAAGGTCCTCGATGTTGGATGTGGAATCGGCGGCGTTCGTACCTTTTTCCTTCCCATTTTCCCACCCCCAACTCACCCTCCCATTGATTTTCAAATCATAAAGGTACGCGTACTAACACACCAAAGACTTCTCGCTTCTTGGCTAAGAATTACGGTTGTGTTGTTACGGGCGTGACGATCAGTGGACGACAGGTTGAGCTTGCGAAGAAACTTACTTTGGAAGCAAGTCACGAGGAGCAAGCACCAGCCAATGGTATCATGAAACTTGGTGATGGCTCTGTCCAATTCATTGAGCTGGATGCTGAGAAGATGGGCGAGTATTTCATTGCGGATGAGAAGGTTGGGAAGTTTGACTATGTGTGGATCTCAGAGGCAATGAGTCACTTCCCAAACAAACCGCTCTTCTTCGAGAACGCGGCCAAGTTATTGAACCCAGGCGGAAAGCTGATGGTTGCGGATTGGTTCAAGAATTCTGGCTTGAGTGAGGCGGAGTTCAAGGCTGATATTTCGCCAATCGAGGGTAAGACTCTGTTCTTTGAAGTTTAACCCTCGACTGAATTGGGTTTAGATGGGATGCTCCTGCCACCACTGTGTACGCAATCCGACTACGTCGAGATGGCCGAGAAAGCTGGATTTAAGATCTTTGCGGAGCCACTCGACATCAGTAAGGAAGTCGCAAAGACATGGTAGATACTCCAGCTCCCCCTGACACATTGATGCTAAAACTAGCTTAGGGATCTTTCCTGGACATTGATTCAAAGTCCGGCACTTTGGGCGTTTGCAGTTTCTCAGGGCCGCGACGGACTCGCATTCTTCCAATCATTCCGGGCAATGAGAAGAGGATATGCGAATGGCTCCTTCCGTTACGCTGTCATGGTTTTCCAGAAGTGAGGGCGTGCATTTTAAAACTTTAACGTTTGCGCAGTGATTCACGATTTATGACATGGTCGCGCCGTATTGGCATTGGAATCTAGTGGGCAGAGCATGCTAGGGAAGTTCTATTGCGAGATAAAGGCCTCAAGGCCTATCCAAAGTATGCTATAAAGATGACCACTAGCACCGCTCCCAAGCTCTCGTCTAGTATCTAAATAATCTTCTGCCATCCACCTCCTCGTTCACACCTGCTTTAATCATTTTTCGGTTCATCCACCCATACCACAGTCTCAAAAATACACAGCCTACAGTTACGAAAAACAGCAGTCCGGCGTTGGTCCACTGCAAGCAATTAGTGACCTGTCCTGCAGCCACTTTTACACAACCAAATAAAATGAGAAGGACAACTTACATGACCGGTAGGATACCCTATCTTAGCCTCATCAGCCTTGTAGATCCAAACACCAGCAATCTGTCCAGGTGCCCCAAAACTAATGTTTAGAGCAATAGCTAAGCCGGCCGAGGCAGTCGTGAACATATTCGAGGACAGGAAGCCAAGGAGGGGTGGGATGCATGAAAATGCACCGGATGTGGCCACGATGAGGCAGCCATAACGCGCCTGTGATAGTGTTAGGAATGGTAAGATAAGCAGAACAAACTGGGAGAACGAACGCTATAGGAATGTGCTGGGAGAAGAGCAGAGCCCATAAAACCAGCAGCACCGATCGTGGCAAAGACAGCGGAATGCAGTGCTCGTCTGATTTGTATTAGTGAAAGGGACAGTGAATTTATGGAGGGAGCTATTTACGCATCGAAGTGGTCGGCGGACCAAGATACCAGAATGGTTACAACGTATGCCACGGCATAGGGTGGGACGGTGAAAAGTTGGGCATTGAGATCTTTGTATCCCAACCCGGCGGTAATACTTGGTGTAAAGAGTGAGAGACTGGAGAAAGGAACCGAGATGCCGAAATAAATCTGTTTTGATCCTATTAGCCCGGATCTCGGGAAGATGCAAGAAGGAGCTCACAGCATAATGGGCGTATAACCTCCAATCCGTCAAAGTCTCCTTTGCTTGCTTCCAGGTCAGGTCCTCTCCATGTCCATGTGAACCCTCAGTCGCCAGTCTCGTTATCGCAAGTTCCTTTTCCTCTGAATCCAACCAATTCACCGTCTCGGGGTAGTCCGGCAAGAAGAAGAAGACAAGGATCGAACTTAGGCAGGACGGGATGCCTTCAAGAATAAACAGCCACCTCCAAGCAGACAGCCCACTGGTACCATTCATATGACCGACACCGTAGGCAATAGCTCCACCAAACGCGCCGGCGAGGGTTGCGGAAGCTAAGATGAAAGCCACGCGAATGGAACGTTCTTCGATTCTGTACCAGAACGTGAGGTAATAGACCAGTCCAGGAAACAGTCCAGCTTCAAATACCCCAAGCAGAAACCGTACGCCAGTAACGGCCGCGTAGCTCTTGGTACCGCCCAATCCCATGGTGATAGCGCCCCAGCAGAGCATCAAAAATCCGATCCACTTGCTGGGACTCAGTTTCTTAAGGAAGTAGTTGGACGGGACTTCAAAAATCGCATAGGCGATCAGGAAAACCATAAGTGCGATGCTATTCTGTATCAGGCCACAGAAGTCTGTCTAAGATCTATACAGAAACTTACATGTATTGATAGTTGGTCATGCCAGTATCAGAAAGTAAATCATCGTGCGTGTTCTTATTGAGAGTCTTTGCGTTCCCTACGGCACGGAAATACATTAATTCAATCCAGACTTGCTTTACCTATGTGAGTAGAATGCCATACCAATATTCGATCGATCAAGATAGCACAGGAGGTAGATTCCCGCTGACAGCGGCACGATCCGCAAGTCCTGCTTCCAAATCAAAGCTTTCCGCTTGACGGCGTTGTTGTCCGCCTCAAAAGTCACAGTGGCTTCGTGGATGGCGCCCTAGATCGTCAGATTAGCCCGGTCCGTGTTCCTGCCCCGCTTTTGGAATGTCAGAAGTGCCTCCTCACCTCTTGGCCTTTTTCTTCCACGTCGAAAATCGTCGCTGTTTCTGCAGCCATTTTTGCTTTCACTTTGTGCAATAGCTGTTTCTGGTTTTTTGGGGCCACGAGATGTTAATATAATTTCAAGGATGGGGTTAAATGATCCCCGCAAGCTAATGCTCGATTGTACGTACTGTGTATACCCTAGACTAAGTGCGGAGGCGGGGTAGCTGATACGTATCGCCGAAGCTGGAAAGTTGTGTGAATTGCAACTTGACTTAGTAGGGTGAGTGGTGAATTGGCCCTCGTGGTGTGAATCCTCTTAGAACCTTAGATATGGTGCTTTTAAGTCCATACCGATTATATGATTGAGCTATGCTTGCTCTTCACTGAGGCTATAGTAGGTAAGCCGCTACCTGACTTAGTAGCTATCGCTAAACTTCAGGGGCTCCTAGCGTTGTAGTTTCACATGGCGGTGACGGGAATTCTAGGTGGTTAACCAATGAAAGAACAAAAAGATGCAAGAGGGGCTTTTGCGATCCTGTGTCCATTTACTAAATGCTTTTCACAGCGCTTTTTGGCAGGAGTATAGGTTAATGAGAAAGAGAATTCCAAAGTCAAAGACTAAAATTTAAGACATCAGGATAGCAAGCATCTCGATAAAGTTGCAGTATTTCTCCAAGCTCTTTCACCGCCAAGTAGACAACTAAATAGCTTGTTTTCAAAAGAATGGCTAACGTTAGATTGCCTCACGAAAATGTAAAGATACCTAGGTAATATTCTTCTAAGTATGGAGGGGTAAACTCCCCGTGGGGTAAAGTTTGGTAACAGGGGCCATGCATAGCCCATTTAGGACTAGGTAGTGAATGTGGCTTGTAATCTTACCTTGCATCTCCCAAGACTGATAATATCCTCACTTATTTTTTTGTCGATTCTTAAGTCAAGATTATATATACATGTATATCTATAATTAACAAGCTTCACATGAACTCTAGAGAAGGAACTTGAGATGAGCCCCACAACCTCTTAAGCTTATCCCTCCCAAGACCTCGCCAATAACCAAATCAGGGGCTTCGCTCCCCCTATCAAGCTCCATTCCACCCATCATGACCTATTCGTATCAAAACGACTCCCCACTCTCCGTAACAGCTTCTATAGCCGGAATACTCACCTTTGTCGTCGCCATCCTCGCCGCCGCCTATGTCCGCATCACCTACCTCCGCAACGCAGACTCCGAGTATTTCCAAGTAAAAGCTTCCCTATCATGGTACAAGACCGAATCAACCTGGATGCAAGATCTCGTTTCTTCTTCCCCCTCTTTAGCAAGTGAAAATGTAAGTGGGGATAGAACAGGAGGCGTGGGTTCCCCTTTCTACTTATCTTACAGATTTAATGTTTCACGTAATAGGTGCTAATGGGTTCAAAGGAGAGTGAGGGATCAGGAGTCTCAGGCTAGGAAGAGGGAGGAGAGTGAACGGGAGCGAATTGAGAGTTTAGAGACCACTGTTCATACTCAAAACGAGAAGCTTGATAAGCTTGAGGATCTCATCTACCGGATTATGCATCGGTCTCGAGTGGACGAAAATGCCCAGAATTTCAAACAGGGGAATCGTCAAAGTCCTACGAGACAACGATCTACTATTTCAGAATTGGAGAACTTGGATCCAGTCCAGCAAGAGTCAGCTGAACTGGAATCGCCATTAGCTTCACCCGGACAGAAACCTTCAAGCACAGCATGATACCATGGGATTCCCTCTATATGATATTACAGGAAATTGTAATTCCCTAATTTCAGGAAAGCAATACAACAAAGCAAACTCCCACACGCCCACACCAAATCTAGCTCAATGACGGCCCATATCCAAAGACATCCCATCGGAGGAGCTTGTTTCATGACCGCGTAATAGTCATACGTGTTTGTGATATGTATGAGATAGCTTCCGGCAGATATACTGCCTATAAAGAAGAAACTCTGGTGAAGGATATGCTGTATTTGTGATGGTAGACGCGGGAGGAGGACTGGCGGCGACGGGTGGGGATGTAGGGAATAGATGAGAAAGAGGAATACTAGTTGTAGAGATATACATTAGTATAAATTCCACCAAGGTTGAATCGGAAGAGCATACCTGGAAAAGCCTGGGCAGACCTAGTCATCAAATTGTCCCACTCCATCTCGACAGCAAATTGACGTGCAACCAAAACATCCATGGTAAAGTGCAGCATGGTGAGACTGATACTCCAGAATATCGACTCTGACAGCCTTCCGATGAGGGGTTCTTCGTCCTCTGCCGGTTCAGCCTTGTCTTTCCCAATGGCCTGGGGGATATTCAGAAGCCCACGCTGATCTGCCAGTTGGAGGAGTGTCTCCTGTGATGGATCCGGTCCTGATCGATCGGGCTTCTTCAACTTGATCTTAGGATCCTTTTCTTTGCGGTTTCGTGCCATGGTTGGTCGCTGTTGATACGTAGCCTTGAGGCTGAATATTGTGTTAATCGCTCTCTCTCTCTCTCTCTTCTCCTGCGGCAATCGAGATTCGCAAGACAGACAAACTTCTAAATGTCGAAGCTCAAATTAAGGTTATGTTCCCCAGCCAGTGGGCGTCTTGATCCTTCCGGCAATGCAATGCACGCTGCAGCAGACCCCTGGGCTGTCAATTTCCCTAGTACAGAGGCAGCGGGCCGGCATAATGCTGGCATCTCTGGGAAATTTCTCTCCATAAAAGTCGCAAGGTGGCATCTCCTATCCCGCCCGCTTCTTATCATGGACGCGATTCCCCCCTCCACTCCCCTCTTCCACCATTCCTCTTCCTTCCTGCCCGCACAAACTTCAACATGCAATGGTTCACCCTCTTCGCCGTGCCAATTCTCGCAGTCGTGACCTGGCTGTATACCGTCTCAGTGACACGCTCGCGTTTCCCGAAACTTAGGAACAAGCGCATTTGTTTGTTGATCGCGCATCCCGATGACGAGGCTATGTTCTTTGCGCCAACGGTGCTGGCGCTCACAGAACCAAGTCTGGGGAATCATGTCAAGATCCTGTGTCTGAGTAGTGGTACGTACTTCCTGGTAGCCATTGGCGCATCTTGAACACATGGAACGGGAAGTCGCGTGCGACAGGACTAATAGCTTCACAGGAGATGCAGATGGACTTGGAGAAATCAGGAAGAAGGAGTTGATCAAGAGTGGAATGCAATTGGGTCTACGGAAGGAGGACGACGTGTTCGTGGTGGAATCTCCGTGAGTATTGCCTCTCAATTCTACTTGCGACACGAGGCTAACATGGAACCTGCAGCGAATTCCCAGACTCCATGACCGCAACATGGGACAAGGTCAAGATTTCCTCGCTCCTCTCCTCTGCCTTCGCGCCAAATCTCTCGAAACCAATGACCAAGAAATCCTCCGACCAACCTACTGCCACAATCGATGTTCTCATAACATTTGACTCCCGTGGCATATCCTCCCATCCGAACCATATATCCCTCTTCCATGGCGCGAGACATTTTATTGGCAGTCTTATACATAACAGGCCCGGTTGGCAATGTCCTGTCGATCTGTATACCCTAAGCACTATCTCGATACTCCGAAAATACACCAGTTTCCTGGATGGCATATCGAGTATGCTAGGCATGGCAATTAGCAAGAAGCAGATGGGAGACCATCCATCTCCACTCCTCTTCTTAAGTGCGCCCCAGGAAGTGAGGATTGCACAGAAGGCGATGACTGATGCGCACCAGAGCCAGATGAGGTGGTTCCGGTGGGGATGGATTGGGCTGAGTCGGTACATGGTAATTAATGATTTGAGACTAGAGAAGGTTACAGGGAAATAATAATCAATGGGATTTGGGAGGCTTGGGGGCTTTTATAAATATGGTAATGGGACATGAGGATTAGGGTCATAGGCATGTGTGATGGTTTCTGTATATACAATATAATACACATACCTCTTGAGAAATCCCCCCGTAAGTATGCGGTGGACTTTTTGGATACTTTCGCCTCACTTCATCCTCTAAACTCCTTTATGTCTTGCAGGTTCTGTTCCTCTTTCTCTGGAATATCTCTTGCTTTTCAGAAACGGTACAGTGCCTACTATGCACTGGTTTGAAGGCCTCTTCATGTTAGACGAATATTGCATTGCGAGGTGTTGGCACGGGTCAAACCACGCCCATATGAGAGGAAAAGCCACAGCCTTTGGAATAGTTTCAGTTGTAAACGATAGTGCTTAATCAAAGCTTGATCTTACCCGAAACGTAGGAAGGCGTCCCGACTCCTAATTCTCCGAGTCTTCGGCAGCGGGCCGATGATTTGGGGATTTTTGCTGGGGCGTCGGCGCCCTGTATGAGGTTACACATTCGGCACCTAGCATAATGTGTGACCAGTAGTATCAGTGGAAATCTAACCTTGCATCTGCAAGCCACTTCACTACTTCATAGTTTCCAACCTCAGTATTTCATGATTGTTGTTACTTATCATCTCCAACCTCCAAACAAAGTACTATCTATAGCAAAGAACTAAAAGCCATCAGTGAAGATGCCACCATCATTCCAACAGTAGGTCCTGATTCGCATATGGCTTTGTCACGGCTGGTCTGCCCCAGACTAGATAGAATCCTATACCCATGAACCTTACTGACCGGTTTTCTAGAATCCTCAGTTCCAGACTCTTCAAGTTCACTGTGGGAGAAAAGACCGACGGCAGCCCAACCGAGTTCAATGTCCACGAAGAAGCATTTGCAGCCCTTTCCGAACCGCTCTCTAAACTCATGAAAGGAGGCATGGCAGAGTCCCAAGCTGCGAAGACGAAGTGGAACGATGTGAACAAAGAGACGTTCGAAATGTTTGCTCAGTTTGCCTACACTGGCGATTACTCTATACCTAAGACGAAAATGCGGGCTGCGAAAGAGAAGATTACAAACGACGCTCCAGTCGATACTTTTAGCGGAGAGGTGAATGGGCCGGTAACACCGTCACCGCTACCACCGTCATCGCCATCGGACTTTTGGTTTCCTGTCGAACCCAGGTCCGCCTTCGAGGAAAAGTGGGGAAGCTCAAGAAAGCACAAGTCGAAGAAGACAATGTCCCTAAAATCGACGATTTCGGATTTCCAGTCTTTGTCATTCCCACTGTCAACCTCGCGTGATAGTTATCTGAAAAGCTACGAGCCTAGTAAGGAGTTCAATCAGAATCAAGACTATTCCAACGTCTTCCTTGGTCACGCCTCATTGTACGTCTTAGGGGACCTTTGGCTTGTTGATTCATTGAAGTCATTGGTTCTATACAAGCTGCACAAAACACTGTGTGCATTTCAAATCAATAACGAGAGCGTTGACGATATCCTCGCACTTACGAGATATGCATATTCCGAGGAAGTGGAAGGGGCAGACCACGATGAAGGTATTGGAGGCTTGAGAAGTTTGGTGTGCCAGTTCTTGAAGCTCAATGCGGCGACTTTGTCTCTTGATGACGGTTTCATGAAACTATTGTGGGAGGGCGGTCCGGTTGCCACAGACATGTTCAAAGCTGTGGCCCAGATGTCACTCTAAGCTTTCAAGTTCATGATAAGTAATTGAACTCAACGATTTGCAAATGTCGTAGATGTTCCAGAGAAGAAATCTTGATGATCTTCATGTCTGCCCTTTGCCAGCCTTAAGCATACTTAGCAATGCAGAAACTTTCGTCTTGACACCCAGAATTTTAGCAACCTACAATGTCCGATACAATCGAATTAAAGAATTCATCGAATGACAAAAACCCCGGTGCCCGCCTGATCACAGCCGATCCAACTGACATTTTCTCCCGGGCCCCTTCCGTAGGATATAGTCTCGCGCAACCCCTATATAGTCCCCAACTGAAAACCGCGTGCCCCAAGAAACAGTGTAGAGCCGCCCAACAAGAGTGTACCGAACTAAGAAACGCACTTAAAGGGTACGAGGATGGCTTCCAGGATATCCAATGGAAACTTGCGCAGATCAAAGGGCGGATACAAGCAATGGAGATGGAGAAAGAGAAGGTCGGGAGGAAAGTCGAATGGCAGGAACTGGAGCTGCGGGACTATAAAGAGGAGCTGCAAGATTTAAAGGAGGAGCAAGGTAAATGAGTGTTGGCTTTGATGGGTAAGATTAGTAGCGGGGAGTAGATAAGTAGCTAAATTGCAAGAAATTTTAATGATACTTGAATAGATCGTTCGCTTGATAGATGGAATGGGTCTGGATCCTCACCTTGGGCTTGATGAATGTATAAGAATCCAGCGACGCAAACAAGACAGCTGAGCTTGCTTTCTTAGACAACAAACTGCATGACAAATTCCCTATCATGATTCATAAAATGACCCATTTGTGTTCGTGCAATCAGTGGATGGCGCTTGCTATTTTGTATGATGAAAGGTCCTCAGGAGTATTAACTGGCTCCTTCCTTCTCTCCCCATGTCTACTTCCGCTGGGTAATAAAAACACCCATTAGGAGCTCGACTTACTAATTCCAACATTCGATTTTCAGAACGTGTGACACAAGCACCAAACCAGAAAGCTCGTCGAAGGACATCAGATCAAACACTGGCAATACCCCCACATCAACATGCAACTTTATCCAGCGGACATAAGCAGATGTCCCAATCACAATGGCTACGTCTGACACCATCTCCCTCCTCAGACCGTGAGGAACTCATGCAAAAGCTTTGTAGCGTCTTACAAATAAAAGAGCGACTGGAGAAAGAGTATTAGGAAGGCAAAGAGTAAAGCGCGAAGAGGAAAGAGCTCGTCTAGAGCGAAAGAACCAAAATGATATTGATTGACCCTGAGAAGGATGTACAGCAAACCGCAAAAATGGCCCCGGTTACTATCGAATAATGTGACTTGCTAACACAAAAGCTCGACCGGACGGTCAAGAAGTTGGAGAAAGAATTCAAGCAGTTGGGTGAGGTTCTCAAGCAGCGCAATATAATGATAGAGCAACTTAGAAAAGAGAATAAGGAGCTCCAAAAGGAGGTGGAGCACGGTGACTGGAAGATTCTGCAAGCATCGAATGCTACCACAGATGAAGAGAAGCGGCTTTTGGAAAACAAGTGAAGGGAAAAGGAATGCTGTAGGGTAGCTGTGAAGGGGAAGGAGTCATGTTATTGAAAGAGGATTGAGGAGAGTAGTTTACTGAGTGAGTCTTGCATTATGAATCATAGGGTTTCTGGAGGGTTTGCGAACAATTGCTCTGGTATTTGCCATCATACAAACGGAAAGGTCTTCGAATGTATAAGTAGCCCCTCAGATCTTGCACCATCCAATTCCTAGCTGTAGAGAAGCAATTCTAAAACCCCTTTTGAACTTAGAGAAAACTACCACCACGATGTGCAAGAAAAGCGACACGAAGATGCCATCTTCAAAGGCCACGCCTCAAGACAACCAAAGCGATGGTACGCCAACCCCCCTTTTTGAAACGATAAAGCTAATAAATATCCTCCTTTAGGTTACGAAAACGCCAAGGAGATTAGCCAAGAACTTGCGGTCTTGAGACAAAAAGTTCACGACGAAGAACAGCAGTTCCGAAGGGCCATGGACCTGTTGTCCCAACAAGTCGAGAAGCTCGAAAAAGCAATCGAGAATTTGGAAAAACGTCAATCCTCCTAAGAAGACCAAGAAGCCTCGTGTGAAGACTCGGGGATCTGGTACACCATGTTGATTTTAGCTAAGGAATAGGCAAAAATGAAGAGAATGGGATAAATGCGCAGGGCAAAGGATTCTTTGAAGGAAAATTCGACTTTTAGGCGATTGCATCTGGACCCCTCACAATTTGGTCAACTTTGTAGAAACCTCCAATTTCACTGCTTAAACATTGATAATCATAATGTTTCTTCAAGCAAATTCGCATACCACTATAAAATAATGTGCAAACCATAGTCGAGCATTCCTGTACCTCATAGCGCTGGCTATAATACAAATTCGAGACAAAGAATGTCCGGAAGCGTAGGTACTAGCTTGTTCCCCATGTATCACTTCCGCCTTTGTGGCAGAATGGCTACCTTCATTTAGAGAAGCCCACCACTTGAAGCATAGATACATGCAAATGTAAATCACAATGTCGAAAAGGCGTAACTCGGGACTCCCGTCCAGGGACTTTCTCCCAAGAGACCGATCCTCCAACAACACCCAACAACCTCCTCTGTCCGTTAATCAACGTAAGCAAGGAATCATTGTAAAGCATAAATTTCCATACTAATAGCTATTTACCTTAGTAAATCAGCACATTGAGCAAATCAGACAACTCGAACATGAAAGAACTAACGTGGACCAGACCATTAAAGAATCCCGAAATGAGAACCAACAGCTCGTGGAACATTCGGAGAAATTCAAGAAAGAGACCGAAGTGATGCACCAGACGAATGAGCAGTTACGAGAGAGCAATGCCTCGTTGCAAGTAGAGATCCAAAGAAAACAGGAAATACTTGCAGGTGCGGCGAAGCAGGAGGAGAAGAAGGAAGGGAGGAACCGGCTGAAAAAGAAACGAGTCGTGTGATGCCGCTACCGTAAGCAAAGATGCTCGTTGAGAGTATACAAGAGGGTTTTGCTGAAGTTGGCTGTAATGGGAGGTAAGGGGGGTGGGTTTGTTGCTAGCTGAAAAGAAAAATATATGTTAGGCTTCGCCTGAAACTTTGACTTGACGAGTCTGAGACCAAGAGAAACAGCAAAGGGAACTAAAGCAAGAGCGCCGAGTGAAATTAAAAGTGCGACAGCTGCAAACAAGTTAATTGGAGTAGATATCTCCGACGCTCTATGTTTGATCCCTAGTGAACTAGTATGGTGCATCCTGGCGTGGGCGAACCCTCCATAGTCGAGGCTTATAGTTCCGAAGTACTGTTCTCAACCGGTCTCTCAGAATTGGACTCAATATATCTGCCCAGGAAAGCACCGCGAGATACGGACAATGTTTCGTTTCATCATCTGGCTCAAGTTCTCCTAGATTCCGTTCGAACGAGTCCAGGTGGTGGCGTATGAGCTTGTTCGAGTGTCCCATCCTCGCTTATTCAAGGCTTGATCCGGCTCATTATACTCGTAAGCTTGCGGTATGATGAGGTGTCGATAGATATCTATAAGTGTAGAAGGGAGGGGGATAATCGGGAGATAATCTGGGGAAAACACGAACGGCTGATCGCAAGGCTGGCGCACGGCTGGGGAACGTGGGGCTCCGGGTTATTGTTCTTCCACCACCGAGTGGAGTGGAAGTGGATCGCGAAATTTCACCCCAGCCAAAGCAAACGAGGGCAAGGCAAGGCAAGGCGAGGCAAGAAGGGAGGGCAACGCGACAACAATAACTCACTCGCTCTTTACAACAACAAATACACTCCTTCGCAGTCAACACGTCATGGCCGATGTTGACGATGGAGCTGCGGCTCCTGTTTCCGAGCCCCTTGATCTTGTGCGATTGTGTCTGGACGAAGTGGTGTTTGTGAAGCTAAGAGGAGATCGCGAATTGAAGGGAAGGCTGCATGTGAGGAGTCCCTCATCCCTCTGCACCACACCTGGCAGTACTGATGGGAAGACAGGCGTATGACAGTCATTGCAATCTGGTTCTGGGAGATGTCGAGGAGACAATCTACGTGGTGGAAGAAGATGAAGACGAGGATGGCGACGAGACCGTGAAGGTGGGGTTTGACTGAGCAAGATATACTTGGAGACTTTGCTAAGAAATATCTACAGACAATCCACAAGAAATCAGAAATGTTGTTTGTTCGAGGTTAGTAGGAGTAGAATCGCCTCATTTCACGGCCATTCAGTGGTATAGATAGCATCTGCTAACTCAACCCTCGACTAGGCGACAGCGTTGTCCTCATCTCTCCTCAAGGCCAGTCGTGAATTCGAAATACCCAGTAACCGTCGAACATCTACCGACGATCGTCCTACAAATATTTGAGGTTTAGTGAGGTATATATTGGGGTACGAGGGGAGGGGAGGGATGAAGCGGAAGAAAGGAGCACTGCATAGCAAGGCCCAAGCTAGAAGACTGGCAAACCATGGACAGAAGATATACCTCCCATATCATCTCATATTATAGATGAACAATGCGATGCGATTGATCCTCATGGCACAATTGGTTATAAAAATGGAATATACTAGGTAGCCTTCCCAACCCCAATGACTCAAAAATCCAAATGATTCATGATCCCTGATAAGCTTTCATCCCCCCTCCCCAGGCCGAAAGAGTCACCATCTGGAGGCTCAATACTTATAAACGAACCGACTCCCTGCCACTGATCCGATTTAACATGCACCACTACTAGGAATCGGCAGCTTTATTTATTTAAATCGTTACAAATGATCTTACGGATACGCATACAGATACAAGTACGAATACAAGTACAAATACACTAGTTCCCTTGCAACCCCGCCTCGCCGCATCGTCAGCAACATCGAACAACCCACCCCAGAATGGCCAGCAAAGGCAAACAGCTTCCCCACGAGCGGCGGAAAGGCGAATCTGTGTGTAGTTCTACTCTGTCAACAACCATTCTTTCTCCTTTCTAACGTCAATTCCAAGGCATTGAGTGAGTTCGCCGACTACGTCGAGAGGCAACAAGCCATTCGTTACCCCTCTGCCGCCAGCGCATCCACGACCGCAGTGCCATCTTCTACCAGCTCTGTGACCGCTGTAGAAGACCATGCCGAGCTTGATCTTCTCCTAAATTCCCTCGACCTCGCAGATGACTCTCCAGCCGTACGACTAAAAGAGCTGCTCTTGAGCAACGACGGCGACACTCTTACGAAGTTAGTCAATCTGTTGGAATCGCGGATAGCGGAGGGTCATGGCGAGACTGTCTTTGAGCTTGGATTTGAGAATAATGGCGAGTCAATGGCTTTGACCAAAGACGAATGGGATGTGGCAATCAAGAGACTCAATGAGGCTGCGCGGAACTGCCGTGCCGATTGCCAAATGCTGTTGACGAAACACGTTGGTGGAGATGCCGAGGCCGAGAGCGCTGCCAGCGAGAAGGAGACTGATTGCAGTGGGAAAATCATGATACGGCAACATCCTGCTACCGTTGAAGGGGCCATTGAGACCCGAATCGCTGTGGTTGGAAATGTCGATGCTGGGAAGAGTACCATGCTGGGTGTTCTCGTAAAGGGAGGCCTCGATGATGGCCGAGGGAAGGCTCGTGTCAGTCTATTTCGGCATAAACACGAAATCGAGAGTGGACGAACCAGCTCAGTCGGAATGGAGATCATGGGATTCGATACTACGGGAAAAGTTGTCGCATCTGATGTCCCTGGACGCAAGTTGTCTTGGGAGGAGATTGGTAAACGATCTGCTAAAGTTATCACTTTTACTGACTTGGCGGGTCACGAACGATACCTTCGTACCACGGTCTTTGGGCTTCTTTCTTCCAGCCCCAACTACTGTCTACTAATGGTAGCTGCCAATAACGGTCTCATTGGCATGAGTAAAGAGCATCTGGGAATCGCCTTGGCTCTCAATGTTCCAGTCATGGTAGTCATCACCAAAATCGATATCTGTCCGCCACAGATCCTGGAGCAGACTGTCCAACAGATCACCCGAATTCTCAAATCCCCAGGGGCCCGCAAAATCCCCATTTTCATCAAGAACCGAGAAGAGTGTATCAATACCGCCACTCAATTCGTGAGTCAAAGAATTTGCCCCGTCTTCCAGGTTTCCAATGTCACCGGAGAATCCCTTGATCTCGTCCGAACTTTCCTCAACATTCTTCCACATCATGGTCATTACGATGCCGACGCTCCTTTCGAGTTCCACGTAAATGACACCTTCTCTGTCCCATTCGTAGGCACTGTCGTCTCCGGAATTATCAAGTCTGGAGTCATCCACGCCGGTGACACAGTCCTTATTGGTCCCGACTCACTGGGACAATTCACGACCACAAATATACGATCCATCGAGAGGAAACGAATATCCGTTCCAGCTGCATCCGCTGGCCAATCCGCCTCCTTTGCACTGAAAAGAGTTCGTCGGAAAGATGTAAGAAAAGGAATGGTCGTCCTGCCAAAATTAGAGCAGAACTCCCCTAAAGTGCATCGAGAGTTTGTAGCAGAAGGTACCTCTCCCTTCCCTTCCCCCCTGTCAAGCAGTACTAATCCGAGCACATAGTACTTATTCTCTCCCACGCAACCACCATCAAAACAAAATACCAAGCCATGCTTCACGTCGGTCCCGTTTCGCAAACATGCGCCATTATTGACATCGACCGCTCTTACATCCGTACCGGAGACCGCGCTACCGTTGCCTTCCGCTTCGTGCAGAGACCGGAATATCTAGCGCCGGGTGATCGATTACTGTTTAGGGAGGGGCGGACTAAAGGGCTGGGGATTGTGAAAAGTGTAGGGTATGATCCGAAGCAACCGTTGAATCCAAAGCCAGTGAAGGAAGGTGAAGAAAACGAGAACGGAAAGGCCGTTGAGACTGGTGTCGCTGCTTCTACCAGTGTGGCTTGATTTGTATAGGGAACTGGCTTTTTTTCTTGTTCATTTTGTACTTTCTATTTTTGGGCGCGTTGGTGATTGGCAGGAGAATAGGACACTTTTTGCTATAGCATTAGAGCTAGCTTATTTGCATAAGGACCTGGAGTTTGGGTTACTTGTACACTTGTCTATTTACTTGATTATGAGATGACTTCATCATATTGCAATTACTCGGTTGCAAGTAAGTAATTCACTGGCTTGCACTATGAGCCTCAATTGATGTCAAGACAATTGACCAATTTATATGCGAATCACTATATACCTAGGTAGAATACCCGTGTTGTTCACGGTTTTAGCTAGTGAAGACGCCTAATAATTGCCCTACGGACAGCGTCCGATTATTTTTAGTAATCGGATTCACCAGATTCTTCTTTGCTAGATACTCAAATCGCTGCAATAGGCACCACGATAATAGTTTTCAGGACAAAGAATTCGACCATAATCTTGTTGAAGCACGCATGGTATCTCTGAGGCTGTGATATCAGCAATCTGGATATGAATATGGGGAGCCTTGAGCCCTTCGCCTTCTGGATTCGATACTCTCCACTTGGTGAGTAAAGGGGGCTTAAGCGACGGCAAATAGGGGCCTCGGCTGAAGTAATCTTTCTACATAAAACGCGCAGGCGTTACCATGTAATTTAAACCCATGTCCAACGTCACGTTTTCTCGCGGCAACGCGTTTGCTCTTTTCGTCGGAATCAAGACTTGTCTTGTTATGTTTTCATCCAACCTCGTGCTTTCCCCTCGCTCTTCTTGTTAATATTCCATTTTTTCTCGCCCCCGGATCCATCTGCTGCGAGTACTCGCCAAGGATATAATAAACAAAGACGGCATCCACATCCCAACACTCGATCGTGATTGAGGAGCAATAGCAACGCATTGTCCACCCCATTAGCACATAGGTGAGCATTGTCAATACTCTTTCGCTTGTCCTGTGATTGCATCCTGCAATGTGGAGTGGAGTGCGGGGGACTATTGCTAGAAGCATTGGAAGCCTTCTTGTCTACCCTGTTCCACTAGCTAGAGACGCAACTATCTCCCCGCGCGGTCGATACCATTATATGCTCATTGTGTTTTCTCACTGTTGTACATACTGATACTCGAATAGGACAGCAATTTCACAAGACTAGGTTGACATTAAACGCAACTCTTCCCTCCCAACAAGTACGTCGTACCCGCCGGCTACAGACATCGCGCCGCATGGCATTTGCAGTCCCACACACCTTCATCTGCAGATAACACTAACCAATCCCTTTTAGACACAGTATATCTCCCCACACTCAGACCACACGCCCGAATACCCCCGCCTCCGGAAACCGGTGGATCGAAAAACCCCAAAATGTCCGAAAATGGCAGCCCGGTCCAGGAGAAGCCAGAGAAGCCGGAAGCCCTGAACATCAAGGTGAGGGACCAAGACGGCAACGAGATGGTCTTCAGGATCAAAGGCCACACGCGGATGCAGAAAGTCATCGACGCCTATTGCAAGGCCGGCGGTATCGACCCGCACTCTCGCCGGTTTACCATCGAGGGTCATCGGATTCAGAATCAAGATACGCCCACGTCGTTGGAGATGGAAGATGAGGATATTGTGGAAGTCTTCGTGGAGCAGCAGGGAGGTGTTCTTTTGCGGTGATTTATTATATACTGGTCATGCATGGGTTATTGTTAGTGGAAAATAATCGGCGAGTATTGGAGTTATAGGGGTATGTTTTTGGGTCAATATGGTCAATATGGGATGGCGATTCTTCTTGCGGGATACTAGTGCGCTAAAATATAGACATCGTATGGAACTCTATGGCTGTTCATACCTATCCGCTTACTTTCAAGTCGGACCTCGAAAATGAACCCCCTACTTTTTCTTGCCTTTCTCCAGTCCACCCAAACGGCTAGAAATTGCTACGTACCTTATGCAACGCACTTCACTCATCTGCTGAACCGACACCCTCGGTACATTACGGAGGGGAGCGGCACGGCACGACTGCACAGTGTTGAGATCCGGAGCTGTCGGAGAAAAAGCAATGTTTAAGATGCTATGTTTGCTGGTTTAAAAGGCCGCATGATGAATGCCTTGTACATGGTTGCCTAGCCAGGTAGGTATGCCGAAGGAAGGGTATATCGACAGCAATACTTGGAGGGAGGATAGGGGGGAATACATGGGTATTGATGTAAGGTCAAGGGAGATGATTATTGGCACGAGGCAGCTGTTAGATTATGCTATAGTATGAAGCCCAGATAAATGCGCAAGCATGTGGGGATTTTTCTTCAAGTAAGGGACTATCGCAGCCGATCTACACCTTTTGAGTGCAGTAAGTTCTTCTTTCCGCGCCCATCAAACTCCATAGCAATGTACACGTCACAAGCAGGGGACGAGAGTTTTCTTTGAGGTTTTTGTATTTATGTCCACTAGCACACTTTTCGGTTTCTCCAGTGACTCCATTCCATAGTCGTCTAAAACGCATCTGATGCAAACCATATCTTTAGCGCCTCGTTAATTGATTGAAAATCGAAAGTTGAAAACATTGTTAAACCTCGGTTTTAGCGCATGCTGCATCCAAACGCCCGCTAAAACGCCAATAGTAAAAAAGCAGTGACAAATTGTCAGACTGCTGAGAGAAGGTAACGTGAGATCGTGAGGCAATATAATGCAATGCAATGCAATACAATAAGCATGAACTGCGTGATCCAGGTGTTTACTGGCCATGTGCACCGGCTTGCTCGTAAACAACACCTCCCATGCCACCAGCCCCGAAGCCACCTTGGCCACCGTACAGGTCTCGTCCCTTGGCATCAACGGCCGGGTATCGGGCCATGAGCTCGAGATCGTCAAGCGGCTTGTGAGATCGGATATACTTTTCTCTACCATCATCGTTGGGATTGTGGTCCCAGCTGGTGAAATGACCTTGCTTGAGCGCAGACCAGACGAGACGGCGTTGGCGTTGAGAGAGGAGGACATCGGCAGTGATCTTCTTCAGGTCCCATTTTGCTTCAGCCTCTGCGGTGAACGCAGCAAGCGTATCCGCGACTTCAGATGTAACGAGAGAGTTCTTGGGCGACAATGAAGCTAGATTGACTAGTTCCTTGGGATCGGTGGCAAGGTTGTAAAGTTGAGGTGGATCGGCTGGGCACGTGATGTATTTCCATTCGCCACGACGAATCATCATCATCGGTGCAATGGTGCCTTCTCCGCAGTACTCGGCGAAAACAGTGTCAGAGCCACCAGGCCTGTTCTCGAGATGTGGGAGTAGAGAATTGCCATCCATTGGTAAGCCTGGCCAAAGCTTGGTGTGCACCAGGTCGACTAGCGTGGGGAGGATATCGAGAGTTGAGACGTTGGCGGAGACGCGGTGTGGTGGGAAGGCAACGGGATGATGAATCAAGAGTGGCACTCGGACAGAAGCCTCAAAGTAAGACATCTTGTACCACAGTCCTCGCTCACCAAGCATATCTCCGTGATCGCCACTAAAGACGACAATGGTATCTTGGTCCAAGCGGCAGTCCTTCAAGGTTTGAAGCAATTTCCCAATGCAGTCATCGACATAGGAAACAGCACCATAGTATGCACGACGGGCTCTCTTGACTTCGTCATGGGTGAATTTCTTGCCCCAGAGATCGCAAACCTTGAGTAAACGCTGGCTGTGGGAGTCTAATTCTTCTTGGGGGATGTTGACATCGGGGAGGTCAATATCGACATCCTCATACAAGTCCCAGTACTGCTTTTCAATGGTGTATGGGTCGTGAGGGTGAGTAAGCGACACGGTCATGCAGAATGGGCGCACGCTTGGGCCCTTTCTAACGTGGTCATAGAGGAACTGCTTGGACCTGGGCAAGCGAATTAGCATGAGTTTTGAAGAACCTAGCACAGAAGAGCATACTTGTACATGACCTCCTCGTCGTAGTCGAGTTGGTTGCTTCTAACACAGGGACCAGCTTGAAGAATAGAACTGGCATTGTGATACCATTCCAGTCTTCTGTCTGGCTCCTCCCAATCAACAGCCCAGCCATAGTCGCCAGGGTAGATGTCACTGGTCAACCGGCTCTCATAGCCATGCAATTGCTCTCCGATGAAGTGCATCTTGCCCGCCAGCGTAGTCTCATATCCAGCGGCTCGGAGGTAGTGTGCGTAGGTAGGAATGCTGGGGTCAATGGAAGCGGCATTGTCATACGAGCCAATCTTGGTAGGGAGTTGACCGGAGACCATGGACATTCGAGAGGGGGCGCAGAGAGGAGAAGGGCAGTATGCAGAATCGAAGATGACGGAACCCGCGGAGAGGGCGTCGAGGTTGGGGGTCTTGATCTGGGACTTGGGGTTGTGCATCTTGAGCAGCGGGGCGGCCAGCTGGTCTGCCATGATGTAGAGGATGTTTGGTCGCTTGGCCGGAGTAGGCGCAGGTGGAGGTGCCATGTCGGGAATGCTCCTACCGTTGGAGATGTTTGGGGTAGATTCTCTTGGAGAGAGAGGCACCGAGTTGAGGTCGGGAGCCATAGTACCGTGGGCAGTAGAGTTGTGATAGTTGTTTGCGTAGGCAAGTGGGCAAACAAGTATGTATGTTCCTGGCTCTTGACTTTAGAGACACAGTGCGGTGCGGTGGGTAGATTCAGAGAGGACTTAGTCTTGAGCTGGAGTACGTATGAAAGAAGAAGTACAAGCAAGAGATAACGCAGGTACAGAGGGAGAAAGGGGGATTATAAACGTGGAGAGGAGGGGGAGGGGAAAAGTAAGGTGAAGGGCAGAGAAAGGCGGTCTGTCAATGACCGTAACAAAAAGGAATGATATGCTGGTGGAGCAATGGATTAACGGGTAGGAGGAGCAGGAATAGGATTACTGTACGGGATGGTATGGTGAGCAATGGAGAGCGATGTTGCCATTGCTCTACCAAAATTCGCAATTCTCAGTGATGGCGTGCGCACACTTTCCCATTTAGGCGGTCCAACCCCACTAGCGCCTTTGTCACTCACTCGGCTTCGCGGGTCTTTCACTCCATTTCCGCACTTCTCTCGCCCTCTCGCTCCCCTCTGTTTCATCTTATCGGCAGCCTGCCTGCACCCAACCTAACCTTATCTATCTCATCACAGAGCCGCGCCAGGCATTCCAACCCACCACCATATCCCTCCTTTAAATTCGCCAACGACTTTTGCCGTCCTCCATCGTACAAATTTCTTCAAATTCACACTCAGCGAAAATCATAGTATGTCCTGACCTGAGTTCAAAATTTGTAGCGCTACATGTTGTCATTCTCGAAATCTGCGAGCTCTGAATAGCCTCACGATTACCCTTTTGGTCCGTCGCGCCAGGCATCTCTGCAGTTTTCCCACCCGAATCTGTCGCCTGCCTGATCCCTCCTGGAAATTTTCGACAAATGAAAAAATGCACAGTCCCATGTGACCCTTCTCGCACCGTTATCCATTCCGGGCTATCGAATCCTTTTGATGAGTTGGCTACCACATCGAGTGGTGCCAGCCGCTCTCGCATCGCACTCATGTTGTTCTCCCATCCTCAAAATGAGGATATGGGGGGGTCGACGAAAATATGTCAGCCTTGCATAATGTTGGCTTTTCTTGCCATGGCACGATCCACTCAAGCAAGGGGATTTGAGTGGGAAGAGCCTCGTCGTTTGTGTTCCCTCATATCCCGACCGTTGTGCGCGTCATGGCCCTCTCGTCCTTGGGTCGCAAAATGGCTCTGAATGCCCTTAGTACCAAGTCGGTGGCTTCAAACGCCATTTCTCAGTGCTCGCATTGGGTGGACATCCTGGGGGAGCTCAGGGGGGGGGTGGGGTCAGTCGTACAGGGAAGTGAGTGCCACGCGAGCCACGCGCATGTGACTAGTTTGGAAGCACGCACGACACGTCCGTCTACTTTATCAGTTCTACAGTTCTATCTCTACGGAGTACTTCGTATTCTCATCAGCTTGCATCATGATGGTGGCGTCGGGAAAGCCCAAGTGGGTAGGGTAGGTATAGATTGAAAAGGAAGTGGGATTTCTTTCCATAATCGGTACAAGTCTTCACGAGTCAAACACCAATCAAAATCATGAGTTCTTGGTGGCTCCAGGGGCTTCCGTCAATCCTCAAGATAAGGACGTCTCCAGCTCCGTCTAGTTTTACAATATGATTATTAAACCTCGCCTGACCAGAATACTTCTTAAAGAGACTTAAAGAGACACTAGCACAATAATGGTTATATATATAAATTATATATATAAATCTAGTAAAGGTGATGGTTTCACGTGGTAGGCCGTTCCGGTTCCAAGCTCTAGCGTCTTTTGGGCTCTGAAGGAAAGTGGGGAGTGGGGTAGGTTCACCTCTTTGAAGCGTCACTTGGAACAGCTGCATCAATGAATGCTATTGCTCTTCACAACAAGAGGACACGTGATGATTACTCTCATTTCTGGGCCATTGAAACACAAGCACGAAAATGGCGAGGATTAGTCGCACGGATGAACGAAGGAGGAGGACTGGATGTTGGACGTGTAAAGGTTGACAATGTCTACTCCCTTCGAAGTGATCTCGGAATTGACATCTTATTGCAGAGCAGCATGTCCGATGTACAGAGGAGAGCCCCATCTGTTCGCGATGCTCAAGGTTGAATCACACTTGTAATTACGAATTGCGGCTTCTGTGGAAGGAGGATGCTGCGCAAAGAGGTATCGCTTTAGGTCGTGCAGGTGAGTAATTTAGTCTTGGCACATTTACTTATACTCATTCCCATTAGGCAAGTGGTCAAAGGCTCCCAAGCCTTCGAAAAAGGCCACAGCACATAGTGTCTTCGAGCCTATGAGCTTGGATAATTATATTGGAAAGTGGATCTTCTTAAACGTAACGGTGCAAGACTTCCAGAAGTGCTCCCTCGAAGTCGATGATCCGGAATCTACAGAGGAAATAGAGACCAGAGAAGAGAGGTCCGCCGCCGATAGTCTTCATCTCACCACCAGCAAGATATCAATTCTAGACAATAGCTGTTCCCCCGAGACAAGCTTTACAGTCTGGCCCCCACTTTCGACATCGCTCCAACAATACTCCTCTGTGGATGGCAATCTCTTCGATTATTTCATAACCGTCATATGTCCAAATTGCTCACTCAGCTCCTCCCAGAATCCATACTTGACCTTCCTTACTCCAATGTCATTCGAGTTTGCGCCTTTAAGCAGTGCTCTACTGGCCGTCTCAGCAAACCAACTTTGGCTGCTAAATGATAAGAGGTTCGAGAAAAAGGCCTGTGTTTATAAGAATAGGGCTATTCGAGGTGTACAGAATGCGATTGATTCTGGGAAGGTTGACGCCGGAGTGGTTGCTACAGTTTTAATGTTGTGCTTTTACGACGTAAGCACGTGTGGAACCCCCCTCCCACCAAGTCCTTGTCTGATAACCCAAAGATAGATCTCGGATGGATGCAATCCATCTTGGGTTACGCATCTTCGTGGCGGCTTGTCTCTCCTAGATGGTCTTTCGCAATCATCTAAAAGTGTCACAACAAGCGAAGCGAGTCTTCACGCTTTCCTACGCATGTATTTCGTAGCTCACGCCATCATGAGTCGAACAGCACACGAAGATGACATTACAGAGCAATCATTCACCTGGTCATCATCTGACAGACTTGACGAAATTGATGTATTGATGGGTTGTTCGCGAGAACTGATGGATCTCATCCAGAGGATCCCAGCTCTGGCTTCGGAGGCAGCAAAGGTAAACCCGTCTTCCCATTTCAGTCAGAAACTACAGCTTACTAAGGAGTCCCAAAGGTCATGCAAGATGAGTCTTCCACCGCGGCTGATCTCGTCGCTTTATATAACACTCGTGAGAGCATCGAACGCTCTCTCCACTCCTTAGAACAAACCTTGCCCGCCGGGACCATCGCCCCCTCTGAACTCTCTCTCATCGCCGAAACAAAACGCCTTACCGCTCTACTGTACCTACGTTCCCGCCTCTCATCTCTCGACACCCTATCGGGGACGAACCATTCTGGCCCGAGCACAGGTTTCAAGTCCACCCTCATCAACTCAATCGTAACTCTCATCGCCGAACTCCCCAACTCACCCACGCTGCTGTGGCCACTCTTCGTATTGGGGAACACATCGGGTGGCCTAAATGAAGAGCAGAGGAGGTTCGTCCACGAGCGCCTGACCAGTATGCAGAAAGTACGGAACCTAGGCAGTGTACGGAAAGCGAGAATCTTTGTGGAGAAGTTCTGGCGGAGGACCGATTTACGAGATAATGAGTTTAACGATGCTGGGGAAGGAAGGATGGTGCCAAAGTCTGGGAAGGACTGGGATCATTTGATTAGTCTTGCGTGAGGTGTACATGATGATTCGATGAGGATCATCGCACTACTCGACAAGGGCAGGAAATGGGCAACTTGACCTGGGCATGTGGACATTAGCAATCTTCATCTCCGAATTTGAGCCTGCGCTATTGCTGCTCCAAGCTATGCTGTAGGTGAGCAAGGCTGAGCCAGGCTGAGCAGCTGAGTAGCTGAGTCCAAAAAGTGGGCTGAAATAGTGGCAGAAGGCGACCTATCCGGGCTCTCTGGCCACGGCTACTACTTTACCGCAGGCTAATTCTGGATCCTACTCCGTCAACAAGAGTCGTGCCAAAGAGACTAAAAGGGCCTCCAGATAGCTTTTATATACTTTAACACTCGGGATATTAGGACCGGGATATTAGCCAGATAATTTTTAATCTATAATTGCAAATACTTCCGCATCTTGCACAAGAAAGAAACATTCCTGAGAGCATAATTGCCGCATATTAAGACTATCTCATGACTTTCCAAAGAGCTGATTATTATTTATAGATGATATCAACCGATGAACCCTGGAGTGAAAGACTTCGCTATTTAGAGCTTCATAACTTTCGACATCTGAACATCCTTAATATCCTGCACATGGCCGACTCTCCAAGAAATGTCCTCACTTCCCTTGACGACTGCCTTCCATTTCCAGCGCTGGGTACTTTGCATCCCAGCTTCCAATACCCGTTGCACCCATTCCCCAGCAACGGGCAACATCTTAAAAGCATGTCCACTGTCAGCCGTCACGACTACTAATCCCCTACACCCCGGCACGAAATCAATAACATAGTCTGAATCCGCAGCATCACCACACCAGCATATGAATTTATCAATCAATTCCCGGCCTGCGTATTGCGGCATAGTCTCCGCGATTAACCTCTTTATCAAGTTCTCGTCCTCGCGAGGAATCCCTACTATTGACGTACTGGGGACAGACAGCTTGGTACCGCTCCCAGAGTCGGATACATAATTCGTATATCCAGCCCCGTTAGCACAGAGTTTTATCTTGTGCGTATCATCATCCGGCTCGAAGAAGAACCCAAGATCCCTGCAGTTGACAACCGGACACCCTTTCATCACTATCGCCTCGCTCGGTGTAAGTTGTATATGTGCAACCGCCCATGCTTTCGCCATCACCTGCTCTGCGATTCCTGGTAAAAGGGTGCCGATATGCGCTCCCAGACAAATAATTGTCTTTGACGCCGTGTGCGTCGTGCCGCTCTTGGTCTTGACGCCAATGCATTCCTTCTCCGCCCCCACGCTCGCCGTGTATAGGATCTCGACCGCATATCCATCGTCGCCTGTCACGAATTTAACGCCGAGGTCCGAACACACTGCTGCTGCGTGTTCTAGGGCTTTGGCAGCTCGCGCGTAGCCAGCGTGCTTGTTGATGTAGCCAGTCCAGCCTTTCATTGGCCCTTCCAGCATCGGCGCTGCATTGTGAATATCCTCTGCGGTGGTTACGGGTGAGAAGGAGCCAGGTGGGAAGTCGGGATGGCTTTTGATCGAGAGGAAGGACTTGTGAAGACTATCGCGAGCCTTTTCGGGCGAATTCGCAGATGTTGCGAGGACGTAGCCTAAAAGCCGAAAATAGGGAGCCCAGAATGGCGTCTGCCATTGTGTCATTGCATCCTGTTATGTACAACTTGCATCAGTACTAGTTTCCCGGTCAATGTTCACCTTTCTGATTAAGACCAGAGGGGGAGGGCTGAGTGCATACAAGTGCCAACTCCGTATAAAAAGAATCTTCATATTCTGCCCTCACGATCTTGTTCAGATCATTACCGGCAGAGTATAGGCTTGGCACGTTTTCACGGTCAAGAACAGTGATATTGGTGTATCCATCTTGTGCCAGATGAAGGGCGGTTGAAAGACCGAAGACTCCAGCACCAACGATTAAGATGCTGGATTCTTTAGATAATGGGCTTTGTATGGGTGACATTCTGGGCTCTGGGGTTTAGCCATTGTAGCCATGGGAAAGGAGGCCTTTTTGAAGCAATATGAAGCTGCTCGTGGCAACGTGTTGGTGGTGAGACTTGATAATGAGGAGGAAGGTCGAAGAGATGGCGCTTGCCCGGAAATGGTAAATGGGCACCCCCACCATAGCTACTGACCCCGCAATCAACGCCAGACCTCCAATTAAACATACAGCCGTACAAATAACTAGTGTCAAAATCGCGATTTGGCCGGAAACACTAAAAAGTGCAAAAGACCTTCGATAATAAGTTTACCTTAATTTGCCTTAATAAATAACTTGATAACTATATATCAAGGAATTAAAGTAACTAGCTAGAATCAAAGCGCTAGTATAGAGCTATTATCTAAATAGAGGACTAGGACTTATTATACTGTACTATTATAACCCTTGGATACTAATATTACTTATATTCAAGAATTACTGTATAATCTAGATAGTGCTATTATATATAACTTTGTTAAAATATTTTACATACTAGTTATTTAAATAGCTGTACTTTAACTAGAAATGCAGACACACTAGGACATATAACTATAGATAAGTATCTAGGGTAATATTAAACGGCGCACTTTTTTGAGGCAACTTGATAAAAGGGTTGCGTGGTTTTGGATCGTACGATGAAAATAATAACTCTTGGGCTATTTGGAAGTTACTTCCGTGTATTACCAAATCACTACTTCTATATACGTCAAATTATGACCCCAAGTTCATGGCTAACAATCTTCTCTGTCTCAGATATACATTCTCCATTGTGCAAGTTTTTTGTAGCCCGTTGACGTCAATCCCTGCTACAGCTCTATATCATTCAGGGCTTGCAATTCCGCGCTTCTGGTCTCGAAAGGTCATTCGCAAGGGCTCTGGAGGTTTTGGAGCTCTTAGTAATTATCCATGATTCTTATAGGTCGGCATTTATAGTCGTTCTTCCTATTCTTCCTGCTCAGGGGTGAATTTTATTGTTATCTAAGAGTAAAATTGAAAGATGGACTCCTTAGAGCCATTGCAGAAACAGTAATTCTAGCGGAAGTATATCTTCTAGATTTCCTAGTGCGTTGCTAGGTAAATCAGGTAGTGTGAGTGAACAATTCAGCATAGAGCAGAATGAGCAATGTTTGAATTCCGATTTATCTACCGCTACCACGATCATATTCCATAGCACCAACCTCCCTCTACTCTCTATGTAGTATATCTGAATCCCTCCTACGAAACGTGAGTAAATATTCTTTCAAGCCTCTAAAATTGGTAGGGGGTTATGGAAATTTTCTCACCTGTTGCTGATCCGTCAGATCCATAAACCCATCAACAATCTCCTCATTATGCTCCGTCGCCCTTGTATCATTCCGTCTATTCTGCGCAAGTGCAATAGCCCAATAGCCTGAGATCAAAGCAATGCACACGCAGTAACAAACAATCATAGATATAGTCCCTCCAGTGTACGCAGGTGCTTGCGACGCTCTGAAGGTCTGTGGTCCGATCAGATTTCCGACAGCGTACCCAATATAAAGAATGGCAAAGACGACGGTTTTCTTCGTGTGTCCTGCTGTGTTAGCTTGCGCAAGAGAGATTCCTGGAGAGCTAGGTTAATACAGTACATTAAAGCAGGGATGGTTCGAAGGACGTACCAACAACGTAGGGTCCGAAATAGGTATACAGGAGGTAAAGCCCGACCATCTGACCTCCCTTGTTGGATCTTGGTAAAGCATATACCACGGCAGTACCGATGATGGGGATGCAACACGCTATAATAGTGATGAGACAACGACGATTATGCCATTTCGCAGCGATGAGGGAAAAGATAAAGGCTGAGAGAGTAGACATTACGCCTAGAATTATTTAGTATTTTAGTCCCAATACGCAAATTGCGCTATTGTTGATAAGTGGAACTGACCTGTAGGCATTGATAGAAGAGATGCGTTGACTCCGGAAAATCCCAGACCAGCAATTATTAGAGCCCCAAAGGTCGTGAGACCACCATTGGGGATGTTGATAGCACTGCATCTAATTAGACCCATGCCAACGTGCTGGAGTATGGAGGAGGTTTACATGTTGAAGAAGAACAGGATCCACGTCTTTGGGTCAAGGATTGCTTCGATCGCTTGATCCTTCTTGAAAGTCTTATTGACAATACCCGTCTTGTTCGCTGCGAGACGAGCGACTGCTTGATATCTCTCTTCGGCATTGAGAAAGCGAGCATTCATTGGGTCATCAGGAAGGTATATAAATGCTATGATTGAATAGAGCATCGATACAGATCCTATAATGTTTAGCTCAGGTCCAATCATAGGTCAAGAGTACGTACCGGTTAGCAAGAATAGGTATTGCCAGATGGCTAAAGGGGCAGTCTTCGGAACTGTATTTTATCATTAGCTATATACCCATCCGTAGAGGTTTGGGGGACATGCCATGACCAATAGCCCAGGATCTAAATTTCGAGATTAGTCGATTTAACAGAGTTTGAGCGCTTTTGATTACTTACAGAAATCCATTAACAACCGAACTTGCAGCGGCAAACACAAGCGCATTTCGTGGTGGCTGTTCCTCCTTTGTGTAGAAGCCAGCGATAATGAGACTAATTCCAGGAACAATAATAGCCTCTGCGGATCCCATAAGAAATCTGATGGCTGCCAGGCCACCAAAGTTGCGACATGCAGGAAGCAAGAGGCACAAGGCGGACCAGAAGATGGAGCAGCCACAGAGATACTTGGCACTTGGGAGGCGTTGAATCAGGAAAGATGAGAGAGGCATGCCAACAATAGCCTATAAAGGTTCAATCAGTACCTAAAGTAGTAGAAAGAGGGGCATAAATTACACCAAGGGACAAAATAGATCCAAGCCAGCTATACTGTTGACCATGGAGGTTGTTGTCTTTTTTGAGGCCATAGAGAGCCGCGGTTCCAAGAGCGACTTTATCAACGGCTCCAAGAGTAGCAACGAGGAACAACTAGAACATGATTAGATCAAGGATGACTTGAGCAAGGTATAGCAGAAACCCACCATAGGGACCATAACCCAATCAATCTTCCTCTTCAGGCGTTTCTCAGCCTCAGGCGAGAGTTCATCATATCCCTCAGTATTCAAGAGGAAATTGGCGGCCTTGTCTGCATCGACTGGTACAGCCACTTTCGCGTCGTGTGCTGTTGTATGCGTTGGAGTAAGAGCAACCTCAACATCAGGCGTCGCGCTGACCTTCTTCTCCATTGAAGATTTTGACATGATGAGATCAAAGTTGTTGATCAAGAGTCGATAGATGGATTAATGCTAAGAGAAACACAACTTCTAAGAAGGAAGATTGGGAAAGACTCCTAAGTTTATATCTGCCCACAGCTAGAGGAATGAAAGATAAAGGAAGTAAGTAACTTGCCTCCTATCCCAGGTCAGCAGCGATAGATACACGTTCGGAACGTGAAGGCTTAAGCCACTTGAGCCCAAGCTTGAACGTGCCATGAATCCAAGACCTGATAACGGGAAATTGAACCTTATCACACGCTTACTCGTTTCGAAAAGAGATAAGAGAGAAGAAGATGGTTGTTTAAGCGGTGGATAATAATCATTGGAAAGTTTGGGCCAGCTGGCTGGCTGGCTGACTAGCAGAATGTAAGGATTAGGCAGGGATTGCGAGAAGGTCGATACGACCACCAATGTCCTTCTCCTAGGTTGAGAGTGAGAGTGGTAGAGTGGGATGCGGGGCGGGTGTGGCGTTTAAGCGACCGTCGGTTCTATCGTGACGACCTTCTCTCTTTGACTGCGCATATCTGCGCTCTGCTGCAAAGACGCGCGGGGAACGTAGAAACATGGAAACATGGGGGATGTTCAAATCGTGAGTGAGGTCTACCATCGGATCGACCTTCTAGTATTAGTGTCGGTTCTTGTATCTGGCATGGTATTTCTGCTCCATCCAATGGAGCAAGCTACCACCGTGTCCGTCGTCGGCCGGTGTATATAATTGTCTCTCTCATATTATGCCGACATTGAACAAGTTTTCATCGCATTATTGTAATCTTATAATATCCCCCTCTTCTCATGTCCCTCGACCCCTTCCATCGAGCTGCCAGTCTATTCGAAATTTCTCATTACTATTTCTACCAAGATGGGGTCCATCATTCCAGAGACGAGGACTGAGAATATCAAGATTGCAATCGGTATGTTGCCCAGTTTACTATACCTGCCCCATTCTATACATGCCTCTGGAAGTGCTGACTCAAGTCTTCAACAGATCGTGGAGGAACCTTCACCGATGTTTGGGCCAGTGCTCCAAATAAGCCAGATGTGGTATTAAAGCTTCTTTCTGTGGATCCTGGGAATTATCAAGATGCTCCGACAGAAGGTATGTCTACTCTTCCGTCATGTGACCAAATTGTACCTGACGTTCCCCAGGTATCCGACGTGTGCTGTCAATTTATGGCGGCTCAGAAATTCTCAGGGGGAGACTATTACCAAAAGATAACTTAGAGATAGTCCGCATGGGGACAACTGTCGCTACAAATGCCCTTCTGGAGCGGAAAGGTCGGCGCCATGCTTTCCTAGTGACCAAAGGGTTCCGGGATCTTTTGAGGATTGGATACCAATCCCGTCCCCGGCTTTTTGATCTTGACATCGTCAAACCAGAAGTCTTATTCTCCGAGGTCCATGAAACAGATGAGCGGGTGACCATTGAGGGTTTCGATGAAGATTTCGATGGAACAACCAAGACAGATGTCGAGGAGATTCCGGGTGTCCTCGAGCGAGGCTCCAGTGGTGATCTGATGCGAATCCTGAAGCCTCTCGACGAAGAAGCCGTGAAGGCCAAACTCTCGGAATTACGAGCAAAGGGTATTGATACGGTCGCTATATGCTTTACACATTCACACATTTACGGTGCCCATGAGCAAAGAGTCGGCCAGTTAGCCGAAGAAGCAGGTTTTGGGCACGTCTCGCTGTCCTCGACAGTAGCGGCAAAAATGATCAAGATGGTCCCTCGTGGCAGTTCAGCATCCGCCGATGCCTACCTGACCCCTGAGATCAAGGCTTATCTCAAAAGTTTCGTCAAAGGATTTGAAGGGGGTCACCTCGATGATGTGAAATGCGACTTTATGCAGTCGGACGGTGGTCTTGTAAACCACAAAAGTTTCAGTGGATTGAAGGGAATATTGAGTGGACCAGCAGGTAAGTTTGCGTGCCTGTATCGTGGATAGACTGACTCAGTGCACTAGGCGGTGTCGTGGGATGTGCTCGAACATGCTACGAAGACACAACAAAGACCCCAGTTGTCTGCTTTGACATGGGTGGTACCTCTACCGATGTGTCACGTTTTGGTGGTGTCTTTGAGCATGTCTTCGAAAGTACTACGGCTGGAGTAACAATACAGAGCCCCCAGCTTGACATAAATACCGTTGCTGCTGGAGGTGGTTCTATTTTGACGTGGCGCAATGGTCTGTTTGCAGTAGGACCGGAGAGTGCTTCCTCTCACCCTGGGCCTGCTTGCTATCGGAAAGGAGGCCCGTTGGCTGTCACAGATGCAAATCTTTTTCTAGGTCGCTTGATCCCAGATCTGTTTCCCAAGATATTTGGTGCGAGTGAGAAGGAAGAATTGGATGGAAGTATCGTAGCAGAAAAGTTTGCAGAATTGGCAAGTGCAATCAATGCAGAGACTGGCAAGTCAATGTCACTCGAAGAGATTGCTTTTGGTTATCTCGATGTCGCAAATGAGGCGATGTGCCGTCCGATCAGATCTCTCACCGAAGGAAAGGGCTATGAAATCAGCAAGCATCGTCTCGGCGTCTTTGGAGGGGCTGGTGGCCAACACGCTTGCGAAATTGCTCTAAAACTTGGCATCAAAACTGTGGTAATCCACAAGTACTCCAGCATCCTCTCAGCTTACGGCATGGCACTGGCCGATGTGGTCCACGAAGAACAAGAACCAACCAATGACATTTACAGTGTCGATTCGATAGATCGCCTAAACCAACGCATCGAGAACCTCAAATCAAGGGTTACAGCCCATCTCATTAAACAAGGCACACTTCAAAAAGACATCGATCATGAATGCTACCTCAATATGAGGTATCAAGGCACTGAAACTGCGATGATGATCTTAAGACCTGCAGATGATGATTACAAGGCAGAATTTCTCCGCGTTCATCAGCGAGAATTCAGCTTCCTATTCCCACCAGAGAGACAGATTCTTGTTGATGATGCGAGAGTTCGTGGGGTTGGAAAGAGTGCCCGGAACGACACTGATGGAGAGAGACTTGGTCGAGAACTTGGTACAATGGCATTCAAGCCTGTGCTTGAGGCTCAGGTTGAGAGACAAGTATGATGTCTTAAATAAGTACTCCAGATTTTCCTGCTGACAGAATACAGATTCAATGCTACTTCAAAGTCGGTGGTAAGCAAACGACACCAGTCTATCTATTGGCAGATCTTGCTCCTGGCACTTCGGTCATTGGGCCAGCAATGATCATCGACAACACCCAGACCTTGGTCATTATACCAAACGCCGAAGCCAAGATCCTTACGTCTCACGTCGTTATCGATATCGGTTCCTCGAATGGCACTGCGAAAGACACATCTCTTGTTGTCGATCCCGTCCAACTCTCTGTGTTTGGCCATCGTTTCATGTCAATTGCGGAACAGATGGGCAGGACCCTACAGAAAACCTCCGTCTCTCTCAATATCAAAGAACGTCTTGATTTTTCCTGTGCCATTTTTGGACCAGAAGCCGGTCTCGTCGCAAACGCTCCTCATATTCCCGTTCATCTTGGTTCGATGAGCTATGCTGTCCAATACCAACACGAGTTGTACAAAGGACATTTTAAACGTGGTGACGTTCTGGTATCAAATCACCCCGAGAGCGGCGGCACCCATCTTCCAGATTTGACGGTAATAACTCCTGTCTTTGGGGATGATGACAAAGTAGCTTTTTATGTTGCTGCACGTGGGCATCACACCGATATCGGTGGCTCTGACGGTACATCCATGCCTCCTAACTCCACCGAGCTTTGGCAAGAAGGAGCACAGATGCGTTCTTTCAAATTGATTGAAAACGGGCATTTTGACGAAGAAGGTATCATTAAGATCCTCCTCCAACCCGGACAATACCCTGGCTGCAATGGAAGTCGACGTCTCTCTGACAACATCTCGGATCTCAATGCACAGGTCGCTGCCAACAATAGAGGTGCTACCTTGATCACCGCCTTGATGGGTGAGTATACCCAAGAAGTAGTTCAGCTCTACATGCAAGCTATCCAAAACAATGCTGAAGTAGCCGTGCGCGGCTATCTCTCACAGACACTCAAGCGCCTTGGTCCTAAGCTCTCAGCCATCGACTCTATGGATAACGGGTCTCAAATTCAGCTCAACATCTCGATCGAAGAAGATGGATCAGCAACTTTTGATTTCACTGGTACTGGTTGCGAAATGCTGAGCAACTTGAACGCACCACCGGCAATTTCTTATTCGGCTATACTATACAGTCTTCGTCTACTTATCGGCGCGGATATTCCCATGAATCAAGGTTGTCTAGCACCTATCAAGGTAATCTTACCCCAAGGCACTTTCCTCAACCCTTCTGCCGGACCAGCTGTCTGCGCAGGGAATACTCAAACATCTCAACGAGTCGTTGATACCGTGCTTCAAGCTTTCAAAGCCTCTGCAGCGTCGCAAGGTTGCATGAACTGTCTGGGATTCTTTGGAGGCGGTGGTGTCGGACCAGATGGAAAGCCACTACCTGGTTCTGCGTATGCGTTTGGTGAGACCATTGCGGGTGGAAGTGGCGCCACGAATAGGGCGCATGGCGCCAGTGCGGTTGCTGTGCATATGACCAACACGCGGATCACGGATCCGGAGAGTCTCGAAAAAAGGTATCCCGTCATCCTGAGGGAGTTTTCAATCCGAGAAGGAAGTGGCGGAGAGGGAATTCATAATGGTGGTAATGGTTGTGTGCGAGATATGGAGTGTAGACTCCCGCTGAAGTTCAGTGTCATCACTGAGAGAAGAGTGATTGCTCCGTATGGTCTTGAGTAGGTAGTCTGCATTCTTCCTGTATCTCGGAGCTTACTAACATTTTTGCTACAGCGGTGGCGGCAACGGAGGAAGGGGAGCAAATTACTGGGTCAAGAAAACACCCGAAGGAAAAGACCGATGGGTCAACATGGGGCCTAAAAATATGGTACAAATGCAGGCTGGTGATCGCTGTGTTGTTCATACGCCAGGAGGAGGTGGATGGGGTATTCCGGGGACTGCTGAGCCAGCACGCACGGGATTGAAGAAGAAGGGCGTGTATGTACCTAGAGCTGCCGGAAGTCTAGCTGCATTTGAGGAAACTCAAGGTGGACAGCATTAGAAGAATCAAATATATATAAATGAATATTAAATTTGATATTCTATTAACATCCTATATAAGTCTAAGACTATATAGGAAGGCGCTAGCCTAATACTAGCGCGGTCTAGTAATATAATCAATAAATAAGTTAATGTGTCTCCGGTTGGAATCTGTAGGACTAAGCCTAATGCGGACTATTTATTATGCTAAGCTATAATAAGAAAGAGTTAGGCTCGTCGAAATCTGCGAATAAGCATTTTTGGAGGTATCGGACGAGGTGACTTCGATTCTGTTAAGGAAACGCCTAACATTTCAAGGCAACCGCGAAGAGTTACCATTTAGAAGGTCGCGAGGAGTCTGACGATAGTTGTCGATGTTTGGCGATTGAGGGTGGGCCGGCTGATGGCCCAAATTTTAGGAACAGGGTATGTCGCATCCAAGGCGTGGTATTAGCCGGCCGATTTGATTTGCTCGCGTACGGCGATTAAGTGCTCGCTTTGCATGGCAAGATTTTGGGCGTGTACTGTATATTCAAACCCCAATTAGGAATTTGGTCGGTCGCAACACGGAGAGGACGTTTTTCTCTTCGACAACTGGACGCAAGCTAGGTAGCCTTTACATAGTCAAACCGATTCCCCTTTCTTTTCTTCGAAAACAACGGTCCTCACTCAACCAACTCCAATATGAAGTGGTCTTGTGCGCTTCAGCCGTGTGATCTACCGGCTTTGAGGGCGCTCTATGGACAGTGCGAACTTTGCCACCGACACTTCTGCACGAAACATGTGGTGTCAGCGCTGCATACTTGTCCTACAAAAGAGGTTTGAATGGGCGTAATAATACTTGAACAAGACCAGAATGTCTGACATGGTTATAGGATATCCAAGCGATATACATATCTGGTGACCCAGCTAAGCTCAAAGATCTAAACTCGGTCCGACGAACGGTGGGCGAAAAGGTGATCTCCAGATTGTTAGAAATTAACAATTACGATGCCCTTTGCATGCGTGCAGAGACTTTACGTGATGGGATCAAATGTACTGTCAATCTCCCATCAGCCGATCAAGCATACTTCAACTTTGACGTTCTTGGTGGGTGTAACTACCATGGCTCGATCGTGTTTGAAGACGGCAAAACTTGGTTGGCAAGGTTCAGACTCCCAAATCACAATGAACCTTTATTGCAGGAGAGGAACTTCGATAGACGCAGTGAGTTTGCAACATATTGCTTCCTTGCTAAATCTGCTGTTCCAGTCCCTGAGGTGTACGACTGTGCTGATGACGACGATCCTATGAATCTTGTTGGCGCTGGGTACATTCTGCTTGAAAAGCTAGCGGGGAAGCCATTGGCCTGGCATGAAGCAAGCGAGGTGCAGAAAGAAAAGTTCTCTCATCAGTTAGCAGATATTTATGCCAACTTGGAACAGCATCCTCTCAATAGGTTAGGACGTCTACAGCTCTCGTCTATGGGGCTACCAGAAGCCGGACCAGCCTTTTTCGACTACGGCTCGAGCGGAAACTTGATCCCATTCGGTTCATTCAGTCATTCAAATGACTACTACACAGCCCTGATTCAGCAGAAAATCCAGCTCATCAAAACCAGGGAGATCGCATCTTCTGCACCTCTTGATTAATACCTTGTCTACATGAGTCTCCTTGACTCTCTCCCACCAAATGAGTCGGGTCCTTTTTTCCTCCGTCATGTGGATTCTAGAGACGCGAATTTCTTAGTCGATGATAACTATAACATCTCTGGCATTATCGACTGGGAGCTGGTCATTTTTACTTCAAAAGGCTCGGCATTCCAATCGCCTCTCTTGTTGTACAATTTGGGCGAACTGTACCATAAAGGTCTCTCAACGCCAAGCGAAGATGAAAAGCGCGTTTCTAAGATCTTGCGGGAGGAGAAAGGGGCAGTTGAGCTTTCTGCATTGGCTGAGCAAAAGCTGTATTTTAGAGTTGATCAAGTCATTGAGACTGATCCTTGGGATCGGCAAAATTTTATGAGGCTTTTCAGTGGGTGGTGGAAAGTCGCCAATGGGGTGAACACATTCGATTGGGATACGTGGTACAAGCAGGCACTTGACAAGTATGGCGATGGAGGCCTATGAGAATCGGTGTTTTTTCCTGTTTGCATGCTTTGATTCACAATCAGGGTTCACAATCAGACAGCTTTTCACTTTTTAAGTCAATTAAAAGATGCCGTGCATTACTTAAAGCTCCTACAACAACCTGAGGTCAAGCGCGGGGGATTTATGGCATCTGACTGTCGAGAAGAAGACCTTCAACCGCAACGATGCCATGCCATCCAGACACGCGCATTAGTAGATGAGAGACAGAAGCTCCAGCTTTGGTTGATAACGATGTCCGTCTCCGGAATCAAAAGTAGCCTAATGCATTTGTTGGCGATCGCAGCTTGGACACACATTTGTGAGGTCAGAATAGTCAAGTCAATATATCATACGAGAGTATTATATTCCTACCCAAAATTGTGGCGACGCTCTGCAATGGCCTGGAGGCGGGCTCGAAGAGGAGGTCGTGGCCTCGGATCTGACGTAGCGCGATCCTTCTGTACTGATGCTGTCGTGCAATGACTCGCTCGAGAGGCACGAAGAAGGGGTGTTAAGCACGATAGAAATGATAGATGACTACGAGTGGGTTAATAGATCATCCTCACCTTGTTATTGGTGGTTGCGACCTTGTCCATCCCACCCAACCACCCCCCCACTTGAGGCGTGAGACTCATCTAGGAGGTGCACAGCCATCTAGTCATTGAGGGCTTTACTCCCAGATGATGACGGTCGTCTGAGGGTGGTAGGTTCAAATGTGGCTCATCACTTTGGTGTGGACAGGGCTCGTTCAGGCTCCCCCATGTGTAACCGGACTATAAGCTCAGAATCATGGCCACTAATATGAGTAAAGACAAACTGCAGAGCTGATGACTTTTAACAATACACGACCGAGAGCAACTCTGGGCTCTGAGTTATTTCTAGGTCAATGCTCAAACGGCATTGAACTTGACCGGACATTTTATTCGACATATTAATTTAGCACGACTAAACTCCTATGAACGAAACAGCTAGCCAGAATTGGTCTGGCTACACCGCTTCTAGCGGCTGGCAGTGGCCAAAGCTAGCACTAAATGAAGTTGTTGAAATAGTAGAACTGTATTGCTTAAGGATCCTATAGATATAAGCTACGCCTATATATATAGATCCCCCAGCCTCCTATAAAGGGGAGGCTAGGAGTGAAGCTCCTATATAATATATATAACTAGTTAATATTTTAATACTCTCACTTAACTAGACATAAGAATATAAAGGCTAGCTCCTATAGGCTATATTACTAGTAAACTATAGTTTAAAACTATATAGGATAAAAGGATCTATAAAAGGTCTAATATGCTAAAGTAAATCTAATAAATATAATAGAAGTATAACTAAGCTAGAAGTATAAGTATAAAGCTATAGCTTATAGCAGTATTATAAAGTGGCTTAGTAGATATATAAAGGATATAAAAATAAAAGTAATATCTAAATTAGAATTTTTTATTTATTTATTTATTTATTTATTCTATTAACGTCCTATGTAAGTCTAAGACTATATAGGACGGCGCTAGCCTAATGCTAGCGCGGGCTAGTGATATAGTCAAGAGATATGTCAATATGTTTCCGGTTGGAATCCGTGGGACTAAGCCTAATGCGGACTAGGTCCATAAAGCAGTAACGCCATAATAAAAAGTCCCCCAAATTACATAACTGACAAATGAAAAGTGAATTAGAAGGGGCAGAAAGCGAAGGCGGTCAGCTAGCATAGCCGTTTCTTATGCTGCAATTGCGCTCTTATGCATTCTAAGCCAAAATTGGGAAAAATCAATGGATTCGGCCAGTGGAGGTAGGCGGTGAGACTTCTAAGCAGTGTATTGCTTAGTTATCATCAAATTCTACCCGTTTAAGCCGCTATTTGCAGGTACTAATACCCGTTTCACCTAAAAAGGTCAGTAGATGCTAGCATCCGATTTTCGTCTCAAAGAGGGAGCGTAGGCTAAGCCTAAATAGGACATTATCTTTTAGTCTTTTGCGTTCTTTACTATATTCGGGGCATTATAGTATTAGATGCTATAGTGATTTAGGCTTTATAACTATATATATAGTGATTAGTGGGTGTTTTATTAAATCGTTTTAGGTATGTCCCAAAGTAGCCGTGTTATAGCTTAAGCTGGAAGAAGGCGCTAGCAGTGGATCTAGCCGTTTTAGGAAGCTATATTTAAGAGTGAATTCGTGGGTTAAAAAAGTTCAAGTAGTAGCCTTTACCGCTAGCTAGAGCATTCGCCCACGCATGCTATTAGATTTAGTTGATTTTTATGCCTATATAGGCATAGCTTATATGGGCAGCCAGGGCGGTCTAGGTGGTCGGAAGTGATTTAGACCCTATTTATTTATTTATTTATTCCATTAACGTCCTATGTGAGTCTAAGACTATGTAGGACGGCGCTAGCCTATTGCTAGCGCGGGCTAGTGATACAGTCAAGAGATATGTCAATATGTTTCCGGTTGGAATCTGTGGGACTAAGCCTAATGCGGACTAGGTCTATAAAGCAA